CTAATTCTTTTACCTAGTAATTTATCGCGTATTTATAGATAAATATACCTTAGTATTATATACTTCGGATTAAAGGAAATAATACCTTAAATAGAAGTAATAGAACTAGATAGAAGTATATAAACTATAGATAATAAGGATAAATATAGATTAGGTGGGGTAGAAGTAGATAGAATATCATAGAAAAGAGTTAAGAATCTAGGCGGTATTAACCACCTATACGCACCCCCTAGCGTGAGTGCCTTTTACCCCTAAGGGAAGGGCTATCGACCCCCAAAGAGAGTGATCCCCCCTACTCTTCTAGGGCTAAGGTCTATTTTAGTTATATAACTATCGACTATCTTCCTCGCACTAAGATATATAATAAATATCTAATTAGGGTTTAGGGTTCTAGTGGTTCTCCTCTTATATTAAATAAGAGGATAGATCTACCTATATATATATTAGTCTATATTCTAATAGATTGATAATAAAATAAAGTATAGGGTATTCTTAGGTATATAGAAAATAAAATAATAAAAATAAAGCGTTTCCTCTATCTTTATCCTATATTCTTAGGCGTCTATTATAACTCTATGGTCGAATCCTACTTAAAGTATATAAATACCTAATTACTACTATTAATTAATTAGTATATAGAGGTATTTCTTAATAATCTAAAAAGACTATAACTAGAATAAACGTAATTAATATTATTTAATTTTAGATAAATTAGCCGAATCATATATAATAAGACCTAGATTTTATATAAATCTAGGTCCAGATAGGTTATTTATAGCTTTTAATATAGCCTAGGTTACTTTTACTTTTCTATAAAATTTAAATAGTCTATATTTATTCTAGTAAATATCTCTTCTTCTAATATTCTATACTTATTTTATATTAAGAAGTCTACAGAATAATCTATAAGTATTTTAAAAGATTAAATAGTCTAATAAAATATAGTAGAAAGTTAGATAGTTTTATCTATAAATAAAACTACACCTTGGCTTATAAATTAATTTAGTAAAGATTTAGGGATTAGAGATTATTTTTAAAGAAGACCTAATTTCAGTCTATATTTCTAGATTGTTAATTTTAAGTCTTAACTTAGGTCGATAAAAATAAACCTTAATCTATGTATTTTTATTATTACTATTACTTTGTATTACGCGGTAGGATAAGTATTAAATACTTAACTCTTTCTTAATAGTTTTTTAGCTATATATATACTACTTAGGCCTTAATTCTAGTGAATATCTATAGGACTTAATATATATAGACTATAGGGTCTAATTATACTTTATTCTCTATTTAGGATTTATTAGCTAAAAGATATTAAAATTTTATCTTTAAGCTCTTTATTATAATAACTATTAGAATTATAGTTAAGAAGTTACGCTTATTTAGCTATATAGTATTAGCTTTTTTAAAAAGAATTTAGAGAAAAATATCGTATAATTTAATTAGTATATAGAATAAAATAATAAATTATTAAGACTTAAGTACGTAGCTATTATATAACTTTAAACGCTTAGGCTTTCTACTCAATATACGTTATTAGGTATTAGGTAAAGGGAGGCTAGTATTATTAGTATCCTTATTATATATTATAGCTATTATTCGCGATATTTTTATAAGCTAGACTATATTACCCTAAAGATATACTATAGCCCTTCTTAGTATACTTAGTAAAGTTCTTAAATTAATAATTACTATAATAATTAGCTACTATACCTTATTAAGGTATACTAGCTACTACTAAAGATATAGTGACATAGTAAAAGTGTCGATACCCCCTCTAGCCCCACTTAATACACCGCCTTCTACTATACTTACCGCCTATAGAAATACGCTAGATCTAATATCTATACTAATAGCGTCAACTAGCGTGCTTTGTCTTATATTGTCGGCCGTGCAGGGAGGCGGATACCACGAAGCTTTTCGTGGCGCGGGGTACGCTTTTGTAGATGCTTCCCCACCACGGACCGTTGACTACCCGACCAAGGAAGGCTTGATCGGATAAAGATAGAAAAGAATAAGAATAAGATAGAGTGCAAAGGGCTTATGCACTCTAAATGAGCACAATCCACAATCCTCAAACAAAGGACTAAGCAGAAGGTCTTTCTAAGCAGATAGAAAGGGATAGTAGAATATTTGAAGAGAGTGAAAGGTCTATCATTTCTACTTGATGTCTCGCGCGTATTTATAGACAAAAAGTGGTTAAAGTCACATGCTTTATATCAGATAAACAGAATAGAATCAGGGAAGGAAATGTGATAGAGCTGATGGCGTGATGAGGGATATGTCATCGATCTGGTGGGGTAAAGAGGGGTAAGCGGTTTGGAGGGGTAAATCATGCTCGCATCTCTTTCTTTTCTTCTTCTTCTTCTTCTTCTTCTTATGTTGAATAAGAGGATACCTTCACCTAATGTAGCATTGGTTCAAATTCCAACATATATCTACCCTAAATACCCCTTTTTTGCATAAGACTAAAGCACTATGTTCAGAGTTTACCCCCTACCTTACTCGAATATATCTATAAGCTATCCTAGGCTACTAGGTAGGGATATAAGCGCTATCCCTAGGTCTCCTTTTCTGGTATTCGCTATACGGTTAAGAAGGACCGTAAACGTCTAAATAGTGTCTTTTAGCCTCGCTCTGGCCGCCTACAATAATCAGTCGCGTCTTTTTGCTATAATTAAAGATAATCCGAAGATTAAGCGGGTTAATCTACTAGCTAAGGTTTCGAATAAGGCTTATTTATCTCTCTATAAAGGCTCTAACTATCTTCTGACTTATTAGTGAAATACGACTTAATTCGACGGCTCTTAAATAATAATAATATACGGAAGTAGTAATATTATCTTATAGGATTTTTAGGCTTTTTTAGGCTTAGTTAACCCTCCTAAATAAGTAAGTATTAACTAATTATATAGTATTAATTAGGTTTATTAGGGCTTAGCTTATAATATATTAATTCAGTTCTTAAATTAATTATTGTTTAGTAGGTCTATAGATAATTAGTGTCCTAAAGATTTTAAGTAAGTTTTACTAAGTCCTTATTTTGCCCTTACCTTCTCTTATTTAACATAAGAAGAAGAAGAAGAAGAAGAAAAGAAAGAGATATGAATATGATTTACCCCTCTAAACCGCTTACCCCTCTTTACCCCACTAGATCGATAATATATCCCTCATCACGCTATCAGTTCTATCACATTTCCTTCCCTGATTCTATTCTGTTTATCTGATATAAAGCATGTGACTTTAACCACTTTTTGTCTATAAATACGCGCGAGACACTAAGTAGAAAGAACAGACCTTTCACTCTCTTCAAATATTCTACTATCCCTTTCTATCTACTTAGAAAGACCTTCTGCTTAGTCCTTTGTTTGAGGATTGTGGATTGTACTCATTTAGAGTGCATAAGCCCTTTGCACTCTATCTTATTCTTATTATTCTTTCTTTATCCGATCAACCCTTTCCTTGGTCGGATAGTTCAACGGTCCGTGGTGGGGAAGCATCTACAAAAGCGTACCCCGCTCCACGAAAAGCTTCGTGGTATCCGCCTCCCTACACGGCCGACACTAAGTAATATCAAGTAGCTTTCAAAATATAGGGCATTAGTAAGACGACTTATTAAATATCGGTCTGATAGCCCACCTACGCCTATAAAAGAGGCATTTAATCAGGCTTATAAGGCATGCGAATAAGTCATAAAGCGTATCCTTCTATTGGAGCAAGAAGTAACGCATTTACGCACCGCAAACTACAAGAAGATGAAAAAAAAGGTATTGCCTAAACGACAAATACAGCGCGATAAGGGCTTATTTGTTCATAAAGCCCATAAGTAAGGCATTAGTCTACTAGGTGGCACAGAAGGTGGTGGGGTGGACTCTGCAACACCCACGCCGAGGGCTTCAGCGACCGGTAATTAGCCCAATAGACGTCAATACGCATATAGTATATACAGAAAGCCTAGTCATAGGGCGTATGCATGCCCTGATAAGGTTTAAATTGAATATAAAGGCGTTGTGGTTTTATAAAAGCTTCATAAATGAAGAATAAGTGGATGGGGTGGCGGGTTTGGTGTGGATTACGTTATATTAATTATAACTTTTTTAATAATAGAATTGGTTATTCCTTTTATTTAACTCTAATACTACCTAAATAGGTTCTTACCCTTTTTCGCGTATAAAATCTTAATAGTACTTACTTTTATTCTTTTAGAGCTACTTATTCGCTCCCGACTAAGCCCTAAACTCCCTAGAAATAGTCTATTAGTTCTTATTTAACTCCTTAGAGTTATAAGCGAAAAGCTTTATTTACTTTTCCTTTATCTATATCTAATATTATTATCTTGCTATAAGTTCTTACTTATCTATATCCTATTGTGATAACACGGCCTTGTATGGGGATACGAACGGTCACGTTACCCTACTTTTTCTGCCATACGGCACCGCCCTTAAGGCATATTTCTATCCTTTCGTACACTTACTTAGCAATACACACCTTTCCACCTCCAGAATCTCATCTGGTAGCATGTCCTTGACTGGTCGACCTGCCACGGTCGGCCGGGAACGGAAGCATTGACGTTGGATATGCCTCCTTTCCTACAAACGATCACCTGAAGCGAATGATCGAGATCGCTTGCGTACGCGATGTTGAAGAGTATTCGAGTCTTTCCTGATCCTTTCTGGTCGCCATTCATCTGAACACGAAAGTGTACGCCCGGAAACTAGCGGTGTGAGGAAGTTACGTGCTGAAGTGATCGGCACCTCGACGACCCGCCGACTAGGGCTATGAACGGCAGAGATTGGTCAGAGATACTCATGTTGATACATATCACATTCGTATACGATCATCAGGAGGTGGTAAACAGATGATTACGTGTCCTTCCTGGCTCTGAAAGAAGACCCATCTTAAGAGAGGAAGTAAAAGACCCAGTGGAATTAACATTTTCAAAGAAACTACTTCGAACATTTACGTTCTTATTCGTTCACACCCGATTACACGCAATCATGTCCGATAACATCACCGAAGGCCCCCAGTTCCTACGTTCTATGTCTCCGGACACGGAGCATGCCCTACGTTCGTTGCCACCGGATAGCGCGGAAGTATTCTATCGTGCTTGGGCAACTATTCCCGAAGAAAGTTTGCCGATTCAGTCAATGCTGATCAAGCAGTCGGCTAGTATTCTAGCCGAGAACACCCGCCTCCGAGAAGCCGAACGGCAACGTATGGAGAACGAGCATGCTCGTGCCCAAGAGGACCCAATCCAACAGTTAGCGGAAACCCTCAGACGTATGCAAACTGGCCCGGTCGAAGGTACGCCAGACACTTCTGAAACCACTCGCTCTACGTTCTCTCGGGACGGTAGTGCACAGAAGGCCGTACGAAAGGCAGTGTTAAAGAACATCCGTCCTATCGAGAACTACCAGGGCGCGGTGAAGTCTGATGCTGCACGGAAGTATCTACGCGACTGCGAACGCTACTTCCGCGAGATATCTTCGTACGCTGGCGCTGAACCAGACGATAGTACCAAAATTATTCATGCAAGTGGACGATTGCTAAAGCGCGCTGCCGAAACCTGGCGTGCGTACACGGATCAAGTTGCCGGTAGATATGGTGAAGAAATCACTACCTGGCAAGCCTATAAGGATTGGATCAATCGCGAGTTTTCGGAGCACCTCGGACCCGAAAAACGATGGGATCGCTTCGCGAACTTAAGGCAAGGACAATCGTCATTCCATGAGTATGCGATCAATCTACAGCAAGCTGCGTACGATTGCGAAATCGATATTCCGGAACAAGTCCTGATCCAATACCTGCGAATGGGTGCGAACGTGAACTTACAGAAGCGTTGGGCTGAGGATCGAGAACAAGATCGCACGACCATTCTGCAAGACGTTATTCAACGATTTATTGAGTTTGAGCGAGGAGCAATGGTCGCTGGTTATATTAACCGAACGAACCCGGACGATATGGAGCTGACTGCCCTACGGTCCCGTTCGAAAGACCTTTCGACAATTAAGTGTTATAATTGTGACCAAAAGGGACATTACAAACGTAATTGTCCGGCTCCGAAAAAGGAAAGCAACAGTGGGAAAGGCCAGTCAAAAAACTAATGCGGGCGACTACTTACGAAGCCTTGGCCGCTCGCATCCGTAAGGCTTCCCACACACCAAATTTCTCCAGTCTTGATCGTTTAGATCCGGCCGAAAGGGATCTTGGTGAAGAACGCCTAGATATATCACTAAATGTCTTGGGTGATTCATTGCTTTACTACACAATCGCGCTCGGAAACGCTTCAACGCCTCCGACCGTGACCGCTCTACTCGATAGTGGCGCGTCGCATACGTTTATATCATTAGACGTTGTGACCCGTCTGAAGGAGAATCTACAAGACGTGTTATTGCCAAACAAAGGGCAAAAGCACGACGTCGACGAACGCTACCAGCAGAGGCTGAGCAGCAGAAATCGGACTCGGACGAATGGAATTCGGAGGCGAACGACTACGAATCCTATCACCGTTAAGCTCCCGAATGGAGAAGAGCTTCGTACGCGTGCGAAACTAAAGGTTCCGGTCCGGATCGGACCGTGGCGTGGAGTCTTAAAAATGTGGATATTGGACTTCCCAGATTTTGACTTCATTCTTGGAAGAGACTTCTTACAAAATGTTAACCCTGTGATCGATTGGGTCAACGGAAAAATGACCATTCGGGACCATCAGCAGACGCACGTTATTCAGCCCGCTGAGGTCCCCTGTTTTGAAGGAAACGCGAGAGTACGGTTGAACCTTATCTCCGCAAAGCAGTGTTCTCGTGCGATGCGAAAGCGACAGTCGCAAGGGGTATTCTTCGCTATTCGGGAGACGCCCGATCTAGAGCGAAAGGAGGCTTTCGGGGCACCAACACATTCGGATCCGCGGATGCAGGAGATCTTGTCAAGATATAACAAGGTATTCCGTGCGGAATTGCCCGAAGCACTCCCCCCAGAACGACCAGTCGCGCACGAGATTGACACTGGAGATGCCCACGCGATCAATATTAATGCGTACTCCCTATCGGCCGAGAAACTGAACGAACAGGCCCGACAGGTAGAGGATTTGATCAATCGTGGATTAATCCGTCCGTCAAGTAGCCCTTGGGGATTCCCGGTGATATTCGTGAAGAAACATAACGGTTCATGGCGTATGTGTATCGATTATCGGGCCCTCAACAGACTTTCGGTAAAGAACGGTTACCCATTACCGCGAATCCAAGAGCTTTTGGATACGGTCGGGACCGCAAAGGTGGTATCGAAGATTGACCTCACATCCGGGTACTGGCAGGTACGGATGGCTGAGGATTCAATCCAGAAAACCGCATTTAACACCACATGGGGTAAGTACGAATGGCTTGCGATGCCGTTCGGACTATGCAATGCACCCGCAACCTTCCAATCGACTATGAACGATACCCTTCGTCCACTTTTGGGCAAGTGTGTAGTCGTATATCTTGATGACATCTTGATATTTTCTCATAGCTTGGAAGATCACTATGATCATGTCGATCAGGTGTTATCGTTGCTGGACTCGCATAAGCTATACGCTCAGCCCCAGAAGTGTCAATTTGCGACCAACGAACTTGAGTTCTGCGGACATATCATTGGAAATGGACAGCTTCGGCCTTTACCGGAGAAGGTCACGGTCGTACGCGAATGGCCACGACCGCGAAACGTCCATGAAGTCCGCCAGTTCTTAGGTTTAGCTACCTATTACCGTCGCTTTATCGAAGGATTTGCTGCAATATGCGTACCACTCCATAGTTTACTGAAGGAGTTGGACGCATCTATCCGACAAAACAAATTCCGACCCATTCGATGGACAATCAGTTGCGAAAGTGCCTTTACGAGACTGAAAGAGGCTTTGACGAACTCGCCCGTCCTGTCACAACCGGACCGCGATAAGCCTTTTCGGATCGAAACAGACGCGTCAGAGTGGGCTATCGGTATGGTTTTGCTCCAAGCGGACACGAATAACCGCTTTCACCCTGTGGCTTTCGATGGAAGGAAGCTGCAAGGTGCGGAGCTAAACTACCCAGTTCACGAGAAAGAACTACTAGCCATTAAGGAAGCTCTGCGCATATGGGACCGTTATATCGAGAACGGCACCAAAACAACTATTGTCACGGATCATGCAAGTCTTCAATACTTGCAAACGACCACGACCTATAGCAAACGCTTAGCTCGTTGGGTCGCCGAATTTCAGGAATATGACCTGGAAATTCAGTATCGTAAGGGTTCAGAAGCTATCGTGCCCGATGCAATCAGTCGGAGGCCTGATTTCCTGGGAGATGGCCCGGCCGATGTTTCGGAGACCCGACCGATATGGGATGCGTCACTGAACGTGGTGCGTACGTTCATGGGCGTACCCGAGGAGAAGTGGTTGGCAGCTACGGAACGGTATCTCGACGATCGTACCCTTCCGGTTGAGAAATCTATCGCGAACGCAGTGCTGAAACATGCAGGGAACTTAAGTTTTCGAGAGCTTTCGGACCCGAATCAGTCGACTGTAGCGGTTACTCGCCAATTAACCTTCACCCATGGGGATGGGGTCCGAGCGCCTTATTTGGAACCCCGCCAGCGTGGTGATTTGGTGGAACGCCTACACCAGGAGTTCGGGCATCTTGGTCACCCGGGCTTGAATGGAGTCATTCGCCCACGAGCGTGGTGGCCGGGGATGCGCCGCGATGTCGAAGAAGCTGCGCGAACTTGTCCGAATTGTCAAGTTTCGCAGGGACTGCGGAAGAGCCTCGAACGCGAAGTTTCGCAACCGATGGTGACCGCAGGACTTCAGCCGTTTGAAAGATGGGGAATTGATCTGATCGGAAGGCTACCTACGACCCCGAATGGTAACCGCTGGATAATCACTGCAATCGATTATGCGACGGGTTGGCCTGTCGCACAAGCGGTGAAGGATGCCACCGAAGAAGCGATCGGACTATTCCTTTTCGAAAGGATCTTCGTGCACTATGGTGCGCCGAGGGAGATCATTTCCGATAATGGCCGAAACCTCCTAGCCGGAGCCGTACGCTACTTTGTGAAGTTGCTACAGACTCGGCATAGGACGACGACTCCTTATCACCCCCGTACGAACGGGAAGGTGGAGAATTTGAATGGAATTCTTGGACGGATGCTTACTAAGTATCTAATGAATAAGCCAACGAGGGCTTGGGATCTATATCTACAGCAAGCATTGTTCGCTACGCGCGTACACGAACATGCTGTTACTAGATTCAGTCCATTCTATTTGGTGTATGGAGTTCACCCGCGAATCCCCAGTGATCCGTCCGATGGCTCAGGAACGGAAGCGTTACGCACCGATGCTATCCGAAACCTAAGCGATGCGCGCACGAAAGCAAACGAACTGCTACTTGCGCGAGCAATCAGGACGAAGCGTGTACGAGACAGCCTCGTCACGAAAACTAGCTTCCAGCCGAACGACTGGGTTTTGATTCGGAACGAGACCGGGAAGAAATTTGAAAGCAAGTGGTTCGGACCCTATCAGGTCCTCCAGTCCCACCCGCTCGGGACTTATGCTTTGGCGGAGCCTAACGGCCATGTGCTCCGTACGCTTATCAATGGATCAAGGTTGCTGGAAGCGAACGTGGATGATCCAACGACGTTATGGACATCCTCGGCAGCCCGTATGGCCCTACGTCGGGCCCGAATACAGGTTGAGCGACCCGAAGAGGTCCGCACGATCCTGGAGATTGATAAGGATCTCCCCAACTATTCAGATCTATCCACTTTTACCAGGAAAGAGTGGGAAGATTTCAAGCGTTCAGGCGCACGCTTTGATTCAGTGGGGGAGGAGCTAGCTACAAGACGTGTTATTGCCAAACAAAGGGCAAAAGCACGACGTCGACGAACGCTACCAGCAGAGGCTGAGCAGCAGAAATCGGACTCGGACGAATGGAATTCGGAGGCGAACGACTACGAATCCGAAGCTTCTATATCGCCGGCCGAGGACAATGAGGAAGACGTTTCTCATACAAGAGTTTCGCAATATCGGGACGCTGATACAAGCGAACGGGAACTATTCGATGGACCATTTGCGGTTGTGATACCATCGCGGTCTACGAATTAGATTGTTACAGTGAAAGTGTGCGTTCGCGCATGACTCAAACAATTTGATTGCATAATCGGACATAAAACAAAAAAAAAAAAAAAAAAAAAAAAAAGGAACAAAAGCAAACGCGGCTATTTACAAAAGATTTATCGCCATCATATTATCATTATCAGAAAAACAGAAAAACAAAAGTATCCGAACAGGACCTTTAGTCCACGTTCATATCGAAGGGATTGCCCTCCACAACTTCGTCCTCGGACGGAGAAGGGGTGTCGAACTGTTCATGTTTGTCCAAGAACGCAGTAATGGCAATCATATCGTCCTTAACCCGTTCAGTAATTGTCGAAAGTTCGCGATAGACCGCGCGAATGCTGGCGAAGTTCTCCGCACGGCCAGCCGCAATAAAATCGGCATCGGTCGTGGGAGTCTTGTACCAACGTGACTAGAAAGGGACGACAGGACGCGGACGAGCAAGAACTTGCGGCGAGGCAGTGATGCCAGACGTGGATAAAGGGGACATTTGGGTAGATCTTGCGGACAAAGGGGAAGCAGGCGAAGCCTTTCGCTTGCGACTCTGAGGAGTCGAACGAGAACTGACAGACTGCTTCCGAGGAGTTTGGGGCTCGGCCGGGAGCGAACGGGCAGCTCCAGAAGAACGAAGGAAAGCACTGTCAGGGTTTTGTGCGCGAATGAGGGTGAGGACCCATTCCGGTAGCGTCGGAGTCGAACGGAAGGAACAACTAGTTCCGTTGCCGGAAAAGTTGCAGTTCGTGCAGCCGCCGTTGTTGAAGGGAACACCACCATGCACCAAGACACGACAAGATGCCGCGGACTGACCCGAACTTTCGAGGGTTTATGTCGGTGCCCGTGTTTACCTTTATGTATTCATTGTTGACGCGTCCATTCGCGCGCGTGTCCTTTGTTTATGTACGCGTCCGAATGTTGTTGTGATGTCCTTTCACCATATACATGCAGACTTGGTGACGTTCGAGGACGAACGCTCCCATGTCTTACCAGTTTCCTTTGTTGTTATTATTTATTTGTTACATTGCTGGTACGTGGCCACTATCTGGCATGTTCGTGTCTGATGCCTTCCATATTCGGGTATCCTGAGGACATGATCCCGTCTAGTGGGGGAGGATGTGATAACACGGCCTTGTATGGGGATACGAACGGTCACGTTACCCTACTTTTTCTGCCATACGGCACCGCCCTTAAGGCATATTTCTATCCTTTCGTACACTTACTTAGCAATACACACCTTTCCACCTCCAGAATCTCACTATTATCCCTTTTTAGTTATATTAGTATAAGATTTTTATAACTAATACTAATTTTATTATAGCTAGCTATATAGAGAATTTCACTAGTATTTATATAATCTATTATAAACTTTTAATAATTATTAGATAGGTTAAGGATAATATAATTACTACTATTATATTCTTAGATAAATATAAATAGTTTAATACCTATTGGAATTTGGACCAATGCTACATTAGGTGAAGGTATCCTCTTATTCAACATAAGAAGAAGAAGAAGAAGAGAAGAAAGAGATACGAGCACGATTTACCCCTCCAAACCGCTTACCCCTCTTTACCCCACCAAATCGATAACATATTCCTCATCACGCCATCAGTTCTATCACATTTCCTTCCCTGATTCTATTCTATTTATCTGATATAAAGCATATGACTTTGACCACTTTCTGTCTATAAATACGCGCGAGACACTAAGTCGAAAGAATAGACCTTTCACTCTCTTCAAATATTCTACTATCCCTTTCTATCTGCTTAGAAAGACCTTTTTCTTAGTCCTTTATCTAAAGATTATGGATTATACTTATTTAGAGTGCATAAGCCCTTTACACTCTATCTTATTCTTTTCTTTCTTTATCCGATCAAGCCTTCCTTAGTCGGGTAGTCAGCGGTCCGTGGTGGGGAAGCATCAGCAAAAGCGTACCCCGCGCCACGAAAAGCTTCGTGGTATCCGCCTCCCTTCACAGCCGACACTTAATAATTTAGATAAATTCGCGTAGCTTCTTCGATATCGTGGCGTATCCCTAGCTACTACGCTTATAGGCGAATAACTCTTTTTAAGCCTAAGTAACTAAGATACCTAAACTCCTAATATAGGTATTTTACTAAATTACTATACTAGCGAGGTTCTAAATAAGGCGCTCGGACCCTATCCCTATAGGTAAAGGTTAATTAGCGAGTAACCGCTATAGTTAACTAATTTTAGTAATATATCTTATATTAGTTAGGTCTCTAAAATATTAGCTAAGCTATCTCCTAGGAAATTAGGCCTCTAACTAATTATATTAGGTATAATAGCTTTTAAACCTTTACAATACTAAATTTCTAGGTTATATTCCTAAAATTTAGTGACTTCATAAGCTAAGCGTTTACTATAGGTTATAATTATTTATAAGTATTAAAGACTTATTTAATCTATAATAATAGTTATTTTAGTTCTATTCTTAATATAATAGTCCTATATATATAGAGCTTCCTTAATAGTTAGTAGTTCTTTCTTATAAATTAGGTAGTTTAGCTCTATATCTTATAGCTTCCTTCTATTAAAAGCTATAGGGTAAAAGTAATTATTTATATTCACTTAGAGTAACACTATATTAATAGCTTACTCTAATACGTCTATTTTAATCTAAAAAGGCTTATCGCCATTTAGTTATAATAGGATAGATAAGTTTATTAAAGCTCTCTTTAGTCTTATAAAGGTATTTTTATAACTAATTATCTATTAAATAGGTCGGAATTTATCTTATCGAATAGATATATCTAACTTCTTTAGTAAACTATAGAGTAATATATATATTATAGTAAATCCTTTAATAAAGTGATAGTAATAGGTAGCTAAACCTAAGAATTAGCGGACTTAAGTTCCTTAGTTATAAATTAATACTTCTAGGGTTAAGCGTAAAGCTTATATAAGTCTAATAATAATAATACCTAATTAATATAATTATAATAATCTTCTAAGCTATAAGAAAATATTAAGATATATAACTATATATTTACCTAAAAGTGAATAAAGGGTATATTTATAGTTAATTAAAAGGTTATAAATATATTATATAGTCTAAATAGTATTATAAGCTATTTATACTTACCCTATATAGTATTAAATATAGTTTTCTAGATTAAATCTTTAGCTATCTATATCTATTAGTGCCTAAATATAAGGTAAATCTTTAATACTATCTTTACGAGCCTAACTATATCTAAAAGCTCTTAAATTTATAATAATAGATAATTATTCTTTACTAAAAGTCTGTTCAAGGCCTATTAATTAATATATATATATTATAAACTATTATATTTCTTTATATATATTACTAGAAATTCTTAAGGGCTATTTAATAAATAGATTAGTCTATAATTAATTAAATTCTCTACTTATTAGCCCTATTTATTTAGTTTCTTAGCTAATAGGGAGTATATATTAATATTAATTATATAGGTATCTTTAGTATTAATCTTATATATAATTAGTTATTTTAGAGGGAGTACTTTAGGTAATTCTATATAGAATACCTTATTATATTTTAATAAGATCTCCTATATTTATAGATCTAAATATATTAGTTCCCTAAAAGCCTCCTTTTACTCTAGATTAGATATCTCCTAAATAGCGAAGAATATCCCTTATAACTATCACTTTTATATTATATAAGAATATTACTTTATAGAGATAAAGTATTATTATACTCTCGCGTTTTCTTTAAATTAGGGGACCTTAGCGGGCTAAATAATATATATCTACTAATAGTCCTAAATAGTTATTTTTCTATTAACCTAATTAATTATAGGGTTAATATTTTATAAGAAGTCTCTTCTAAAAATAAAGTTAAAATTTAGGAAGTCTAATATCTATATATTTAAGACTTTATACTATAATCCGATCTAGACTAAATAAAATCTTTAATTTTATATATATATAAAACTTCTCTATTTAGGAGCTTAGTAGTGATAGATTCTTCTTTAGATAAGTTATAATATCTAATAATATAAATATATATAACGCGTTACTATTAAGTAGAGTAATTATAGTCAGAGGCGTTAAAGCGTTTCTAAGTATAATTATAGTAAAGTAATAAATTACCTAAGATATTTAGTAATATATCTAGGCGTTCTTCACTAAGATCCCTTTTAGCTATATCTAAATAATTAAGACTAAAGAAATTAGGTATATAGGAAGCCTTATAGATATAAATAGCTAAGGGTTTATAAGTAGTCACCTATATTAGTTTTTTAATTAGCCTTTCTTACTATTACTTTTTTAGAATAAGATAATTATATTAGATAATTATATTTATAATATCCATTTTTATTATAATTATAATATTTAATTATATAGAAAGGTCTTTTAAATAGGACTATAGGGTAGTTAGCTCTATATTTTCTAGGTTTATTTAGTTAATATAACTAGTAACTATTACTTCTCACTTAAACTTAATAAATTATTAAATAATATTTTATAGAATAGTTAGGCGATCTTATTCTTAATCCTTAGCCTAACACTTCTATAAGTTTATATTTATATTTATTTATAGGTATTAGATTAAGACTTATTCCGGAATATTAATTTTATAATTATATATAGCTTACTATAGATTAATTATATATTTATAGAATAATAACTATCCTTACCTTAGGTTTATAAAGCGATCCTATTATTTTTTAGGTCTAAGGTACTCCGAAAACTTATAATTAATCTAATCCTTATAGGCTTACTAGGTAGTGATTTCTTTACTATATCTACTAATAATTTAATCTATATACGTACGCTAGGTTTTAATAACGCGTATTAGTAATTATTTACTTATATAAATAATTTTAGTACTATTATTTAGTTTAGCGCTAATATATAAAGATATCTCGCGGAAGTAACGTTTATAATCGCGTAGATACTTTTATATAATATTAGACTTTACTACGCCTTAGTAGTTCTTAATAGATATTCTTTAATATTACCTTTTATATAGCCTTCTATATATTACTATCTTAAGAGAATATAAAGTAAGTAAATTAATTTCACCAAGTCTTTATTTCCTCTCTTAAGATAGATCTTCTTTTAGAGCTAGAAAGGATATATAAGTATCTATTTACTACCTCCTAATAATTATATACGAATATATAATATATTAACGCAAGTATCTCTAACTAATCTCTACTATTTATATCCCTAGTCAGTGGGTCGTTAAGGTACCGATCACTTTAGTACGTAGTTAACTTCCTTATATCGCTAGTTTCTAGGTATACACTTTTATATTTAGATAAATAGCGACTAGAAAGGATCAGGAAAGACTTAAATACTCTTCAATATTATATACGTAAGCGATCTTAATTATTCGCTTTAGGTAATTATTTATAAGAAAGGAGGTATATCTAACATTAATACTTCCGTTCCCGGCCGACCGTGGCAGGTCGACCAGTTAAGGATATACTACTAGATAAGATTCTAGAGGTGGAAATGTGTGCATTACTAAGTAAGTGTACGAAAGGATAGAAATATGCCTTAAGGGCGATGCCGTATGGCAGAAAAAGTAGGGTAACGTGACCGTTCGTATCCCCATACAAGGCCGTGTTATCACACCTTAGATCACTAAGATACCGCGGACTAGCCTAACCTTTTAAGGGGTTATATTAGCGTCTATATTTACCTTTATATATTTATTATTCGTTAACGTATCTACGCGCGTAGCCTTTATTTATATACGTGCCTAAATATTATTATAATATTATTTCACTATATATATAGACTTAGTGACGTTCGAGGATAAGCGCTCCTTTATGTTACTAGTTTCCTTTATTATTGTTATTTATTTATTTATATTAATTATAATATTAAGGATAGGTTGGACTAGGTAAAGGATAAGATAATAGGGCACGATAACACCAATTGGTATGATGAATAGAACTGAACTAATCCTTGCAGAAGCAAAGTGAGCTACGCTACGGTACAATCTATAATATAAGGCTATCTAGGATCTATATTAGGATATAGTAAAAAATACCACCTGCCGAGTCCCATGGGAACAAGCCCAATGCACGTGACCTATCCTCGAACTATGTGTCACACCGGGATTAGAACTCTAAATTTCCAGTCCCTCAACAATTCAATAGCTTCGCTATAGATTTATACGGGGAATAGGGTTTCCAGGTTATACTGGCAATACAGAAGGTCATTTTTCCTGCTTTAAGCCTACTCTAGAGGATCCCGTGTAGGAGCAAATATTTAAAGCGAGCTTTACCGGGTTAATGAATTCTACTATTACTACTACTACTACTACCCGAGGAGAATGGGCCAAAGGGTGGTATCGGTGAATCAGTATCCACGCGCTCTCTATGATCAGGAGAAGGCATTCGTTGCGATGCGTCGTGACGACATTCATTAACTAGAGTTGTCAGTGCTTAGGCTAATCGCGCCAAATCTGGAATGTTCATGTTTGGGACAGAAAGAAAACCGGCGAGCAAAGGGGATATTATCACTGTATCCCTCTTAGGCTGCCGAGTACATATTCTCCGGGAACTTGGTTTGATGAGAAAGAATCGTAAGGCTACTTCTTCTACTAGCTACTTAAAGATGAGGTGATAAAAGTACCTAGGTACCTTATCTGCTCCTGTTTTGCATTGATTAACCACAAATCTCACCGAGCCTTTGCGCCCGAATTTGGAGTCGGGAAAGACCCCGTGAATGTGGCTAAGCTTCGTGTTTAACACTGTAGATAACCCGAAAGACGCTGTTAGGATCGATCGACACGCGGATGGAACGCAGCTGAGATGCATCTCAAGTCCAGGGCGGGTGAGCTTTTGGCAACGATTTGGCCGTTCCGACACTAACAATTCGAAAACCTTCTCTTCGGGATTGGGCTTGGCATCCTATGAATCTACATCTACATTCATACCAATATTGACATCGACATTTACATGCCCGGGCGAAAAAAACCAAGCCCGACATATGATCTACGCCATCTTTCGGCACTTTGACGCGCAGTCTGCAAGCGATCCCTGTAGTGAATACCAAGACCAAGGCGCACGATCTCGTAGATGAACATACGACTCGCTTCATTCGGACTTTTTGCATCTTGAGCCTGTGGCCGGATTGTGCCGAATAATTCGGCCTTCGGTTTTTCTTGGAGCTATTGACGTAACGAGTAATGAGTAGTCAGTCCATCTCGTGCTCTTGATCCCTATCCTGTATTCTTCCACAATAAGCTCGCCGGACTGGGCCCCCTTCCCCGCGTGAGGAGTCAGTGGCATTCAGGAAGGTCTGCCCGTGGCTTCAGAGGGTCAAGCTTGCGCATTCGGAATATCTCTGCGAACACTGTCTTATGCGACAATACGTTGGCTAAAAAACCATTAAATCGGTGTCTGACGGCGACGATAAGATCAAATAGACGCAAGGGACAGAGTTGCTCCGAGTGGGCACTGCGCTGATCTATGTTTATACCAGTGTACTCTACAGCGGTCAAGTGTCACCTCAAATCACAAACACGCGAAAATACTATTTACTTTCTAGGCTCACACCTTCTGAGGGATTATTGTATTCCGGCGGGATGTCATTATTGTTATCGATCATGGTTCCATTACAATCCACCAAAAAAAAGCACAGGGGGCCCGAGAGATTTTTTTTTGTTCTCATCTCCCCTCTCCCACACGAGTTGTGCTTCTACTGATGGGGTTGGGATGGTGGTATGGAGTACAGCTCCTAGGATGCTGTTCAAGGTGGAGATTGAGAACCGATTTAGGTTTGGATGATCACACCCTTTCGACCCATGGCCTCCTCCACATGGAACCCGAAGACTAGCCGGTAGAGATCCCGCAGCCACGAGTACTGTCCGCTTTGAACCATTGCTTGACACGCGTGTGCAACCTCAATGGCGCTGACACGGGCCTGGAAGCCTGCATTTCTGAATGCGGGATCAAACGACACCAGCTTTTGATAGTTCTTCAACAACGATGTTTGCCACGGGATCAAGCCGAAGGCATCCGAGGGAAGCGATTTGACAAAGGAGGGCATATTTTGCGGACCACCGCGTTGATACCCACTGTCGATAGCAGCCTTTGTGATAAGCACCTTTAGTCGGGTGAAATTGGGATCTTCCGACATGGTTGTCACGGTGTTGGCAGACGAAGCGGTCTGCCCGGACGACCGAGACTTCTCCGATATACTCGATTCACTTGAGGGCCACTTGGTATGTGAAGAATGAGAGGCATGACCGTCTCCATGGCCAAGGACGAGAATATTGGGGGCAGGTGCTTCATCAGGAGAAACAGTGGCGGTGTCTTCGAAGATTGTCGTTGGCGTTTCCGGGTTTCCGACTTGGCCCAGCGCGTTATCCGCGAAATCAAGTTCGGACTGCTGGGTCGCCTGCTGGAATGCTTGAGCAAATGTCGTTTGGCTTGGTCGTGGTGTTCCTCGGTCCGAATAACGCATGCTATGCAGGGTCCAGCCCTCACGGAAGATGTCACAAAGCTCCCAGCAGGCCTGCACTGCAGAACCCAGAATTTCCTCATCCAAGAATTTCCCTTCTCTCTTACTTTGGCGCATACTAAACAGCATCTCGGCTAGTGTCCAGCAGGCGCTAAGTAGAGAATCGGTCTCGGTCAAACGCGTTCGTTGTTTCATCAGGCGATGACACAGGGTTATATAGAAATCCAAAGTCCGCTCACGAAAAGCATCCGGGAGGTTGCGATCGTGCGTATTGAATAAGTGATTGTTGAGTTCGAAGCTCACCCGTAGAACCGAGTCTGCGAGATCGTTGTCGCACACGCGGACTTCAAAGAGAGCCTGGCAGAAGTCTCGACAGAGATCGAGAGTTGGGTTGACTTGGGATGTGTAATCGTGATCGCGCGTGTCATACAACTTTTGGCAAAGCCTCCAGCAGGACCTCCAGGCATCCTCCTGGATATCGTCCTCGTGCGATCGGAATACCCGTTCTCGATTAATATAACTTAGACTAGCCAGGGTATTACACAATGTCCAGCATTCGGTGAGGGCTGCTCGCAAAGCATTGATTTCAATAGCTTTATTGCCGAAAGTGCCTGCCAATGAGTCAGCTCATTTGACCCGGGGGATATAAGTATCTCTGAATGGAGTTTGACATCGAACTACCTTCTGGAATATCTAAGAGAACTATTAGCGGGATTCAGACACCAAAGGTAACAATCAACGCCGAGCTGTATACCTTCTAAGCTGCTTGAACGCATAAGTCGTTCAGATTCCTCAAAATCATGTCGCGTCTGTGCACGGGGTGTTGCCCTTTCAGACCAGTCTTTTGCAGGCGTGACGTTGGTTGTTAAAGGAGGCGGTGATATGGGGCTGTTCCCGACCTTTGCAACGTCCACCGATTTAGTACCGACGCCCCTCATGTTCCAGATTTGGTGGGTTGGAGGGTTGGGGGGTTTGAAGTACCTTTCTGGACCTTCCTGGCAGCTCTATTGAATGTATAGGCTCTGAGCCCGGAGAAGGCGATTCTTCCCCGTCGCATATCTCATCAGCTTGCATGTCTGCCTGAATCTCCACAATTAGCTTCATGCGCCCTAGATGTGCCCAAAGTGCACTGTAGGATGAAAGGATCGTACAAAATCCCCAAATCCAGGCGGGGCGTGTATGACCGACTGAGGAGGTTCATCCTCGTCGGATCTGTTGGTGATCCCAACTTGATGCGTGCATCCGGTTTGGATCTGATCAAGTTAGTCACCGACTAGGGCAAGGAAACATATACGTAGATGTTTTCGGTATGTCTTCCATCACACGTACCGTCAATCCAGACTGCGAGACACCAGTTCCCCGAATCAACGTCGCCGGCTTATTCTCGGTCTCCGCATCGTGTTGTTTGGAGGAAGTTAGCGTATCTGTTGCGCCCATCGGATCCGAATGTGAGGTCAAGTAGCCCGAATTCCTCGCACTCGGAAAGGGAGAGCCTTCAAGAGACCTATATAGGAATGAGTAACAGTGATCTCCAAGGCGTAGTTTCATCTTACATGTGGTCGGACCCGGCATACGGACTGGAAGTGTCTTGATACGATAGTATAGACAACGGCGACCCGACGGCCATCATGGCCGTGCTCGTATGTGGATGTTGCGAAAGTGTTGGAAAGAGAAACGAGATGTCCCCGCACAGATGGGACGAGCTCAGACCTACCGAGTAAACCCAACAGCTTGGGGCACCGGTCAGTTGGTTCCAATGGAGCTCTCCGATACGAGGACTCCTCTCGACATCCCCGAGGCACACGGAGCTAGGCGCCTGGGGCGTGACGAGCATGCATCCCGCCCCTCCTTGGCCACTCTTATGTCGCCCAGCGGACCCCGACTATTCCCTTTGAGGCCGCTGGGCGCTTGCGCTCCCAATTCCCAATCGGCGACACTTAAGGTCAGAAAGATCCCCCGGGGCTATCGATTTAGGAATGGGAGATTTGGATTTACGAAAAGCTGCGTGTTGGTAAATTGCCCTGGATTTTAGGGTTGTTCTCTACCGGAAAGACCATAAACGCCAGTTCCTGTGTCGTGTGTAACGCCACCCCAAATGCTTGCTGACGAGAAAGACGACCATATTCTCATCAAATCTTTGTACTTCAAAATAGACCACCCCCTCCCCTTTCGGAAAGCAAAAGAAAGCAATCTCCAGCACCCTGCTTTCACTCGGTCGCGGACCCTGTCGCAGCAGCGCATGGTTCCCGATGGCCCCCGCAGTTCTCTCGTTCTCCTTCAATCACTGTCTGGTAAATCAGGTGATGGGTAGGTTGGGTATGTCCGTTGGGGGTGTTGGTGTAAATGAGGCAGAGCGGAGTTGAAATCCCCATCCCCATTAGATCGTATGTAAAAATTCACGAAAGAAGCAAATGCGCCAATTAAACTTGGGCTTTGGACCGGTCCTTCTCAGCGGAGTTGTATCTGGAAAGTCTTGTCAGCCCAATCCTTGAGCGGCTTGCAACCGCTTAAAGCCGCAGTTTCACGGTTGCTTACCGGAGGAGCTTCTCGATCAGATCCACGTGGGTCATAATCATTCTGCGGCAGCAGTATCGTCGGCAGCCGAGCTGGTCCATGGCATCACTGATAGAAAAAGTCAGAAAATGATGCACAGAAACCAAGACTAACCCACATACCCATCTGGAACACCCTCATCCAGCAGTTGCAGGTAACGCTCCCACAGGTCACCGACGACCTAATCTGTTGTTTAGCGAGGTTTCGAAAGGTAAATAAATTAACCACACACCTTTCCACAGGAGAAGCAGCGCACGGGAATAATCATTGTGTCTGAGAGCGGGGGTGGAGAAAGGAGAATGCAAAGCTGTCGAGATGAAGCCTTTCAAACTTTTCCCGCGACGGCGGTCAATGGAGCATCCATTTTCTGCCATCTATCTCCGCCTTAATTTTCCTCCCGCGAAAAAAAAGATACGATGCCACTTGCCTTGGCCTATCTAACTCGGTCGTCTGCACGAAACTTCGCGCAGGACAGACTCGCTCTGATCCATAACTTATTCACAGCCCGGGGGTCTAACTGTTATACTGAATGTCTACTACAATGACTGGAAATCAGTCGAAAAAGCACCAAAAACGATCTCGGGGTAGTGATGCCGCCGAAAAAGTATCGCGATCCAGTGATGACCGAACTAAACGGCGCCGAACCTCCGAAGTCAACGATGCCCCAATGAAGCAGCTTGCGACCCCGTCCATTGGTGATCCCCCGTCGCAAGATATGGAAAAGCGGAAAGGCTCTGCACCATGGTCGTTCTCGCGCCCAGTCGGTGGTCGCTACAGCAATCTGGATCCCATTTTGACTAAGGATGAAGCGTGAGTGGTGCTCTTGTCTTAGATTTTGACTGTAGGAAGTGTCCATGCTAATATGCTGCCCATCATAGGTATCTGTTCGTGGGACTCGATACGGCCGTCCAAGTTTTCTCCACCTCGACGTCTCGTCTGCTGCGTACCATGCAGATGGAAGCCGGCCAAAGAGTGATTGGGTTTAAAATTTGCCCTATTGACCAAGACACTCTTTTCATTTTCACCTCCGGTTTCGTGACCAAGTGGAACTGGCAAGAAGGCAAACGACACGCCCGCTGGGGGACAATTTCCTCGAACATCGCGGTTGATTTACCAACCATTAAGATCGAAGAGCACTCTGCGACTTACTTCTCTGTCGGAACCCAAAAGGATGGGAAACGAGAAATCTCGGTCAATGCCCTGAATGAGAAAAAGCCGGTGGGCACCACTGTTCTTCGGACCAACGAGAACCTCAATACCATCAAAATTGCATACGAGGGACGAGTCATCTTCGCCAGTGATGGGACTCATCTTTTCTTGGGCACGACAGCCAAGTCCGGACTCGAAAACCCGGAGTCTGCCCAATATAGTTGGAGAGAGGCCACGCTCCCAGCTACCGCCACCAGTCTTGACCTGCGAGAAAGCTCTTCTACGAAAGGCCCAGAGGCGGTTGATCTGGTCGTTGGAGAAAGCGATGGGTCTATCCTGATCTACCAAGACATCTTGAATACCCTTTTTGGTCGGAATACAGACAAGAAATTCTCTCCCAGAAAGATGCACTGGCACCGAGGCCCTGTTAGCACGGTGCGATGGTCTATGGATGGTACGTTTCGATTTACTCTAACCTGAAATTTTTTAAATCTAACCAGAATTCTGCAGGTAACTACATCATTTCGGGTGGCCAAGAATCGGTTTTGGTTCTATGGCAGCTGGATACTGGTAGGAAGCAGTTTCTGCCCCATCTTTCGTCTCCTATTTGCAATGTTATCGTCTCTCCAAGTGGCAATTCCTACGTTGTGAAGTTGGCCGACAATTCAGTCATGGTCATGTCCACGAGAGAAATGCAGCCCTCCGCTACTGTGACCGGACTGCAGCTAGCTTCGGAGGTAGGAGGCCACAGAGATCCTTCCGCGAGAAAGCCATTTGGTTCCGTTGCGGTATTGCACCCGCAGCACCCTGAGCGCCTTCTTGTTGCTGTGCCGGCCTCTCACTCCAGCCAGCAAGGCTCTCAACGATCAAATGCTGCCGTGCTGCAGACATTCGATATCCGTGCCAACAGTCATATTTCTCGCCAAGCCCTAGCACGGACTAATACCACGACATTGAATGTCAGCCCTGAAGGATCTCCGATAGTCGCACCTGATGTTCGGCTCATGGATATCATGCATGATGGAAAGTGGTTAGCTACTGTTGACACATGGACCCCGCACCCTCGGGATATCGAAGCCATTGCCTCAAGTGACTCGACGTCACTGCTATCAGAAGTTTTCCTCAAGTTCTGGAAGTGGAATGCTTCTTCTGATATGTGGGAATTGGTGACAAGGATTGATGCGCCTCATTTCTCTGAGAATCGCTCATCAACCGTTCTCGGCTTGGCGGCTCGTCCTTACTCTCATGAGTTTGCGACACTTGGAGCTGATTCTAACCTCCGCTTTTGGCGCCCAACTACTAGACACCGCAGTGGTCTTAAAACAGATCCCTCGGAGCCACATCTGGATACCTGGAAGTGCCGAAGCTCCGTTGACTTGACGGGGTGGCTCGATAATGCAGATGTTCCATTGAAATCGGCTTCTATCAGCTTCTCCGAGGATGGCTCTGTGTTGGCTGTCTGCTTGCCATCAGATTCGGGCTCCAATGACGGTCTTGTTCTCCTCGTTAATGCCCAGAACTGCACTGTTCATTATCGACGGACGGGAGTTTTCTTCAAGAACCCCTGCTCAGTCAGATTCCTTGGAAGATATCTGATCGTTGCCGCCACAGGATCCGTTTCAGTTTGGGATACCGTCGACGACGTTGTCAAGCCCATTCACCTATCTGACTCTGTCGGTACGGTTGATACTTGGAGCCCTCTCCTTGCAGTAAATTCTAGGACTCAGTCCTTTGCAATTGCTACCCGAGGCACCGACAGTAGCTCGAGCAACGTGCATAAGAAACGTCGCAAACTCCGCTTCCACATCAAAATTTACGACCTCCCTTCTCTTAACTTAGTGTTCCAAGAGAACCTTGGAAGCTGCCCTCTTGGCCTCCTTTCTGATGCATACTCCGGCGACTATATCGTCGTGGATGCTACAGCCAGTGTTCAGCGACTTGGCTGCTTGGACAAGGCATCTCAGAAGAGCCTGCAGCCCCACGAAGTGACCAGCCATCTGAACTCGGGGCTGGCAAGTATCTTCAGCCGCGGACAGGAGAGGATTTCTAACCAGGCTATCGACGAAGACTCCTCGGCTGGTCAAAGCAAGGGTCTGGCCGGTGTGTTCGGCGAAACACCTTCCTTCTCTTTGCCCTCTATTAGTGTTCTCTTCAGGAACGTGGTTCGGACCCTGGGCTCCAGCTAGACTGGATAGATCAAAAAAATTGGAGGGGTGTCGATGTCATGTACATGTGAATTAAAGCGTTTTTGGGACAGTGTATCTATATCTGAATTGAAAGTTCTCATAAAGTCGGAGTTTGAATCAGATATGGCCGGACATTGAGAGCAGAATTGTCATTAGTTTTTATAGTAATCTTGATTGGTATTTTACGTGGCCTTTGACCAAGGTACTCAAGTACAGACTCTCCGGACACTCTTACATTTGCTCCAACGTCAAGACGAGTGATGCTTTTCTTCCGTGAACGTGAGACAGATAATCATCCAATTCGTGATCTTCATCAATGGGGAAAGAAGAATCGTTCTCGTGCTCATCCTTATCCATACCCTCGATTTTGCTGATGATCGTGTAGGGATACTTTGCGGCGATCAGCTGTCTTATTTCTTCAATAGACCGCGTTGCTAGCTTTTCCGCCCAAGGTTTGGTTGAGTTTCCCTGGATTTGGCTGTGTGGGCTGATTTGGAGATAGATGGGGGTATGAAGTAATGTGGTATGTAGCATGGGGTCCATATATTCAAAAGCGTTGCCCGCCTCGTGCTGTGGGTTAGCCGAAAAGGAAGATGGCTCGTTAGCTGCCTGTAGCAAAGAGGGATCAATCTGCATATCACCAATTTCACTGGCGCTGATCGGGGCGCTTGCTAGTGCCTGGGATGCGAGGGTGCTAATTCCATTATTGATCCCATTGCCAAGCATGTTGCTCACTGGAGGGCTATGTGACGTCGCGTTGCGCGAATCCGCGCGTAGCGTAGATCTCTTGCGAGCAGGATCTCGCTTTGTCTGGTCATCACGGAGACGCTTCATCACATCACGACAGAGAACTTCCAAGGCTTTCAACCGGTTTGTATGCTGTGGGTCGGCTATTCCTGGTTCAAGGATTCGCTGAAGTAATGATGAGTTGCGAATCCATTGTGCTTTTAGTTCCTGCCAATGCTCATCCCCTGCTTCAAGCTTGCTTGTGAAATGGTCTGCTTTGAGAGTGTCATAGAAGGCATTTCGAATCTGGCGACTTTCCTCCGGGTTGACACCCAATACATTCTTCGCCTCGGCGATAGTCATTCGCCGCTCCAATGTTCTCATCCGTTTTGTGACGTCCATGCAGACGACGTCGAGGGCCAGAGCTTTTGCGTCGCGTTGGTTGGGTTCGGCATTGAAGACCTGCTGCAGATGAGGAGACTCATGAATCAATTTGTCCTTCGCCGCTTGCCATCTTTCCGGGCCAGCAATGGTTTTCTTGATGAAACCCGCTTCTTCGCATATCCTTTGAAAATGATCTCTGAGTTGACGATACATATTGTTGTCCAGGCTCAGATACTGTTTACTCTCGTCGATCGTGGTTTCTGAAGGAAAGCGAGGAGGCCCAGGCGGATCGGCTGGCAGTCCAGCCCACCCGCGAGTGCGACGCCTACGCTTTCGGGAAGCCCATCGCTCGGCACTCTCTGATTTCAAGTGATCCAGGCGCTCCTTGCGTTTTGCCATGACCTCTGAGGACAAGGCGGGCGATGTCGGGTCTTCGGGTGCAGCGGACAGATCAGATTCGGGGGGAAGTGAATCGACGGCATCAAAGGCTTCATCCTGCTTATAAACTTCCTGCTGCAATGCAAGAAGGCCTTCATCCTCGGGCTGTTCGGCTCCGGCTCCGGCTCCGGCATGGGATTGTGTCTTCATGCCATTGGGGACGCGAAGCAACCAGCGGTTCTTCGCACGTACGCGCATCAACTCACGTTCCTTGATCTCGAAGCCCTCATCGTTGAGGAGGCGAAGCATATCACGTTGGTTCGTGTTCCGTTCCCAAAGCTCCTTGACTCGGGCGACCAACTCGACGTTTTTGTGTGCTGGGTTCTGTTTGGATGGAAATCCCCATCGCTTGAATTGAGTCTGATATGCGCGCTTGCTGGAAACGGATCAAAGTTAGTATTGTATGGCGCGATGGCGCATTTCGGGAGATAAATATGAAATTAGAGCCAAGAGAGCTTACCTTGGTGCAAACTGATAAGCGTTTCGCATATACTCCATTATCTCCTCCAAAGGCTTTTTGTCTTGGATGTAGAGCTGGTAGCAAATGTCTCGCTTGCCAGCCCAGTCGTAGACCATAGCGGCGGACGCGCTCCTCCAAATGGAGGCGCGTCTGGGCTGTAAAGGATCCCAAGTACGTAGAAACGGAGCTGTCTTATCAGACGTTTGTTGTCGCTGCTGTGCGCCGTAGCGTTGACAAAGGCGAAGACGACGGCAGTGCAGAGCGACAAGTCGCGCATTTCTAAAATCACGTGCCATCTCACAACCTCCCTATAGTTCGCTTGCATTTGAGAGCCCTAAAATATGAGATACGCTGCTTTTCTTTCCCGTTTTTACAATGATAATGATATTTCATTGATATCACTCAAGTCACCCAAGGATATTCCAAACGCCGGAGCCTTACACTAAACTGTGTGATCGAAAAAAGCCCTCCTCCGGAAGATTTGCAAAGATGCCCAAACAGAAACAAGATCGCTCAATGATTGGACTATGAACACGGATGGCTCGAGGGAAAAAAAAAAGAAAAGAAATCAGTTCAGCTAGTCTTCCGAAGCTTGCGACGAATCTTGAACACGCGTGTCCGAAGCCATGTCATGAAGAGCATCCAGGTACTTTTCGATTGTGATTTCCACGAAGTCGGCGGCTGCTGATCACGCACTTCCGGCCGCTTCGGTTCTTTCGATGATGAAGCTTTCTCTGAGAGTCTCTCGTTTGGTTGGACAGCCGGGGACTCCGGGGACTCCGGGGACTCCGGGCCATCTGACTGCTTGCGCTTTACGCGACGCCAGGCTGGCTTCTCTTCGGCTTTGTTCTGCTGTTTTTCAAGTCGACGAGCCTTGGCGGCTTCCTTCTCTTCAAATGCCTGCCGAGCAGCTTGGATGGTAGCTGCTCGGGATACTGGGTCTGTGCTGGTCCGGGTGCGAGAGCGGAAAACGAAGTCAAGAGAGGACCGAGAGACGGGGGAAGCGGTATCCAAAGTACTTCCATTATCACGAGAATAACCAAAGGACGGCCGGCCGGCCACGTTGGTTTGCGATAGGTTCGGGATTCCCTGGATCAAAACGTCGCTTTCGATCTGCAAGGAGAGCCGCGGAACTGGTCCCGAGGCAGCGCGAGTGGGCCGGTGTGTTTCCAGGTTCGCCAGCGGTCGTGATTCAACTTCCGGGCTTTCATTCTCTTGTTCGCTCTCATTCCCAGAGGTTTGATATGATTGACTCAGTGGCGGTGTGTATGCGCGGGGCGTTGGGCGCAAAGGATGCACATATTGTGACCCCCGTCTACTGCCACTCGAGGTAGTCCCTGTCGAAAATTGGGATGTCCCACTCGTGGACCGATTATGAAGGCCGGAGGGTGTTCTGCGGAAGGCTACCCCGGTCAGCGAGTCGCTGCGACGCCGATCCCGATCAAGGTTCATGTATATTCCCAGTCCCTCCTGCTCGGTTGATGAGCGAGACAGATCAATGGATGTTGACGGCGCCTCATCACGCGACATCTTCCGGAGCATCGGCTTGATATGTACTTTGGGCTTCACAGGTTTGCTCTTCTGCGAGCGAGGGCCGTGGCCATCAGGAGATTCAGCCGGCTCCGTGGGAGACATCAATTGAGTGGATTCGACAGCCCATGATGGGTCACCCGAGGTTATATTCGGTGTGGTCTTCGAGCGGACCGGGGCGCGTCTATACTCTGAGAGATGCGTGGGCTCAGACAATTCTGGGAACAGAGACGGCTCGTGTAAGGCATCCACATCTAGATGTGAAAGGCCCGGTCCGGATTTCTCGGAAGTCCATCGGCCCTCCGTGCCCGCTTGAGAAGCGGAACGGGTATCCTTTTAGGGCGTAACAAAGACGTGGAGTCACTAGATATGCGACCCTGAGAGACTTGGAAGACCGGCTCCCGGGCATGGTGAATGTCGGTGCGCGCCATGTTAATGGCCTCCAAACTCGAATCCAAATCTCAGCACCGAGTCGCAGCTCGCATGGTTGTCGTTGATGGCGGTACCGGGTGAGAAAGGTAAGGGTCACACGGAGGAGAAGGCGAGAAGGTTCGAAAGGCTGTAGATAGCGCCGAGGTGAAAGCGGGCGGAGTGGGGAGATGGTAAGCGGGGAGGGGGGAGAAAGAATCATGCAGCTGAGGACAGGTGACGGCGCATGATAAGCCTAAGCATAAGTACTACGGCGAATATAAGACAATCTGTTGGGCGATTGGATTGAGAGGAAAAAAGAATGTAAAATGGAAAGACTGAGAAAAGGGAGCGGTGAAGCCGAAGCCGAAGACGGGGAACGGGGGAAATGGGGGAACGCGGCCGCATGCGGATGCGGATGCAAAGTCAGCCCTTTTTTTCTCCTTTTCAATTCCGGGACTTTGGCTTGACTTGGACTCTCTTTTATTTCCCTAGTCTCCGTCCTGGTTGCAATGTATCTCTCCTCTTCTCTAAGCTTGTTCGATCTAGATACCGATACCCAGGTATCGTCGCCTCCCCCCTACTTACCCCGGTCATCGTGAAACAGTGACTTTTGAACCAACAGGGGAACAGCGTCATACGACCAGTTTTCAACGATGCCAGGCATCTATATGTCCTATCCTCATGCATCGGGCTGAATATGCCAACTCAGGTGCCAAGAGCCAAGCCACGCAGCGGAGCCGATCAGACGGCCAAGCGTAATGGCTGTCACCCCACCATAGTGAAAGAAACTCTTCCTTTTTCTCCTCCTAATTCTCGTAACCATGGGTCTCTCCGTTCATCTGTCTCTTTGTCTTCTCCTTCTCCTTGCGATCTCCGACCAAGCCTATGGCTTCGGCGCAGGGAACATCGCGTCCTTGTCTCGTATTGAAGGCCAGAACTGGCGCCATGGAGATATCGAGGATACCCTTCTGTCGCTTTTCCTGGCTCGCGTAGCCGGTGGTCGTAAGTTCGGGAAACTCGATGTCAAGCGTGTATACTTTGGAAATTGGCTTCGTGACTACAGTCAAGCTGTTGACGTGGGCACTGTGAAGTATGTCAGTGCGGAGGCTATTCGCATTCTGATATGGGTCTTAGGGTTTATGAGCTTTGGGTATAGTTTTGTCTTCTCCTCGTTCCTACTTTAGGTCTTCTGTTACTTTTCTCTTTTTGCACTCTCATTTTCAAAACGTGCAGAAATCTAATCTTATCTCGGATTGATATAGATACGGAACCCATGAGTTTGAGGTTACCACCGAGCGCCTTGGTTGTTACCAGCCTACCGAGCATATTGACAACCCTAAGGGCTATGCCGAGGGTGAAGATGCACGCTCCTATGACCGTCGTCTCCGTGGACCCGTGGATGAAGAGCGGGAGCTGTCGATCGATCCACGGACTGGTCTGAAAGCCTACATCGCTTCCGAAGACATGGACATTGATACCTCCGCCGCTTTGATCCGTCGAGTCCTCGGCCAGTCCATCCAACGCGGTCGTCGCTATGCACAGTCTGGAAATAATGATGATCTGTACGAGGCCCTTCGCTTGTTGGGCACCGGTCTGCACTGTCTCGAGGATTACGCTGCTCATTCGAACTATACCGAGCTCGCTCTCATTGAGATGGGCGAAACTGACGTGTTCCCTCACGTTGGACGCAACGCCATGCTGGAATTATCGGGAGCTCAGGATTACGTTTATCCTATTGTAACTGGCACGTTTGGTGGTGTTGACTTTTTCCACTCGGTGCTCGGTGAGCTTTCCGACAAGACCAAGCAGTCCGAGCTACAGTCCTTGGAAGGTGTCATCCAAGAGTCGGAGAGTGATAGCCCTTCTGGAAGTCTTCTTCAAGATCTTCTTCATAAGATCCCTAGTGGCCTGCTCGGGGACAGTGACCAAGCTGGGCAGATGGATGATTTCAAGGCCAAGGCCAATGATGCACGCCAGAACAACCAGGAAATATCTCCTCACGAGCCGGAAGAGTGGACTCGCTACTTGGACAATGTCCAGAAGCAGATCTATCCCATCCTAGAGTGGCACGACCAGCTCTTGAAGGCGATTAATGAAGCCATCGAGAAAATTCCGGTACTGCCCGAGCTGATCGAGCAGGTTCAAGACCAGATCACTGTCTTTGTCTTCTCCATCCTTGCTCCATATGTACTCCCCATCATTAAACAGGTCAAGGCTGAACTGGAAACCGGTTCTTCGGAGGTGATTCAGAGCAGTCGGGAACAGCAGCATATCGTCTTCAATGACGACTCTTCGTCGGACCCCACCCACTCCATGCTTTCCAAGGATCACTTCTCTAATGTCCTTAATGAGCCTGCTGGACGAATCGCCTCTCAGTGTGTCAAATGGGCTGTACCACAATTGATGGAGTTGTGGGATAACGAAGAGATCGACATCAACCGCACTTTGAACCGAATCATCACTGGTATCTTCCATCACCCTGCTCAGAGAGAGCATGGAGAAGATGGTGCGACCGACATTCGGCACACCATGTTTTCTACAGTGGAGCAGTGGTGGAGTGAGAAGAGTGATGAAGAGTGTGAGTCTCTTCGCGAGCAATTGAGCCGCGACGGCGTTCTCGAGGGTAGAAATCACAAAGAGGGTGTAGAGGATTGCGGACACGGTTGTGGCAAGCCAATCGCTTTGCCCAAGGGCCACAATGCCAGTGGGGTAAACTACCAGCCTGATGACTCCGGTCTCCAAAAGATCGCTTCCGAGGCCCTGGGAGACGGTGCCTTGGGTGGTCTTGTTGGTGGCCTCATCAGTGGCGTAGGCTCTATGGTCCTCAATAATGGTGGTTCCGATGAAGACGGGACCAGTGAGCACCGACATCGTCCCAATCAGAAACACAAGGAGTACCACGAGACTGAATTTTACGGTGGTGTCGCCCCTCCTCAACAGGGCGGTTACCAGTATCAAAGTGAAACAGCATACTACAGTGACCAACCTGCGCCTCGAGACGATTATCCTGGCGGTGTCTTCCCTCGCACCGAGTATGCTCCCAACCTTTCCATGCAGGGTTCCCATCGCGAGGAGTATCAGCAATACCGACAGGAGGAGAACGGAGGCTACTATCGACAAGAGAGACGAGAGACTTATGAATCTGGTCAGACTGAGTATCAGCGAACCGAGACTCGTTACGAGTATGGGTCTCCCCAGCCGGCCTTTGAGACTGTGCAGCAGGGTTCCTACGGCCGTGAAGGATTTGAGCAGTGAGTAATAATATCTCCATCGCTTGCTCATCAAGACTAACCACAATCCTTTCAAAGAGGATACCAAGCAAGTTACGGCGGCCCACCCCGCGAGGCCTTTGGCGAGTTTGAGCAGCCGAGATACCGGCCCCCGGGAGAAATCTTTCAGGAGCAGAGTTATGCTCAGCGATTTGAGGGTGGCGGTGGTGAGGAGTATGGAGAACGCCCCCAGCATCATCCCCATCACCAGCGACGCTCCAGCAATGGTTCAGGCTCCAGAAGTGATGACGAGCGTGAGCGACACCGTCACCGTCATCATCGGCACCACCATCGGTCAGGATCAGAGGATTCGGACTAAATTATTACTCTCTGTTCTTCTGTTTGATATACAGAAGCACGAGCTCTACTTTTTGACTTGTTGGTGGTAGACCAGTACTATGTAGATTGCACACCTTGAAACAATAAGTTTACCTCAGACCGTCGATACATCGATATCCCTCCACAATCGAGGTATTCAAGCTGTCTTTCAAAAGACAGCGTTGAGCATCAGAAGTGTTAGGGTTGAAGAATAGTCACCACCTATGAACGTAGATATCTAGGCATAGTTACCGTCAAAATAATATTACAATGCTATTGTATAATCGGGTTTTGGTATCAAGGACTACCATTCCTTGACCTCACCCGGCGCTGGCTGCTGGGTTCGAACAACCTTGTCTGGGTTGAGCAAACAAAGCGGATCAAACGCCAATTTCAACTGGGTTCACGTTAGCTTTGCTGGATGAATAAATACAAGCATTTGACTTACCCGACGCATGGCATCAACTGTAGATTCACCCAGCTCATGGGCAAGATAATCCCGCTTGACAAGTCCAACACCGTGCTCACCGGTCACCGTGCCTTCCATTTCCACGGCTCGCTTGACCATGCGGTGGACAACACCCTCAGCTACCTTCTTTTCGCCGTCGTTAAACAGGATGATAGCTAGTTTTGGTTAGAGAAAGACCTCGTATTTCAAGCGTGAGTAGAACTTACCATGGAAGTTACCATCACCAACGTGACCGCAGATTCCAGCGAGCAGGCCGCTCTTAGTCATATCCTCCTTGGTGGCTTCGATAATGTCAGGCAGTTTGCTCATTGGTACCGCTACGTCGGTGGTCCAAACGTGATCGGAGGGGCTTCTACGCATGGCCATCACACTCCACAGGGCCTGCTTCCGCGCACTCCACAATTCCTGAATTTCCTCCTCGCCCCGAGCAAACTCAAAGGACTTGCCTGAGGCGTTCTTGACGAGCTTTTGCACCATGCCAATCTGCTCCTTAACGGCCGCGGGCGTCCCGGTGAATTTGAAGAAGATTGTGGGGGACTCCTTCCATTGGCGACTCGTGCTCTCACTGGCATTGATGCACTTCATCTGAACATCATCGAGGATCTCGACTCCGGCGACAGGGATCCCTGCCTTCACCACCTGTGTGACACAATGAGCGGCATTATGAATAGTAGGGAAGCTGGCCACCGCCACGCTTTGGCTCTGAGGCCGCACGGTGAGCTTCAGCGTCGCTTCAGTCACAAGACCAAGAGTACCCTCACTGCCAATGAAGAGCTTGTTGAGGTCATATCCTGCACTGGACTTGCGCGGACGCTGTCGGGTCCGAATGATCGTTCCATCGGCAAGGACTACGGTCAACGACAGAACCCACTCACGCATTGTACCATAGCGGTAAGCGTTGGTTCCCGAGCAGCCGGTGCCCACCATGCCACCAATCATAGCCCCAGGACCCGGGTCCGGGGGAAAGAAAAGGCCATCCTTGGCCAGCTCCTCATTCAAGTCTTCCCAGCCCACGGCCGGCTGAACAACCACGTCCAAATCATCCTTGTGAAGACTCAAGACCTGGTCCATGCGACGGAAGTCAATGCACACGCCACCACGCGTGGAGGCGAAGTGACCCTCCAAGCTTGTGCCACCAGAGTACGGGGTAACCGGGATCACTCGCTGGTGACAGATCTTCATGATACAGGAAACCTCCTCGGTAGTCGAAGGGTAGAGAATCAGGAATGGCTTCTCGTCATCTTTGCGGGCATAGGACGACCAGTCAGATCCGGAGTGCATTTCCACATCGCCCGGCGAGGTGGAAACATTCTCTTTGCCCAGGATCTCGACAAAGTCGGTCCACGCGGCCTGCAAGTTGGACGGGGACACATTGTGCCTTGGGGACTCGAGATCTGCCAGGGGGGTTGTCGAAGTCTTAGGAAGAGAGGCAGGCTTGAGGGAGCCTAGGTAGTATGCGCCGGTTGAGAAAAAGACCAAAGCTAGCGACGAGTCAGCGATCGGCATTAAGGGAATGAGCATGCGACACACCAAACATTAAGGCGGCATAACGACCACCTGCTGACTGAGGCTGGTACTGGGCGAACCGCTCCTGTTCGGCGCGCTCGCGCTTGAGTCGTTGCTGGGTGCTCTCGTAGAGCTGGCTCTTGAATGACGCCTGTTTCTCACTTGCTAGGCACCGGGCAGAAGCGCCGAGCAGCCTCTGCTGCGACAGAGCAGAAACTGGTCGAGCTCGGATATTGCGTAAAGCTCGAAGAGCGGGCGTGGGTGGGCGAACCATGGTGAGTTGTGAAGAAGCGCAAAGTACAGAAGAAGAGGTTCCGCAAAGTAAGTTTACCTCCGCACGGGTCTTGGCGGTCCAGACCGACGGCCACCCGGCCGAGTCGTCATTCCCAGTTCACCTCGAGGCAGTCCAAAGGAGTCGAAACTATGTTTATACCAGTAGCCGGGCTTATCCATATATTAAAAATTTTGGTATGGACCTAGGTCGTTCTGTATTGCAATTGAAATCACTAGGTATAGTTCATGATTACCTCTGAGGTAGTTTAGTATATATATTGTTATGACTTACATAGGATCTCGGTGAACACTTAGCATAAGAAAGACCCATTCTAGAATACTCACATGGATCCTTGATGTATGTTTATCCACCGTCACGGGTCAGCAGGACCAAAGTGGCGTCGTGGTGACATCTAACATAGGCAAAAGTCGGGTAAAAGACCGCCGCGGTTAAAATCCCAATTGGATCCACTGAGGGAAAGTCGCCCGAACGTGGGCGGAATGACTGCGGGGAGCTCTGCTCTCGGTTGATTTCTCATATTTTCCCGGCCATTTATCAAAGCTCTCATCTTTTTTTCATTCTGAATCTTCCTTCCTCATTCTCAAATTCTTTCATATATCTAACATGGCATCCGCAACAGTCCAGGTAGGGCGAGCTTCACTGTGTTGACCCCCAGGAAATTGCCGCTAACGTGGCGGTGTATAGAATCTCTCCTTCGTCCTGCAGGGCATCCACCAAGTCAAGTTCGAAGACCGCCCCATTCCCGAGCTGAAGAGCCCTCATGATGTGCTCATCAATGTCAAGTATACCGGAATTTGCGGCAGCGATGTAAGTCGCCCCAGCTCAATGCGGGGGAAACCAAGGGAAGCTGACCGGGTCTCTTGTGACAGGTGCACTACTGGGAACACGGTTCAATTGGTTCCTTCGTCGTTAAGGACCCTATGGTGCTGGGACATGAGTCGGCGGGAGTTATCAGCAAGGTCGGATCGGCAGTCACCTCGTTGAAGGTGGGCGACCGGGTCGCCATGGAGCCCGGCATTGCTTGTCGTCGATGCGAGCCCTGCAAGGGTGGCAAGTACAACTTATGTGATAACATGGCCTTTGCTGCGACCCCGCCCTATGACGGTACACTGGCCAAATACTATGTCCTTCCGGAGGACTTCTGCTACAAGCTCCCCGAGCAGCTCTCGCTGCAAGAGGGTGCCCTGATGGAGCCCCTCAGTGTCGCCGTTCACATTGTGCGACAGGCACAGGTCACTCCCGGTCAGTCAGTTGTCGTTTTTGGTGCCGGGCCTGTGGGCCTCCTGTGCTGTGCGGTAGCAACTGCGTTTGGTGCCTCCAAGGTGATCGTGGTGGATATCCAGCAGCCTCGCCTGGACTTTGCCAAGGACTATGCAGTGACCGGCACCTTCATGCCTGGCAGGGTGTCGGCGACTGAGAACGCCGACCGACTGAGGCAGGAGAATGAACTGGGTGCTGGTGCCGATGTTGCGATTGACGCTTCTGGTGCCGAGCCCTCCGTCCACACGGGAATTCACGTCCTGCGTAACGGTGGTACATACGTGCAGGGTGGCATGGGCCGTAGTGAGATGAATTTCCCAATTATGGCTGCCTGCTCCAAGGAGCTGAACTTCAAAGGCAGCTTCCGCTACGGCAGCGGAGATTACAAGTTGGCGGTCCAGCTGGTTTCGGCCGGAAAGGTGGATGTTAAGCGACTCATCACCGGCACCGTGAAATTCGAGGAGGCGGAGCAGGCATTCAAGGAAGTCAAGGCTGGAAAGGGCATCAAGACGCTAATTGCCGGTATCGACGCGTAAAGCCCAGGTCAATGTCTAATGAAAATGATGGGTGTTCAAGTGTTTAATTGAATGAGAAATGGAGTTCAAAAAGAAAAACCTGAGAGACATTGTCCAATTAATTATGCGTTTTGATCCACAAAAAGATTCAAGTGACATGGTTCAAGTTCCCTCGGGATGATCTAGCCCGAGAAGAATGCAAATAAGGAGTATCTGTATGTAGAACAATGATGGGTAATAGAACGAACGTCAGAAGGGGTATCGTGCACGGCATTGAACGAAAGAAAAACCAAAAACCAAACGCAGGTTGAACGTCACCGAGACATCTAGCAACAGCCCTTGTTTGTCCGAGACTGAGTGCCACTCAGGCGAAACACGTCTTCCCATTCCCTCATGCCACCCTTCCAGCCCTGTCCACCCTTCCCGTGTCTCCGCGAGCTTCGGTGAAAGGGAAGAGCATTTTCATCCAGCGTGGCGCGACTTCTGATGCTTGAAGCTTCACTGGTTCCGTGATAGAGACCACCATCGCCGTACTGAATGCCGCTCTGTGGGTCATCGGGGTCAATCTCCCCTAGCTCAATTTTGGTCAGGATAATACGGGCCAACCGCTGGAAGACTTCCTCCACGCCTTCACCGGTGAGAGCCGAGATTTCGACGGCTACCGGAATATTCGACTGGGCCGCCCAGCGAGACGTATCCTCCCGACTGACCTCTCGACCCTCTGCAGATGTGGCTGTCATCCTAGTCCCTGAACCTAGGTAGCTGGCTGAGCGCATGGAGCCGGTGACATCGAATGGGAGGGACGACTGTTTGCTCGACGTGCTCGATGGTGTCGGTGGAGGCCGCCCTGCATCGTCGGAGTCGGCAGTCGCATCAGCCAAATCGGCTTTATTTCCGGCCAGGAGAACGGTCAGGTTGGGTGAGGCCAGCGCTCGTGCGTCCATGAGGAAGGTAGGAAGGGCGGCGAAGGAAGTGTAGGAGGAGACATCATAAATGAGAATGGCCCCTGCCGCTCCACGATAATAGGAACGGGAAACGGATCGGAATCGCTCGGTGCCTGCAGTGTCCCAGAGCTGCAACTTGATGCGTCTTCGCCTCGAGCCGGTACCTAGCTTAACGATACGTGAGGCGAACTCGACTCCGATGGTCTGCGAAGATAGGACTCGCCCTGATGAAGGTTAAAAACAGACGGTAATCAACGGGGGGTGTGGTCTTACACTCGTTCTTCACAAACCGGTGTAGCACGCAGGATCTATTGGGCAAACAGTCAGCCAGGAGACTTCCGAAGCACCGAGACTTGTAAAACTTACTTGCCAGCGGCACTGGGGCCTAGAAGAATGATCTTGGCCAGGTAATCGTACATGCTCCCCAACTCCTAAGGATAAGGACGAGTTAACCAGGCGCGGGGGCAACCGGGGATAGAAAAGTGGCCTACCTGATCTTGGTCAGGAACCGAGGAGATATCGGACGTGTTGGAAAGACCTCGCGGGCGCGCCATAGCGCGCAGAGGTAAATGGCGGAAATGTGGGAGAAGAGGAGATCGAGTAGCGCCAAAGGTCCTCGACCAACTTGTCTCCGACCGCCGAGGATCATCCAAATTATCTGCACATGTTTCCTCCCCCACACTTATTCTCCTGATTCTGGAATATCACAGAGGCGACCAAGTCGGAGTCATCCACCTGGGACTCGGCTACACGGGTCTTACAGTGACACTGTACGACAAGTACTACAGCACTAGAATACCATGTGTGGCTTAATCAGGTCTAAGCCATCGAATAAGACCGTGAATCATGAGGCTGTGTTCCATTACCCCAAGGCAAATAGTCTGACAATCTACTGTTCATAGAACTTTAGCGGAAGAAGTTGATGGCTGATGAGATGAGGGGCCGATCACACAGGGCGGACTTGGCATGTAATGAAACGAGATAAAATGAGATGAGATGAAGTCATACTGCCCAGGACCCTGCATCCTGCATCCTGCATCCTGTATCAACTAGTTCTCTGATTCGAGGGACATTGCGGGTTGATCCCCCCGCATGGACCATACCATGACATAAATCTTCTAGAAAGGTGAAAGAGGCTTTCGTATTCGGACCCTGAAAGGAGGCTGTGCGCTCCGCTCTCAATTTGGGGCGGAACTAAGCCTCTCCAAGAGGCGCGAGGGTAACCTCTTTCTCTTTTCTTACTTGGCTCCCCCTTCTTTGCTTTTTTTCCTTTTCCTTTTCCTTCCTGCATGCTCGGTTTCCATACACATCATGAAGTTCGCCCGGGCAACAGCACTACTCTTACTCGGCTCCACAGGGGTCTCCTCTCTCACTATCCCTCAGCCCGAGTCCGAATCATCCGCACTTGCTGAACGAGATGACGCGCTTGTTTATGGTGAATTCCTAGACCTCGAAAAGCGACGAGGAGGAGGAGGTGGTGGAGGAGGGCGCAGTGGAGGATCCTCGTCTTCTTCTTCTTCTTCCTCTTCTTCTGGGGGATCTTCGGGAGGTCGTTCTGGTTCGTCTAGCAGCAGCTCAAGTGGATCCAGTCGCGGAGGAAGCTCATCCAGCTCAGGCAATTCAGGCAGTTCCGGCAGCTCCGGCAGCTCTGGCAGCTCTCGCAGTGGCTCCACCAGTTCTTCCAGCAACCGCGGAGGGTCAAGCAGCAGCGGATCAGGCACTCGAGCCTCTTACGGCGGTGGAAGGTATGGTTCAAGTTCAATTTCAAGTTCAAATTCACGTTCAACCCACACTACCCACAATACTCACAATACCTACGATTCCTATGATTCCTACGGTGGTTATTACCATTATTCCCGTTGGCCTTAAATCGTGACAGGATTCACCTACATATCCGGGGCTGAAAGAACCGTCAAGACACTGCAATATCCAAAGACAAAGACTAAGATACATGGCAGATACTATGCCGGCGGTGCGCGTACACCCTATACTGCTGGCGCCAGGTCTCCGGGGAGGATCACTCCATACCTCTTGCCAGTTGCGGCATTGGCCTTCTTCCCAGGTATCTGGCTGTACAGTGCCTATGCTTACCCTTACGGCCATCCGTACTACTACGAGAACGAGCAAAACCACCACAACGAATCCATGCCGGTGGTCTGTGTGTGCGAAGAGTACCATGAGTGTGGCTGTGATGACAACAACAACAGCACCTATTATCAATCCCTATTCAATGGGACCCAGCCCAAAAACACCACTGTCACCCGCGTGGTCGATGTGAACGGCACCGAAAAGATTTATATCAACGGCACACTAGCCAACGGCACCACCGCTGCCGACAGTTCCTCATCGGGGGCTTCAGCCTCAGTACAGACTTTGCTGCATGCTAGTGGGTACTGGGTCACTGCGGCCGTGGTTGCTACCGCCGCGTGGGTAGTTTAATTCCGCCTACTTTTACGATTACGGGTTAATTCCCCTTGATGCGACATGGACATTGATATGAGCTGGACGACTTGCACTTGCTTCTTTGATAAACTTGGAGATGGCTGCGTGTGATTTTCAGATACCCTTTCAAAGCCGGTAATAAGATTGCTCAACTCATTTTGGATATAACGATGGTTCATGTTATAGTTTCAAGGCGGAGTAATCTCATCTCGCATGCCTCGCATTCCGCCCGTCGCGCGGTTACGTCGTCCGCGTCCCACTAGACCTGTTATGGATAAGCGCGCTCCCTTAAGATTGCATCTTCATTTCCTCAACATCTTTCCTTTTTCACTGATTCCAGTGCCATTCGTTTTTGATCCTTGACACGGGCTGTCGCCTTCTTTTTTACCAGCTCCATTCATTCTTTTACACACGATCTCCAGACTCTTGTCTATCCCGAATCTCATCTACACCAACACAAACATAACACTGTCAACATGCACTTCACCAAGGCTTTCATTCTCCTCGCTTCGGCTCTGGCCCGCGTCGCGTTCGCTGCTGAGGCTGCGGCTGTGACCAAGACTGTCACTCTGGTGCCCTCCGGATATACTCCTTCGAGCTCGACTCCGATTCCGAACTCAACTCCCTCTTCGTCGGCTTCTACCCCTATGCGCACCAGCACTTCCTATTCGAGCTCGACCTTCAGCGTCACTCCTAGCTCTTCCACTCCGCTGGTCAAGGCTTCCAGCACTCCCCTCGTAGTTGACTCCGCCACTCAGACCGCGGCTACTGCTATAGTCACTGCCCCGGCTTCATCGGCTTCATCTACCGCCGCCACTGGTGCCGCCTCCTCGCTCCAGCTCCCTGGTGCCGTCGCGGCTGGTGCCATGGCTCTCGCTGGCTTCATCCTGGTTTAAACAGCCCAGGTTGCATCGATTGGCTTGTTTGTGCACACATGCGCAAGGATCCTGCGGATCCCTCGACAGCCCTGGCGCTGTCGGACCATGCCATCTTGACTGATGGTTACCCCCTACATTTCTTTCATGTGCTTTTGAGCCCGGGATGCTTTTTGCTCCCCAAGGCCGCATTATTCAATTCTTATACATCCTTTCGATCTGCCTTTTTGTTTCTTCTTTTTTTATTGTTATTATCTACTCTTCGACGATCATGGTTGTTGTGATGTGTTCTCCGACTTTCTTGATGCCTATACCCTTTTCCTTCTCTTCTCTCCAACCCATTTTACGACATCTAAGATTTTTGCCTTTTAATTTTGTTCATATGTCCTTGGTTGATCCTGGAATCAACTGAATTAATACTGACATGGATGCGTGCACTCCATGTTCTGGCTTGGATGTCATTTGCTAGTTTTGGTGGACGCTTGTAGGATTAACGTGCTGTATTCTTGGCCGCATTTGATTGAAATGATTTGTCCCTTCGGGCTTCTTAAAAATGTTTAATGGAATAGCCTATAAAAACTACGTATACCTCTTAGATCACCTCCTTTTGAGATAGTTAAACCTTGTCAATCGCCCAGGTGGGTCAGACATCTTCTACCTGTGAAGATTGGTAGCGTAAGAATTTCAGGGGAGAGGACTAAAGATGGCCTATCTACTACAGGGATCCCAACAAAAACCGGAGCCCAGCAAATAACTATATCATACAAAAAGCGGGGACCGCATCTACTCCGCCTTGAATGTGGCCTCGTATCTGCAAGGAAGGTCAGCAATTCAGTCGAACTTTCGTTTGAGCAGGGTGAAGGTAAAACATACCTCTTGCCACGGAACGCCCACAGACCCCAGTTTCCACATGAAACATCATGCGGGTCCAAGTCGTTCAAATCCCAGCGCAGACTGCGGAAGATGTTCTCACCGGGCTCGAGAAGAAGGTCAAATTCACCCGCACACTTCTCGTGAACCCAGTTGATATCACGTTCCATATCCCACTGAGTGTATCCAGTACAGAGAACGGGGACTTTAGTCTCCAAGAGCTGAGGAAGAGTCTCCGTCCACTCGTGCGAGCTGGCGGGGTGACCCAGACCGGGGTGGAAGAGCATGAAGACATCCAGGTAAGGGTCAAAGGGCTGGAAGTACTGGGCTTTGTACATGGTGTGGAAATAGTCAACGTAGGTGGTAATCTTCATCTGACCGCCCAGGCGGTCCTCGACGATACCGCCGAATGGGTTCTCGGGGGTGCGCTCGGGCAGCGGGAACTCGGAGTCTCGGTTGGCCATGCTTTCAGGGCCGATGAAGATAATGTGCAGAAGAGCTTGTGGGAACATGTAGGAGAGCTGCATCCAGACATCACGGGGCAGTGAGGATTCCGCGCGTGCGCCCAGAATGAAGATGCGGACTGGAGGGGCCTTCAGACGCAGACCCTTGATATCGATATCTTCACCGGTCTTGGGAGGATGCAGGGAGTACCGCAGCGCTATAACAAAACGAGAGAATATTAGTCATTTGATCATGCCAGACGTAACCACGAAGGCATCAATTGTCCAAGACCCAAGCTCAACATACCGCTCAAACTCTTCAATCCCTCGCCTGTCAAACGGTTCTTGCCACGGACACTGTACGGGCTCAACTCATGCAAGACACTCGCAATGGTCTGCGGGTAGGTGAGCATGCGGGTGACCTGGCGCATGGAACGATCGGAGTTGATAGCATCAAACTCGCGAGTGTACATGTAGGTATCCCAATTGGTCATGTTGATAACGAAGTTGTCGTCCTGAACACCCGGATACGAGAATTCAGGGAAGTGTCGGCCGGAGTGCAAGTCATGGTCATCCTCGTTGATCTGCTGGATGGTCTCGCAGACCTCGAGGTGAGCCTCAAAGTCATCCATCCAGTGGCCCTCAGAGCAGTAGATCGGGACACCACAATCGGGACACTCAAAGTGTGAATGGGCCGGCGGCTGACTGGTCTCGTCGGATGTCTTTCGCGCTTCCGGGTCGTGGGGCGATACGGGGGCGCGGGTCTGCTGATGACTCGGATGAGGGCAGAATGCATTCTGCTTAATGAAAGCAGCACGTTGGCGAATTGCAGGCGAAGGCGAGTTCGAGAAGGAGTGGAACAGGTTGTCGGGTTTCAAAAGAGCGCGCGTATCGACGGAGGGACCGGCCGACGTGGAGGCGGCTCTCTGCGCAAATGGTGCAGGCGATGCCAATTTTGCGGGAGAATTTTCGATAACATTCTTTCCCTGCTCGATTGTAGTCTTTCCCAGGGAGCGATTGTTGCCCTCCGAGCCAAAGCTGCGGATCCACGACGGAGACACAGCAGACCTCCGTCGCGAATTAGCCAGGCTCTGGAGGCGACCTGGAGTACCGGACACCCGGACACCCTTTTGGAGTACACTCAGGCACTGGACACAGGTGTATCCTCCTGCCATTATGTAAGTTCGTGGTGATGTGAGATGGGGTGTGGTCGGTTTGGTCGATTTTCCTTCAAGTATCCGTGCACGTGACTGTGGAGCTATATGGTACGATTTACTTCAGGAATCGGAAAATAAAAATGTCTTCTGGTGATGATACATTTCGGATATAAACAAGTGCTCGTGCTTTACCGTGTATTATAGAGCACTAAAATGCCTTAAACAAGCAAAGTTACAGCCTGCAAAAAGGCCCATGCTTGGGCCCGAAAGTCTCAAAATCATGCCACTCCCTTCACTTAACTAGAAGATATCTTCCGAAAGACTCCAATCCTGGGCATCTCTGCTGGCCCAGTATTTGCCGTTGTGAGACCAGTAGTCCTCGCCGGTGATAGGGCAGGTAGCACGGGCGAACCATTGGGGGTTGTAAATCTCTCCGTTAGTTTCGCGTTCTCGGCGCTTGGAACGTTGCTTCTCTTCGACGCGGTGCTTCTCATCGGCAGCAAGATCATATTCGCCATCTTCCATAGCACGCTGGTCGGGACGCAGTCTGGTGTCAGTCGGAGGTAGCCAATCCTTCAAGCTTTCGGGAAGAGCGTTCAAGGTAATAACGAAGGGAGTGAGGTTGAAAGGTACGCCCGTGGGACGAGCATGGGCCTGCCATACCAGAAGCGTCTTTGCTGACTCGGGGTCCTGGCCAGAGACTGGTGCCTCAAAGCCGGGTGTGTGGCGAGCATAAATCTTGTCGTTCCAGCGACCGCCGATACTCCATTTGGGAGACCCATCTTTGTCAACCACCTTACCGCTGACCTGGTAGGCCGACGATGCTTTCCACCCACGGGGCTTGAAGTCAAGGTAGCAGACCTCTCCTGTGGTCCAGTTCTTGATCTCCATAAGACCATAGTTGTCCACGGTGGGGTTACCTGTAATAATGCCAATCACGGAGGATGTCACCTTCTTCCAAGTGTACAGCTCCTCCCCACCGGTAATAGGACGCAGCTTGAGGAACCATGTGCCGAGCAGGTTGATATCAAAGGATTTGCCGTAGAACTTGGATTTAAGGGAGGATTCACCCCAGTAATCCCATTTAGGCGACTCGGCCCATGCAGCGCCAATTGGAGGGTGGTGGCTGACCTGTTCCACGAAGAATCGGTAGCCCTTATCTGGCCGCACGTACTCGAAAGTTTCACCGAGCAGAGGATTGAATGGCTTTGCCACACGGCCGATAGTCGAAGCATATTCACTTGCAGCATACGAAGCCACATAAACCAGACGTTCCATTGAATCGGTTCGATCAGCAGCGATATCAAGAAGGTCAGTATACTCCAAGTCTTCAGCAACTCGCTGAAGTAATGAGGTCGGCTCGTTGAAAGAGACTGGCAGGGTCATCTTGGTCATGTCCTTGCCAATCATGGATTTCAAAATACCCTGAAAAGTTTAGCAAAATTCAGGCCACGCCAGACGCAAGGAAAGAAAATACTTACCCAAAGAGAGATTTTGGGCCGGTTGTCATTGTCCATCTTCAGTTTCGTTCGTACAGGCTCTTCGTAACCCATAAAGGAAGGCTTGATCACAGCCGCTTTATCATTACGAGCTTGAGAGCTCTCATCTTCGGGTTCCTCCTGTTCTTGAGGTTCGACCTTGGTGACATCCTCCACCTCAATTTCTCCAGCGTCAATGGCATCAAAGAATTCATCGCCATCCGACTCAGAGTCATAAAGACTGCTAATCTGAGAATACGCAGACTTCGCGACCGACTTGTTGCGAGTAAAAACAGGCCGAGCTGATTCACTAGGCTGGTCCCCTTTGTTTTCAGCCTCCTCCTGACCTTCCTCGTCCTGGTCTTCAGCCAGCATGCGAGAGGACGGGCCGCTGATCTCACGACTACTACCAGTAGCATTCTCCAGAGCTTCCTTCAGGGCCCGTTTGGTGCGCTTCCGCTTTTCTTCGGACTCGCCCATCTTGGACTGCAGATCTTCGTGCTCTTGAGCGACACGCGCCATGCTCTCCTCCCACATTTGACGAAGGTGTTCTTCTCGGTTCAAGCGGTATTGCCAGTAGGCGTCGCGATCCCGCGAAATTTTAAGGAGATTTTGTACCAAGCCCTTGAGACTACTGACGGCTCCCTCATAGGCACCAAGAGCTTGCTCAATCGCTGGATCTGAAATAGTCATATCTGGGTTCTTAGACTTCTCTGTCTGCAGAGAAGCAGACACATTGGCCAGAAGATCCAATTGAAGCTTTGCAGACTGTGCAGTGATGTTCAGAGCGTCCTTGTCCTCTGAAGGCATCTCACGGCTGGAAGCATAATCGCCGTATTCATCGTCATCGCCATCCATATCAGGCGCGGTAGTGACATGGCTGATCGTTCTGTTCACCTCGTTAGGAGCATCGAGTGAGCCATAAGCCGAGCCTGCTTCATCCTCTGGTGTAACCTCAAGAGTAGTTCGGGAGGTGTGTGTGCTAAGCTTAGCGCTGCTGCTACCGGGTACTCCGAGAGAAGGAGGTGCAAGACCCTTGGTGCTGGGTTTGTGACTAAGACCAGACTCAGAAGGAGTTCCGCTGATACTTGACTGGTCAATCTTGGCTTGACGAAGAACTTCTGCGTTCTGCGAACGTTGACGTGCTTCCTCCTTGGCTTCGTCCTTGGCCCACTGAATCGCATTATTCAGAGACCAGAACCATCGCTTGGCCTCCACAACATGGTTTGCCTTCAGGTGGTACTTAACCGACGATTTTCCATGGATCTCAAATCGAGTTTTATCTTGAGCGTCCATGTTTAACCTAGCGATCTTCATATTGATTGCTCCACGGCAAGCAGAACCAGCATCATCTGCATGAAAAAATTAGATCAGGTCGACTGAAAAAGCCACTGTCCATACAAGGCCGTTTTTAATTAGGAAAAAAGCATACCTTGGTGCTTATAGTAACTGAGAACGCCATCCTCGAGGACAAACCACCGCAACTTGTAGCCAGTTGTATAGTTGGTCCATTTCTTAAGATAGCCACGCATCTCACGGGCATCTTTACCTGCCAGAGGTGCCTCTCCAATGGATACTCGACCCGCCAAGCCCTGAGCATTACTGTTTCCGAGAATAGCCTTCTCCTGGATACCTCGCTGGGCAAGCGCAGCAGCCGGGGACTTTTTCAACATTGCCTTGGTCTTATCATCCTTGGTAACATCTTGGGGCAGCTTTCCTTTCTTGTCACGTCGGAAAGGGTCCGCTCCATGAGTGAGAAGAATCTCAATAAGTTGCACGTCTTTATTCCGAGCACCCTCATGTAGCAAAGTACCGCCGGTCTGCGCGGTGATTCGGTCGGTAACCAGATCCAGGCTGTTGACGTCCAGGATACCTTCTGCCCGAGGTTCCTCCAGCAGTTTCTCTAGCTCATCATATTGCCTTTTCACGAGAAGAGCTTGGATCTCCTGGGTCTTTTCGTCAATAAAGAGAGACCGGGCCAGCTGGAGTTGCTGGAAGATCTCTGGTGTACGGGCAAGATCGAGAGCAGTTTGACCCCGGTAGTTGACCATGGCGTCATTGACGGAGGACCGGCTCAGTAGATCCCGAACCAAAGAGGTGCGTCCAAGCTGGGCAGCGAGATGAAGCGGGGTGTTGCCCTCGCGATCCCGAGCGTTGATATCCAAGTCCTCACTTGAAGACAGCACATACTCCACCACCTGGGGTTCTGCACACTGTAGAGCTAGGTGGAGAATGGTTGTTCCATACAGATTGTTCGCCACTTGGGCATCCCCCGATTCCTTGATAGCCTTGGAAATGGCAGTTGTATCACCACTGCGCAGGGTCTCAAATAACCGGAAGGTCCGCACCGACTGGTCGAGTGACATGCTGGTCAACTCCGGCTGAGGGGATGAAGCCTCCTTATCATCCGTAGTGTCCCCGCCCTGGGAGCTCTGGTAGGCAGCGATCTGCTCGAGGGAGTCCTCGGGAACTGGGGGATGGGTCGGATCTTGGGTTTGCTTGCGACGACTACGGCTGAAGCTGCGAGTATGCGTCATCGAGGAGCCGTTCGTTGAGGCGGAAATGACCGAGGAGTTGTCGTCCTCCTTGTCTTCGCCTTTGGATTTATCGCGATGCAGCAGGGAAAGCGCTAGCGCACTCCGAGAGCGCTTGTGTCTGAAAGAGAAAGGCATGTTAGTCACATGTAAACGTATTTGAAGCCATTCCCAAGTCGGATGGCCATGTAAACCAGGACAGGGCCACCACCCAGTCAACTCGTCCCAACGGAGGGCGTGCTGCCATCGCCGACCGCCAGGACCCGCGAACCATGGGTCCATGCGGAGTGGGAATAACGTACCCTTCAGGTCTGTCGGACATTGTTCTCGTGTTGCTATTGTAAATGCATGAATGTGCGAGATCTGAAGGAAAACGCAATGGCCGCCTTGTTTGGGGGGAGGGGGCAAAAGAGACGCTGATCACTCCGCCTTGGCAGTGGCTGACAGTTTACTCCGCCCATGCGTGTATACAGGACTCTAATATTGATGGTATACAGTGTCTATAGTACAAGGTTTGTCTCCAGCTCTAGCGAGACTCTCCACTAACCACAATGACAACGCTGCCCAGTTGTCGCTTCAGGTCCTCCTTGTCAACATCGTGGGTATCCTCCACCTCGCCCCACATGTCCGTCTGCCATTTCACCTCCAGACTCGAAGCCTCGGCCGCATCTTCAAGACCAAACTTCTTGGTGTCGTGTTTTTGGAGATCACGGAAGTTTTCACTCCATTCCGTCACCAAGCGCACCGCAACAAGGAGACTCTTGGAGGCCAGAATGCCTCGCTCCAGACCGGCCAGATCATAAGGAGCCAGCTCTGACACCCAAGTGCGGATGCTTTCCTTGGTGGCCTGCGGCTGCGATAAAGGCAGAATGCTCTCAGTGTCGAGAATGGGCACGATCTCAAGACCGGGCCAAACCTTCATAGACAGGAAGCTCATGATGTCTTTGGCAACCTTCATCTGAATTTCTCTTAGGCTCTCGGTCTTTTCTTCGCCATCCATGCGCTCCAGCGGACGGCTCGTCCGTTCGGGTTCCCAGCAAAGCAGAGTGTCGGTGTCCAAATAGCGCATGGCAGTCGTGACGATCTGGTCACGGATAGTGGTAACGCCCTCTGCATCCTCCCGAACAATATCCGCCGCGCGCGCCGAGAGGGAAGTCAGGGGAATCAGATGACTCTTCAGAGCCTGTTGGGGAGAGGTCATCACATCCCATTCCAGGGCGACGGCGTGCGCCAGGTGAGGCTTTGTATGGGGGATGGTGAGGATTTCCTTGGTGGGTGTTCTGACGGGTCGTTTGTCGAGTAGGACCTGGTACTCGCCTGTAGTAGATTGAATTGAGAGTCAGTGAAAGTCTTTTTAAACGGCCAACTTGCACACCTTACCCTGCTTCCCATGGACGTGGACATCCTTCCAAAACCGCTTCTTCAATGACACGGTGGCCCTTGAGGGTTCTGACTGTGTTGCACTTGCCGGTTTAGAATTCGCATCTTTCATCTGCTGTTCTGCACTTCCCTTGAAATCCGGACATGGCGCAGGAGCTTTGGGCGGGGGACCATGGGCAGTGACAGGATGTGCGACAGCGGCCCTCAAGGGAGACGAGTGAATGCGGCGGCACAAGGGTGCATTGCGTCGTACGAGGGAAAGAAGCTGCGAGGGCAACGCAGCTTGAGAAAGGCCAGCCATATCTTCAGCTCAGGGTCGGGGTCGAGGTTGATAGTTGCGGAGGACGCGGAACTTTTCGAAGTCTCGGCCCGATCGCCACTCACGCGCCACAGGATCTCCTGGCCCGCGCGTTCGCTTACACTGTAACACCTTCAGCTGCAATGCTGATCGCCAATTACGGTACAGCTGTCTTTGAGTTTGACCGGAAATAAGCCATTTGCTCAGACTTCGGGGTGCGTGATCCGACTACTGCACTATTGCATCAGGGCTGAACGCTATGCCCGGTACATGTACGATGACACCAACTCGGTCTAGAGCTGATTTTTTTGGGTCTTGCCGAGAGGGGAATTCTTGAGGGGATCATTCAAACGCGTATTTTAGTTGATTAGAAATTATCAACAGCATTCGAGAAAAAAAAAAAGAGAAAACAGCCAGTAATACCCTCCATCTTGCATCTAGAGCCCAGGGAAACGAACAAAGCATCGAAATGCTAGCACCAGAAGGGGATATCAAGCCAGCTGAATAGCACATCGAGATGCAAAGCGCGAAAAGAATCAAGAGCAAAACGACGAAAACCGCCCATGCTTTTGTAATTTACACAAGAAATAGAGAAGAAAAGAAACCTTCAAAGCTCGAGGTTGGCCACCCATTTTCGAAAACCCAATCGTGTGCAGAGAAAGAGATGGAAGATGGAAGATAGGAGATGCTGGTGCTGCCGTTGTGATACCACGCATCAGTTCTGTCGAATCTTGTGGTCTGGAACGAAGGAACGAGATCTTCTCAGTAGTTGAGAGACTGCCAAGTCGACCGCGTCGGATGTCCCCACGATGCAGCCACGGAATGGCGGCATGAATTGCAAAGTCAAGCCACGGGGGAAAGAGGAAAAAAAGAAAAGAAAAGAAAAGAGAAAAAGGTTCAAATCAAGCGCTGGGCGCATCTAGAAGTGGGATCGAAGCACAAAGTAACACTTCAGGTCGGACATGGGTTGAAAATATGGTCGTCACGGCATTTCATCGTAAAATGGAGCAAGAAGGCTGGGCTATCACCAGCACTGCTTGTCTAATCCAGACTCTTCAGGTCTCCGGCCGAGTCGGAAGGCCTGTGGTCTGTGATCCCCGCCATTGCAGAGCACATGTCAATATCTGCAAATGTCGAGGAAGAGGTCTCCGGAAATTCGTCCCACAAGTAGCTTTTCTACTTGGTCAGGTAGCTGGGGTAGTAAGGCTGTTTTATGCGATCCGCATCGGTGCGTTTCTTCATACGCTCCGCATCGTAATCATCAGCGCCGTCACGGCTACCCCAAGTTGTCTGGAAGCGAGACGGGTCAGCTGGGGGAAGATCCAGGGAGAGCAAACGCATATCAAAATGAAAAAGGTATCGGAAACCACATCAGACAAATCACAGCGACGCGTCAGAAAAATGGCTCGGGCGGGAAGTACAGTGGATAAGATGCAGGAAGGAGGAGTCGTGATCAAAGCGTCGTGATACTAGCGTGTCATAGGGGGAGGAGGGGCGAGGCCGACGCTTGGGCAGCCCACACCCGGCCAGACCAGTGAAAATGTGCGAAAAGTGGAAAAATGGTGAAAACAAGAAGAAAAAATACAATACAACTTACCACATTCAGTGTCATCACGGCGTACATCTTGATTGCACCGTGGAAATAGCCGAAAAGAATCGACACGGGCATCAGGAAAACGTCGACCGGGTATCGGATGTAGTGACCCAGTAATTTGATCCACTTGCTGCTGAAAATCCACAGATACAGCGAGGTCATAGCTCGATCGTGCAGGACATCACCCCACGAAACGGTCGCCTTGTGGCACAGCCAGACCAGCAGCAGGTCGCCCAAAAGGGCGGGAGGCGACAAAGTAGTCAAGTGTACAGCATAAGCGCTCCAGGGCTGACGACTAGAACCAAGAAGAAAAAAAACAAGGGTTAGCTGCGGCTGAAAAACGAGGCAACTTTCTTGCATAATGCTGCGCTCTTCCTTTCCCGACTCGGAAACCACCCACAAAGTCTCTTAGGCCACACTAGAACGTCCCTCTCAGGCTCTGCTCGCTCTAGGCGAGCCAACAGAATGAGGCCGAAAGTTTCCAGTCTCGTGCTCGGGGAGGACGGCTAGCCGGGCAAGTAGACTCGGGGGGCAAGTAGACCGATCGGGGGGAAAAGGGAGGGTTTCACTTACTACCAAATGTGCTTCTCGTGGAACATACTGGTGAGATTACTCCGCCAGTTGCTTCGAGACCAGCGGGCGCATTGCTTCAGGAATCGGGGATTATCCTCTAGTGTGGTGAGCACCTCCGCCTCGGGGTGGTACTGCATATAAGTTTCCCAGCCATGCGAGACCATCCAACGAGTGATGAAATTGTCGTCGTCCGCGTTGAGTTGATACTTTCCCCACCACCATTCCTCGTTGGTGAAGGCGTAGGTGAAGCCCTCGTCCTGGAGGATCTTGGTCCGATAGGCCACCGTGCGTCCGGACATGCATGGCAGGCCGCCATCCAAATTGGTTGTAGCTCCGCAGTCAAAGTTGCGTCGCTCGAGATAGAGAGCGCCCAGATATCCCCAGATGCGCTGTGAGAGGGTCGGCGCGACGGCGCGGCGCAATCGCTGGCAGGTCACCACGCCTCCATACCGATCGTCCTTTTCGAAGGGGGCCAAAACCCATGGCAGGACGGTAGAAGGCCAGCTCACATCATCGTCGGCAAGAAGCGTGATAGCAGTTCGAACTTCGGGAATGGCTCTAGTCATCTGGCGGCGCTTATTGGGATGCGTGACCGTGAACAGACGAATTCTCGATTTGGACGCCGGCATCAGATTCAACATCCTCTCGGCCCTCCTCCGATTGGCTTCGATAGTCACCAAAAGAATCTCGTAGGGTTGGTTCTCCAGAATAGAGCGAATCGTCTCCACCAATTCCTCGCCACATCCCTCAAGCGTGGGAATGATTACCGAGACATCCTGACTGGTCAGCTTCGGATTTTCCGGAGGCGTTATCGGCCGGAATGACCAGAACGAGATCAAGTTCACGACGAGGCGGAAGTAGCGATAGCAGCTGCTGGGGAGTCAGCGGGAGAGAGGGGGCAATCGCATCACCAAACGGGTAAACTGACAATAGCGCGACAAAGGCTCGCAGAAAAGGAAATGCCATTTTCTGGGGTTCTAATTCCCAACCCCGGGAGGTTTCCGATTCAATCTATACATTGAAAAAAAAAACGTTAGCAAGGGCCTCCCGTGTTTGATGTAGGACACAAACCTCCAAGAGCTAAGGGGGGTTTGCAAGTCAATCAGCGATGCTGATGCCGATGATGGGCTGGCAGTAAAGAGCGAGGAAGCAAAACGAAGGTCGGGGAAAACAGAGCTTCCTCAACCAGCCCAAGATAGAAAAGGGAAGAAGGGGAGGGAAAACGAAAAGGAGGAGAAGATAGGTACTTGGAGGGAGTGGAAGGAGATTAATTTGTAGGGAGAGCACATGCCTACGATGGCAATCCTGATACTAATTCGCGCGAACAATTGCTCGTAAAAAAATAATAATCCTAATAAAAAATAATAAAAAAAGTACCAAGCTAAGAAACAATAAAAAAAAATAAAATCTCCAAAGTGCCCCAGTCTCCGTGATCGTTTTGAGTGTGCTGCAGGTGTAGTTTTGCCTCGTGCGTCAGAGACCCTGGATCTAGATGGAGGCATTTGAGAGTGGAGAGGGATTGGCGGCGGCCCATGCAGGCGCAGTGACATGGAGCGGAAGTGGGTAAGGTACAAACTGTTCCGTACGATACGTAAGATTACGAGAGGTTCATGCTCTCTGCTTCGCTCTCGGGTCTTTGGTCTTTGGTCTTTGCTCTTACTCAGATTTTCGATCATGCGCCATTCCAAGGCAAAAACTTACCCTACTGTGGGTGCGAATAAAACATGCCGTCTCTACATCTCTATATATAGGCAATGCGGCCCTCCACTGCGATCCACGGATGCGCAAAAAGCATCAGGCGATCAGCTGGGGCCCGTAGCGCGTGTCCATTCTTCGCCGTTTGGAGCCGTGGAGCCGTGCATCTAACATTCTCCCATCATAATAGGTATATTCCACGCGCGGCATGACGAAATCTCCATTCTCTCAGGCAACGACCCTCAAGTCATTAGCCTCTGATAGGCCCTCTTCTTGTCGCAGGTACACAGCTACGATCGTCTTGAGTCACTTTAGCCTCGCCGTGGCATGCAGAGCGGCAGAAAGGTGGAAACGAAGGAAATGGGCAAATGGGGGCTAGAGAGAACATATCCGATCCTGCACGCGAGATGCCTTCATTATCGTTTCAACCCCTCCCTTGTTTGAGCGGTTGCACTCGGATGGAGCCACTGCTCCTTTATTGGTGCCCAGCCCATGGCCGGGAAACTTTTTCATTTGTAGCTGCACGGTCGGTTGGCCGGTGATCGTCATTGATTGTTGATTTGATTGTCCGGTTATTCTAGCCTTATGTTCAGCCCATTTCTACAATCTCATTACTTTACGACAATTATTATATTACCTGGTACATATCTACGTAGGTAGAGTTAGTGAGGGATAAGATTGAGAATCTACTCTCAGGCCATAGTGATTTGTGGAAGATTACCATTCATCGGCAAACCCAGACCGTCGTGGACAAATGGCTAGCGCTGTGGTGGGCTCGCTGTTGGCTAGCGCCTTGGACATCCCCCTCTCCGGACCTTTCTCAGCCCCAGGTTGCCAATCAATCGATATCGATCGCCCGTGATTCGCACGCCTTGTGGTACAGGATGGGTTCCTTAAATTTTAACGTGCAGCGAGGGAAATCAAAACGCGCCGTGGCCAAGTCCCACTCAATCGGAGAGGGTTAGAGCAACTGGGGCACGACGCTTAAAAGGACCGTGCTGGATAGGGAATCCTAGCGGCGATCGCCACACGGGCGACTAAAAGTGTGAACTGAAGGTTGTTTTCGGGCCCCTCGGGTGCGTTTCGAAGCTTGGGTGGGGCCAGGAAAGCGAACACGAAAGGGGAAAATTACAGGCAGGACTCCGCCTGAAATGGAAATGGAAGGTTGTGTGAAATTACCCAACTAGACGATGAAAGAAAAAGTATACTCGGGGCCGCGCATTTCGTACTCGAACTTGAACTCGAACTCTGGAAAAGGTAAGAGAAGGCAAATCGAGTCAGCATGTGGTTACCTCCGCATAGTTGCCCACAACAGGTTTCGGGGCGACCCTGTTGAGTGGCGCGAAAGCCTTTCGGCGCGGACTATTGAATTGTTTCGGCCCGTGAGAGAGCTGTTTCTGTGAGATGCTAGGTTTCCCATGCTTACTAGGAAACCTTGGTTCAGGGAAAAGTATGGAGTGTCAGGTACAATACGGGTTATGCAATCTTTTCATTCTTTCCACCTTTTCCACCGTGACATTCTAGACACTCCAAACATGTCGAACCGCAAGGAACTAGTAGGCATAGTATATGTAGCGTCCCTGTACTATCTTGTGTAGGGGCCCCAAAAAGACGACTAGACTCCTTCCTTTCTGGCTCACAACCGCCTCGCGCCGTCTTTGGCGTCTAATTGTAGGCGAGCTCGTGCTGACACCGGAATCCGCCCGGCTTAGCGGGGCCCGGTCAATCTGCAGCAGGCCTAAAGTGGAAGATCATTTATCTCGAAGGTCGATCGGCTGAAAGTATGTTACAGAGATCAGACATTTGCACAGCCCGAACACGAAAAGGTGCCAAGTCGCCTGAACTTCCCACGCGGTCCACGCAATCTGGTACCTTTGTCCTTCGCATGTTGCTCAGACGCTTGCACAGTCCGGTGCATCAAGTGGCGGCCCCTCCGGATAATCCTCATGTACACTACGAAGCACCTCAAAAAGGTACATACGAGGTGTGCATATCCCGGGGTGGAGACGTTACCTGTTCAACAGTTGGCCACTCTACGGCGTCTGCAGTTCGATCCTCGGCCGAATCGAACGGCCAAGGCTGACAGGGATGGGGTCAAAGGCCGATTCGCCCATGGACCATCATGTCCTGGAGTGAAACAGACGCGTATCTCGGCTGCACGGACTCTCCGGCCCAGTCTTTGCCTAGAAAAACTCCACACTGATAGCTCCGAGCCCACTCCAATCCCGGGAGCGACCGGCTCCATTCTGGGCCTTAACGAGTAGTCTCGAATGGGGCAGAAACGGGGAGGCTGGATGAGACAGTGGAAAGGTGGAAAGCTGTAACGTAGAGGGGCGACCTGCAGAACAGTGCACATTATATCACCTTTCATCCACCGTTGACAGGACGAGGGGCCCGGATGAGAGCGATGACATGCATAGGTCGATCAGGCTTCCCCCCTCTCGTCCCATGTTGACCTTTTTGGCGCCGACGAGCCGATTAGCCACCGTTGGCCTACCTTTTCCAACGAATCGCATGACCAAAGCTCTCAGCACGTCCATTTGCAGACGCCCCTCTCTCGAAACTCATTTCTCTCCTGTTACCCTTTCTGGATAAGAGGGCGGCTGGAGTTACAAGAACAGGAACGCCATCCAGATCGTCCGGTGGGGCTAGTAGTAGTACGTTACAAGCGCGAGCGTAACAGTGGATCCTAGAGAGAAGACTTGAACCGTGCTCGTTCTCATCCCCCAAAGTTTCCAAAGTTGCACGTCTATTTGACTTCGCAACTCCACCCCTCCCGGGTCCACCAGTCCACAATGTCATAGTCAACACTTTGTCGACGTGGTCAGTGTCCGTGTCAGCATTATTTCAAATCCACGCCTGTCAAGATCTTGTGGCAACGACCAGCCTCCACCTGCAACAGCTGCAAGGGCTCCATCCGCGCGCACTGTCCCGTGTGAGATCCCATCCGTTCTCCGAAGGCTCAGGGGTCATCCCGTGTACAGACCGGCCTTGATGCGACCTTAGTCCCCCGTCTTTTGGCAATTCCTCCCGGTGGGGGTGTCCAAATATTCTCTTTCCCTAGCTGCAGTCTGGCTGCATTCTACTGCAGCCATCTCAGGATAGTCTCGGGTTAATCACCGACTTCGGTCTCCACCAGCGCCCTCACTAGGACTAACTTCTCCCGGTAATGAAGATACAGGGCGATCCACTCCTTTGGCCCTCTAGACTACCACTCGAGGGCATACTTTTCCACATATCAGCGACTTTGATGTGGACACGAATTCCCATACTAACGAGAAGAAAGCACTCGGTGATATTATTGCGAACCCTGTATCTCCTCGGAGTAAAAGTGACAGATGAAAGTGACTGGAAAAGCATCTGACTCACGCCTTGTAGTTCTTTGTATTGCCCTATGATTCGTGTGCAGACTAGGATTGGAAGACTTCTATTGCCTTTATTGACTACCCCACGCCTTTTCTATTGAATCCCATGCATCTGCAGGTAGACTAATCGAAAGAACAAAAGAAACCCCCTTGGTACTCGGCGCGACCAGATACTGTTTTTGTCAGTGCGCATTTCATGCATCTGATATGCGGTCATGGCGCTTCCAGGATTAAGACCCCCCAGCTCCATGCTCAGGCCGCTTTTCCGATATGATGGAACGGAAAGCATGAGGCTGCTTTGAGAATGCGGATCTAATGCCATAGCCGGGGTCGACTGTAGAACCGTCGCACTTCGCTACCATACTTTGAAGTCGCAGCCTAGTCAATGATCCCTCGTATTGACGAGGCTGCGAGAGACAACCTTTGAGGCGACCATCCCGGACCTACGCGAGGGACTCTGACACGAGGCAGGACACTTTTAACCTCGTCCGTGACGTCAATTCCCTTTCAGCTGTTCATGTAGCTTGATGAACGGGGCATCCGGTCTGGGGGGCAAATGGAATGCCCCTGCTCATGGCTCATACCAACAACTGTATTGCATGACGGAACTGCAGCCGATGCTTCCCCCCGAGCCACTAATGCGCGCATCTACTAGGTCAAGTCTTGGAAGGTGTGCGGCCGATGACTTTCTAGAACCCTGCACGATGAAGATGTCCGCATGTGCGTATGCTGACCCTCGGCAGGTAGTCGGAATAGGCCACTTCGCTGATATACCCCTGTTAGCTATAACCCGACTCCGATATAGGACGATCTAGTATCGGGTCTATTTCGGACATTTGATACTACTTTCGTCCACTCAGCCTTCATTGAACAGACATGCCCAGGGTACGGTATGGATATCATATTCATCATAGCGACATTAAAAGAAGCAGTTCGAGCAACACCTGTCACATAAAGCCAATCTCAGCCCTACGGCTTTTCGCGGCCCCTTACTGGACTTGGCAGCGATCACAGGCCTGCATCAATTGGCATCTATCTATCGGCCTTCCATAGCCAAGCTGCAGGGTCAAAGTAGGCCTCGAAATCGACGCCACCAAACAGCCCGATGGCCCCATACAGGTCAAAGTCTCCCTCCAATCCCTCAATACCACCGGATTCCTCATCCGTCTCCTCGTGCAGGTCCCACCCTCCTGCTCGCCGACCGTTGCGGGTGAAAAAGACCTCCACTTTACACTTCTTCCGGTCCTCGAACAGCGCATCTGCCATAGCAAGCGGATTCTCCGGAAGCGTGAACACTATTCCTATCCCAACAGTCTCGCCCACATTGATTGGGCTCGTAAAATCACGACCACCCCATGAGTCATTCACAAACCGGCATCCGTCGTCAGAAAAGACGCCTAAGCTGGCCCTTTCCCAGCCAGGGGACCGCCAGGAGGGATATGGTCCCGCTGCGAAACCGATAGAGAAGCCGCTGGAGTCGGACTCCGATCCGGGCCCTGCACGGAGGCCGAGGAGCTTCACCTCGAAATAAATCATCTTGGACTTTTCTCTGATAAAAGGGGAATCCTCCGCCGCGAAGTAAAGAGGCAGATGGCTCAAGGCCAAGCAGTCTCCATTCCGGTCGACTGTTCGTCCCTGCCACAGACCACGGCCCAACAAAGAAAGCTCCCCGATGAACTCTTTCTGCAGCACAGGTCGTATGTCATGCTCACTAACAGAGGCGTACACAGTTGGCGAGGGTCTCTCAGGGGGCCAGAGCGGCGTGTTGTCGCAGAAGTCGTGAGCACGCTGTGCGTCATCTTCCGATGCATTCCCTGTCCCAGAACAATAGTAGCCCGAGATAGGTGGCGGGGGAAAGGTCGAAGTATCTGGAACCGCCTCCTGCCAGTTGTGATACGGGGGGAGATCCTCTCGCTGTGTGTTAGGGAAGCGCGCAGATGACTGCGAGGCCTCGTAGCTCGGGGGCGGGGGCTCTGCCATGGTGACTAGGTGTGTGTTGGTTCCGAGTGTAAGTCGAGATGAGAATCGAATAAGGTTGTCGTGTCCGCATCCAAATCCACGGTGCCAAGCGGGGCTGTGCCGAATGAGTTCCGTGGGTTTGCTTTGTCTTCGTCTTTCCAAGGTCTTTCCACAGTTTTGATGCCTTGAGCATTTGGCATTTGGCATTTGGCATTTGACATTGACAGTTAAGTTGGCGCTTCACAGTTGACACTTGATCTTGTCCTGAGCCTCTCTCCTCTCGGGCGTCACAGCAGTTTGGAGCACTTGGGGAGGATTTTGAATCCGACCAAAAACTCGCTAGGGGGTCCTGGTTTGGGTTTAGATGTGAATCAGTACGAAATGAGAGAAAAAGAGAGATCGGACGCCATTTCTACATCTTTTGATGCGAGATATGAATGGGAGGAGTCACAGAGGGAAAAGCGGGCTAAGAATAGTTGGGCTGCAGGTCTCAGTTGCGCAGAGTCCAAAAGTAAAATGCAAAATGCACAGTGCACAGTGCACCGTGGCGAGTTTCGAACTTCTTCAATCCTGCCCAACTCCGAGGGGCCCTAAATTATTTATCCTTCGTTTCCTCCTCATTCTTTCCCCCAATGACTGGTCCGACCCACCGACGTCGATCCTCCATCTCGGGGCAAATCCAGCGAATCTTCAACGTCGATCGCTCGGATGTATGTTCGACTCCACGCTGTCCGAGTCCACACTGACTGTAACCAGAAGCGCCGGAACCCTCATGATAATGGCTTGTCTGATGAGCTCTCTCAGCTGAAAAATGAAAACGAGCAGGCGCCCGGTCAGACACCCGTGCAATTGGGTCAGGATGAAACTAGACCCAGCTCCTACACTTATTCTCAAAACTCTAGGCTACCATCCACAGGCACTTCTCATTCAACTCCCCCGTTCCAACCGGTGATGGCTGTGAACACCATGTCACTGCAGACTTCCGGGATTCAAGATAGTACTCCGCAAGAGATCGGAACCTCTGGCGCATGGGAAACTGCGCGTAAAGAGAGACGTGCTACCAAGCGACTCGAGGCGGAAAGGACAGAGCTCGAACAGCGTCTCCAGAGACTCGAAGAGGCTCAGGCCCGACAGGACCATGGCATCTTCGATCGATCCCACAGCCGGTTGACCAAGAAGCAGCCACTGGATAGCACTGCAGTTCGGTCGTCCAGTACCGATGGAGAAGGAAGAAGAGGAAGGTCTTCAAGCGTCTTCTCCGGGATCTTCTCGAGATCAAGACGATCATCTCGATCGAGTTCCAAAGACTCAGAGTCTCATCGTCAATCAAGTGAAACCCCACCGACACTGCCATTGGCTCTTCCAGAACGCTTCGGCACCGCGGTATCGAGGGAGTTGGCGACTCACCATGGAACTACACTGGTTCCTTCTCATCAGTTAGAAGGCACGGCTCGTGCCCGCCATTCTCTTCACACGGCACCCAAATCCGATGACCTAAGAGAGAATTGGAGAATGGCCGAAGCCTGGCAGAGAAATAGTGGAGCCCATGACTTTGACAGTACAAGAGGTTCTGTCTACAAACCAGAGCTCACTGGCCAGCCTGCACCTGACAGCCTTGCCCGCCAGGATGAACCTCAACAGCCCAGCCAAGCGAAGCTTTTGGCAGATCTTGACCGCGACTTGTTTACTGCGACTCTCAGGCATGACGGTAAGTCCGTTGGGACCCGGCCATTTTCTGCTTCTAGCCCGTATGCTCATACATCATCGCGTCCTATCGATCTCTCGACAAGGGGCTGGGGGCAAAGCAAAAACTACCTCGAGGTTCCTGATACCATGTCAACCAGGGTCACTACGGCACGTCAGCTCCACGATCTTACGCCATCGGGGCATATCCAACGCTCCTTTAAGACGTTTGGATCCTCTATTTCAATGCCGGCAATCACGAAAAACAAACATCGCAAGAAGAATGGAATGCCTGCCGGGTCGCAAACGACCCCAAGCTCTTTCAAGTCCTCGCCCCTCTCATCGAATTCATTCACATCTAATGGCCCTGAGCAAGAGGGAAAAAGTGGAATTGCAGGGGGCTCAATTTCCCAGAATCCAGACCCATCTATCATTCCATTGCCATTGCGAATCCAAGTGTCACAACAGCATGAGCCAAGAGGTCGAAAGTCGGCTTCTGAGCCTACATCGGCAAAAGCGCAGAGCCATCCTAAAGATAGCCTTCGACAGTCATTTCAAGGGCCGGTATCGTCATTCGTGAACGGCCGCCAACAGGAGAGCCGGCGCTCGGGACAATCAACAACGGTATCTGGTACAATGCCAGCAGAAGTCCCCAAAGAAACCAAGCAATCCCGCAATGATAGACCTCCCCTTCCGATCAAGCATGCAGACAGAACTGGTTCTCTCAGTAACAACTCTCCACCGCGGGCAAACACTGAGAGCCAGAAAGGATCTGGCGTCACAGCAGATGCACCGGCCAATTTTTCCGAGCCTAGTGCACTGGACCAGTCCAACACTGAAAATGCTCCCTCAATCAAATCCGTGCTGAGATGTAGGAACCCATCGCCCAGCCGGACACCATCGCAAAGTTCCTCGCAAGCAAGCTACGATACAGCCGATGAAGAAGTACTCGACGTTACTAAAGCTCTTGTTAAGAACGATAAAGCCATGGCCCAACATGATGAGACCCCTAAGAACGAGGTCCCAATCGTGCAAGAGCTGCTTTCCAGTGATATCATCTTACAAAACGAAGCTACTCAGGCTGATTCCTCTGCCGTGGTACGAGAGGTATCTGAGCGAAGGATGAAGGCGCCAGCAGAACAACACATTGCCAAATTATTTGTCATTTGCTGCCATTGCAAGTACTGGCACGACATGCCATCGGAGGTATATGCCAGGCTCGTAGGCCCTGAACGAGTGTCCTCCGAGACCATCCTATCACGAACCTTCTCTCGCCAAAGCTCAGGCGGTCGTAAAGCCTCTCTAAGAAATTCGCTGCTGTCTTCAAATCTATCTGATTCTCGACGACTGTTAGCTATTGAACGAAAACATAAGAACAAAAATAAGCAGTCTGGTCGTGAGACCCAAGCAGCGACCGAGAGTCCCTTGAGACCACCCTCGTGCTGTTGGTGTGGACATAACATGAACAAGAACTGCTGCCAGGGATGGACTACACTCGTTCAGATGGGCGAGAGACATTATTAAGCAAAATATACGAGCCCTATGAAGTAATCATGATGATGTGGATTGATACCAAGCGTTCCCTGTCTTCCCTTTCTGTCTGTGCATTCTTCTCTGTACTTCTCCAAACTTGTGGCATTGTTCTCGGGTTCTTTGTTCACATTATATCTGTAAATTTTCTTCCAGCGGTCCCTCGTTATTGCGAGCTAAAATCCTTACCGACCAAATAAGCATTTCAAATGAAAGCTATGAGCCATCGTTCCAAACACTTCGTTCTGTGCTTCCCAACCCACCTGCTGGGTATCTGAATAAGACATGAAGTTAATGTATATGTTCCTAGTACACCAATTCCGGCCCCATCTCGGCTGTTCCTGTGTCCACCGAACGACTTCCAATCGGAATGAGCGATTGAGCGCCACCGCACTATATAGGTACGATGAAGCTTGGAAAGCTTGGATGGACTCTAGATATTGGGCATTATTAGCGACGGGTCGGAACACAATCTGCTTTTGGGATTGAGAGGCTGAGAACCATTGAACGCCACGCGGATCGGTCTGAACAGTTCCGCCTTTTATCTATAGAAGAAATGTAAGCCTCTCTTAAAATCACCCGTCGGCACTCCGTAATATGGAATAATAGAGTGGATGGAGTGGAAGAAGTGGATAGCGTAGATGAAGTACAAAGAGGTAGAACTCCCCCCAAGACTAGTCTGTCTCATAGAACGGTATTGGTGATGAGAACCCCGACTTACGAAACGTCCGTCACTCCAACCTGGCAACCCATTTCAGGATCCCTAACAGCCACGAGCACTGAGCATCGCATGATCCTTTAACTCTCGTGTGCCGACGAGGCATGGTACCTTCCTTACGTGCTCTTTTCTAATGCAAAGTTCGTTGAGCCGGTCAAAACTGTGTGTGCTACGGTCACTTTCTTTTCTAGTCGAGATTGTCATCATCTACAAGGCCGTCTGACATTCAGTCAAGCACGGCTTCATCTTCGTCTGTCCTAGCCATGAAATCCTCGAACGTCTTCTCAGCGCCGCTATCATCCAATACACAGTCTGTTGGCTCCACTTCTGTTGTTTCTTTGGCCCTAGTGGCGCCCTCTGGACCGTTCTCATCCAATATTTCGCCACCGTCTTGAGCGGTGTCGTGTTTACGACATCAACAGCATTGCCCAACAAACCCTCCTCCCACGCTTTGCCCTCAGCAGGATCTACGACTGCGACTATTCTGACCACCTGCACCGCAACAATAACGGCTTGTCCGTCAACCATCAGGGATTGCCCGGTACCAGCCAAGACTACCTTGATGACCACAGAGACAATCGTGGTCTCAACAACCGTTTGTCTTGTCACTGAGGATTTCCGTTCTACCTCAACAGACTTGCCTGATTCTGCAAACAGAGGTGCGGAAGAGAGCGGCGGGTCATCACAAAAGCAATCGACCACTTCTACTATCGTCCATACTCGAACTGCTACTATAAAAGCCTGCCCTTCTGATGTGGTCGATTGTCCCGCCTCCGTGAAGAGCACCTACGTTACGACAGAAACGATCGTGGTTTCCACTACTATTTGTCCGGTCACTGCTACTGAAACTACCTCTTCGTACTCTGGTACTACTCCCAACCATTTGGAGACAGCCGCCTCAAGTGTGTCCACGTCAACCGTCCTGGCCACCCTTATATCTACGATGAATGCTTGTCCGTCAACAGTCACAGATTGTCCCGTATTTATTTAAGACTACATTTGTCAGCTCTGAGACTAAGGTTGTGCCTACTGTTTTGATTACGGCGGAATGGACAGTTATCTCCACCGGCGTTGCCTCGGAAATCACCGCCGGTGAAACTTCTGTAACCTTGACTGGCGCCGAAGTTGCAACCCCTGTATATGCTTCCTCGATTACTTCCGGGCGTGAGACTCATGGACAGCCTACCTCCACAAAAAGCACCTTTGCTACATCTGCACCTGCTCATTCCGTCTCATCTAAATTGAGAATCGTCGGCACTGCGAGTCAATCAACTACAGGCGCTGTCCGTACCGGCTCTGCTTCATCCAAATGGGGGCTGAAATCTCTCCATTGCTCTCTGTTCTTGGGTGTCGCCTCTTTCATGCTTTTGTCATTCCGTTAGACCATATTCTTCATTTCCATATTGGCCTTTGCCCGATTGATATATAGCGTTACTAAAGGAGCCTTCCAGCAGTGAATGTTTTTATAGTTTATGTTATCATAATTTCTGTGACAATCATTTGCTTCCGAGTTGATTGTGTGATTGAAACGGTGCTGCACATACTTTCCAAGGTGCATAGGTAGCTAATTACCAGTTGAGTTTAAATACCCTCTAGCCTCTAGTAGCTTTGAACAAAGAGTCAATAAGACTGCTCTTTGCTTTTCCGAGATCTAGAACATCTTGTATCTCGTCATCAATATGTTCAAAAAAATGCTCCTTGTCCCACTTGGGTTTCCATGCAACAATCTTTGGAATTTCTGGAATGATGTCATCACTGAAACTGCATTAGCGTTTGAATAATTTCATCATATAGCCCGACACAACCTACCCTGAGTTCCACAAGATCTGCACAAACTGCTCGGGAACCCCCAATATCTTTGCAGCAGATGCATCATCGGGATAAACCCTGGTAGTAGAATCAGCCAAGAGACCACGAACTTCCATAGCCTCAGCCAGCTTGTCCAAAACATCTCCAAAGAAGAGCTCATGGGCTTTTCCAAAGTAGTAGCCTTCTTTTCCATTTGGGATTGGCTTCTCCTGTAGAATTTTCTCGACAATCTGCCCGTATAGAACGGTCAAGTCGGAGATATGCACGGCCGAAACTTTCTGAAAATTGACTCAGTCAACTATAGCTGCCTCCGATGGGGGGTTTTTTTCTCTTACTGTGTTCCCGGGAAATTTGTACACGGCCTTGTTCGAGATGATAGCTTCAACATAGACAGGCAAGACCACGGACAGTTTGTTCCATTCGCCACTGCCTCTACCATCTGAAGAGGTTCTATGTAAGCAAAAGCACATTTGGTCTGAATTCGGTGCACTCACAAACTAAAGAGGGCACAACGACAAAGCTGGTTACCCCTTGTGCCGCAGCGTGTTCAATGACAGATACATCAGTCTGGCCATGTCAGCCAGGTTCGTGAGGTCTCAGTGGGGGGTCTTACATTGCGAATAGGGAAAGAGGCTGCCAATCGCTTCTCTGTCTCAAATACACCATCTGTATCTTTGAAGTCTCCAGCTGGCCAGCCCGTGTTTTTGTAGAATGCGCTCATTCCAGAGGTCTGCTTGTCATTAACAACCAAGCATATATCGGATAGATACTGGGCGAAAACTCACATGGATAAAATACGTCCTTTTGCCGCTGACCTTGCCCTGTTTGCTCAGTGCCGTGATAAGATACAGTGCCGTCTTTGGATCTATAGCGCTCGAGGTATGGATGACAATATTGACTGTGTTTGTTCATTAGCTCATTACATCACATTTCAGATCACAATGGAACATTCTTACTGTCATTTCTAGCCACGTTCTCAGCAACATCTTCTTCGTTGGTCAAATCTAATTGAAGCACGGTGACGCCAAGTTTCGACAGGGCACCAACTTGTGTGTCGGATCTTACCGCGGCGAAAATCTGATCTTTCTTAAGCAGTGCACTCTTGGCTAATATTTCGGCGAGGATGGAGCCGCCGCTAGGGAGATGTCAGTCTAGTATGTACCGCCAGTTTTAGGGTTGAAGGATACATATAACCGGCCGCGCCAGTGATCAGAATGTTTGACATGTTGGTGATTGAAGTGGAGATACTTCTGTACTGGAAAAGATAAACAAGGGCCGATGTCTTAGATCTCATCTGATACAGTAAGCGCGGTGAATATTATTGCCGACCGTTATGTCATTAATCTCCGAGATGAGGAATGCCTCATTTGCGGTGATTACCAAGCCTCGGAGGATGAGAAACACGACGCGATTGGAAGTTGACTATAGAGTTATGTTTGTTTCATTCTGTCTTTTTGTCATCGAATATTTGCATCCGGGTTTCAAAGCCTCCTACTGGATCATTAATCCAGCCCTGGAATGGTGCAAACATGGAAAGATACAAAGTGTTGATCGATTTCAAATCAACACCATGCCATGGCCAAGCCGCACCGCTTCAATGGGTATAAGAAACAGAGCTATGATCACTCCAAGGGTCTCAACAATCGTTCATGTCAAACATCATGTCTGGTACAGCTCCAGTGGTTCTCATTCTCGGTTCGGGGTCGAACGTTGGAAATCATGTGGCCCAGACCTTCGCTGCAAAGGGCTACCAGGTGGCTCTCGCATCGAGAAGCCTGAAAGAAGAAGACAGCACAGCTGACCACCTTCATATCTCGAGTGATTTCTCTGACCCTGAGTCTGTGATCATGACATTCTCCAGAGTCAGGGAACTGTTGGGTACTCCGGGTGTAGTCGTTTACAATGGTCTGAATGGCCTTGATGCTGAGAACTCCGATGAAGACTGGTGCTGACATGACTGAAGCTGCTGCGGCTACCTTTAATGATGCGAATGATCCTCTCGCTCTCCCTTTGACCAACTTCGCTCGGGACTTGACTATCAACACAACCAGCGCCTTCGCGGCCGCCCAGCAGGCAGCCTTGAGCTTCACAGACCTCCCCGACTCTGCATCCAAGACTTTTATCTACACTGGCAATATTCTGAACACCAAGACCCTTCCAGTCTTCTTGGATCTGGGTGTTGGAAAATCTGCAACTGCACACGTCATCGAGTCTGCTGCTAAGGCTTATTCCGATCGCGGATTCAAGTAAGTGCTTATTTCTCTTAAAGGAGTTGGGCTGATCACTTTCAGGTTCTATTATGCCGACGAAAGAAGAGCCGATGGAACACATGTAGCTAATGAAATCAGCGGGGAGGCACATGGTAAATTCTACCTTGAGCTCGCTGAGAGCACATCGCAAGGTCCTTGGCAACAGACCTTCGTGAAGGGTGTTGGATACAAGAAGTTCTAAAGTGTCGGAGCTCAGTCGATCATGGCACTCAAGTGCTCTATCTGCTAACTTGCGTTCTGTACAAATCAAAGAGAAGCTGAGATCAGTCTCTTGTATCCTTGCACCGCCTCTTCCAGTTCTCCAACAGTGATTGCCTCGTTGTCTGCATGGGCAACATGAATACTTCCAGGTCCATACAGATAACGCTGAACCTTTTGAGAGCTTTGGTTGTGAATATGTAGTGAAGCAGCATCGGTTCCGTAGTTCACAGTAATCACATCAAATCCATCCACATCAACATCGAAGTACTGAGGTCCAGTTCCAGTCTGTGGGTGTCCAAACTCCAAATCGATGTTTTGGTCGCCTTCGGACACGCTATCCACGGCTTTGCGTATGATTTCTCTGATGTCCTCCGGGCTTCCTTCGGCAATACGAACGGATATAGTTGCTTCAGCATATGCAGGAACCACATTGGCTGCCACGCCACCAGAGATTTGACCAATATTCAAAGTGGACTGACCCAGCCGCTCACTTCGAGGAAAACCACCATCTTGGGGTAGAATATTAGGTAACGAGTCGAGATGAGACAGAACTGGAAGTATGGCGGAAATTGCACTTTCCCCTAACCAGGGGTAACCCGAGTGTGCCGCTTTGCCTCTTGAGACAAGCGTAAACTTCATGGATCCCTTGTGCCCCGCAACCAGATTCAACTCCGTCGGTTCACCAAATATGATCGAGCGATATGTCGGAGGTTTCAAATTTAGGTCGGAGTTTGAGAAGTGTTTCATACCGACGCCGTCCCTTTCCTCGCCAACGTCAAACAGTAGACCGATTGAGGCATCTGGGTTGTCTCTGAGTGTTTCCAGAGCAGCGAAAATGATGGCTGCTACGCTAGCTTTGGCATCGACTGTCCCACGGCCAGCAATGACCAGGTCGTTTCGGTCAAATAACGAACCATCGGTCTGAGGCGAATGCAGAGAGTACGGAATGAAGGGTGGGACCGTATCGATGTGACTAGTCAATAGCACATCAGGATACCTATTTTTCCCAACATAGGCATAAATGTTGAATCTTTCTTTTTGATCTTTCGTCTCGGGGGTAACGATTTGTTTCTCGACGGTCAAGTTCTGCGCAGCAAGGAATTCCAAGATAAAGTCTCCCACAGTTTTCTCATTCTCGGTGACCGATGCTATCTCTACTATGTCCCTGTGGAACGAGAGAAGAGGTGAGGAAGCAATAACTTGATCCAGTCTTGGCTCCGGGCCAGTCTCGTGGAGTTGGGCAGCTCGCAACGGTTGCTGGTCCGATGCGAGCACCGATCTAGCCAAGGCCGCGAGGCCGAAAAGATAATCCGGTTTCATAGCTTCTGATCACGGGAGACCTGAATTGCTCAGTATTACCGAGGGTTGCGCAGTCTTGGATTTTGAAGTAGAGGTCGAATGCAAAGAGGTGAGGGGAAATATATCGATAAGGGACTCCCCGCAATGGCGACTTCACTGTGCACGGTGGACGATCAATTGCTTTTTCCTCAACCAAGCGGTTTTTGTGCATCTCTATGCATCTCATCGCTTTCTATATTAATCCATAATTACCGATCGATCGAAGTTCATTGCGTCTGACCTTAGCCCACCAGCTCTTGAATTGCCTCTATCTCTTTCATAGTTACTTCTCCCCAATGTGAATGTCAACATCATCTAGAACCGCCTGGTTTTGCTTCGCTGCTGCGACTCTGATTCTCTTCAATCTCCTGGTATCGACATCGACCTTCCAAGTAAATCCCCAAGTAATAAGATTCATAACGATCGCCATGCCAACAAACCCCATCGCAATCCCAAAAGATGTCGTATATCGGGGTCCATATCGGGAATTAAACAACTGGGACCCGACCGCACCTCCAATCTGACCATAACTGTTCGCAAAAGCAATCGCAAATGCCGAGCCGGTTGCACCTTCGGTGGTCTGCACTCGCCAGGGCCACATCATGGTGTACCTTGTTACGTTTAGCACATAACAGCCTGTAAGAAAGAGCCAACACTGTTCAAGCACTTACCAAGCAGTTGAGAACCCTCCTGCTATCACTGTTGCAGCGTAGACTCCGCCATTGTTTGGGAATATATAGAGCACGCCATAGCAGGCTTCAATTACAATCATGAACGCAAGTGGGATAGCGGGCTGAGGAATGCGCCCTGTATCTGCGAAAATACCAAATGCGATAGTCAAGACGACAGCAAAGACTGCCGAGGGGATGTTCAACAGAAGCGATTCACCCATAGATCTATCACAACTGTTACTATTTGATCGAGCGTTCCTCTATGGTCGACTCACGAGAATCCGAGGCTTGCAATTACCGTGGGTTGGTAAAAGGTAAGCCCTGTAGTGCCAACGGTGAAGAAAGCCCAGCAGAGGAGGAATAGCCAGATTCTCTTGTTTTTGAGAGTTTTGATCAGCTCGGGTAGATCGAAATTGGCCTCGGCCGACCGTGGGGAGTTAACAGGGAGACGCGCCTGGATAAAATCTTTTTGTTCATCAGATAGCCAGGATGCCGTTGATGGGACTTGATTATGGTTAGTTGAGCTCAAGTCTCAAGTCTGAAAAAGCTTACAGTCTGGCAAGAAGAAATAGGTAAATATTCCAAGCAGGACGGTGAAGAGGCCTTCGGTCAAAATCAGCCTGCACGATATTATTAGCCGGAGATGATTGGAAACACACATCCAACGTACCACTTCCACCCAGATAACCCGCCAGCAACCACGCTATTGAATGCAAATGCAAGTACACCGCTTATGACCGTACTAAAGCATCCCAGAACCGTCACGAGAACTACTCGAGGAGCAATCTCGTCCGGTCTATACCAGTAGCATAGTTGTACAAGCATTCCAGGCCACAGACCGGCCTCGAAGAGACCGAGGAAAAACCGAACGATGTAAAGACCCTGCCTGTTTGTGACAGCTGCGTGGCAACAAAGCACGATTCCCCATGATACCTACATCTGTAAGTCTTGAGAATTCGAAAGAGATGAATTTTAGCTGACTGACCATAATTCGGGCTTGCCAGACAGAAGGTCTTGCGCCTTTCAGTAGGAGATTTGAAGGTGCTTCTGCGAGGATGTAAGGGACCTTGAGAGATGTCAGTTACCTCCGCTTGAATTGTTGAACAATGCTCACATAGTACAATGTGGTGACCAGGTTGTACTGATCCGAAGTCATTTTGAGTTCAGTCAGGATATTATATGGAGTCCCTTGATCCATAATTCGAGCGTAAGAAACCTATGGTACTTATGAGCTATAGCTACATGGTTTCCATATCTTTGAGCTGACATTACTGGCATCGACACTCTTCAGCATGTACATCACGGCCAAAAGAGGGAGGAGATGCCAATCGATTCGTCGAAGGAGCCTTTGTTCTTCGGCACTGCTCAGGGTTGCTCGTAACCGCATGAGATTCGCATCATATCCAGGAATAGCTCTATCTTCGTATTCAGGGAGGATGCCATTCTTGCTGCGATCGACATAATGCACGTTGGTTCTCCCAGGGATTGACGGTTCATCTGCAGATGATACCTTTGGAGATATCCCAATTTTCTCGGGAATATGGGCTCGCATTTTGGCCGAAAGACACGGTTTGGAAATCACAGAAGGCTGGGGGTTATTCAACATGGATCCATCCTATCTATATCTTTTCCTGTGCTGATTGCGCAAGGCAGACAGCAGATTCTTTAGGGTGGCGTGCATACCAGGGTGGACATGGCACACTTTACCCCTCACTTGCCTGCCAAATGCGCAGATATATTATATCTACTAACCTGGTTCTTGCGTTATCTGGATAGCTTAGTTTCCTGAGCTTGGAGATAACCACCCGCATCTGCCGTTTTGCTATCGTACCCAAATTGCAAAGCCTTGGGTTACCTAAATACAAAATAGAAGTAGTGGTTTCCAGAGTCAGCATATTATTGCTGCGCCTCTCCATGTATTGGCCCAGGTGAGCAAATTCCCTTCCACCTCAGCAGTTGGTAAAGGTGCAATGGCGATAGAGCACGCGATAGTTGGGTGAATAGTTGGGTGATACCTTATGATACCGTGGACATGAGCAGCTCGGCAATTCAATACCGGGAGAGCCAAGAAGCGATTCAACATTCTTTTATCCCTATTGATTTATTTTCCTGCTATTCGTGCAATCTTATCTACCTATATTACTTGGTGTATGGTTCACCTTTTTGGGATAGCTGGGAACTAGATGTGATGACTAATCACTAAGCGAAATGCTTCCCGCATCGACTGGATTTTCCACCTTCTCCATCTTCATCGCATCCCGCTCAGTTTATCAACCCATGTTGGCAAGAATCTAATGATGCATTCTGTGCCATTCATAGCATGTCATGCAAATGCACTCTATCTACACTAACCGCATGCAGGACCGATTATCCGACCGACTACGTATTCATCCCATCCCCCATCACCCAAACATTCACGCCGCAACTCCTCAATCCAGCTGTCCCAGTCCTCACGGACGATCCACGGACCCTTCATTGGACAGTCACCACAGCGCCACGTCTTGTGGCCGTGACCGACTGGAGCTGGGTTGCGAGTCGGGAGAACCTCGTCAGAGGGGATCTCGGCTCATCTTGCTTCGAGTTGCTAGAGCAAGAAAAGGGCCTTCATAGTTCATGTTACACTTGCTCGTTTCTTCTTCGGAAGAGTTCGTATTTTACTACGAGAGCATGACTCCTTGCGCACCTACATTCATACCTATCATACCCAAATTCTTCAGTACATATGCATTTATAACGTTCAAATGTCCTCCCGCGTATACTCCTCTATGTAGAACGTTCCTCAGAGCTTGCTCTTAGCCTTCTCATTCCCCACCACGTTCACCACGACCTTGCCCCAGGTCTCACGGCTACCCAGCGCCTGCAAGGCCTTGGGAACGCTGTCCAGGCCAACAAAGCTCTCATCCTTGAATGCAGTGCCGCGGAACTTGCCCTGCGCCACGAGGTCAAAGATCCCCTGCCAAACAGTACCAACAGTGGGAGTCTCGAACTTTGCATACTGACCCCAATGCAAGCCAACGATACTAACATTCTTCAACAGCACACGGTTCAAGGCAACCTTCTCAATATTACCAGCCGCAAACCCAATGACCAGCAAGCGAGCATTCCACGCAACACATTTCAAACTAGCATCAATCATTCCAACGGGGTCGTAGACAATATCAACCCCAGCCTTACCATTCCCCGACCGGTTTGCAGCACACAGCTTCTTCACCTCCTCAGGCCAACTCTTATCAGTGTAATCAATAACATAGTCCGCGCCAAACTCTTTCGCAATCTCACGCTTGCGCTCCGTTCCTGCCGTAGCAATAACAGTCGCGCCCTTGGCCTTGGCGATCTGCACAGCAGCCAACCCCACACCACCAGCGGCAGCATGGACTAGAACCCAGTCACCAGCCTTGACACCGGCGCGGGTGACCAGCCCACCATAGGAAGTAGGCGCGGTAACGAACAAACCAGCCGCATCCTCAAAGCTCCACCCATTAGGAACGGGGAGGAGAGTTTGCTCTGGCGCAAGCACGTGCGTCGCATAGGCACCCTGAGTCGCGCCGAAAACCCGGTCGCCAACCTTGAAACGCGGGTTTTTGGAGGCAGTCGGCACGGCAGTAACGGTTCCAGCGAACTCCGCACCGCCGACCCATGGGAGAGGGGGTTGGTGTTGGTATTTGCCTTGGATCTGCAAGATGTCGAAGAAATTGGTACCGGCGGAGTGAATCTCGATCAAGTATTTGTCTCCGGCAGGAGTTGGTGTCGGCACTTCGGTTACCTTGAGATCCAAGGGTCCCTGTTCTGGTGAGCTATTTGTTTGGAGATGTAGATCGAACGAATGTCGGGTCTAGCGGACTGGTTTAGGGGACGTACCTTGACATATTGGCTGATTTGGACAGCGCGCATTTTGGAAACGGTGTCGGATTGATATACCCAGAGAAGAATGCAAGGACAGGACTCAATGGATTCAATGGATTCAATGGATTCAATGGTACGGGAGCAGATAGTGGCAAGATGGAGTTGGAGACCGCCGGTAGTTGGGGCTCTGGAGCTTTTCCCCGCGTCGGGAGCCGAGGTTCAATGTCGGTAAAGTAGAGACTTGGCAACGGCGCAGTTTATCCAATGTCACCGGACTTGGTTAGGTATTTGACAAATTGAAACAGATAATTATTCACTAAGTACATAAATTCACAAGTATGAGATATGAGATACGAGGTATGAGGTATGAGGTATCAAAGGCCGAAAGCCGCCAACGCCGTAAAACCAAAAACAAAAACCGAATCGAATCGAATCAAATCAAATCGACCTCCCGCGCAACACCATGTATATAATACACTCAAAGTTTGCAAATCCATTAAGTACAAACCACCGCCCATTTCCAAGGGGCCAACAAAATAAAACAGGGTATAAAGGTATCAAGTATAGGTATCAGGTATCAGGTATCATATGCCACGCATCACTTAGTATCCCACGCCAGGAGGCTTCTGGGCCATCGGGTCCTGGCCCATGTATGGCATCAGAGGTGCACACATCGCTGCGTGCGGCCCAGCCGGCTGGGACGAAGGCAGGGGAACCATGGTGGGAGGGTGGCTGTGGGATGGCACGCTCTTCCTCTCGTGCTCAGATCTTCTGTGGTAGTCGTACTGGAGAGACATAGTCCGCTTCCAGGGCTTGGGGTCGTAACCGTGGTATTCAGGAGCCTCATTGTAGTGAGCATATTCATGAGGGTAGACACCGTGAGAAGCGACCATGGGCATATGGTCTCGGTAGACAGGAGTAGCAGAGTGAGGAACACCGGATGGAGGAGTGATGGGCTCAAAGGGCATGTGGTACCAGTGGCCCGGGTGTAGGGCAGGGTTGAGATTCATATCGACTGAGACGGAGCGAGGCGGCCATTGGGCCAAGGCAGGTGTAGTTGATGAACCAGGGCTAGGAAAACAGGAATCGGGAGAGAGAGGGTATGCCGCGTAGGCCGGTGTCACAGCAGAGGAAGTGCTGACCATGAGACCGTCGGGCACCGGCGAAGTGTGACCAGGCTGCTCAAAGGAAGCTGTGGTTGGGCTGTGGTCTGGGAAAGAATGAAGGTGTCGGTCAGAAACGAGAACGTGCTCGCCCGACAGAGTGGGCGTCAACTGCTGGGCCAAGGGAGCGTTCCACTTCTGATCCACGGAGTGCACGTCGGATGGTGCATAGGCCGGGTGCGCAGTCCAGTCCGAACGGGAGATAGATCTCGGCTTTGAAGCGGGAGACCTGTGGCTGCGAGAAGAGACGGATGAAACACTCTTTCCGTCCCTCTCAGACTCATCACCCGAGGTAGATCCCTGGGGTTTCTTGCGCGTCTGGCGGGAAGGTTTGGTGACTCGCCATTTCTTTAAACGGCTTCGAAGTTGAGTCTCACTAGATTGGAGGTTAGATGAAAAAGGATCATCAAAGATGAAGAGGAGTTTCTCTCACCTAGGATTGAAATCATCAGAGCGAATCTGCTTGATGACTTGTTTGAGAGGCCATTCCTCTTCCATATACAACTTGGCGATCAAGGCTTTCTTCTTCTCCCAGACATCCGAGGAGATGGAAGTCTTCATACTGAGTGAGCGAGTGAGCAGAGTAGACAAAGTACAAAGTACAAGGTACAAGGTACACGAGAAACCACCTCGGAAAGGGGAGAGGGAGGTGGTTAAGTAGACATCCACCAGGAAAAGTGGAAACCGAGGGTCCGGGGAGGCGCGAGATAGACTTCACGAGTCTGGAACTAAAGTAGAAACTAAACCAGAAACTACACAACTAATCTCCCACCTGGGTCTGTCACTAAACGCTCCGTGCTTTTGCCCCCAGTGGCCTGGTCGATCATTTTCGGGATGGAAATGACGATGCTTGACGTGGTCCGTGGATCGTCGAGGATCCTGTGGATCATTGACATCTCCCTCGGTCAAGCACGTTTCCTCCTATCCCCAGTTAAGCCCTTGGCGCATGGGCGTTCATGGGCACCCAGCACACTTTGCCCAGATCACGATGGAGAGAATTGGACGGATCATCTCAACCTGACACCTGACCTTGGTTTCTGCCCAAGCTGAAAGAGGAGTGCAAAATGGATCTATCCAACTCTTCCTTTCCATCTTGCCTGTCCACGCTCTGATTTCTGGCTTCCTTCCCTCCGCCCGCAACCCCTGGAGACCAGGTTTCACAGATTTGCCGATTCAGGTCGGACCAACCCTACGAACATGGATAGTGCCATCCGGTCATGCGATGGACTGGATCCCGTAGACCAGGCTAGCCCTGTGGGTTCCTGGCTCCGCTTCAGATAAGCCACTGTGCCTCCCCTCACGCCTTTGCTCCCCCAGTCCGAACTGGCTCCACCGCAAGTTCGAATCCACTGGCCGTCCTTGGGTTTCCTCACCGGCCAACTTCCCAAAAGAGAAATATCAGAGCCGTTGGGCGTTTCAAACCTTCCTCCAGAGAGGATTCCAACATGTGCAGAAGACCGCATTTTCAGCAATGGAGTTATATCCCCATACGGCCGCCAAAACCTCCTACAACCTTGAAACACGGATCCTCTGAAAGCCCTCCTCCCCCTCCCCCGGGACCGCGGATGCATCAGACCCTGCAAATCCCCCCTGCTGACCTCTATCTGGCTCGTTCTCGTACGTCGCGGACACCCGGTGCGTTATTCCCCTTCTTGGTCCGCGGAAAGTCGCCCTGGACCGAATGACACTAGGATGTTCTCGGTAAGGCCTATCGGCTAGTGTGAAGCCGGCCCCCTCCAGTTGACGCCAATAGTAACAAGGCGTGTGGGGAAGTAGTTCGTGGTTGCGCCAATCGAGCAAGTCGTGGATCACCTAAGATCTTCCCGGGTCCTCAATAGTGGATGTTGTAGATCTCCACCGACTCCAAATGCCCAGTTAGCACAGAGCCTCTCTCCCTCTCTCTCTCTCGCACGCTCTCTCCAAAAGCAACCCCCCTCTTCCCCCAAGCTCGGACCCGTCGCCACTCAAGAGCGTGCCTTTTCACCGACCGCCAATCACTCGGGTCGTGTCGACACACTGCAGATGCTACACTAATGCACAACTGTCAATTTCCGGGCCTTTTTTACTCTATTCATCTCTCCTGTACAGGCAATGCAGAAGTCGGAATTTAAAGTTGTCTTCTCTCCAAGGCGCTGGGATTGCATTATCCTTGGGTCGGCTCCCGGGTGCGATTCTACACCTCTGCCACTTCCGTGTCCACTTCCATGTCCACTTCACTCCCCCGGCCGAAACCCTAGTTTCTTTGTTCATCTAAAGCTTATCAAGACCCGACACCGCAGCGCCTCTTTCCGCCGTTTAGGCCAGATAGGAGCCACAGGGGCGAGATCGGCGAATCGGGAAATGGGCCTGGTGCCAGGGGGAGGGCTATCTCGGCGCCTGGGCGTGCGATCAACGATCAGCGATCTCAGACACATGGCGGCTTCTGCCGCGGAGATGGGCGTTGAGACACCACAATCGACGGACCCAACTTAGACCACCTCTAGACCCGGTTCGACTCCTAATTCGCCCCTTCCTGAAGAGATGTGTCTGGTTAGGACCGCCTTGAGTTCACGTCTCTATCGCACCATTTTCACCCCAGAAGACCTAAGACCATGAGACCGGAACAAGCAGGCCGGACGATAATAATGAGGGATCTGCGGATCTCCGTGGATCATTTCATAGCGCAGTTCTCCTCCCCGGCTGGCCTCGGGCGACTCTCCCGATGGGGATTTTCCTTTCTGCACGGTGAATCCCCCGGTCACATCACGCGCGGACTTCAGTGGGGAACTTCCACCGTAATTTACTGTACTCAGACGCGCCAGTGTTTAGCGACATTGTTTCTCTGAACGCGGGGAATCGTCGGTTCTTGGCGACTGCAGAACGTGAACCATGGAAACAGGCTGTTAACAGCAAGGTTTGATGGTGCTTACTCCAAATGGCTCCGACTCGACCCCTCTCCTAACCCTCGAGCCTACGTCTTGTCGTACTCTGGCCGTATTCTTCATCAAATCAATTCGCTTTGACTGGGCCCACTGCTGCTGCAGGCTCCAGTCAGCGCTTGCCCAATCAACCAGCATCTCAGCCCTTCGGCTTCCTCTCTCGGTTTTCCCGAGCATGGAGGGATGAGGTTACCGGTCGATCTTCTCGGGACTCGGTCGATCTTCCTTCTCACCCATGTGGTGAGCTTACTCCGTACTCCGTATTCTCGGCTGGAATATCTTTCCAGGCCTAGTCTAGGTCCATTTCTGCAATTCCACTCCTACAGGTCATCATGTCATCGAACCTACACCTTCCCATGGAAGACGTCCACCCCCCCCTGCTCCTACTCCAACCCATCCCAGGAACTTCACAGCGCTGGGTCCTTGCCAAAACCATAAATATAATTTATTTATTTTTTTTTAAAAAAAAAAAAAAAAAAAAGGTAAAAAAACAAGGAAACTTGGCGTACCTCGAGTCGAGGCTCTAGTACGGAACTCTCTTTGCCTCCGTGGTACTTCATGCTCCAACAGAGGGTCAACAATGCCAGCAAAAAGTCTGATGATGATGATGATGATCAGGGTCCCAACAAACTTCAGGCTACTGAACCAACTGGGCGGAGAGAAATAAGGCGATCCACACCATCACCAAAGCAGTATATTCTCCGTGATTTAATTAAAGAGACAATTTGTCACGACTCTTCCCCGAAATAGGTTGGGAGCACATCCGATCGTACGTCGGTTCGGAACAGTAACTTTCTACTAAGGAGTTAGCGTACCAGAGAATATTAATGTGACCAATCCCAGAGAAAAGGCTGAGGATCTCTACGCTAGCTCCTAGCTCGAGTGGAGTAGGATCGGTGGAGACTAAGCAAAAGATGATGAACGTAGATTAACAAGGCATTGTACACTAACGCAGAAAGAAAATCGAAAAACGAAAAACACTACAGAACACGCTAATATTTCCCAACCATGTAGTATACAAGATGAACCCTCAGACCTCTGCCATGTCTCTCGCACGCTCCTCTTTCCTTCTACCCCTTCCACCCCACTTTGTTCGACACTATTGTAAGAAGAACCAGAGGATGGCTGTCCCCACATACCACATGGCAAGGGGGGCCAAAGAAGCCACGAGGCTCCCAGGAAAGAAATGTGGTAATGTCGATGGTTCGAAAGATGGGAGCTGACGACCTGAATGGGTAGATTTGGCCGGACATGCAGCTTGAATAAAAGAAATAAAGAGCATATGAAACGATGCCAGTGGAGCTCATATGAAAGAAGGAAGATCTCGTCTCGCCCAAAAAAGCCATCAAACCCCCCAAACCCCCGAAAGATGCAGCCCACCAAAGTCGGAAAGAGGCTGATAGGCTGTAAATGGGATTAACGGCGCCGTTTGAGGCGATGCTCCTTGCCTTTTTTGGACTTCTTCTTGCTCTTGTCCGCAGGTAGCACCAGGGGCTCGTCTCGCATGTTCCACTCCATGAAACGGAACAAATAGTCATCGATATGAGAAGGCACGGGCTCATTAAGCAGTGTAGCATCGTCGCCAGTCGGCAGTGGGGTCCCGACAAGTGCGGGCGTTCCATGTGAAGCAGAGCGGTCCTCGAAGTCACCGTCGTCGGCGTGCTCGAGCTCTTTCTGAGCATTTTTGGCCGCGTCAATATCTTCCTTGTCCTCAACTTGCTCAAAGGCGCGAGTCCCACTCGCCACACGGTTGCCTAGGACACGATCCATGGCTGCGCTGGCCTCGTCGTGGCCGTCCCGTTCGTCCTCGATAACCGCCTGGTTGTCCAACTTGGTGAAATAGTCCGTGGTGAACTCGCCCTCCTGAATGATCACGTCATCCAGCATGCGTTTCTGGTTGGCTTTGCGGAGGATGTTGGACTCGATGGTATACTCGGAGACGAAGCGGTAGATGTGGACGTCGCGGGTTTGCCCGATACGATGGCAGCGGTCTTGACACTGTTTGTCCATCGCTGGATTCCAATCCAAGTCGTAGAAGATGACGGTGTCGGCGCCCGTGAGGTTAATACCCAGTCCACCTGATCTACTGGACAGGATAAAGGCAAGGATGCGAGGGTCGCTGTTGAACCGCTCGGTCAGCATCTGTCGCGATTCGACCTTTGTAGTTCCGTCGAGTCGTAGGTAGCGATGGCCGTGGATATTGAGGAACTGTTCCAGAATGTCGAGCATCTTCGTCATCTGCGTGAAGATGAGAGCTCGATGACCGCCCGCTTTGAGGTCCCGTAACAACTTGTCCAGACGTTGCAGCTTTCCACAATCGTATTGTAGTAATCTCTTATCCGGGAACGCAATTGACAAACGCATCCGCGCTTCATGGAAGGGATCATAGGGTTGTTCCTTCGAAGTGTTGGTCAGAAGTCGTGTCTCGACGGGTGTCAAAGCAGCCTCTGTCATGCCAGAGGCAACGGCAGCTGGGGTGACACAAGCAAAATGTTGCACGTAACCATCCATGTCGCGGGATCGTTCCTCTACAGTCAAGATCATTGAAGCGAGAACCGACGACCGACTCGATAGCCAATCTGCCATATTGCGTTTCCTCAGGGGGCGTTGGCAAGAGCGTGTTCCTTTGTGCCGGCTCTCAAGAACTCGATCAAGCTGCTACCATATACAGGGCGGCGACCGTGGCGCTTGGACTCGAAGTAAAGACATCGTTCCAACTCGGCCATTCTCCTTTTCCGGGCAGAGTTCTCCAGGGACTCGAGAATGTTTTCCATGCTGGATCCGTCAAATTCCATCTTCCAGTTGGTTCGCTGGTATTGACGCTCACGGAGGGCTTTGAACGGTCCAAAGGCCATTAGGCGGATACCGTCGTCGGCGAGTCGTCGAGAAATATCCTCCCTGGATATTGGCGCTAGATTGAGGAAATCCAGGTCAACTTTGGTGAGAGGATGGTCAAACAGCAGCCGACGTCGGACAAGGCTCTCCTTGACTCTGTAATCAAGAGCCACAGACCGGGGCATTGCGAAGGAGGTGGAGATTGGTCTCGTTTCGAAGAGATCGGGGTGGTTGCAGACCTTACGGAGCTGCATGAGACAGTGGATGATAGAGAGGAAGTTGCCAGAGGCAAGCGTCTCCTTTGTCTGGGCCATCGACATGAACCCGTCGTATAGGAAGCGCTGACGCTTGGAAAGTCGACAGTAAACGACATGCTCGTACTTGCCGGGCATCTGTTTCTCAACGTCGGCCTTTAATCGACGGAGAAGGTAGGGACGGAGAACAGTGTGAAGCTTGGTGACCACCTTCTTAGCCTCGTCGTCCATTGTCTCTCTTCCATGCTCGAGGATCTGCTCCACTGGTCGCCGAAACCACTCGGAGAAGTCCTTCAAATCGGCAAATCCTTCGACCCCAGTGCCAGGGCCATCGGAGGGCATCAGGAAGAACAGCAGAGACCACAATTCAGTCAAGTTGTTCTGAAGCGGTGTACCTGTCAGAAGCAACCTAGCCCGGGTCTTGAATGTGAGAAGAGCCTGCCATCTCTGCGAACGGAAGTTCTTGATATTATGCGCTTCGTCAAGAATCATGTAATGCCAGTCTTTCCTCTTAAGAGACTGTTGATCCTGGAGAACAAGCTGGTAGGAAGTGATGAGCACGTTCCAGGTATTGTCATCGGTCCAGCCCTTTCGCTTCAACTTCCGCTCCTCTTGATTTCCGTAGTAAGTCATGATCTTGAACCCCGGGCACCATTTCTTGAACTCCATTTCCCAATTGAGCATGACACTGGTGGGAACAACCACCAGATGGGGCCCCCACACACCATGATCTACAGCAAGATGTGCGAGCAAAGCAATGGTTTGAATGGTTTTACCCAGACCCATCTCGTCTGCCAGGATGCCGTTGATATGATTATTGTAGAGGCCCGCCAACCAATCCAATCCGTAATGCTGATACTCACGTAGGGTGCCGCGCAGGAGATGTGGAATTGGAGTGTTCAAACCCGGGGCGGGTGAATGGCTGGTCTGCAGTGCTTTTTCGATTGGAGCTTCATATGAGGAAACAGATTCGGGCTCGGACGGTTTGGTGGCGAACGTTCCGGGAGAGGCTTCGCTGGATACCTCCCCGGTCCTGATTTCATGCTCAGGCTCGACATCAACAGCCTCGGACTGCTCAAATTCCTCAGTCGGTTCCGTAGCTTCAGCCGTAGCAGGCTCGACAGGCGCATCCTCCATGGGGGTGTCGACTATGGGGGTATTGACAATAGATGCATCTTCGGTGGCGGTGGGGGTTTCTTCAAGGGCTTCGACGGCTTCCAAAAGAGTACCATCGGTTGAGTTTCCATCGTTGGGTGTAAGCCCATTAGGAACAAGAGAGACCTCGTCAGAATCCTCGACGCTATTCTCCTCGGCGTCAGGGGCGATTTCTTGGTCCTTTTCGATTTCGAAAACTTCATGGTCATCTTCTTCCTCTTCATCTTCAGGAGCTGCAGTGTCCTTGGACGAAAAGAAGCCGAGCAAGCCAGGCCCGCCATCTTCTTCTGCTTCTTCTTCTTCTTCCTCTTCTTCTTCATCCTCCTCCGATTCCACCTCCTCGCTCGACCCTTCATCACTGTCACCCATATCATCATCCATGTCGGTAGATTCATCGCTATCATCCATCAACAAGGAATCAACATCGTCTAATTGAGCATCCCCAGAGACCGCGTGTGAATCTGTTTCATCTGGCACAGCTTCACTTGCATTGGGATTGGTGGTTGCTGAAGTCACAGACATCTGGTCTATATCCTCAACTGGTAGATTGGCGTACTTCAACCGGAGCTCTTCGGCGGTCAAAGAAGCATCAGCGTCGACATTGGCTTCGTCGTCAGATTCGGCTTCTGAGTCAGACATGTTACTCTCGTCGTCTTCTGAAGATTCCGACCCAGAGTCAATGTCGTCTTCATCGTCACTTGTGGCAAGAGTATCGCTGGGAACCTCGCCCAGAATTTCGGATCGGCGTTTCTCGAAAAGCGCTGTAGATTTCTTGATGGCCCGATCAAGAGCCTGTTGGTCCTGCACCTTGCGCTCTTCCTCCCAGCGGGCCAAGCGGATACGGTCAATCTCGGCCCGCGCCAGATCAAACATTTTTTGAAGATCCTTGGCCAAATGCTTGCGCTTTCCACGAACCTCCTCTTGTTGCTCGCGAAGAATGTCCTCCGGGTTCTTATGGCGCTTGCGGTAGGCATCGGCGCACCATTGCGCAAATAGCTTAGCCGTCTGTCGATGACGCTTGTGCTCCTTCTCCAGGAGCTTTTGGAAGTATAATGCGTGGTTGACCAGGTGATCCTGGTGCGAAAACTGAGGCGGCGGTTCCTCCTGCTGGTCTGTAATATATGCCGAACAAACTTCCTCGCTCAATGGACCACCAGGCTCAACTGCATTCAAGACTTCACGACGCCGCTGAGCTTCCTCCAGTGCCTCCTCCGATGAAAGCAGATTCGGTGCATCCTCGCGATCCACCCATTCTCTGAAAGACTCATACTTCTTGTTGGTTATATGTCCCGGGTGTCGAATTGGAAGGATTGGTTTCTTCACTTTAATTCGAATCCGCGGGACAACCTGCGACCCTTCCGCATCCTCAACATTTATATCGGTATCATCTAAGCCGCCGGCAGCCGTAGGGGAGGTATTCGAGAGGGATGCGCGATCGCGAAGCTGGCGCGGAATGGTACCGTTCAGACTGGGACGAGAGCGATGCGTGCCGGAGCTCCGAGATGCCGCCCGCAAGTGTTTTGATTTGGGCGCGGGTGATTGCGAGACCTTTTGTTGTTTGCTGGCGACACTCTTGGCGGAATTGGTTCGAGGTAACCCATTAACAGCTGCTTTGCCACCAAGCTTACCGTTGGCCTCGGCACGCGACTGCGTCACAGCCAGAGGTGAAGGCATGGGCGGTTTCGCGCCGCGGGTGGTTTTTGTCGAGTATGATTGTTGCGCGGCGCGTGTGTGTCGCTTGTCGGATTGAGGTTGTATTTCCAAAGGGAGCGTGTTCTGTCGCCCAGACCGGCGCCGGCCCTCGACCATGAATGAGGTTGGGCCCTCTACCCCATGCTTCTTCCATGGCGGAGAAGGCGCTCGGGGAGTGCCGCGGCGCGACGGAGTAGTGTCTGTAAGCCTCCGCTTCTTTGACGGCGGGCCATCTAGATCGTGGGTAGCTTCCTCACCATTCGGGACATCTGTCTGTTCATCGGTTGGCTCATCTTTCGGCACGGAAGGGGTCGACTCGTAGGGGCCAGAATCGGAGGGTTTTTGCAAGATCGAAACTTCGAAACGTGGATAAACAGGCACCGGTGTTACGCGTTCATCTTGGGGTGATGGGCCGTTGGGGCTGCCGTTTTGCATGACTTAAGCCGCAGACGACAGGGGCCTTCTGAGCAGCTAACCCCAGTTATCGCAACGATGGCGCGGTTGGAGTAGGTGATTTGGGCATCAACGGGTAGATATAATCGATTCAAGTTGCCACCATAAGTTTGGCATGCTTGTCAGCACGGTGGCGTGGATGGGGACGAAAAAAGGGTCAGGATGGGGTAATGCGTGATGATGGTTTTTTCTCGTCGGGGCGACACTTAGACTTGTAAGCGCGCCGCGCCTTGATGCCTGTTGATGCCTCAGGCTTCCGTGCCGCAAACCTCCGTTTCCATCATCGAAACCCTGTCACTACACCTCTGTCCCTACCATCCACTCTCCCTTGATACCTCCGGTCTTTTGGCAGAGCTGTCAATACTGTATTGGATCCCGGCTGATCCACACCTACTATTTTCATTGTTACTGACCCCCAATTGCAGATGCTGTCTCAACGGATCCTGGCCCGGCGCCTGCCCCAGGTTGCTGCCCGCCACGCTATTGCCCCCCGCGCAACCTTCTCCCAAGTCGCGGCCCTCCGTGCTGCCGAAGTCGAAGACCCTCTTCAGGTACGGTGTTTATATGGCCGGTGTGCCATCACTTTGATGGGGTAATGACGGCATACTAACTCTGTGTGTGACAGAATGGCAACTACCAGAACCCTCCCCGTGTGAAGCGTGCTTTTAGAGATCCCTACGGCGGCTGGTGGGATGCGCAAGAGAAGCGTAACTTCGGCGAGCCAGTCCATGAGGACAATGAAATTCTCGGTGTTTTCAGTCCCGAGCAATATACTCACGTCTCCGCCCGCAAGGGCCTCTTCCAACTGGGAGCCTTTGTCGTTACTTTCCTGGGCCTTTGCGGCGTTGTCAGCATGTTCTACCCTGACAGGCCCAGTGCTCCTAAGACCTACGTTGATGGTCTGGAGAAGGAGCTCGGGGGAGCCAACGCCCTGCCGGTGCGTTCATGATATGTCCCCGCTGCGGACCAGCTGTTGGATCAGAAACTAACTCTTCTCGACTAGGCTCGCAAGTCCGGTGATGACAAGTGGTGATTCACATCTGCGTTTCTTTTTGTTGTGTGTAAATACCAGTACGAATTGTTTCTTATATGCGGCGTCCCTTGAAGGTCTGATGGTCGATTGGCCGAGAAAGTGTTTCTGGCTCCTCGACACATGCTAAATCAGTCCAAGAAAAGAAATCCGACCACAATCCCAATCAGTTTCATTCCACTAGACAGCACTGCAGTCGTCGGAGACGGCTGGCAAAAGCCACATCTCCCTATCGCGGCAGCACAAGACACCAATGCAATAATCGTAGAAGAAGGGCTAGAGAGGCTCCAGTTTAAAGAACCCATGACCCATCTCGTCTTTCCTCCCTCCCTTTCAGCCCATTGTTGGTATCGTTTAAGGACCAGAATCATAGTATGATGCACCCTTGCATGATGATACTAACAGCCTCGATACAAGGGAGAGAACAGGGTTACCCCAGGGGCACGAACAGTCTCAATCTCTGTCAAAGTGAATCAAATGCCGGTTCGTATTGGTTTAAAGGGCATTGTTTATGGTGCGGGCGCCTACGTCAGTCGGTTCGGGAGCTTTTTTGGTGTTTCATCTCTTCCCCCCTCCTTTCTTCACCAGTAAACATTCGAAACATTCGAAACATTTGGCTCCCCTCCTGCTCCTTAGCTCTGCCAAAGCTTTTCCCCATTTTTTCTGGAACAAAACCGTTCGGCTTCTCCCACTACGGTGGTCTGCCTCCAGCTTCATCCATGGTCCCGCATTCTTGCTGTCCCCTCCGATTCCACGCAGCCACCCTATCACCCCATGTCGACAGCATCCACTCAGTCTCGGGGGTCAACCGACGGATCAACAGTATTCAAAATGAAGGGCGCCATTCGCGCAACTCATCTGTCTCCCGGCGCCGCCCCCTCAACGCGAATGTCGCCTGCAGCCACGCCCTCCGTGTAGCCTACCTCTCCTACCTCCTACACCCTCGTTCGCGTCGCATCCAAAATGCGCCAGCCGCGCCGGTACGACCGAAACGGGCTTCTACATCGATCCATGATTTGATGAGTGACTTTTCGCTAGTCAGGGACTCCAAGAGCACGAGGATTCCGCATGGGTTCCTGTCCGAGCTGGAAAAGCGCTTAACAGGCGTCTTGATGGGCAAAGAGAAGAGAAAGGAATACCAAGACCATTTAGTGGTGCGCACATTCGCTGTCTTTCTAAATGTCTTGAAAGAAGACTCGTTCCGCAAGCGCATGGAGAAAGACCGGCGCGCTGAAGATCTGGTTCTTATCTTCTACTCGAACGCGATCAAGGAGCTTAGCAAAGGCAAGGAACATGAGGACGGCAGTTGGAAGCTTATGGTGGACCGACACGTTGCTCTCTTTGTGCGACTCCTTGCGCTAATATTGAAGAGCAATGACTGGGCTAAAGACCGCCCCGAGCTGGCGAACCGAATGTCTGTACTGGAGAACAAACTTCTGTCGCAAGACCAAGATTTAATGGATGGGAATGGCACGACCTCAACAACCGAGGTGGTGGCACCGCTGAGCTATGATGTCAAAGACATGCCTCTTGTGCAGCACGTGGTCAAGGTCTTTGGGATGACACTATCCCAGGCTCAATCCGAAATTGATAAGAACAAATCAGTTTGGACCGAGAAAGCAGCACTGCAAGATCTCAAGACCTACCAAGCCCATCTCAACCTTCAGACCCGCAAGACTCTGTCAAGGGACGACTTTGAGACAGACGATTCGTATGAAGCCTGGAAGAAGAGTGAAGGGCCTGATCTCTCGCAGATGATGCTTGCGATTGTGCAATCTAACCCAGAGCTTGCAAAGAGCACGCCAGGAACACTCCCTCAATTCAACCCAGCTTCCCACGAAGATGACTTGTCAAGAACATCTTCTGGTCGCGCAGACAGAACATCCTATGTGATTGATTCGCCTGTCGATCTCAGCTCTCTTTCTTTAGGCGGAGCCGATGGCGACTCGGATGAATCGGATACGTACACCTTCATTCCGTCCGACCCTCGATCTATTTACAGATTCATTCTGTCTCAGACATTGGCCCATGACGTGCGCGATCGGGAGATTGAAGCTACTCAAGCAACATCCGACGCACCATCAATCAAATTGCTTTCAAAGCAATCTTCAGAAATGCTAAATGAGATTTGTCTCCGCTGGCGGATTCCCAACTTCTCCCGCATTGTCCTTTTCCTCGACGTTATTCAGTCCAAGTTCGTTGATAATGAGATCGATCTCAATACGCTGGATTCGGCATTTACCTTTGTGAAGGAAACTCCGCCCAGTGAGAACCGATCAAAGCGGGCCAGTTTTGTAGCCTCTTCCGTCTTTGACAGGCGAAAATGGACCGTGCATGACCTTCAAGTGATGCAACAGCTTCTCTCTAAGATCCATGAAGCGCTTTTGCGAGAACTTTATGATGTGATGATGGACTGCTTTGAGGCAAAGCCTCGGCCTATTGGGCCTGTTATGTACGTTTTGGAGAATCACATCCAGATGGACCCGAACTATACAGAAGATCCGGAAGATATCCATCGATTCTGCTCATATGTGCAGGATGGCCTCGCTCAAAAGGCGACTGAGAAGTACCAGAGTCTTCTTAGTCAATTAGTGCCCGTCGAATCGGAATCTTGGCAGGTGGACAATGTCATTCAGCTAGGTGATGCAATCTCAAAACTTGCGCTGAAGATTCAGAAGCGGTACAGGAATAACCCCGAGATCATGGGGTAAGTCATTGCAATTCTTCTGGGATTTAGCCGGTACTAACATTGCAGTAGCGTTAATCCCTACACCACCCTTTGCTTGAATGTCCTTCCTATGTTTGCTGAAGATGCGAATGAAATGGTCATCAGGATCATTGAACAAGCCAAATCCGTGGGTGAAGAGATCGATATCGAGGATGGTTTCGATCTATACCGAAAGCTTGCTGCAATTAGAATTCTCTTTGTGAAAACGATACCCGAGTATGAACTATTGGATCCACTTGTCATTTTGATCAATGAACTAACTAGTCGCAGAACTCCCTTCCCATTCCACGTTGAGAGTCTGTTGGAAGATTTCGTCTGGCGATGGCTCCGCCTGACAGACCAGAGTGTGATGGAATGGGTCAACCAAGCTATCAGACAGGATGCCTTCAATGTCCGAGCAGATGAACCAACCGACATTGTTGCGGAAGACAACAGACACAGTGTGTCCGTGATCGATATTTTCCGATCATTCAACCAGGTGGTGGAATATCTCGTGAATCTCGAGTGGGACGACGATCTTCAATATGCAAAATTCATGACGGCTCTTTCCAACTCGATCGGGAAAGGCGTTGGGAAGTACTGTGAAACCTTGGAACAGATGTTTGCCCGGGAGATGGACCGCCTTACACCGGAGCAAGAGGCAGCACTTAACCAAACTACCCAGGAGAAGCTCATGCAATTTGCCAAAGACACATGGACGAACAAGGACAAAATTGAGCCCTTCCAGTTCTCCTCGGAGGTATGTATTGAATCTAAATTCGGTTATTTGCGTTACTAATTGAGAGACAGTCTTTAGTCAAGTTGAACAATATCGAGTATGCTCTCTCGCAATTAGACAAACTCGAGAGTGAGATCAATGTGGATGGATGTGCGGATGTCATTGCGAAGAACACTCCTCCGCAACTGAAGAAGGTTCGAAAATCTACTACCTATGTCTTCACAATCAAGGTTGTGGAGGCAGAAGACCTGAAAGCGTGCGACATGAATGGTGGTAGTGATCCGTATGTCGTCTTGACCGACGAATATCAAAAACGGATTGCAAAGACTCGTATTATCTACAACAACCTCAACCCTCGGTGGGAAGATGCAGTGGACATCACAACACAAGGCCCACTAAACATCATCGCTACGATCTGGGACTGGGATGCGGTTGGCGATCACGACTACGTTGGTCGAACTTCGATCAAACTCGATCCGGTTCACTTCAGTGACTTCTTGCCGAGAGAGTACTGGCTTGACCTAGACACACAAGGACGACTTCTTCTGCGTGTCAGTATGGAAGGCGAGCGCGATGATATCCAGTTCTATTTCGGCAAGGCTTTCCGTACACTGAAGCGAACAGAGAGAGATATGACTCGGAAGATCACTGAGAAGGTTTGTAACTGTTCCTCCCGATCTCAGGCCATTCTTTACTGATTCTCTATTCTAGCTTTCTGCATATATCAGCCATTGTCTGTCACGTCGGACTCTCAAATCCTTGCTCTCTCGTGGACTCAGCATCTCGAGCGTCTCCAACTTCCTGAACCGGAACCGAGGGCAACCACAGGCACCCACCGGACCCAAACAGGAAGACATTGAGAATGCACTGGATCCGTTGTTCAACTATTTCAATGACAATTTTGCCATTATGAACAAGACACTTACCGGTGAAGCTATGAGGATGGTGATGGCGCGTTTATGGAAGGAAGTTCTCGCCACTATTGAGGGCCTGCTAGTTCCCCCTCTTTCAGACAAGCCGTCGCACCAGAAGCCCCTGACGATGCAAGAAGTGGATATTGTTTCACGCTGGCTCGTGTTACTTCTGAACTTCTTCCACGCAGTTGATGACGAAACGGGTGAAGCCGGAGGTGTTTCCATCGACATTCTGAAATCCACCAAGTACCACGAGATTCAGACCTTGAATTTCTTCTATTTTGAACCCACGGATAACCTTATCCGTACCTCTGAACGAATGGCTTCGGCAACCGTCAGCCACCAAGCAGCCAATCGCAACCGCATCTCCGCACCCGCCCACCTCGGCGCCACGGGAACCAGTCACGGCGGCCTAGGTGTTCCTGCGACCCGACGCGCCAAGAGCATCATGGTCTCGCGCAACCTAGGAACCATGAAGAAGGCAAAGGAGGAGAAGCGCAGAGAACAACAGGCCCAGCCCAACGACGACATGATCCTGCGCATTCTGCGTATGCGACCCGAGGCGGCGGGCTATCTGCGGGATCGCAGTCGTCAAAAGGAAAGATTGGCGGCAGCTGCTGCGGCAGATGCCATTGTAAAGCAGAGTTTGATGGCCGGTGCAGGAAGCCGGATGAGTGGGATGATTCCCCGGCGATGAGTTGATTCTCTTTTGTTGCATAATATGTTTTGTTTCCAGCGATTGAAGGTTCTGATACCGCACATTTGCCTCGTAATATCCCTGCACTTTTATACACTGGATTAGCAATTCATCATTACACCGTTGGTTAGAATGTATGATATTGGGGTGGATCTTGACATGTTGTATACTGCAATCTCCAATTCCCAATCCTTATTGAAGACGTTGCTCTTTGCCTAGGCAAGCTGCAGAGCTGAGTCACCGGGAACCGATACGGTAGAATATCGACATCGGATGCTCATAGCTCTAACATCTTCCTTCCTGTACCTCTGGATATTAGCATTGAGTCAACCAAAGTTAACTCCAGTGTCCGTGTAATCCCGACTTAGGTACCTGAGGAAACCTTAGTCATTCTTATTTACCTGACTTCGCTCTCTCCCCCGCACCTATTCAACTCGCCATCAAAATGCATATCAACATCAACCTCACCAATCAACCGTCAGAAACACTCCTCCCACCCTCGGGGGCAGTCTGCCATGATCCAGTCACCGGGAAAACTCTCGCCCCCGAGTCAGAGCCCCAAACTAAACGACACCTGTACTTCGCCTACGGGTCAAACCTGTCCCCGTCACAGATGAAACAGCGGTGTACGATCAACCCAGCTCTCTCCTGCAACCCCGTGGCTATTGCCACCCTGTCCAAATGGCGCTGGCTTATCTGTGAAGCGGGGTACGCCAATGTCCTCCCACCGCCCGGGATGCGCGTGGGACCTCAAGACAGCGACATCGCGCACAAGGTCCCCGTCTCTGGGAAAATAGACGCAGTCTACGGGGTTCTTTACGAGATGGACCCTGATGATGAGTTCATTCTAGACGGGTATGAAGGTGTAGACCACCAAGCGGACGAAGCAGATGGGGCCAAAGTCCCAATTGAAGTCCGGCCGAAGGAGCAAGGAGAGGGAGACTACAACAAATGGTATTTCCCAGCGGAAGTAGTTAAGTGGATTGGAGACGATGACCATCCGCTGAAGATGGAAAGGGGAGAACTAGTTCCTACGCTTGTGTATGTGGATGAAGAGCGGGTGATCCTCGCACCGCCCAAGGCTGAGTATATCCCTCGGATGAACCGGGCTATTCGGGAGTGTGAGGCGCTTGGGGTTCCCGGGCATTGGCTTGAAGAAGTTCTGAGGAAGTTCATCCCTAAGGAATAAAGTAGGTTGCATATTATAGATCTCAGACTGAAATATAATAAAGCTAAAGCTAAACGTGCAGGGAGCAATATGCACCAAGGTATCCATGGATGAGTCCCCTAGGCATAGTCTAGAGTCATAGCCAAGAACAAATTAGATGAATCAAGCAATCAACAAGACAACAAATGTCGGTATTTGTCTATAAGTGGAAGAAGTGGATTTCATTAAATGGCGAGAGCCGGGTCTACGGCTCTACTCCAGCGCACAGCGGGGAGGCAATCTGCAAACACAAAACAAACTGCTTTATTTTCGTCAAAGTCGGATCGACTCGGTCTGGGTGTTCGGGAGTGGGCGGCTATAACCGGGTGCAGTGTGGGCTGTTGACCCCACTGCAGTAAACTTTTGGGATGTCATGGAAAGTGCGGCGAAATCGGTGATCGCCAGGGTCTGCACAAGTCGTGTTCGAGGCGATTAGGCCTGGCCCGAGAGGAGGGTGTAAACGGGAGCGGGGAGCTTGTCGCGGCCGTGGAGGAACTCGAGCTCGAGAATAAAGATGAACTCGAGCAGGTCACCGCCCATCTTCTGGATCATCTGACCGCCAGCAAGAGCGGAGCCACCTGTCTTGAGTTAATACCGGATCTTATCTGTACAACTATACACTTTGGACAGCACTTACCAGTGGCAATGATATCGTCAACGACAACAACCTTCTGACCAGGCTTGATGGAGTCGGACTGCATCTGGAAGAAATCCTCGCCATACTCCTTCTCGTAGCCCTGAGTGATACAGGGACCAGGGAGCTTGCCCTGCTTGCGCACGGGGACGAAGCTGGCGCCGAGGCGCAGAGCCAGGCTAGGGCCGATCAGGAAGCCACGGGCCTCAAGACCCACGATAACATCGGGCTTCTGACCACCGTAGGCCCCAAGGATGTGCAGCTCGAGGGAACGAATGAGAGCCTCATGCAGGGACGCATCGGCGAAGATGGGCAGGATATCCTCGAAGAGAATGCCCTTGGAGGGGAAGTCCGGGAACTGGCGAAGGGCGCCGCGCAGCTTTACCTTAAGACCGGCGAGTTCGGCGGCGCTGGCGGGATGGGAGGAGGAGTGCCTGGCGACTTGGGCGGAGGCATCGGGGGCGGTTTGGGACATGATGAAAAGAAGAGGGAGGAGAGCGAGGAGGAGGGGGGGGAGGATAACAAGATAGGTTTAAAAGAAAAAAAAAAAAATTTAGGTAGGTAAAATTACGGGGCGGGACAGCGGTTGATAATCGGATAAGTTTGCCCCTCCATCTGTAGCTCTATAGTCTTCCCTGTGATTGTCCTGATTCTACGTCTGAAACAACGTACGGCCTTTCTCTAGTACTAGTATCTCGCTATATATGCCGCTATGAATCCTCTATACGTGATTACACAATTGGGTCTCTAGACCAGGGGAGATACTATACGGGGACATGAGGATAGGAGCGGTCAGTGCAGATCCAACTATACGAGGTATCAGGTACCTAGAGCTCACATCGGTATGGCTGTAAAATTCCAAAAACTCCTCCTGTCACGCAATTCGAGCCGGTTTCTAGAACCCGCACATGCAGCTAGGGACAACAGGTGGCCGTGTGTCTGGCTGGGGGACCGTCCCGCTGCGGGCCTCGGCGCTATGGTGCAGCACGATGTTCCTACATGTAACTGATCTGCGAATCGCCCATCGCCAGCTCCGGCGAACCAGAATTCCCCTCTCCACCTGTTGCCTTGAGAGTTTCTAGTGACTCACATCCCAGGCCCCGGGCGGGATTCCAGACCGGTCGGAGAGAAGCCCTGGGTCTCAGACCATCTGAATGGGCCCTGCAGGGTTTGACACATCGTACAGACAAAGCCTCGAGTCGACGAATCATGCACTGCGGAGGACAGTGTATCTTGGCCCTGAAACTAGTCGCCCGCGGCCATTCGAGTAATCTGATGCAGGCATGCAGCACTAGCGAGGAGTTCTACTGGAGGGGCCGTTGATGGCGTCGGCTGGGGGGTCTGTTCTGCAGGTGATGGAGGGGTAATCTCGCTTTTGTGTGACAGAGGGGTAATTGCGTACTTATGTACCCTATCTCTATCTGAGTCTATTTTGGGCAAGAAAAAGAATAAGAAAAAAAAAGATAAAGATCGGCTCCGATCCGGAGTAGATGCCAAAATATATATCTCAGGTTGTTCTGTAGGAATAGCCGAACGCGGGGGTCGAACCCGCAACCTTGAGATTAAGAGTCTCACGCTCTACCGATTGAGCTAGCCCGGCAGGGCTTGGTGAAGGAACAAAGCAGGAATGGCATCAAGAAGCAAGAAACCCGGAAAATGGAGAAGATCGAGTCCACGGGCCTACATTGAAATGTATGTGGAAGAAGCAGGGTACCCTGGTCGGTCCCCAAGGTTATCCCCATTTACTGCAATGTAACTATCATCAGCATAGTGTGTCAATCTATAAGATTTAGCTGCAACTTGCCATGACTCAAGTCATTTTGAATATGTCTTAAAGTAAGTAAGTGTATTGTGGAGGTATATTTTGCTGCTATGATGGCCGGCGGTCAAACATTCCATTAATGCCGAGTGATCACCATCCATTACCGCTGCATTCTGTACAACGACGGGACTCCAGATTATACAAGAGCGACCGCTCGGTAAACCTATCTGTCCGTAGTAGCAAGTTCTACCGTCAAATGTTGCGAGCAACATCATCTCTGAAACACAGGCCTGGGCACTTCCGTGCCCTTCATTATATATATTGTCTTATAGCTACACACTCGGGGTATGTAGTATATTCTTGCTACCAAGATATACACGCCGAACAGCTAGAGTAGTGCGAAGACAAGTTGAGTTCCTCTGGCATTAGTTGAACCTATACAGGCTCCGCTCCAAAGTGCGAAGTATCGCGGTTGAGCATTGAACTATTGTCCAAGCGATATTTGAGTAGTTTGAAATCTAGAGTAGATTGGTCACACCACCGGTTTCACACATTCCTGATATGCAGATCATGCGTGGCAGCCATATGAGGCCATACATTGACGGATTCGAGGCCATCCCGACCCGGATACCACGTGACACAGCACGGGCCACCTCGCTTATTGTTTTTCCGAAACCGCGCAAGCTTTAAAATGTCTGCCTCCTCTTTCTTTCTTCTCACATCTTCTTGTCTTTCCATCTGGAGTTGAGCTCTCTTGATGCCAAATGAAGCTCTCCATCCTCTTGTAATATTTTCTGCTATCCAGTGACATGTCGCCAGCGCCGCTTGCCGAGGAGGCGCATGCTGATCCGCATCTGGACCAGCTGCAGGCCGTGGGCAAAGCGTTCGATGCCCTCCTACTAACCCTCTATCGGCTTACTCACAGACACAATGAACTCAAGCAACATACCGAGGAGGTTTTCAAACAGGTAAATACTCACCCCGTCTTATTTCTTGCCCCTTTCTTTTCCACCCCCCATCTCAAATGATGAGAAAATTTGATTAGCTCTAGATCAGTAGTCACATTATTGTGGCGGTGACGGATTAACATGTATTATCTGATTGAGATTTACCCTTGCCTTTCATTTTGCTTGACAACTTGATTATCTGCGGATGCTAACTCGCATTCTCTTCAGTTCACCAATGTCACTAGGCAGGTGCCTCCCCAAGATAGACCGCATGCGATGGAAGTGCAACAAACGTTATTGGATCAACAGAAAGAATTGTGTCTAGGCCTTGTGCACAAGTCGCGCGTCGAAGAACAGTCGCTGAATTCAATGGAAGTAATCAAGACGCTCGTTTCACACCAAAATGTAGACGAAAATGCCACCAGGGCCATCGTGGAGGGAGTCAAGGGCTACAAGGCATTGCTTCGCTCCCAAGATGGCCTATCCCAAATATCCTCTGTCAACTCCTGCATGTTTGCACGTGGACCGGATCCTTTCCTCGAACAAGACTTTACTACAAACGGTACCCAGGGTAACCTGCACTGTCCATTTTCCAAACCGAAATCACCGCGCCCAGGAAGCTCGCTGAACGGGAAGATGGACGGACCCAAGATCCGTGTGGACACCTGCGGACACGGTGATCTGGACCCTATCAAGGCGGAACAGGAGGAGCGACGCTCGAGTACCACGCCGTCTGCCCAACCGTCTGTCAACTCATCAGGCCAGTGCCCCGTTTCTCGTTGTCCGATTCGATACCTGGACAAACACTCGCCGGAGGAGATTGCGGAATATGTGGAAAGACACAAGCATGAGATTCCTCGGAGCCATGCTATCTGCGTCAAACGATACCAGAGAGATCCTCAGAACATGCGACAGCTGGATGCCAAGTACGGTGGCCTGATCAATATGATCAGTGGTCTCTCTGCCAAACACCAGGCCTTCCTACCGCAACGCCAAACCAATGGAGATGCAGACGGAGACGGAGAAGGCGAGGTCGAAGGCCCGGTAGAAGGCCTATCTCCACCCTCCGCCTCAACAGAACGGGTGGAGAAGTGGGCAGAGAACGTTGACCCTGAAACTCCTGGACCGAATCCCGCTCCGAATGACGATGACAGTCGAGAGAGTCGCTTCGATCGTCCGCTTCGTGAAGTCCGAGTAGGTGAATCCCCAAGCAGGCCTTGGGGTATTCCCGTGCCTCTCACCCAGCAAACCCCCGCCTCAGTACCCTTCTCCGGATCAGCGTCTATTCCCATACCCGCAGATGTGAAGTCACCGGAAGAGATCCCAGCCAAACCGGCCGGCCGCTGTCCATTCGGACATGGTGCCCCCAAGCCAGAACCTGCCCTTGAACCTGAACCTGAACCTGAACCTGAACCTGAACCTGAACCTGTATCTGTACCTGAACCTGAACTTGAACCTGAACTTGAACCTGAACCTGAAACTGAACTTGAACTCGGGTCTACACCCAAACTTGACTCGCCGTGGTCCAACTGGGGTAATGGCAACCAATCCAGCTCGCCATATGACTGGACCAAGGATGAGAAGGTTGCTCCGGGTGAAACAGGCGATGCCCCAAAGGCCGAGACAACCAACCCCGACTTCAACTCTCTCCCGAGCCATGTCACCTTCAATGGCCCAGTCTTCTTTGGATACTCGGCTGAGCAGACAGCCGCCCTGATGCAGCAACTGGGCCAATTTGGCAAATCCTAATTCTGTACACACCTGTATTCTCTTACATTGCGATGATTTCCCCAGCGCCAAGCGAACATACGACGACACGACTTTTCTTTCTGTATCATAGCGAATCCATTAGCAATGCTCATATTCTATGACTACTCTACCCCAATTCCAGTAGTTCCTATCGCTCAGATCTACTTCTACTACTTTCCCGACGCGACTGTCCGCGGGAAACCCCAAACCCAAAAACCCCACCAAAGAGCGGGGCTCGGCGGCAGTTCATTATAACACTCATCCCACCATGTTGCGCATCTCTCCTCGTCTTCACGCTCTCACTCGCACCTTCAATTCACGTGTTGCTTTACCTCGTCCTCAATTCATTCCTAACATTATGTCTGCCAACATGTCCATCATCTCTGCCTCGGCTGCCTGCCCTCGTAAGTGACCTCACTGGAGCTACTCCCCGGACTGTTTGCTAACAAGGTGCTTCATAGCTGCTGGTCCTTACGTACGTTCTTATCCTCCTTGATGTTCCCCAGGCGACATTATCGAATTGCCGCTTCCTACCCTATATATCACCCGATAAAGCCCCTTCATCAACCCGAATAAACCAGCACAACCTTACCCATGACTCGACCCATCCACACAACCTACAAGAGCCCCAATTAACCCACTCTAGTCCCAAGCCATCCGCGCCAACGGCCAGATCTTCGTCTCCGGCCAGATCCCCGCCGACTCCTCCGCCAACCTGGTCCAGGGTAACATCGGCGAGCTGACCCAGGCCTGCTGCGACAACATCAAGGCCATCCTTGACGCTGCCGGTTCCTCCGTGTCCAAGATCGTCAAGGTCAACGTACGTGTTTGAAACAAGTCACAAATCACAATAAAGGCGCTAGTACTGCTGATGCTGACGTGATACAATGCAGGTTTTCCTGACTGATATGGCCAACTTCGCTGAGATGAACGCCACCTACGAGAAGTTCTTCGTTCACAAGCCTGCTCGTAGCTGTGTTGCTGTTCACCAGCTGCCCAAGGGCGTGCCTGTTGAGATTGAGTGCATTGCCCTTGAGTAAATGCTAGAGTATAGAACTTGAATAAAATGGATTGGAGTATACTCTTGTGTTTCGTAGTTGTAGACGCATCCGTACAGAACTACCAAGCTAATACCTTGATTTGTATATGATATTGAAGTATGTTGAAAAGAAAGTGAGGGTTAGATATGTGCAATATTAAATTGCTCCGTAGTCTTGGAGAACCCAGCTCGGCAGCATGGCGGATCTGAGCCACATCTACAATCAGAACAGCATGCCCCCCCTCTGTCCTCCGTGTGAACATTTGAATGGCGTGGAAAGATGAGTGCTTCAAAGGTGTCAGGGTGTTAGGGTATCATGCACGTCTCGTTCAAAAGACGAAATAAGCCAAAGCACCAGGTACTAAGATGAAGAGGATGAAAATTGCTGATATGTAGAATGTATTTTCTTACTATCACCGGGTATATAATGCATTTAGATGATGTACAGGTTTGTAATGGGGACACCCCGAGAGCGCATTGAATACCGTCTCTTGATGCCGATGCCAGTCGCAACTTGCAGAAGTGCATAGGTTTCATCGCCGCCACCGACCATAAGCAGACTGACAGGGTTACTGCGCGGGATACCGCTAGCAGTCATTTGAGCCTCGTCGAGGTGGGGCCGTATCAGATAGGGTTCAGCACGAAGGGCGGCAAATGAAGAAGTCGGTGGTGAACTCTCACTCGATTGAGCCTCGGGATCTTCATCCGAAGTCTCTGCTGGTTCAGGAGTTGGCATTTCGTCATCATATGAGACGACGACTACCAACTTAAGGGACGAGCGCGAGGACCGGTAGGCGGCGACGTTGCGCAGTTTCTGAGAAAATGTGCAACCACCACGTTTGATGACGAGGACTTCGTGGTTCTGGACGACATCGCGGAGAATACGCTCGTGACAAAGATCGCCGGCAAAGTAGATCGATGACCATGTGAGACGGCTTGTGGTTGGGTTGTTGAACATAGACAGGGTGAGCGAGTCGTCCACGTCGGGGAGTGGGGCCGCTCCAACGCCCGTGGGAAGAACAGCAGGGAGACTCAACCGAACAGGAGCATTCTCGTCAGGGTTGTCGCGGAGTAAAGACGAAAACGAGCTAACCAAGTTCGACAACATACTTCTCACAGTGGAGTCGGGCGGGTCGACGATGGAGCTCTCGTCGACGGATGGAGCAGGTCTGCGGCGGCCGAGGTGAAGCTCTGAATCTTCCTGACGGTCTGAAGTCTCTGCTGCAGGCTGTTCAGCTCCAGGAGTAGCTGAGCCATTGTGTCGGCGATCGGGCTCTGCGAGAACGTCAACGACGAGATCAAGCATGGCTGTGTCGCGAACTCGTGTAAAGTTGGGGTCATAGGGATCGACAACATCAAAGGTGATCTGGCGCGAGAGATATACCTTCTCATCCTTTCCTAGAGGCACGTTGTTGACTACTTGCACCCGGTATCCGTCATCCTCTGCTCCGATAGAGCCTGCAAGTGGAACGTCTTGAATCATACTTAATCGTAGACCACCTATTGTTTTGATAAAGATACCGTCTCGAACTCGTTCCAATGCTCCGGGACCCAGGTTGACTCCACCGGGGAGAGATGGGAATGAGATGTCGAGGGTTGGGCGGACAGCCATCGGCGCGCTAGTGGCATCGAATGGAACGAGCTGAGGCGGCAATGTCCAAGGGTAGAACGTGTAGTTGGTCGGCGACGACAGATCAGACACCGATACACTGGGGTGATCAGAGGAGTTCTCCATGATAGGACCGCCATATCCACGACCGGGCCGGAGATGTAAACGGGCCAAGCTGGCGGCGTGGAAAATATCTGAGCGTGATGCAGTAGATGATACACCAAAGTTTGTACTCTGGATTGCTTGACAAACGCCTTCGAAGTCACTTTGAGGCGGCGACGGTTGCTTTTGGCGGGGCCGAGTCGTGGTCTTCTTCGGTATAATCAAGGGATGGCCTTCAGTGGTAAAAACCCACGGAGCATCGATTTTGTTCAGTGGATGCTCCGGAGTGAACAGGAGGAACATGTATTTGGCGGTTTCTCCAAGGAAGAAGCTTTCCATACGGTCGATCATCTCGCCGGTTTGGACATCTCGCAAACCCGCCCAACCACATTTAGTCCAGCAACGTCGCTTCAGGTCGCGAAGCACCATCTCGCCAACATGCAGATACCAGGGATCCTCGGTGGCGCGGTAGATATAGTAGGTCGACTCAATGAATTCGGGCCGACCACCATACCAAGAAAGGCCACCGTCGATATCACCAGTAGCGACGTTCCATCGCTCGGGAAGAGCAGAGAAGCGTGCCCAAATTGCAGTAGTCAAAAGATGAATTTGGATAGCTTCATCCACCTTGCCGTCCAGAGCAAGCAGACCAGGATAGTACGCACTCAGACTGTCGATCCAAAATGCGCGCGTGGCACCAGTAATCACGTCACCAACGACGAGATGGGGGTGTTGATACCCTTCGCCTCGATACAAATGTCGGTTGATCGAGGTATGCGAGTCTTCCCAGACTTGAAGAAAAGAGTCCGGGGAGTGCTGGTCATCTGTCAACGGCAGATAGTACTCATCCAGCACGCTCCAAGGACTCTCAGGGTCGAAAGGTGGCCTCTCTCCCTCGGAGAGGAGAACGTGGGACTTGAAGGCGTATTCATAGAAGCTGTCAATTCCAGCGCCAATCTATCGCCTTGTTAGCCCGCTCTTCCTATCGCTTTTGATCTCTTTAACTTACCCCGGAGTACGATCCCACCCATTTCCCACTCTCCGCATCAATGCCGAATCCAATTAGGCCGATTTCACTTCGATGGCTCCAGACCGCCCAAAACGCTCTCTTGGCCAATTCTTCATACCGACCATTCCCAGTGAGTCTACTCAGAACAGTAAACTCCAAGACCAAGCTACCAGCGCCGGCACTGCAAGTCTCCGTGACTTCTTCATCAGTAGCCAAGTAAGAGTACTTTGGTTTTTGCTTGGCGTCCTTCAATTTTTTCGTCTTCGCGTTCAAAGGAGAGTTCTCGTAGAAAGGAATACCGTGTCGCAAGTTCACTCGGGGGTAGGGCAGACCAGTCTCCGAATAGAATGTCGGCATGAGACGATCTCCCAGATCAACAGCCAATCGAAGGAGTTGACCATCGTAGAAAAATCCATTCCCCCAGTCGATACCACGGTCCTTCGTTGAATATGTGTTTTTGTCCCATGCGCCTGCAAAGGCGGCATCTCGTTCCGAGGGTTTGTATCCGGCAATGGGAAGTTCGCCAATGGCAAACAGGTGTGCGCTCAGCAATCCGCCTGGTCAAAAATTAGCCATTGAATCTCCAAAAAAAGGTCTGTCACACACCGAGTCCTCTAATAACAGTCTCAAACACCTGCACCTTGCTATCGATATCGAACCCTCTCGCCCTCTCACCCTGACCACCAGGGCCAGGCGAACCATCTCCATATAATCTCACAAAATCCTTCACACCGTTTTGAAACCGTGCAAAAGACCTCTCACCACTCTCAGGACTCGAAGACAAGATGGCCAGAGTGGACAAGCTGTCAATCAAGGTCAAGGAATAATTCCCCAAGACATCATTATGCTCATTATTCTTGTCGTCGCGGGTCAAGGGGCCACAAGTAAGCGGGCGCAATTCGTCTTCGGGAAAGGCGTGGTCAAGGTAATTCTCGAAGCCATGATAGAACATGCGCTCAGTTTCTTGCCTGTCACGAACGAAGGGGGTCAGCGTTGATACTCGCCGGTCAGAAGGTAGCACAAGACGCCATACCGGAGCTCTTTAATTTGATGATCCCGCATCCCGTGCGCCAGGGTAAGCCATAGCGACAGCAGGATGGCCCAGACCACCATCGTGCACGCGTGTCGGGGGTTGAACATCTGTAAGCTCCAACATCGCGTGCGCATCACCAGAGCGAGCCACAGGGCATGGAAGGAGGGCAGACGGGGGTGTCTGACAGGGCAAAGCAGGTAGGTAGCAGGTCCCCCAGGGATAGATTGAAAGGGCCCAGAGCTGGTGGAAGGAGGTGGTCGGGGAAGCGGGTGCGGCCAGATAAGCAGGAATCTTTTTTGCATTGTATCATCGGTCCCTGGTCCACATGGAGAGAGTATATACTATACATACAATAATGTTTGATGTCCCTTTCGACCGGCTTCAATTATTGAAAGCCACCTTTCAATCAACAGTGAAATACGCTAGATGTTATCCCTCTGGATCATAAAATCACCACTTCTACCCCTTCGATGGGGTAATTATGGAGAACAGCGGAAAAGAGGACCATGCTGTGGACTTAGCTTCTGGACGTTCACTGCGCCCAAGCCATTACAAGCCATGGAGGTATGAACATGAGAAATTAACATGAAATTGATAATTAAGCAATTCTTGATAGACATGACGGATGTCGGAGGGGGAGAAGAGTCACATCTTCTCGATGATATCTTCAGCGGTCTGGTCTGTCCCGAGCTCGTCTTCCGGCACTTCTTTGAGCACTCCTGGGACTTGATCATCCAACACTCAAATGTAAGCAGGATATTAAAGGTGGAATATACTTTCACAGCCACTGTCGGTACCTGATCCACATAATGATTTGAACGACCCGAAGAATCCCGCAGAGGTAAATGGACCCACGCAGCATGTTGATGAAAAAGTTATCATAGGGTGTAAGAGGGCCACTGAACTTGATGGGGATGTAAACGAAGACGACTGGATCATTCAATTAGCGGCACTATGGCTTGTTATCTGGAAGGCAGAGTCCTCACGAGTCAACAGAAGAGTTACTCTGCAGAGAAATTCAAGCCTCTTAACTCGTTCTCGGAAGGCGAGGTCTTGGTTGAGCTGAAGTCGATTCATTTCATTGCCGGTATGGATGAGGATGGACAGGTCTGGTAGCTAGAATGGAGAGAGCTCGGGAGGTCGAGTAGCGAGATTGCATAGAGGTCTGAATGGGAAGGGATTGAACAGATGCGAGGATGGAGTTGGAGGAAAGAGCATTTGGGTACTGGGGAAAGAGCGGTACAAGTCGGAATGAGCATGGAGCTTTCAAGAAGCATAGCATTGAGATCTACGAGGGCCATACCGTCATTTTCAAGTGGTCTCAATCTATGTTAATTCATGGGCATCGATCTATATCCTGGAGGCTGGTGCAAGCTTCACATGTTCTTGGTCAATTTCCAAAACAGGGATTCATCGATGAATGTTTTTATTGGAAGTAGCCGAAATGTTGACAACAAAGACGAATATGGTAAGAGGGAAGGTAAGATGCAGATCAAAGCAAAGATATAAGTGGGAGGTGAGAACACCCGCAGCACTGATCTGTGAACGCATCGACCAGTGACAGAGCTCTTTCATGTTTTGTTACGATGTTTACTTGGAGTTTTCTCAAGGAGCATGTTCGGATTTATATGTAGTTTCAATCCATTCGGATAAAGCGGATCTTGATATACATTCCAGACAGGCGAGGCGACGACATCAAATAGCTCTTTCCATGACGGGTCAGCTCTTCAGAGCTACTTCCAAAGGTATTCGTTGAAAGAGTGGGCGAAAATAAGGACCGTCAACAGGCTGGCCAAGCATTCAGTGCTGACCCAGAAATAGAAAAAGAAATCTCCAAAGGTAAAGTGGTTCAAGGCTCTCAATGCGGCGAAGTGGATGGGCACGAAAATGAAGAGAACTGTAACGTTCAATCAGCTGGTGGTGAAAGGATCCAAGAGGCAAGCAAGGTGCTCACACAAGACGGTGTTTGCCAACATTAAGAGATATTGAAAAGCGATGCATCTTTCCCAAAAGGCCATTGTGGTAGTAGTGGTTGTTGATGAAGGTGATAGATTTGGATGGAGATAACTGAACGACTCGGATGGTCAAGATGTTTGTGAGAGGTGAAGGATTACTTCAGGGTCAGACCTGTGCCAGGGGATAGGTATGAAGAGATGAAGGTAGGAAGGCGCGATGGAAAGTTCTCGTAAGTGTAGTATACATATGCCTTAGAGATTTAGATGTTCATTGTGATCAAATCAACGCCCGCTTATCCGTTATTACATGTTTTAGGTATCTCTGATGCTCATTTGCCAAGTTCTCCGAGCATTAAGTTCCGATCAGACGAGCACGAAACAACTGCAGCTGGTTAGCCAAAATTCCATTATGTCCACAGGTGAAGAACTTACTGATTGGCTCATCATTAGGCGAGAACCGGACGTCGTTGACCGTTCCCTTGTGACCGGGAAGCTTGTACAGAAGCTTGCCAGTCTTGGCCTCCCATACCACCACACTTTGGTCACCGCTACCGGCGGCAATCTTCTCACCCTTGGGGTCCCAGCTGGCACGGATGAGGTTCTTCTCTAGACCGACGGGGGCACCGTCGAAAGTTCTGACCTGTCGATTGGCCGGGGCGAAAGGTCGGATATCCCATGTTCTGACAGTCGAATCGTGAGAGTTGGATAGAAGAGTCTGTGAGTCAGGCGAAATCTGCAGCGAGGTAATGGTGTCGGTGTGTCCGGCCATCGAGTAGACCACGGCCTTCTTGCGCAAATCCCAGACGTGGATGGTGTTGTCAATGCCACCGCTGTAGATCTCGTTTCCTTGCTCGGACAGTGCAACAGCAGTAATGGGGAGGTCAGTCTCGAGGTAATCCAGAGCATCCTTCTGCCGGGGATCCCAGATACCAATGCATCCATCATCACTGCCGCTAACTAGCAATTCTTGCCCCCGTTTGCTAATGTCGAGGCAATTGATGATCTCTTCGTGACCGACATGGCGACGTACACGCTCGCCAGTTTCCACATCCCAGCTTCCGAGTGTTGTGTCTGCCGATGCCGAGAACAGTGCGCGGGAGTCGCGTGCCCATTGTAGGTCCAGAACCGCTCCCTTGTGCCCTGTCAATTGACCATAGTTTTCGCATTGCCCGTATGTGTTCCAGAGCACTATTGAAGATACAAAATTAGCGAAATATTCTGGGGACTCGCCAGAATGGGGGAAACATACAGATGGATCGATCCATTGAGCCAGATGCGATGTGCTGCGCAGTCGGGTCAAACCGCACTGTGAAAACTTCCCCAGAGTGACCTAATTCTCCCATCAGACTGAACTTTCGACTTGGTTGGAAGCGCATCTTACCTGTGAGCTCCATGATAGGCGCATTGAGGCCGCTTGTGCGAGGAATCTGTCCATGAGGTAAGCTGATATTCCGCATGTCAATCGCCTTCAATCGGGAAGCGAGGATAGCATACAGATTGGATGAGAGCTCCATTTTGTGCCGAAGAACCCTTGACCAATGCGGTGCCGGGGTTGAGGTCGGCGTCGGCTTTATTCCTCTTGACCACAAGCTGGTTCGTAGACCCGAAGGCCGCCTGAGCAGGGCGTTTTTCTCCCGACATATTTGCTGTATAGACTCGTCAAAGCCCCTGTCAAAAAAGGGACCGAGACCGAGTAAATGGGATTTCGAGCGTGGTCGTGGCGGAGTGCAGAGAAACCCAGATGAGGCCTTGCGCGGGAAGAACAATGATCCCACCTGCGCTAAAGGCGGTGAGCGCGACTTTGTGTACGGTGACAAGCTTCAGCAGTTCGGACTCCCCGCAATCAAAAATTACGTTTACGATCAACAGTCGCATTTGCCTGTTCCTGCACGGGAACTTTCATTTGACCTCTTCATAATATCTCAGTGGATTCAGTTCCACCTGAGCAGCCATGTCAACCACAAAGGCCTCCAGAATAGGAGAAGAGTAAGTTTACCTCACTGTCGCATGAATGCTATGCTAACCTGATGCCCTACAGGATATGGAAGTCAGTACCCAAATTCCCCCATGATAACGCTTAAACACGAAGCATCCCCGACTCAGCTGCAACAAACCTCCGACCACGGGCTAACCAGCTTTCCCCAGAACGAGAATCGATAAAGTCAATGCGGAGCTGGTCACATTAACCTATGGCACCATTGTGGCACAATTATGCCAAGACTACGACAGTGACTACAAACAAGTGAATCAACAATTGGACAAGATGGGTTACAATATCGGACTGCGATTGATCGAGGACTTCCTGGCCAAGTCGGGAGTGGGACGCTGTGCCAATTTCCGCGACACGGCAGATATGATTGCGAAGGTACGTACGCGGAGAATAACCAGGGGCACGCATGTATCTTACATTCCAATTAGGTGGGCTTTAAGATCTTCCTGAACGTCGCGCCGACAGTCACCAATTGGGCGAGCGACAACAACCAGTTCTCGCTTATCTTTGACGAAAACCCCCTGGCGGACTTTGTGGAGCTTCCAGATGACGGGCGGGCGCAGGACGAGCTGTGGTTTTCGAATATTCTATGCGGTGTGCTTCGTGGCGCACTAGAGATGGTAAGTTCCCCTGAAATTTAGCACCTGGCGGACAGGTTCCTTCGCGCTGGGTCCGATCACTGACCCGGACACCAGGTACAAATGCAGATTGAAGCGCACTTTGTGAGTGACGTGCTCCGAGGCGACGATACTACCGAGATGCGGGTCTCACTTGTCCGATACATCGAAGATGAGATGCCGCCAGAGGAGGAGTAAGATCGATTGCATTAGGACTGGCGTTAGGCTTTTTTTCTTTTATTTTATTACACTTTCCCCCCCCCACTAGCTAGGGAAGTGAATGGCGAGAATGAATTTGATTCATGATGATTTCATGATCTAGACTGAAATATTCCGTACCTGTAGCGATTTCGCGAGGTTAGGGTTTGTGATCTATCGTGATGTAGGAACGTCCCCCGCCACGCGTATTATCGGCATCGCGAACCAAGATAGACTTTGAAACCGCGATGGCGGGCCAGCCTGGGATATCCCTAGATTGTATGAAAGTGGTAGTTATTGTCGTTACTCTAGGCTATGTAGTCCAAGTACTCAGTAGTACTCCGTACCGTGAAGTAAGTCAAGAGGTGTCGGAGTGGTGTAACATTACCGTATCTTTGATACTGATCTCCGCCCCTCCGTTTCTCATTTTCCTACAGATCGAATTTCTCTCTTTCGCAACTTCCCACCCCATTTCCTTCAAGCCATTATCTGTGGCTTTTTGGGATTTCCGATTGGCTCGATCGTCGATCTCTCAAGTTGTGTGGAAGCACTCTACTCTTTTAGACTCCCGCTGGGATCCATCGCAGGGCTCCATCGCGGTATAACATCATAATCAGTCGCCTCGTCGTTTTGTCCCCTTCGCCACCCAAAAATCCCTTTTCTTCCATCGATATTCCTGGCTATAGAGATTCCTCATCTTCATCGTCTGCGATATCCTCATCATTCAAAACGGCCAGCACATTAAATGCGCCCACTGGTGCATGCCCAGAAATACGCCTGACAGTGCCGTCCCCAGCCCCGGAATCCGAGGTTGATCCGCTCCGAGCAAGCGATTCTCCCGCAGCGCGCAGAGAGTCCAGTGTCCGCCAGTCCGCCCGTACCCCCCGGCTCCCTCTCCTTCCACTGTAAGATCCACCTTCACTTCGACCCCCCTGTGTCTTTTTTTCCTTTCTGGTCTTTTTTTTTTTTCCCTCTTCTTCTATTGCATGTCAGCTTCTACACTTCCTGCGAAGCCTGCCCGATAGGCTTGTCTGGTAGCGCCCTCCCCCAACCTCCTCGCCTGTCCACTTTTTCCGCCTCCTTAGTACATCCGTCATCGAAACCCTATCGACCGCGCATCCATCATTTCCGGTCTCCTATTGAGCGTGGCCTTAATCTGACCCTTATCAGACTCTAGTCGTTGGAGTATATCCCTCGGCACCTCCTGCGCTGTCCGCGATTATCGGGATCGTTCGATTTTCCCTATCTCGTCGCGAGGCTCGTTCGCCCTCCCCCCGGGCACAGAACCTCCCCGACATCCGCACACTTGGATCGCAACACAGCGGAATTGTCGATAGCGAAGTTATAGCATTTGCGCGGTTATACTTCACGCGTGATACCACAACTGAGCCTCATTCGGCTTTAGCCCCAGCCCCGAAACGCTCACCGCTTCGGATCCCCTCTTCGTTCCCACGCGTTGCTCCTTCCACCCCGCGTTAGGCTTGATCGCCTGAGTCGGTGGATGCGCGCTTGGAACTTATCGATATTCTCGACTTGAATCGCCCCGCAGACTCTTGGCAAAGGTGGCTGCAGTCCCACCATTCGCCACCATGAACCCGATGAACGTTGCTGGAATGAACCCGGGGGTTGGAGGCCCTGTCGGCGGTGTCCCCATGATGAACAACGGCTCCACGGCTCCTCGTAATGACGGCAATGTGAACATGAACACCCCCGAGCTCATGATCACCAACCTCAACACTTATATCTATGACTACTTTTTGAAACGTGGTTACCACGAATGTGCCCGCGCCCTCGTCCAGGACGAATCAATCAAAATCAACACCGACAATGGCCCCAAAACCAGTCCTGGTAGCGGAGTGAACGGCATCGATGGCGATTCCATGATGACTGACGGCAAGGACGGCGAGAAGATTAAAATCCCTGAGGATCTTCCTCGCCCTAACCTGCCTAACGAAAGCAACTCGTCCTTCCTCCTGGACTGGTTCAGCCTCTTCTGGGAGTTCTTTTGGGCCCAGCGCCGGAAGGGTTCGCAGCACGACGTCCGAAATTACCTACAACACACTCAGGTACGGACAGAAATGCTTTTGGCGTAAACACACCCACCGGTATCTAACTGCATAACAGAACATGATGCGCCTTCGGGAACAGCAGCACAATCAGTTGATGCGGCAACAGCCTATGATGCCTGGCCAAGTGCCTTTGAACATGCGACGCAACGGCGGCATGGTCCCTCCTAACCTGCAGAAGACTGTATTGCAGAACAACACCGCTGGCCTGTATGCTCCGCCTCGAAAACTCGGAGTAGGTGTGATACTGACCAGACCATTTTCCCTCTAGCTCGCAACAGCAACTCCAGGCCCAAATGCAGAAGACGCAGCAGATGCAAATGATGCCGCAGATGCAACGTGAACAGTCCGAGATGGACATGATCGGGAATCGGCCGCAATCACCTGCATCTGCTGACAACGCCCCATCGCCATCGAAACGCCCGCGCCTCGAGAACGGACAGCAGTTGGCCCCCAACGGCCGTGGACAAGGACAGGGAATGCAAGGACAGCCTACCCCGCAGGCCCTGATGATGCAGAACGGAATGCGCGCTGGTATGAACCAAGCGCAATTCCAGCAGTTCCAGGGACAGGCTGCGCAACAGAAATCCATGCAGGTATATGCTCAAAACTTGGCTTTTCATCACTCGCGCTCAACCTCAATTTCCCAGGGTATTCCGAATGGTGGTATGATGAACCCCGGCATGATGCAGAACCAGACCGACATGGTGGCGATGCCCGATGGCCAAGGAGGAATGTATTCTATGGGTCCCGAGTACTACGCTTCGAACGGTCAACTGCCTGGTGGTGTCCGGCCTGGTATGCCCACACCTGGCGGTCAACATGGCAACCACGCGCTTCAGGACTATCAGATGCAGCTGATGCTGCTTGAACAGCAAAACAAGCGTCGTCTGATGATGGCTCGCCAAGAACAAGACACCATGGCCGGCCGTGATGGCCAGGGGCCGATGCCCGGCCAGGGAGCCCTGCAGCCGGGTACTTCCCCTCAAGGTAGCAGGACTGGCGCATCCCCCAACCCGAGCGACCAAATGAAGCGAGGCACACCCAAGATGCCTCAGAGCGGTCTTCCCGGATCGCCTAGTGCAGGGGATATGCAGAACCGTGGCTCGCCGGGATCTATGAACCTCAACGGCGGACAAATGCCGCCCGAAATGGCTGCTAACTTCTTCCCCGGTGGACCAGGAATGCGTCCCCCCCCAGCTCGAATCCGGCCTTCAGCGGACCTCAGATGGGCCAGCCAATTCCCGCCAATGGCAACCGTGTTCCTAGCGGGCCATGGCAGCCTGGTCAGCCTATGCCGCAGCATTCACCTGCAATGCAGCCTCAAGCCGGCACACCTCAGGAACGAGGCAATATGCCTCCGCCTCAGGCGCCTCCCGGTGCGGGCCCTGCGGGCCGCGCCCAGCCACCATCTCCCCAGACGGCCGGCAATGCGCCTCCCACCCCTCAGCAGGCTTCTAAGGCAGCGCCCAAGGGCAACAAGAAGAAGCCTAAGGCGCCCGCTAAGGGTAACAAGGCCAATGCCAACGCCGCCGGTGCCACGCCATCTAATGACTCAGCCGAGCACGCGCAAACGCCCACTCCGTCCACTCCCGCCACGCCTCATCCTCCCAACTCCTTCAACAAGGGCGGAGCTAATGCCAATGCCAATGCGCCACCTCAGCCAACCACGGCTCCTGCTCAGCCGCCAATGGTCCAACCGGCTGCGGATCAGACCCAAACCTTCCAAGATCTTAACCCCCTTGATGTACGTTCTTCCAACCTGAACAATCTGGTTCAAGTACTAACTTCCACTAGACCAATGCTTTCAGCCTTGATTTCAGTGCTCTAGACAACCCGGACATTCTGGAAAGCTTCGACTTTGACACTTTCCTCAACACCGATGCAGACGGGACTGGCTTCGGATTCGACCCGAACATGCCATACTCCACAGACGGTGTTGAGACTGGGGCCAGTGACGGCCTTTGAATGATGAAAAAGTCTTGACGGTTCTCTCCAGGTGTTTAAACCTCCCGATATACCCTTGTTTTGTGTACATTCTTCTCGATTCTACTTGCGTTCTGATGTTCCCGCGGATACTCGATACTCGATTCTCGCCTCTGTTGATTCATGTCCCACTCTTTCGCGCGCATGTGTGTATACATGCAAAATGTGAGATTGGCGTTGGTGTACTTTGTGGTGTTCGCATTAACCCATTTATCTCTTTTCCAAGCTTCAAAGCCAGCCCTACTTGTGCTGGGAACCCTATCCCTGTATTCGAGACTAGTTGCACTGTGACCTACGAGTTTTGCTTCTCTTCTTTCTTTCTATTATTACTTACCTTATTCCTCGTGTGGTTACTTAATTCTTGCTCATGGCCCCCTCCCATGTCCAGTATCCCAGCTCTACGCAGCTATTTTTCCTTTAAGTGGACCCTGATCTTTGCTTCCAATTTCTTCTGTGATCTTGACCTTCATTTCATATTTTTCATTTTTTTTTTCCAAACTTCTCTATAACCTCCAGCATCGCGCTGCTCTCTTTGAATCATTTTCTTTTCTTTTCTTTTCTTTCCTTTCTTTACCTTTCCATTTTGCTCACATCGAAAAACCTCATCAGCAAAACGAATCCGAACCGAACCAATTGAGGGAGTTATAGGGGGATAAACCAGAACATTTGACTTGACCTGGAAGAATGAAGATGAGAGCTTATGAGGGATGATATGTGGACGAGTAAATACCACTCGGGTGTTGTGCAGTTGGATACCTAGCGGAACTGGCTTCTCGCAATGCTATGTCTTTTCATGTTTGGGATTTGATTGAATTCTAGATGGATTGTAGGGAGTAGAATTTGTTTACATTAAGGGGTTAATATCTTGAAAGGGTATTTTCTGAATAGGGAGTTGAAATATGGTAGAGGAGGTTATATTGTGCCTATCCGTGATCAGTTGTCATCAGGTTTTAATAATACTCACAATTCTCCTTGACTATTCAGCTATACATGTCGGATGTACATACGAACTAGAGTGGAAAGCATGATCGTACATTTTCAATTAAAAGACTTCATAACAGTGGACAATGTAAACCCGATCAATCCCTGCACAAGCGTTAAAACACATCATCTCCACGGGACATTATCTCTGAAACCGATCCTCAATCTCCATCTCCAAGCTACGCAAAAAAGGAAGTTCATCACGGTATTCATCGCTGCAGGGAGAGATGTCGGCATCTTCCCTGAGAAATTGCAGCAAGTATACGATGACCTTCTGAACACCCAAAGCATGGGCTTCATTGTGTGACATTAGTGGAATGTCAGCCAGCCAAATAGGGCTTGCACGACTCAAGTATGGATTTTTAGAGTCGAAGGAGGCGCGGATGACGTGGGGAAATCGTGGGCTGTCTTCGAGGTTTGGAAATTGGTTGATTGCTGGGATGCCGATCTTGAGAACATGGCAGAATCCTTGATCATGGAGTGGTTAGTTAAGGTCGATGTGGGGATTCCGGGTTCAAGACTTACGTTCTAGTAATCGCCAGTAAGAGGCAGTGGCATGAAGTTCTCGCAGCGCGGTCTCAACTTCCTTGAGCAAGGACAGCTTATCTTCGACCTTCTCTTCTTCTTCAGCGAGATGAGAGATTCGATTGTTTAGTAGCGGTATGAGATTCGAATTTGGTCTTTGAGGGTTTGAAGGTTGCTTGGTGACAAGGCGATTCGTCTTGGCCTGCTGAAGTGGAGGATTTGGTTCCTGCTTTGCTTTTTGCGGGGGCTTCTTCTTCTTTCCTCCTCTTCTTCTTACTCCTCTCTTCGTGGCCCTTCGTAGCTGCACCGGAGCCAGCGGGCCTGGAGCCTTAGTCTGAGCCCTTGGATGCCGATTTTCGTTTGGACAATTCATCATCAAGTGCTGCAGGTCATCTTCGAGAGAGTTAGCAAAGTCCTGCTCGAGAGAACGAGGCAGATTATCATTCTCAACAGGCAGGGTGAATGGTTTGACATCGGACTGAGGCACGATCGGTTTCAAACCAGGAAGTAGATCTCTGTTGGACGCATGCTTCGGTGGATCGGGAGAAAGAATAGATCCTGGACTCAAGTCCACTTCAGCGATGAGAAGCTGGTGCATCGCGATATGGGCCACTGTATTCTGAGCCTCCCCTAAGGAGACACACTGTCGGGCAGAGCGGAAAACCCGGTCTTTCACAATAACATCGCAAAAGTACTGAGTCTCCAAACGGCACTCAACGTACTGGGGGCTTGGAAATCCTTGGGCCCGGCAGTAATCTGGTTGGAACTTAGCATGATTGTAGGTCTTCCAGGTCGCCAATCTTCGCCCCTTAGGAGAGATACTTGGCTGCGAAGTGAAACAACACTCACCCTGCACTATCTGTACCCAGCTCCATTCAGGTCCAGATGGTCCATCTATGGGCTGGGGCGGGAGGATCCAACTCGAATGGAATTTGCGTAGCTTTTCAAGACCATGGCGGCAAGCGATGATACGCACGGCGTTGGCATCCTCCGAGACAGGCTGAATGACCACAGTGTGGCCATAGATCTGGAGACGAACCCCGATCTTCCCATCAGGACCATACTTGTATGTGAAACAAGGTCGGAGGTCAGCTATGACCCCAAGGATGCCAAATGTGAACAGAACAGCGGCTGTTGTCATCTTCTTGACGTCAATAGATCCGAGTCGGATCTTGAGAATGTGTCAGTGACATTCTATGAAAGGAAGTACCACATACCGGCTCCGAAGTGACACTGGACTCAAAGATCTGGCCCTCTTCCAGCCGAGCGAACGGATCTCCATGCGAAGGCCGCAATGGAGAGACTCTTGGAAGCTGAGAAGTCAACACTGAAGCAGATGAGGCTGACTCTGTCATAGCAGCAAGAGAGAGCTGAGGAAACATATGGCTCGTGTTGATCTCCTCGTCCTCCTGCATAGGCCGGGGAATCTGAAAAGTCTGAACAGGAAGGGGATAATCAGAGAGAGGATACTGAACGTATTCCGAATTTCGAAAAGAAAGAGAATCTCCAGTAGATCCATCCCCTTGAACCGACAAATAATCATGAGCAGAGAGACCCTCAACAGACCCAGGCTCATTCTCAACAATGTTCACATAGTGAATTTTATTTGAATTTCTCAGGTCCTGAACAGATCCAGAAGCCTGCACAGACATAAAGTTATGAGCAGCCTCTCCATGCACAGTTTCAATGTGTATAGATTCTGGAACCTCCACTGATAGAGATCCATCTCTCAGTGGAGTGAACATGGTTTGAGAGGCAAGGGAGATGGAATTAGGAAAAAGCTGGCAAGAGAAAGGGAAAAGGAAACGGAAGAAGAATAAAACGATGAAAAGTAAACAAAAAGTTGAGCACTTCTACAATGAGAAGGAGCAATACTTTCGAATTTATCCAGGGAAGTAAGAAAACCAGGAAGGCACAATAGACCATCTATTACTTACGTTCTGTGATGCATGTGCATATACTCATGTAATGATATTATACGAACGAGCCGGTAACGTAAAGCCGCCCGAAAAGTCACCCAGAGAAACACCCAGAACGCAGGCCTACAGCGTGGAGGAGATAGAAATAGCATCCTCATCCTGCCCCGAAACCTCTCGACTGTTCTCCTTGACAGTCTCGGCAACCCGTTGGGTCGACTTCTTGGGTGTCTCTTGAGTATCATCCAGAATGGAAACCTCCTTCTTGCTCTTGATGTTCCCACTGGGACTTCGGCCGAGCTTTGCTGCGTTGATTGTTGCCGATGGAGTGTTGGAGGGAGCGCGGACGCCGCCAGCTTTGGTTGGGGTGAGCGCCTGAATCAGCATGTTGTATTGATCGTCGTCCATGTGGACTTGCTCGTAGCTGTTTCCGGTATCGCTTGAAATGACGCGGCTGCTGGCTGAACTGCTGGAGTAATCAGGCATGGGGATATCTTCACGAGAGGATCGGGCGCCACGCTGGCTCCATCCACGCTCACGCTCGTTGAAGAGTGATGTTGGTTCGGCGAATGGCTCAGAGAAACGGTGATTGACGTTGGCGTATCGAGGGTCTTGATCACTCCACGTCTGTGGCAGGGGGAAAGGCCTGGTTTGGGCCCAGGGGTTATAACTTTGTGGGACACTGGGCAGGCTCATGGCTGCGAGACGTGGTCCAGACTTGGAGGGAGAGTGGCTATGGTCATCGGCTGCCTTGGGCTCACAAGTACCGGTATACTTGAACGCAGGTCGAGAAGGCGCCCACATAGATGGGTTGGGCCAGGCGATAGTGGAGTATTCGAGTATATCTGAATATTCATGTCAACAAGATCCAGAAGAGCAGTAGAGTGGACTCACGGAGTGGAGCGTGTTGGAAAGAGAACATGATGACATCTTTGAATCTCTCAAAGGGGGGGCGAGCGATGAGGACGAGAGAATCCTTCGGCAATAACGAGACGGATGCGACCGTTTGAATCGCCTGCATCCCAGTGGCGTTGATCCAAGATTTCGCGGTGGAAAGAAGGAAAACGGAGTGCATCCTGATTGCCTTCCCGGTCGATGTGAGAACTGAGGTCTTTGAAGGTCAACAAAGAACAATCAAGAACAAAGGACAAATCACTCACCGATCACATAAGGCCATTGGGTTCGCTGAGAAAAGAATCCAGCCCTGAAGAGTCAGTTAAGTTCAGATGAGTAGCTTCAGCACTCACGCAACACATTGCTGATCCACAAACACGCGCGCTTCATACATGAGCAAGTCATCTGGCTGCATCATGCCCTCGATGAGACGAGACGGACGAGGTTTCTCCCAAGAGTGTATAGAGAAGCGATAGGGGCTGTCCTTGGTCATGCTGGGGATAAAAGTGGTGAGAACAGGAAGCTGGCCATAATTACCTTGAACAGGATAATAAGAATGACCAGTGGATACATTTTGCAGGTAAGAGGATTCCGTCTCCCTTATAACGAAGCATTGGGTCTTGAACTCTTGCACGGGCACCTTGGTGCCCTCGGGAAAGATGAGAACATCCCAGTTTTCATAACGCATGATGGTGGATGAAGATGAAAGAGAGATGCACGAGGTTCAGGAAGATATGGAAGTTCGTGGGAAGCAGCCCCGAGGAAGGAACGATTACTTACCACAGTGATACCTTCTTCATGTCATCCTGGACACGTTCAAGATTGAAAGACAATTTTCAGAAGAGATAAGGTGTCTTCAATGATTTCATGTTGGAAAAGAATGCCCAACAAGATGTGGGAGTTCATCATCTTCGTTGAGAAGTACCTAAGGAACTAATGGATTATATTTATCAAGAGCTTATGAAAAGCTGGCCATGTCGACATAAACTTAGCTAAGGACTGCAAAAGTCAAGTCCAGGAAAATCATTAGAGCAGAGACAACTAATTCTACATCATATATAATCAAGGCAACATTGAAATGAATTCTCTTCCCTCAAAAGACAAACTCAGCGAAAGGGGGGAATCATCCGGCAAAACGCCTCCAGAGTACACCTTGGCCAAGAGTTACAGTACGGGCCTCTCCATTTCTCTCGTATCCAGAAAAAAACATCAGCTACAAGCATAAGCATCGCTGGCTCAACATCTCCATCTCCATCAAAACCAAAACACGACAAAGAGATGTTGTACATTCTAACAACCAAAAGAAAGAACACGACTCAGCGAACATAAATTCAATTTGGCTGCTCAATGTGGAAACGGAACAAAGGAAAGGTGAAAATGGAACTTTTCGCAGAATGCCTGCCCAAGGAGTATAGAGTAAAGAAGAAACGCATGAACAATACGGACTTTCGTTACACGCGAACAGGACCCCCTAGGGCCGGAGGAATCGTGAAAAAGAGAATAACAGCATAGCATAAGTGTTTGGAGAGGGACATTGAGATAAAGAAAAAAAGGGAAGCAGATACGAGGGGATAGGTGGAATACAGAAGGTTAAAAAAAGGGTGTTGGGGGAAAAAAGAAAGATGGGTAGAGATCCGGGTGAACATGGGGCAAAAAAGGAAAAAGTGGGAGCTCAGATCTTGCTAAGATAAAAGCGCTCAGGGAAATGCGTAGCACGGGGACGTAGGAGAAAGATGCCCATCAAGAGCTATAGAGGAGCGCTCAGACTCGGCAAAGGGGAACTCAGGAATAGCAAATTTGTCATGACACAAAGGACCTATCATTGGAATGACGCAAACAACTCCTGCTGGTGCTTTCAATCAAAGGAACGCTTACTGGAGAGAGAAGAAATGAGTCAGCCGACCGAGCCTGTAACTCAAGAGTGTTCGGGGGCCGGGCTGCCGGGGTGGCTGCTAACCTTCATCGGGGCAAACCCGCCATACTGGTGGGCCGGGGGCATGCCCATGGAGGGGTACATGGGGGGAGGCGGGGGGCCGGGCGGTAAGGGCTGCCAGCAGGGCCGGAGTTGTTCTGGGAACGACCCCAGCTCAGACGGACGCGCGAGTTACCGATGGGGTATCCCTGCATCTGGTTGATGGCCATCTCGGCAGCGTGGCGCTGGACGAACTGGACGAAACCGCAGCCCTTTCCAGGGGGGATCTTGACGTAGGTGATCTCGCCGAAGCCCTGGAAGAAAGAGCGGAGCTCATCCTCGGTCACGTAGCCCGACAGACCACCGACGAAGACGGTAGTGTTGTTGGGGTCGGTGAACTGGTTCATGGGCTGAGGAGCACCGTAGAAGCCCATGGGGGGACCGCCCATCGGGGGATACATGCCGGCGGGGCCGGGCATGCCCATGTTGGCAGCACCAACACCAGGACCCTTGTTCTTGGGGGTGGCGGTGGAGATGCGCATAGGGCGGTTGCCGCAGTAGACACCCTGCATCTCGGTGAGAGCACGCTGCTGGTCGTTCTCATCGGAGAAGCGAACGAAACCGTAACCACGGGACATGCCGCTGATGGGGTCGGTCATGATCTTGGCGGACTTGCACGAGGGGAAGCGGCTCTGGAAGAGCGAGACGAGAACGTATTCGTTGACCTCGGGGCCGAGGTCACCAACGAAGATGGAGTACTCAGGACCACGGTCGTCGCGGCTAAGAAGAGTCAATATCAATTTATTGCAAGTTTTAAGTCTCGTCAATTCTCACCTGCGGTCAGCGAGGCCGCCACCGGTAGCCCAGTTCAGCTTGAAGACCCGGTTGGTGTTGGGCATGGGGGTGCCGTTCAGAGAAAGAGCCTTAGCAGCAGCGGCTGGGGAAGAGAAGTCGACGAAGCAGTATCCGGCATTACTCCTACTACCAACATTAGGACCTAGGTATCATAGGGGTGTCATGGTTCAGTCTTACCCAGAGAACTTGTCGCGAATCATCTTGACGTTGACCTGCTCGCCCATCTGGAACCACAGGTTGCGAATGAAGTTCTCATCAATCCAGGGCTCAAGCTCACCCATCCTGAAAAGTGGGAATTAGCACTCGTATATGGAGACTACTGGAACGGATCGAGAGAAGACGTACCAGAGGGTGGTCTTGCCATCAGCGCCCTGCTGGGAAACGGGGGCACCAGCATTGGGCTCACCAGGAGCGGGACCCTGGAAACCAGCGCCCTCAGCAGTACCAGCCATAGCAGTGTCGGCGGGAGCCGGAGCACCGGCAGCGGCGGCAGCGTCCTGGTTGGGGAAAGAATCAAAGTTCTGGAAAGACATCTTGAAAGCGAAATCCGAAAAAGTCGACGTAAGAATATAAAACGGTCTGCGACTGAAACTTCGTGGAGTCGTTAAAAAAAGACCGTAATATCAAGCACACGTCGTGATGAATCCAGGAACAAAGGACGTGAAAGTTATCTGTGCCGAAAAAGAGCGTTAGAGATTATTTGTCTTTTAAAAATAATTCCCGGGGCTAAAATGGAAAAACGACAGCCCAGCAAATGACGCCTGGAAATGCAGTGGAGTGGGGAAAGAGATCGTGGACGCGAGAGTTGAAGAGATTTGGGGGCCGAGCGAAGGCGGAATGAAGCGATTTCAGGCAGAGATCGCCAGATGAACCCCGGGCGCGTGGAAATGCCGGGAATCGCCAAGACCAGTTTCTTCGAGGGAAAACAGCGCAGCCGATCAGGGACAGAGAGGGTCGTAGCCGGGACAGGCAGGGGAGGGCGCTCGGCGATCGAAAGCAAGTTGCGCGTGAAGCGATGGGTCCGATGCGCCGGCCGTTTCCGTCTTCCCAGCGTCCCAGCGTCCTAGCGCCCCCTCGATTGCGACCGTCCACCGCGGAACGCTCCACTCACTGCCCACTCCATCGATGCGACCGCGACAAATTTTCTGATCAGGGCGAAGGACGTTGATGGAAGTGGTGGAAGTCGAAGGGAGCGACAACGAGGATGGGCGGGCGCGGCAATCCGATACGAGCCCGAAGAAGCTGGTCTCACTCAAAGAATCTCGATCTCGATCTCTTTCTCTTTCTCTTGGGCGTATGATATCGCTCATCGTTGGGTGAAGGCACCGATGACGATGCGCAATGAAGGGCAGGGCGGGGAGGGGGGGGGGAGGGTGGGCGACTCACCAGGAAACAGAAGCTCGATAAACTAAAACAGAGCGTCTGAAAAAGCACAACTCCCGATGCGCAAGAACGAAATCCGCAAACCGTGGGAACAATAGGAAAGGGGAAGAGTGTAGGAGGGGGAAAGCGATGAAGAATGAAATCTCAGATTCTGATGAGGGGGGAAGACTGAGTGGGCTCGTCGGGTACACTGTGATACGGCGTATGGTATTGCCGTTTTCTTACATGATCTCACATATGCGGGGGCTCGTCTTACTCTGTTCCAGGATCTCGGGATTACCATCAGATCAGGGTAAGTATTATTGCATTCTATCCTAGCTAGTGCTATGTTGTAGTTCTATAGTATCTTGTAGAAGCTGGGGATACAGATCTAGGGTGCCGTCCGAGTCGTCTTCTCTGTAACTTAGGTATAAGTAGTCTACCTAGGACCTAGGAATCTCAGGCAAGGTGCCTGAAGGGAGGAGCAAGGACCTGTCGCCTTCCTTGTAATATGACTCGTCCAAAGGGTGCCCGTGGGCCTTATCGGTGCGATCGAGATGATCTCAGCAGTGAGTTTGTTTCCTAGCTCTTAGCGCAGGGACTCCCCTAGGGACTTTCGGAATTAGTTCTTGATACCTATCCTCGGTGCCGAGTTCCAGCTTACTGTATTCCCTGCACGAACTCAATGACGATGCGGACCGGAAAACCTGCAGACAAACAGCACACGCTCCACATGCCGTTCGGTATGGAGTACGGCGTACAGCGTACACTCTTCATCGCCAATCTGTAGTACATGACCTGCATCTTCTCGAAGCAAGGCGCTTCTCAGATCCAGGTCCTTTTTGCCCAAGGCAAGGGATCGATACGTCACCCGCGTCACGTAAACCAGAACCATGGGACCGTGGTTTAGCAGTATTGGGTTGGGTTGGGCTCGTATCGCGATTACGCACAGATTCCCGAGCTGTTTAACTCCGTGATTCTCGCTTGGGACGCGTGTGTTCATTTTCAGGTTTGCGAGCAAGGGATCTACTGCCTAGCCTAGTCCACTCGGTATTTTTGCCCTTACTTTCTCTATTCTAGTGATACTGTAACTGGTAGTCGTACCTGCCCTGTTCTGTACTCTATTTCCTATCCTCTATACTCTGTGCTCTGTACTCTGCAATCTGCACTCCGAATTAACCTATGTGATCAGCCGACCTGCAGGACTCACCACTGCAGCATTGCACTCCTGGTACCTCAACGCGCTCGCCCAACTGGGGCATATTAATAATGTCGCGAACCATGGAACACAGCTTCGCAGCCCACCATGCCCTACTCGCACGCAGTGCACATCTAACCGTCCGCCCGTTCTCCCCGAACACACTGTCAAAGAAATCTCGGAAAACTACCACCCCCAAGGGAAAAACAAAGAAAGCTAGCAGAAACAGGAATCTAGAATACATTCAGCTCGTACGTGGCTCAGGCGCGAGGCTGAGTCCCCAAGCCAGGCTCCACATTCAGGGCTCGCATCCACACTAGTTTGTGACCTTCTATCCAAAGAGCGTGCTGGAACTCGCTTCTCTCAATACACAGTATTCTGTATACACCGGTCCCGGTGTATACTGCTTTTTACGGGTAAAGTTACTCTGTGTACCTGACTTCACCCCACTGCGTTCTTTTTTTGGGCAGTGCTTTACCGTTTCCTTTCTAGAAGGTTCGTGGTGGGACCCTAATTGTATCCAGATCGGATAATCTGGATTCACATGGATTCATAATCAATGCATTCCTCCGGGTCCGTGGGTTAATTTTTTCTTTTTTTGGAATTCAAGGCAATCAAGTTTGTGGGCTTACTCGAACCTATACTAAAACTAAACCTAAACCTAAAACTAAAGCATCCTAGGATGTCTCGTAAGCTAGCTCCGAGCTGCATGTCTGCAGTAGTTAGCTACCGTATCCTCGGAACCAGGTCTAAATCATACACATCCATTGATCTATCCCCACCTGCAGATATACTTCACACCCTGTAAGTGCAGGAAAAGAGTTCCGAATCCCCACACATGCTAGGTAAAAATAAAAAAAAAACACCTCACATTCTCATTCCCATACCTCATGTCTCATGCAGTTAAACTATAATCCAATCCCAATTCCCGATTCTCACTCCTTCCCCTCTCCCCAAATATTAAACTACCTCTCAAGATCAAACCAAGCCCTCCCCCCCTCCCCTTCCAGCAACATAAGCACCCCATCATAAACCCTCGCAACATCTTCCAGCCAAGGCTGCTCCTCCTCCTCATCATCCGGCAGCATCCCAAAAATCGTATTCCTAGTCGTCTCCGCCAAACTACGAATCCTAACCTTCTGCGTCTGCGTCACGACTTGCCTCTGGTCATGGGCACCAGGGATCTCGACATTTGTAAGCGGATGGCGCCCTGTACACAGGGCGACGAAGACGGAGTCGAATTTGTGTAGGATTCCCAGAGTCGGATAGGGAGTGAAGGGGTATGTTTTTAGGGATTTTTCAAGAAGGCCGGCTAGGGTGAGAAGGGCCTCTGTTTGGATTGATGCTACATCCCATATTCAGGCTGGGTTAGATGAAGTGTTCAATAGTACTGGTAGTAATGGTTAGGGATGTGCTGGGGTGGACATACGCGTTGCAGAGACCCATAGCATATCGATAAGAGTATTGATGTCATGAGCTAATTCTTGAAAATTCTCATAGCGGCGTTCGGAGGGGGGTAAGTCTGTGTCTGTATCGATGCCCATTTCGGCTTTCATTTGGCGGTAGTTTATCCGGTCGAGGCCGGCGGTTAGGCGGCCGCGGAGTTGGTTTTCTTCTTCTGAGCCTGGGGTTGCTGGGTGATCTCTTTGGTCTGGGAGAGATAGAGTTGGGATCCATGGCGATTGAGATGTATTGTTGTGGTTTTGGCCTTGGCTTTGGTTGGGTTGGGAGAGGACGTCTTCAAATTCGACGTCGGAGTCGGAGTCAGGGTCCGCGCTGGGCATTCTGATTTATAGGTGCGGGTAATGGCGGGGTAGATGTGAAAATTTTAAGGCCGGTGAGTTGAAGTATTTCAATGCTTATTTGAGCCTGGAGAGTTGATAGAGAGGAATCCTTGAGCAGATTCAAGCTGGGCGGTACGAGAGATATGTCGGATGTCATCAGTTTGAAGCTTCAGAGTGGGGTATCACTGGTTCGATGTTGAGGTGGAGCAGTCACGACTTGACATGCAGCTAGATGCAGAACTTTGAACGGTTGAACATCCACATCTACTGAAGCTCCAAGTGTACAGAGAGATGGTTTCGTGGGATGTCATGCCAAGACTTGGTCTGTGCGGGGTTCGATTGTTCATAGACGTGTATAACTACAGAGATCTATCTACATCTATATATACGTAGAGATTGGACTCGAAGTTGTATATTTCGTTTTTGATATTTCCACCGGATCAATATTTTGTATTCACAGATAGACAATACGACAACTCATCACTGAGTCAGAATCAGAATGATTAGCATCCGCCTTCAAATCAATGCAAGACTCCAACAAAAGCCGACTCCATTCAGAAGGTGAGAAGATTATTTGATGCTGGTTTTTGATGGCATGGCAGACAGCGAACAAAGCGCGTCTCGCTACAATGGCCCCAGCTCATTCATCCCGGAGACAAGAATCCAAAAGAAAGGCAAACCAAAACTTACTGCATAAAGGACTTTTTAGAACAGCCCAGCAGAACTCCCAAAACGCCATGCTGATGCGGCACCTCACTCGGGCTGTAAATGTAAAAAGGAAACCAATTAGCGCAATCCCAACCAAACTCGACTCAAGGGAAAAAGAAAATACTCACGCGAATCTTTCCCCTGCGATCCCTCATATCCCTCAACTTCCTCTTGTCTTCATCGAACCTCCTGAGCAACTGGTTCTGCCTCTCCTTCCTCTTCTCCCTAGACTGGAAGCGATAGAAGTCCTCCAAGCCCGCCGCCTTCTGCTTCTGCCTCTCAACCAACTCCTTCATCTCATCCTCCCTAGAAACAGAGTTAAGCTTCGGCCCATGCATGACAGTAACAAAGCCATCCTCGTCCGGCTCTGCAAGACGCTTCGTCTCCTCCCTCTTCCGCGCCTCGGATACGCCCTCGAAGACAGTCATGAATTCATTGACTGTGCGTAGGAGTGTTGCGCGGTCTGGGTACCGCAAGCGTTCGTGCGCGATGTATCGCTGGAGCCCGAGAGGTGGGACACGGTCTGAGGGGAGACCTTCGCCCCAGACGATGGAAGTTCCTTTTCTAGCGGCCTTTGAGGCTGCCTTCAGGCTTGATTCCATGGATGGGATATCGGGGAAGAAGACGATGGCGTGGGAGCCGGATTTTTGAAGTTCTCTGTTCCATGTTGACGGGAGCCAGATATCTTCTAGTTGGGACTGGAGGTCGTCGGCCGTGATGCGCTTTCGCTTCTTGTTGCGGTGGGCGAGGTTGGAGTCTGTAGCGACGGTGTTCTTTTTCACGGGGACATCTTCGAAGGAGACGCGCTCAACACGACCGGCGGAAAGCTGGGTGCCGAAGAGATGGCGGATGTGCGCTTCTGTTGTGTCAATGGGCACGTTAACGAGGAAGAGGCAGCGAGACGTGTCGGGAGTTGGGACTCTGGGCTCGTGGGGGCGGAGGTAGAGGTAGTGGGTTGCTGGTTTCCTGTCGGAAGGGAGCTGAAGTGGAAGGGTGGTGTACCCGGGGACTTCCACCGTGACTTTCTTCATTCTTGGGGGTGGTTGTTGGATTGCGGAGTCAGTTGAACTTTTTTGAAGTTTTGCGCTTAGCGTGGAATTCTGCCGCATGGCGTGGGCGGCTCTGGGGGCGGTGAGGGGTCTGGTTTAGGCTTGGGTTCAAGTCTTGTATAAATGCTGGGTATCTCTGATAAATCTAACCCTATAGCTGATATAATACATATTGGCTGATGCCTAGAAATGTGTGGTAATCCCATTTATAATATCCTCTCTGTTGGTGATCATCTCCTTCAGACTTTGTCAGGATCGCTGATGCCCCCGTTGGTAATGATGTAAATAGCCTCTCGTTCGGGACAGTCTGCGATGTTATCAGCACGAGAAGTACTAATGATTAGAGAACTTACCAGGCGAATCCTGAATCTTAGCCACGCGCTCCTCACCTCGGCCTTTGCGAAGCAACACACGAGTCGTCGACGCATGAGCAAGAACATGTCCACCAACAGGCTTGCGTCCATCAGCACCAGCAAAAAGCGCACTAGCACCAGGATCGCTCTGAACCTGGTTCGTCTGTGACAGATTAGCAACCCAACCAGCATAAGTTTCGGGTAAACAAACCATCAAAACACAGACATTGAACTCTACATGCCTGTCAGCCCGTATCCAAAAGCAAAGACTCAAGCAAAAAAAGTTTCACCTTCAGCCATATGCGCCAACTTCATCAAAAACTGATTCAGCTTCTGCTGTCTCTCAGCAAGCTCACCACGTCCGCAATAATCAACCCGAAAGCAGTTCATAATACTGTCAATAACCAGTAGTCGATAATCACCTGCAGCAAACTCGCGACTGAGCGAATTGAGCAATTCAAGTTGATGCTCGCTGTTTAGGGCTCGGGCGTATGCAATGTTCTCCTGCGCGGTGTCAGGGTCCACGCCGTAGCGTTCGGCGATTTGGGCGATTCGTTCAGGGCGGAAGGTTCCTTCTGTGTCGATGTAGGCTACTTTTCCGTCTGCGCCTCCGAGGGATTTGGGGAGTTGGGCGACGACGGACATTGTGTGGGAGAGTTGGGTCTTGCCACAGCGGAATTCGCCAAAGACTTCGCTGATGCTCATGCTTTGGAAGCCGCTGTTTTCATTAGTATGTGGGATGGAAAAAGGGAGGAAATGCGCACCCATTGAGGATAGAGTCGAATTGTTTGCTGCCGGTTGAAATGCGAACGACTTTCTTGCGCTGGTGGTGTAGTTCCATGGCAGTCATGAAGCCTGATGGTGAGGGCTGTATGATCTGGTTAGATCGGACTGTAGGATTGAGTTGAGGGAATATACCAGGCACTTCTGGATTGCTTCTTTGACTTTCTCGACTTTTACCTCGCTGAAGCCCTTGATCTTCAGCAGCGTCTTTCGTGTTGCGCCGTGGACTGACTGTTTTGGTTAGATGGTTGATACAAACCCAGTAATTCATGCTCACAGCGACAGTGTAGAAGCCGTTGGCTTTGAGCTTGGTGATATCAGCTGCACCGATGCCATGAGATTGGATAGTATCGATGTCGACGATGAAGTCCTTTTCATCGTAGTTAGTGATTGTGATGAACGCTCAAATGGAATGATTGTACATCAACAGTGAAGTCGTCGCCAGGGTCTGAGCCAGGCATTGTGACGGTGACGATTCGTGACGGGGAGGTGAAAGAAGGAAGATGGGACAAGTCATGAGCTGACCAAAACACAGCAACTCAGCAATACTACACCACAATCTACAACCTACAAATACATCTACAGACCACACAGTAATTGGAAGTAAGATTTGCGTTTTCATGTTCTCAGCACCGAGGAATCTTCCCTTCGGAAGGCCCCATCCAACACACTTCAATCCAATTTCTCTCTGCAACCACTCAACCTCTCCGCTATCATCTCTCGTCTCCTCTCTCCTCGGCCTGGAAAACCGCAATCAAGAGTAGAAATTCATCAAATCGAGAAAGATCATCCGTGGGAGAACCAATAGACAAGACGCCAATCATGAGACTTGCTCATCAAGTCAGGGGGGGGAAGGGCTTCGTGAATCGAAACGGAAACTTTTCTGTTTCGTCGTATACAAACATATGAATAAAAGGAAAAATAAAACAAGGCCATGACACGGGAACTTGGTCAAATATATGCAAAGGAAAGGAAAAAGAAGGGTGCAGAGACTCCGGAGAGAAGTAAGAACCAGAACCACACCCCTAAGCGCAAGGGAAGAAGGGGGGATTCAGAAAATGACCGTAATACAGAATGGAGGAAATGGACTCCGGGCATTCCGGGGACATGACACGGTGGTGAGACAGTAGGATATATTCTCAAACAACTCGCTTAAGCGACAGCGGTGGTAGGAGCTGCAGCCGCAGCCGCAGCCGGGACGGGAGCAGTCTCAGCAGGAGCTTCAACAGCAGCAGCAGCAGCCTCAATGGGAGCCGCACCGGGGACAGCCGCATCAGCGACGACATCAACAATGGGAGTAGCGACGACCTCGGCGGAGTTGGTAGGGCAGTCGCGGGAGATGTGGCCAGCCTCGGCGCACTTGTAGCAGACCTTTCCAGCGGAGCTGAGGGGGCCACCGTTGGGCGCGGTGCAGTCGCGAGAGATGTGGCCGAGCTTGCCACAGGCGTAGCACTTCATAGCCTGAGCCTGGCAGTCACGGGCGAAGTGGTTGGGGCCACCGCACTTGTAGCAAGTGGCGGCGCGGGGATAGCCCTGGAAGCCGCCACGGAAACCGCCCTGGAAGCCACCGCGGGGGCCAGTGGGACGACCAGCGCCGGGGGCAGCGGGGTTGGTGCAGTTGCGCTGGGTGGGTCAATATCGGGGAACATATTATGAAGTAGATCGTCCACGTACAGCAAGGTGACCGGGCTGGCTGCAATTGTAGCAGCGGCCGTTGGCACCACCGTTCAGGCGCAGGGTGGGACAGTCAGCCTGGACGTGGCCGAGGCCCTGGCAGTTGTAGCACTGCTTAGCTGCGGAATGTTAGAAAGAAGTGTTGAAGACGGGCGAGGGTGCCTTACTCTCGGTGGTACGGGGAAGAGGGCAAGCGCTAGACTCATGTCCTGTTTGGCATGTATGAGACTTGTTGATCGTTGACACGGACGTGTAGATGAACATTGGGATTGGAAACGAACATACCAGGCTGCTTGCCTATGATATCACCGTTAGTATTTTTCTTCACATTGGGTCAAAGAGGCACTCACAGTTATAGCAGAGACGCTCAGAAGACGAGCAGACCTCTACGTCAGTTAGCGGGACCGAATCCAATATCCAGACAAGAACCAGATGCAGAACTAACCAGCATAGTGGCCAATATTGCCACACTTGTAGCATGCACGACGGGACAACATCATCACGAATCTACCGCATCGTTAGTTCTCGATTCAATCCCAAGCCCAATACCTGCCCAAGCTCGAACAACCCCGCCCCGAACAGAATGCCTCATCCCGCGTCTCGCCATATTTCATTCCCGTCGACTTGTAAGCCAGGAAATTCCAAAATCAAAATGGTGTGGTCGCAGACTCGGCAGAGCGGGATGGAGGGGAACCGTCGACGATCCGCGGGGTTGGGAGCTTGGAGGTTGAAGATTGGAGTCTGGAGTCTGGAGTCTGGAGCTGGTCGCGGGCACAGTCGTCAAGGTTCTCACACGTACACTTCAATCAATCAGGTCTAGGACCTTGTTAGCGATGCTTAAATCAAAACCTTGGGGAAATGATGCACGATGTTCACAGCCCACCAAAGAAAGAAAAAAAAAAAGGCCTCCGAAAAAAGTGGGACGCGGATGAAAACAAGGGCCGCACACAACACAGAAACTTGACTTACCCTCAACAGACACAAACACACACCTAACACGAAGATGTGGGAGAGCAAAAGAATCTAGAATCCAGCTAAAGAGAAAGTGGGTGCAAACTCGTCAAAAGTTTAGCTCCCGGGCTTTTCCGTATTGCGTAAGGTTGCTGATTCACCGGCCATTTGATGCTTTGAATGTCAAGCTGTCATGTATTTAATTTAGCTATAACTAGAAGGAACTTAGCTGTTAATTTCCTTCGCTAGGATAAACCCATTGCTGCCCCTTCATTCCACGCCAAAAGCTACTCAGCTATGTCGATGCAACCTCGCAGATCAAATGCTTTCATTTCGTCGTTCCAATATCTCTGGTACAAGCGCAAAAAATATGACAACAATATATTCTAGGTTCGCTTTTACTCCTCCCTCTCCAGCACAGCCGGGGCCCTGATCTCCCGTCCCTTAAGGAATTCGAGGTTCTCTCCGCCCTGGTGTTGTTAGTCTTGAATGAGGGGAAACAGGGTTGGATTCACTTACGTAGCTGATCAGAGGAGACACCTCGACACCGAACGCCTCAGCCTCGGTGATGACAATGCCGCCAGCAGCCTCGACCCATCGCTGTCCGAGCTTCATAATGTCGTCACGGCTGGTATCGGGGTCATCCTCGCCCGTGCCGCGGGCATTCTTCAGTGGGGAGAACTCCTCCTCGCGACGGACTTCAATGCTAGCAAACTTATCCAGAGGGGTCATCGGGAAGACATCGAAGACGAATTGTTCAAGCTTAACACCATTAGGCTTCTCAGGCTTAACAGCCTCGCCATTCTCAGGGTTAACGCAGCCGATCTTCTTGCGAGCGACGTGGTGGGGGAGCTTGTGAGCAAAGTTCTCAATAGACTCGAAGAAGCGGAAAGAGTAGTAGTGGTTGACGATGTTGGCGGCGCGGAACTTGAGAACATCGGGTTGCTTGGGGTCCTTGGCTTCGGCGGTCTCCTTGTCGATCTCGGAGTACTCGACGACATCAGGCTTGCCGTTCTTCTGGACGATCAGGCCGACAGACTCGGTGGCGTTGCGCTTGCGCACAACCTTGGTAGCGATGTCGACGTCCTTCTCGGCTGAGAAGCCCATGAAGATGGGGTCGGCGACCTTCACGAGACAGTTGTCCACGCCGTGCAGATGGATGTGTTGGATTCCGCGGCGGCGCATGTCCTCACGTGCACCGGAGGTGATGAGGGCCTGGTAGATACCACCATTTCCATCGGGGGCGACGGCGACCTGTGATTGTTAGCTTGACATACGAGCAATGGAAGAGAAAACGTTGTACGTACCTTGCCCTTGCTCTCGAGCATGATCTTGCCCTCGTTGGAGATACAGGGGAGCACACCTTGCTCGAAAATGAAGACATTGCTCTTTTCCAGACCGAAGTAATTCTTCTCGGCGAAGTATTCCTCGGTGGGCTTGCGGGTAGGACCACTGGTCATGACGTACCAGGGGATAGTAGCAGACTGGCCGCCATTGGCCTTAACAGCGAGCTCTTGGAGCTTCAGGATACGCTCGGCCTGGAGCTGGAAGAGGGACTTCTCACTCAACAGCCCAATGTCGTAGCAACCCTTGGGGGCGGAGCTACCCAGACGGGTACCTTGACCACCAGCCATCAGGACGACGGCGACCTTGTTCTCAGCGACTTGCTTGAGGCCGGCATCGTACCAGCGCTTAATATCGGCGGGGTCAGAGTCGAGAATAGAGGCGGTAGCGGATTCGGGCAAGGGCTCGACGATGGCAGCGGCGGCCACCTCGGTCTTGGGGGGGGTTGAGGGCGGTCTCGGCCAGCTCATTGATGCGAACGGGATCGAAGTTGGTGAGCTGGTGGAAGAGATGGGACTTCTCAGCGATGGGCAGTTCATCGATGAAGGCGAAGACGTGGCCCTGGTTGGCGTCGTCGTACTTCTTCTGAAGCTGCTGGAACTCCTCGGCCGAGGGCTCGCGGGGGAGCTTCCTCGGCGGAGCCCGAGAACTTGTTGATCAGGTTGGAGACGGTTTCTTTGATTGCCGCCATTGTGAATTGAATATGTGGGAAAGGGGAAAAAAGAAGAGGGTGAGGGGGAGAGGAAAGGTAAATAAAGCGCGGGGTGAAGCTGAAGCTCTACACCGTAACTCGAGGAATGCAAGTCGCACCCGCATATTATTTTTAGTCTTTTTAGCCCGACCACAAATCAGAAAACTGGAGACGAGCACTGTGCAGTCCCTCGTAGGTGAGACCTGGCCACTCATTAACATGATCTTTAGTGGTGTGCCCCGCTAGCGGGGCCTGATCCGGATTTACTTGGGTTTACTAGGATTCCGAGTCAGGATTGGTACATGCTACTTGTTACATGGTACCTAGAGAGTAGGTAAATACACTATAATTTTTCATCATCATGAAACATTCATCGCCGATCCCTATCGCCCCGGTCACGTTGTCGGTCCCGGTCCCGCCGTGAGTCTCTTCGAGGACTCCGACTGTGCGATCGCCGACGGTATCTATCTCGCTCCCCACGGGGACTGCGACTACCTCGTCGACCGCGATGTGAGTCTCGGCGAGGACTGCGCTGGCGGGGAGGAGGACCTGACGACTGGTTTTTTTGTTTCTCTTTCTCTTTGCGCTTGTCGAACATCATCCCGTAGGAACCATCGTCCTCCTCCACTCGATCGTAATCGGAGTCTCGGTACTGGCGTTTCTGCTCGAGGTCTGCGACACCACCGAAGCCACCTCGCTGCTTGCGCTTGGTGACAGTGGCATTGCGCCAGCTCTCAGATAACTTGGAGACCTGGATTGGATTAGCTTTAGCATCGAGAGGAAGAGGGGTATGACGTACACTCTGCGAGAAGTCGACGTGAATGCGGTGGTCGTCAATCAGCACTCCTTGCATCTTGAAGTAGGCTTGTTCGCAATCCTTCTGGTTGTCGAACTCGATGAACGCATACTGCAGACTGTCACCCGTGCGCTTGTCGCGAATGACCTCACAGGATAGGATGGTGCCGAAGCGACTGAAGATGAGGTTGAGGTCCTCGTCTATAGAGAATTAGTATGTCGCAGGATAGGAAGCTGTAAGGGCAACCCACCTTGCGTGACTGGGTTCAATTTGCAGACAAAAAGCACGTTTTCCGGAGGCTTGACATCGGCGAATGGAAGGTCACCAACCATCTCCAGAGTCAAAGCCTGGGCGCGAGCCTCACGCTCCCGGCGCAGTCTCTCCATGGCCTCTTCATCCATGTCATCGTCCAGATCTTCATCGTCTGCGATGCGCACCGTATCCAATTGCGCCTTGGAGGGCACAGGACTCTCCGGCGGTTCCACCAGACCAGCAGGATCATCGAAGGGATCATCCAGCACAACTGTATGACGGATTCGAATGTCCTTCAGGGGCCGACCCCGGTCATCGATGAAAGAGTCATTGATCTTCTCCAAGACATCAAACCCCTCGACGACCTTGCCAAAGATCGCCGCCTTCCCATCCAGATAGTCCAGGTTATCTCCGAGTGTAATCAAGAACTGGCTACCGGCAAGGCGCTCGTCCGGATCATTGGGTGCGGGCACCGTCGCCATACTCACGGTGCCTCGATCGGTGTGCTTGAGTTTCGGGGGCATCTCGACGGGGAATGTCCTCTTCGCAGGGCCGCCGAGGACACCCCAGACGGAGGAGCCGCCATCGCTTTCGGGGGCATCGGGGCCCAGGGGATCGCCGGTCTGGAAGGAGAAGTTTTTTTGGACGCTATGTACGGGGGAGAAGTTGTAGTACTTGAGTTTGCACAGCTTTAGGAAGCTAAGAAGGGTGGGTTAGTGAAGGGCAGGTGGACTGGACTAGGAGACGTACTTTTCACAGGCGCGGGGGGAATCATCGACAAGCAGGTCGATGACGATGTCGCCCAGAGAGGTTTCAAGTAGGGCGCTCATCTTGGGGGTAGCTCGCCTCGCTTGACTTAGCTCGACTCACTCAACAGCTGAGCTCAGTTGTTTCGCAGCTTTGCGCGAGTCAAGATCCGAGCTCGGACCAATCAGACGCCCGGGGAAGTTGACAGTTGAACGTGCAGTTTGCGTTTTCCCTTTCTTTCCTACTTCTTTTGACCTCTTTGCTTTTTTTCCTTTTGTCACACCGACGGCCTTCAGGAGGATTTCAGGGGCTTGTTCGGATGATCGTTCCGGGCGCTGGTGTAACTTGACTTGCCAACCTGGCGGCATTTCTTCCGAGTGTCAAAGAATCTCGATCGCTGTTTGATTCTCCCCCTTTTCTTCCTGACACGAGGTCTCACCTTGATTTTTCGTTGCACGAAAACGGGGAAGGCAACGGGCGGACTCCTGCAGCGGGCAGAGATTGCTCATTTTCTATACACGTGGATCCTTGAGAAGCTTGGTCTTGATCGGGATCGCGAGTCATTGAGGGACTACATGTCGTGCATGGAATGTATTCGAGACTGTATGCCCCAAGACCAGAGTCCAGGGTTTAAGCGCCTCGGAGAATCAGAGTCATCAGAGTCAGACGAGAACGTGTAGATAACCTAAGTACCGACGTTCATACTATGCCTACTATACCTACTACGCCCGCTTGAGATTCAACTGTCATGTATCTTCGGTCCTCCCATTTCCCCCTTTTCAGATCTCAGCTCCGAATCCCCAATGGTTCGCTGGTTTTCCTTTTTCCTATTGCCCTTTCGATCTACCTGCAGCGCGCTAAAAAAGCGCCCAAACGGACCTCATCCATGTCGTCGATCAGGGCGCAGCCTTACCACAATCCTGGTCGGAGCTGCTTTCTCTAGAGCACGCTTTGCGGGGCAAAGATCCTGGCGCTTGTTGATCAAAATGACAGGTTGACACCTGCCATTCTTTTCTTTTTCCTGCTCTTCCTGGTCGTGGGGACCGAATGAGACATGGTGGTCTGAGACAGGTCGGTTGCAAGGTTGACCAAGGAGAGTACCCAGGTACCGACACAAGACACAAGACACAGGACACAGGACACAGGACACAGGACACAGGATACAGGATACAGGGCACCACATAGACAGAGACACAGACATACACACAGACAGGCCCAGACCTAAGCCTCAACCTTTTCCTGTTTGCAGGACATGGCACCAATCCGGGTTTCGGACGGGCCCGATGAAAGAGCAAACATTTCGCAACTCGATCGATCCACCGGATTGCAGTGCCGGATCGACACTAGGGACTGGCTGCAAACGTACGCCGCAGGCTTCCATTTTCCACTGGTTCTAGATCTGGATCTAACAACGCCCCGGCACACTTCTAGTACAGCTAAGCTGCTAGACCGCCAGCCTCAAACTCAAGCCCAAGCCAACGTCCAGGGAAAAGGAGATATGGGTTGGCTGAAACATTTCTTGATCTTTTGCTGGACTTCTCGTCATGGTCATGCCCTGTGTGACGTTACTTTGTGAAACACCGTCTCTAAAACGCCGGAGCCGTCCTGCTGGTCTTTCCTCAGGAAATCTGGATAGGATGCACTACGGTTCCGTGCATATCATTTCCCCTGGGTACACCAAGTAGAAAGGAAATGTTCGAATGGCCTTGGTACTTTTTCCCCCCGGGTTTTACGGTGGAGGGGCCTCCCCATTGTAGATGGAAAATAAAACATGATAATACCAAATTACTAAGGGGGAAAGATGAAGGCAATCACACCGATTGTTACCATAACATGACCATATATCGAACCCTACCTCCAGAGACACGTTCTTTCTCTTGTACTTCTTTTACTTCCCCACGATATGACTGTTGACATCTAAGATCTTTTCAAGAGTCTAGTGAGTCGACCTGGTGTCAACCGAACTTGAGCGTGCTGACATTATTTCAGTCATGGACTTCTTCTACTCTGAAAAACAGTCCGGCTTTGAGCCCCGAGACTCTTCCCACTACATGTCCCGCTCTATGCGCAGTATGGCTCAACATGAGCTGGCTGATCGGTCTGCTGATTGTATCAGTCCTGCTGCCGACGATAGCAAATTGCGCAATCCTCAGCGACGTCGAGTTCCAGTTGCAGTATGTACACTTCATTCACACTTCAAGCCTCCACTGATATCTTTAGTGCCGCCGGTGCCGAAAGAGAAAGATCAAGTGCAGTGGCGACACTGGCGATGGCCAAGGTTGCTCTAACTGCCGCAGTGCCGGTAATACGGACTGCCAGTTCCTACGAGTAAGTCCGTCTTCAGATCCGATACGGCAGCGATGTAGACTAATTCCTTCCAAGGTCCAGTCAGAAAGTCTGGGAACCTTCAGCCAGTTCCCTTATCCTTCCCTAGGAGCAGCGATAGCATCACCTCATCTTGGGGGAATGTTTGCACCTCACACTGCTAGGAAGTCAATGCTTCCTACAGGTTCGCCTCAAGCTCGAATGGATGGCTTTTCACGGACCCAAGAATTTGACCTGGCCGATTCCCACGTCTTTTCGCGGCCGGATGGCGTGGACTCGATTCCCTACGAGAACGAGCAATCGGTCCACTACAGCCAATCTGCAACGTACATACTTCCCAATGCACCGTCGGGGTCTACCCTTGACTATGGAGCGGCACCATGGAGCCCTAAGATCTGGGACTCCATGTTCAGCAGACAAAACAATGGAGTCATATACCCAGACCCAGAGACTAACAACTCTCTCAATCAATACCCCTATTCCTACATGCTTCCCAGTCAGGGAATCTCGTCAAACGACACTTCCCAGTCCAACACTGCTACCATGACTGTGGTTTCTTCAGCAAAAGGCTCAGGGACGGATCGGACACTTCCAACTCCAACCTGCGCCAGTAATGCAGCACATCTGAACGTTCTATCACCAGAGCCAAATCTAGCCCAACTCTCCGAGTTTAAGAGCAACTACTGGAACCAGCGCAGTGTCAGCTCGACTGACCAACGGACACCAGCCCACACAGTCCCTAGCAACGCACCCAAGTGCACAGCCAGCACAGCTCCAGATCTCCTCTTCGCCTATGTACCTGTGCCAACAACCACCGACGAAACAATACCCACACTATCCACCCCAGCAACAGGCCCTTCCTCATCAAACAGCACCACATCATTCACCGGCCTAGACCTCGTCGACCACGAATACAGAAGTATACCCGATGACCGCCGTTTTTCACGCAAATCCAACGCCGGTCAACGCCTCACCATGACAAACGAGCGCACACCCGACATCTATGGCTACAGCAGCGAGAAGAGGCCCCGCGACTCAGCAACCCTAATGAACGGCCTCCCCTATCAGCGCGTGCGGCATCCAGACACATCGAGCCCTTTTTCCTTCAACCTCCTCCCAGATACACTGCCAGAGTATCACCGCGTGGTCGAGAATGTCCACAGATCCCCCATCTCACCACTGGGTAACCAGGGCGCTTACTAGTTGAACCTCGTTAAGCGGAGTTTATCCCACACTCATACATCTCCTGATACGGATACGATATGTAGACCCCCGTGTGTTTCGGGGGGAAACCGGACCGGCTGGAAGATTGGCCCTGCAGTAGCTTGCCCGGGGTATTTGGTGCACTTTGTGCTCGTGCGGCTTGTTTTTTGTTTGCTTTTTTGCCTTTTGCCTTTGACCTTTACCCTTGTCTGTTCCTCTCCGTTCCTGTCCCTATCCTCGGCACATTTTTTCTTATTTTCTTTTGTGCGCGCGTGTATGTGCTTTATGTGAGGGTCTCTGTTTCCACCATGTGATTCCCCATTTGAATCTCCCTATTTACTATTTGTTTGCTACGTGTTTGTATTCTACAAACCTCAGTCCAGAACCTTACTTGTGCTCTATTTGTCTTGACTTGGCTTGGAGGCGGATTTCTTTTCATACTTGATTCAATCTCCAATCCTACTCTGATTGGAGAAGAAAGGACTAATTGATTGACGCGTTTTGGTTGGGGTGACCCGCTCGCTTGTGAAATACGTTATAAGGCCACCCCTCTTCGCATTTCCAAGCCCCCCACCTCCATCTACAACCACCTTGTTAACATCTTTTCAAAGAGACCCAAATTACCCACAATGAGTGAAATCAAGCTCTTCTATAAGAAAGGCGCCTGCTCGCTGCTTCCTCATATCCTTCTCCACGAAGCGGGCCTTTCATTCACCACCTCCGCTGAGAACAATGTCTCCATGTCGGATGAGCTACTCAACCTGAACGCTAAGGGCAAGGTGCCCCTCCTCATTGCCAACGGTGAGGTCATCACGGAAAATATCGCTATAATGACCTACATCAACAACCAGGTCCCCGAGAGAAACCTTCTCGGCGCAGCTGGAACCATGGAGCCAATTCGAGTTTACGAGTGGTTTTCCTGGCTCGGAAGCGCTGTTCACGCGGTTGGATTTGGAGCTTTTTTCCGGCCACAGCGCTTTACAGTCTCTGAAGATGCGGGTGTGCATGCCGGAATCAAAGAGCAGGCAAAGGAAACGCTACTTGGCAGCTTCAAGATGGTTGAGGACCGACTGGACGGCGTCCATGCCGTTGGTCGAAAGTTTACAGCTGCCGATGTTTACTTGTTCGTATTTTGGCGATGGGCACAGTTGACCTTCGGAATGGACTTGAAGGCCGAGTTTCCGAAGTACAGTGCTCTCACGGAGACTGTGGCGAAGCGAGAGAGTGTTGTAATGGCGATGCAGGAGGAGGGTATTTGACTCCATGGGTTTCAAGACTCACACCAGCAAGGGAAAATAACGAGAGAATGGAGAATTTCGGAAGTTTGAGTTTGAATGGATGGTTGTAATGCACTTGTGTTGTGGGAATCAAGTATGTGGAGATAATGGAAACATGAGACATCAAGAACAGAAAACGCTGCAGGGTAATATAAAAGTACACCTGAGACTATAGTGCAACTGTCACGAAATTAATCGCTTACATGCGGCTATAGCTTGAATTCAGCTGTGCCAATGGCTGGGCGCATAGACGATTGAATAGGAATGCAATCGTCACCAATGCTTTCCCGACAACACATAACCAGAGAGGCAATCACCTAATACCCTAGTCAATCTCCATTTCTGTCTCTTGTTCCTTTTCCTTTCCATATCTATACCATACCCTACGTTTTCGCATGTGTGCGGCGGCTTTCTCAACTTTCCTCCATGTTTATCTCAATTCCCATCATCATTTTATCGCCAATGTCTATCTGTTGTATCCATATCCTTATGCCAATATCGAGAAAGTTTGTCCCACCGGCCGGTTATTTTTTGATTTGCGGTTATTTGAGATATGCTTTCAAGGGATCAGGGTCGAAGGATCATCCTAGCACGAACGAGAGACCGGGAAAGGCGCGTTGGACAGGTGAGAGTTGAGACCCAGATTCAACCGTGTATCATTTCCCAGAGACAAGGTCCCAGAGACAAGGGATCTTTGAGTGATTACTCACATCACTTTGCTCTTGAGCGTTCTTTGAAGGCATCTTTTCTAATTCGAGGATCTATGTATACTTTTTATTTTCTTATCTCTGTTATTGAGATTCACCAACAGAATCTATTGTCTAATGCCTTGTGTGCCCATAAATGATCTATGGCATGGTCACTCACGGGGTAAAGTAATGGTATATCGGCACCAAATTAATGTACATATCTTGGATCCGAAAGTGAAGTACCCTAAACTATTATACCTTAATATCCGACACCATATAACAAGGTACAGTAGAATTCGAAAACAGTTTACCCCCCAGACACTCACGCTTTCTTTCACGACCCGTACTAAAACCCACGCTAGTCCGTATTAAGCTACTCTATTAAGGAATGTTTAGTCGCACCGCGGTATAGAACATAGGTGAAGCAATAGTAAGTAACCAAGGCGGGCTAATCAGCGAAGAGTGGGCTAGCCTCCACCAATCCCGAGACCGATTAGGCAATGGAGTACAGAAGAAATTTGATTATTCATCATACCGGTTGAGATTATCCAACTGTTGCTTATGGTACAGCTTCCGGAAATCAGTGCCACCACCTGCACTCTTTCATTGTTTCTCGAACCCTGGCGATAAACCCGCTAATTTTTAAGGGGTTGTTTCCGGATGAATCATATCACAGTAATCCAATGTAAAGTTACACCATGTTAATTTGGCAGCTTCAGGGTGGAATCCGTGCCCAAACCAGTGAAGCAGTCTAATTAGATAACTGGCTAGCTTTGAAGTCTAAAGCGGGTTCATCATGATTGACTATACACGATTCTTTTAGCCACTTTGAGGCACTTTATCTAGAATTTTCTTGGCCAGGTAGCTCGAAAATACTCATCGTAGGCCGCTACCCAGTTCATTTAATGATTGGACTAGAGTTTAAGGCAAACAATGACAAACATTGTAAAAGCTTGTACAAAATACAACTTGTCTTCCGTTTTATGGATCATCTTACGATGGGAAAAGGGCTTCAGGCCTGATAATTGTGAAAGGGCAATTGCAACGGTATTGAGCGGGCAGAGCGGGTGTTGGAACGCAATTCTTACCATATTCCAAGAATTCAACCCTAACATAAATTTGTGCCAGTAATGGCAACTTGAAGTGCCTTGCCATAGAGTCTGCCCTAAGCGTTTATATCTGCACCTTGATCTAGTAGCAATTGGGCCAGCTGGTGGTGGCCCCCACTTGATGCTGCTTGAAGTGCATTGCCATAGAATCCGCCCTGGGCGTTCACATTGGCACCTTGATCTAGTAGCATTTGAACTACCCGGTTGTGGCCCTCACTTGATGCTGCTTGAAGTGCATTGCCATAGAATCCGCCCTGGGCGTTTGCGTCGGCACCTTGATCTAGTAGCATTTGAACTACCCGGTTGTGGCCCTCACTTGATGCTGCTTGAATTGCATTGCCATAGTGTCCACCCTGAGCGTTTATATCTGCACCTTGATCTAGTAGCATTTGAACCAGCTGGTGGTGGCCCCTATTTGATGCTGCTTGAATTGCATTGCCATAGTGTCCACCCTGAGCGTTTATATCTGCACCTTGATCTAGTAGCATTTGAACCAGCTGGTGGTGGCCCCCACTTGATGCTGCTTGAAGTGCATTGCCATAGAATCCACCCTGGGCATTAACTATGTCTGATAGACCAGAAGACTTCCCGTAAGTCACTAGGATACCCCTTAGGGTGATTTCTAGTCCCAAAAAAGATGCGTAATATATAGGCGATGCAATATCATCCATGAGTCTTTGAATATTGACATTCAAATCACATGGACGGTCAGTCTCATATAACCTAGCCCAGGTGACGAAGGAATTGGTCTCGTACTGAAATAGCCTCAATAACAATTTTTCAGCCTTCATCTTTTCTTCTCGAGATGCTTGATAAAAGTGATGCCAATATAGAGCAGCGAAATGAGCAAGTGGGAAGTCCTGAAGCTTTGCCTCATCCAGAATGCCATCTGATAGTCTTGAGTCCAAAAGATATACAAGGCAGATTTGGGCTAGTTCTGCGTTTGCAGATCCACTATCAATAGCGAATATTTCCGCTTTTTGTTGACGGATACGGTCTGATTGAAGATACTCTTGGACAGAGAAATGAGCGATGCGAGCTGTCAAGACTGTTTGCCCATAGCCATTGTCGGTTTCCACTATCTCGATAAGTCCAAGGCATATATCAACAAGATCATCCTGTTCGAAGGATCGGCCCTCACGATCGAGATACGGCGATTCGCCGAGTTCCACCGAGTGAGCGTCGACTAACTCCTTAACAGTCAAGGGTCGGATGGAAAAACAGAGCACAGTCAATATGCGTCGTACATCCTGAATATAAGATTCCTCGATATCACAAAGCATGCGTTCATAGGTTTCATCTAGATCGCGAGGCAAGGTGTGTAGACATTTATCAAGTTGGTTTCGGTTTCGTGCCCGTCGAAAAGAGTTGAGCTGGCATTCCACATATCTGAACCTGTAGATAACTGCTATTAGAATACTGAATGTCATTGGTATAACAGAATACTCACACTCCCTCCGCACCCTGCCCTAATTTATTTTGGATCTCGCTATGTCGCACTTTCCACCTCTGGAGCTTGGAGTCATTTTCTAGCTGATAAGAGACGAAATCAAAAATATCTTTGTCAATTCCCGGGTTTTTCATGGATAGATCACAGTCATGGGAAGGGTTTAGTGATCGTCGGATATCAAGTTGGTCCCGACCGGTTACTAAGAGATGAACACTAGGCAAGCACCAGTCCCGTATCACTTGTATCACTCTCAAAACATCTTCTCTGCTATCATCTCGGGGGCACTCGTCTAATGCATCGAGGATGATATAGCTGTCTTGAAATATTTCAAGAAACCTTCGAAGGCTTTGAAGTAGTACTTCCTTAGAAGGTGTCAATGACTGGGACAGTATACGGAGTTGCTCTAGTTCTCTTTCACCGTCTGGGAACTGCACCGATAATTGTAACAATAATGCACGTAGCATCCCGTGAGCATCTTGCTTTGACTCATCACTAAAAGTGAAGTAGTAAAATGCGATTCCTACTTCGCTCTTGTGTTTTGTCTCACGAAATATATGTTGTATTATAGCTGAACAAAGGACCGACTTTCCACATCCTGCGAACCCGTTAAGCCAGAGAAATGAGTTTCGTTCTACTAGCCAGTTCGCAAATTGATGACTGTTAATAAACCATTGTCCAGTTTCTGGGTGGTGCTTTGCATAGACGGCGTTATGATTAATTGAAACATCAGGTGCCTGAAGCCACGCACGAATGGCGAAAGAAATTTGGCTTGAATTAGTCCGCCCGAGAAGAGATCGGACTGCCGATATTTCATCTTCAATCCGATTATGACTTTCGAACTGTAATACGCTAAGTGCGAATAGCAAGTTCTCACGTATGTCTCTAACGTCTTCTTCGATCTTTTGAAGTGTGCTTTTTCGGAACGGATAAGTGACACGGCGTCCAGCAGCTTGAAAACGAACCTTCAAGCTGGTACCTGATTCGGCATAGAGTTTCTGGCACTCAGACTGGAGCTCTTGAATGATCTCATGGCATCTCTGTGTAGCCGTATCGACTTCTTGAAGTAGCTCGTTTGCGTTAGGCTGAGATTGGCGTTGATGGATTGCAGTTTCTAGGGATCGAAAAGTGCTTTGAAGGTTCTCCATATTTTGAGTCATCTTTGCAATATCGGTGTCTCGGCTTTTGTAGACCGAATAGAAATCCACCAGGCTTTGGGTCACCTGGATCCCAAGCGAGAGGAATCCGGCGATGCCAGCTGCGATCGAGAGTGGATCACTCATGGCGGTAGGTAGTGGCCACTTAAGCTAGAGGAGAGTATGTGTTTCGCGTTGCGTGGATTATCTAGCGAGATGGAGGGTAATAGCAAGGCGCTAATTCAGCCTCACTGTGGGGGGCTAGATGGATGCCCAATGTGGGCCCTCCAAGAAGACTACGTGAGGAGCCTGAGGATGAACAAGTTTGGTAATGCTTTTTTCAAACAATACAATACTTTGTGTAATGACCGGGGTTCTTCGGCATTTCCCCAGGAGCAGACTAGCGTGCCTTGGCACTAGGGTTGGACAATCAATCCAGGCAGCGTAGGTGGTGACCCCGGTTTCCGGAAGCAAGCATACTCGGCGCAGCCGTATATCACGTCTATGAGTCCTCCCATACAGCTTTTGAACGAAGTCCATGGCCACGCTATGCGAATGAGGTTCCCGAAGGCGCACACGCGCCACTTTGCCTTCATTACTTTCAAACACTGACTAAAGCTCGACTGGATTTCACGAAGGGCAGACCACATGCGTACCTAGCCAATCTAGTTGTTGATCCAAGTTTTCAGAGACGTGGAGTTGGGACAAAGCTTCTCGAATTCATGACTTCCGATATCATTGCCGGATCTACAGATGAGAGTCACGAGCAACAGCAAAGTGATGTAGCGTGTTGGCTAGACGCCTCCCCTGCCGGGTTGAAGATGTATCAACGCCTTGGGTGGGAGGAAGTTGGTGCGGAAAGCTTTTACTTAGAGCCGTGGGGCGGTGTGAAGGGAAAACTGCACAAAAATGTACATATGCTGAAGTGTATATCGGTTGCTAGTTCTCGACGTTAGGTCGGCACGTAACAATCAACTCGCTCATTGATTGCTATTGTCTGGTGGCCTCGCCGCTAATAGGGTAACTGTTTACTGACTATACACGATGCGCATATCATGCTTTCCTCATTCATGACTTGCTTCTATGAACTATGCTTTTCGCGAACACGATGCTGCTTTGATACATGATGACCCCCTCCAACAAGATACTTCTATCGAACATGACGACCCCCCTCCAACAAGGCACTTCCATCGAACATGACTCTTTCTGACCTATTAGGTCTTTGAATGTGACCAACAGCGCTTTCCACAATCAAAACATGTTCTATCTTATCTTCTACACAACTCGTACATAGTCAATTGTAGCTAGTCACCGAACTTTGCAGAGATTCTAGCAGTTCTCGGGCTCCATGTCAAAAAGGATGGGAGTCAGGGTATAGAGAAGCACTGAGATCTAGAGGTTTATATGAGTTCCGAGTAAAATACAGTATCATACGGATTATCGTCGTTCTGAAACTAATAATGATTTATTCTTGAAACAGGTTATTGACGCACTATCCTAATGCGGATGAGCATGGTTTTGGATACTGGCCAAGAAACAAAGACTGAGTGTCCGGAGGGTAAAATCTTTTCGAATTCTACTGTATCAATCGGCAAAGTCCGAGGTAGGTATACATAGAGTCTGACGTGAGTTTATACAAACCCAAACCTGGCCCAATATATGCAACCATAAAACCCGAGCCATCACCTCCAATCAAACAAACCAACCTTGAAATATTGGACTCTTTAAGCAGAAGCTATTACAATGCAGGCACAGAGAATACAAGGCTAAGGACCCTACATCTGTGTAATCCATTTTCAATTGATCCTGCACAACCCCGAACCCCACACCGGCTTTTGAAGCAGATCCTGCATCTTGTACGTCACGCGTAACATTATTGCCTGGAGCTTTATCGCTACAGATATATCTCCCGGTGAGGATCCCGGTAAATAACATATTATTATCTGACATTTTGTATTTTGGTATTAGTCTTGGATCTGACATCTTTCTTTATGGGAAAGAACATTTAGGATCTTGGAAGCAGTATCATTATATCATTAGAAAAACTAATAATGTAAGTTGAATGTAGGGATATATCAAGTCCTAGCCTAGTAGACCCTAATGCAGGACTCGAATTGAGTCGGGGGAGGTATGTCGGGTGGTGGTATGACCTATCTCAAGGTAAAAATAACCTTGTCTCGATGAGTCGTGGCCTGTGTGTACTTGAAAGTTCACATGTCAAGCTATGAGATATTAGTGCTCAGCGAGGTGGACTTTATACCAAGTACGCAAACTACATACTACAAAGGGATCCACAACCTGAGAACCCTGTACGCACTGGTCGGACATGAAGCACCCAGCACCGGCTACTTCCAATGCTTCTTGTGGACAAGGCAGATAATGCCATCGGTTGAGGTACCCGTCGACACAAGTAAACAAGGACTACATCTACACCTCTCAAATGACAGAAACAAAAATATGTATTTCATACCGGGCAACAGCCGAAGCCCGGATTCTCATATCCCTTTTGATCCACGACGCCTTTGGGAATCATCGATGGATGCAAGGTCCTAACAAAGGGGGTCTCAGTTTCAACCACCTCCAGGAAAGATGGCCGAGGCCGAACAATTTTTGAAGTTTTTGTTTCTGTGTCAGGCAGGCCACCCTTCCCCACACCACCCATTCCAGAAGAAACCGAAACTGAAATGGATGGGCCACCGGAACACCGTCATCGCCATAACTATTATTATGGGTGAGACGTTTAGTCCTTGGACTTCTTGGGGCCCTTGGTCTTGGCAGTACCGCGGAACTTCTTGGAGCGGTTCTTCCGTTGCTTGCCTGTGTGATTGTTAGAATGGTCCGAGGGGAATGTAATGTGCAGAGAGACGCACGCTGCTGGCGGGAAGCCTTCTCGATCTTGTCGGCGGCACCGATACGGACGAGACGGTAGTGGGGCTCGAACTTCTTCAGGGCCTCGGCGGAGTCGTAGACGAGAGCGAAGCCGGTGGACTTGCCACCACCGTACTGTGTGCGGAAACCGAAGACGGAGACCTGGTCCTTGTTGGACTTGTACAGGTCGGCCAACTTCTCGCGGAGCTCATCCTTGGAGACGTTGGGGCGGTTGGGGTGGAGGACGTCCCTGGAAAAACAGAAATGTCAGTCGCGCGATCATTAATTCAGTGTGTGTATGTGTATGTGTGTGTTTGAGCATGCGATCGTGGTGGTCGTGTGTCGGAAATTGTATTTGTGTGTGCGGGATCCAATTCTCGTAATCCTCCTCAAAATGTCGCGAATCGGGGGAAATGGAAGGGGGGAGCTTACACGACCATCTGCTTACGGGCAAGCAGAGGGTTGCGGATGAACTTGCGAGTCCGCAGAGTAACGGGAGTGTCGGCCATTTTGGTGGTGAGTGGTGATGCAGGAGTGGGAAGGGAGTCGATGTCGACTTTCAATTTTCGTGCGGTGCGCTCGGCTACGCGGTGCCACTAGTCCTGTTAGGGTAAGCTGACCTAAGTGAGTAGTCAGCGATCATGTGAATCGACACCTGGGTAACGAGGTGTCATTCGCTTATCGATAAGAGGTAGCAATTCCTTATAGTCTTCAACTATCTTCAACTATCTTCGACTCTTCCCATCCACTACGTGGGGTAGCCATGACGGGCTCGATTCGCACACTGGCTGTGCAGTATTTCCAGCTGGTTAATCCGTCGAATTTGGCACTACCGCCGGGCAATGTTCTCGTTCAACCAAACGTGCAACAAGCACTGTACGAGCATATGTTCGACGAAACGCTCACCCCACTCCCACCAGCACCATACCGTACAAGTGTCCTGAAGCAGATTATCACGCGAATTGAAGGAGCAATCACAGACCCAGAGGAAGATGTATGCTAAAATCCCTCCTTTTGTAACAAGAAAACACCAAACGAATTGAACCTTCATCTAACATGCTCAGGAAATCCTCGATAGTCTAATGGAAAGCTGGGGCAACCTAGTAATGCTACCCAAACCCTCCCCGCTCGAACAAGCCCAACAAATATCTTCAATAAAATATACCGCCCCTTTACAACCCCAACCTTCAACCTCGCCCACCTCGCCCATCTCCGAACGAACTATCAACATCCTCGAATCCCGAGGCCTACTCCTCGCCAGCGGCACAACAGGAAACAGAACCTGGGAAGCAGCCCTCCACCTAGGTTCATTCCTCTCCACACCAGCCGGAAAAGCCCTAGTCCACGAAAAAAAAATCATCGAGCTCGGCGCAGGAACAGGATTCCTCTCTCTTTTCTGCGCGCGCTATTTAGGCGTGAAGGGTGTTGTTGCTACAGATCGCGAGCCATTCCTTATTGAGAATATGCGCGCGTGCGCGAAACTCAATCACACGAATGAAGATGGCGATATACCCTTCTTCCCCGCTATTTGGGACTGGGGAACACCACTCAAAAAGACAGAGGAAATGAGTTCTATGACGGGAGGCGGGGGGTTGCAATTTGATGTTGCGCTGGGAGCTGATTTGGTATTTCCCCATTCCCAGACCCCCCAAGCCCCGATTAATACCTTTGAAAAGGAGCATACTAACTGAGAATCTCAGGTCTACGATACAGATATCGTCTCCCCTTTAATCTCAACGATCCAAGACCTTTTCTCGAACTACGGGGTTAACAAGTTCATTACTGCCGCGACGTTTCGGAATGAGAATACCTTCCGGACTTTCTTTGATGCGTGTGAACTGAATGCATTCAGGTTTGAGAAGTTGCCCTTTGAGTCTGCGGCAGAGGAGGAACAGACTGGGTTCTTCCATTCGACGAGTTTTCCGATTCGTACGTATTTGATTTCAAAGGCGTGAATAATATGAGGTAGGAAGGAGGTGAGATTACGTAGACGAATATCCAGTTGAATTGATGCTCGATTAATTGATACCTGGTATTAGGCACTCTTTGTTGGGATACTTTCCTGGGTATACATAATCCATGGAAGCAAGTAGAAAGATTACGGCTGTAGTTCAGGGATGACACATTCAACATAATGTTTGGATGATCGAAATGACACAATGTAGTAGATAATGATGGGAAGATAAAATGTATAGATTATTGATTCTTTGAATAGGTACATAGAAAATCCGACAGGCTGTGTCATACAGCTGATGAACTCAAAGGAAACCAACGAATGTGGGTATCATGAGATTGCGAATCAAAACGCCACGCTCGCAGCTGTGCAGACCAATGAATCGAATTAAATGCAGGGTATATTGCAAGGTAAAACCGGGATAGTAGCCAGCTCTCAATGTGCAGGATCGAGGATCATTCGGCGAGACTTTCTCTTAATAAGTCTTCATCTACGCCTTGTGGATGGATGCGGATGGGAGGTTGAGGCGGAGGGCGAAGGCCCATTATAGGGCCTTTTTGGTTCACGCCTGGATAGCGGAAACGGAGGGGGTTGGGAGTTAGATTTGCGTCTGGGGTTGGAGTGGAAGATCTCGGCTCTGGAACTGTAGTAGGGGCCGGCGCCGGTGCTGGTGCTGCGGTTGATTTCGGTGTTGAATCAGATCCAGCGTCGGATTCTGGATGTTGGATTTCGTCCGAGGTTGGAGCCATGCCCCAACGACCGAGGACCCAGCCTCCGACGCGGCGGCCCAGGGTTGCTGGTTTGCGAGGGCCTGGTGTTGCGGTTGAGCTTGTGCTGTTGCTATCGGCTGATGCGATGGAAACGGATTCAGAAGTGAGATTGTGTCCTGCGGCCATGGAAGCGAGCAACGAGCGGGAGGATCGATCGTGTGCTCTTGCACGGTCTGCGATGATGAGAGGAGCTGAGAGGACGGGAGGAGTCGAGACCAGCTCGATGCTAGGAGAGACAATGCGTTGGGGAATGCGCATGCCGGGGTGCCAGTCACCCATGCGTGAGTGGCGGTTTGTAGGTGTGTGTATGTCCATGCCTGCTACTGAGAGGAGACTGTCGTGAGATGTGGACTTTCGGAGGCTGTATTGCTGCATTTGCAAGTCGAAGACGTTTCCGGAGTGGTCTGCGATGGAATGGGAGTATTCTCCTGATGGAGAGGACTCGGATTCTTCGGGGATAGCGTCATGTGTATTGATGCCATCGCATAGATCGAGGAAGGCTGGGCGGTCGTATTGGTCTTCGTTGAAGAGACTGGTATCATCCGGTGGATCCATCATGGGACGAATTGGCAGGTCGAAGCCCTTGAACTGGCGCGCTGCCATTAAAGGCGAAGAGAAGACGGTGCTTTCAGGGCTGGTAGGTTGGGAGAACTCAGATCCACGGTCAACGCGGTCGAAGATGGATGATGTGTGGAATGCGGATTGCGGAGAGCTTGCTAATGAGCTTGCTGGGGGTGTTTGCAGGGACCAGCGGCGAGACTGTGGCGGGATCGAGACGGATGTCTGGGACAAAATGGTGTTCATAGATGAGCCGGAGGACTGGGAGCGATGGATGGAGCGACGAGGCGAGTTTCCTATAGCAGAATGCAAAACCACAGGGCTTGCGAGAAGAGGTCGTTTCTTCTTCACGCGACGGTTCAGTGTAGGTTTGTCCTTTTTCGAGGATGACGGTGTGTGATAGTGGTGATGGATATGGAACTCCTGTGACACACGGCGTTCCTTCGAGTCCTGTTCTTTCGATTCCAATTCTTCGCTCAGGGTAGTCGATGCAGAGGGCTCGTTTCCATCTTCACCAATACCGACCAACGGCTGATGATACATGACTTGATCCCGCAGGTTTTGTACCTCGTTATTCGAACTTTCGAGCATTTCCCGCAGCTCCATGATCCCAACCTGCAGGTTCGCGTTGTCCTGCAAGATATCCTTGACGAAGCGCGAGACCACATTGGTTCCCGGATTGCCAGAAGCAGCAGCAGCGCCTTTTAGACGCCCAGCCGCATTATCCAACTCTCGCTCAACGATCCGCTTGCGCTCCATACGCTCCACAACCTCCTCATGCCTCTGACGCTCTTGTCTTGCCTCAGCCTCAATGCGCTCAACCTGATCCTCAAGGTCTCGCAAAGTAAGTTGCGCATTTCTCCACCTCTGCACAGCGCTCTTCTCATCCTCCTGCACATTGGTCAAAGTCTCCTGCAACCTCTCCTGTTCCGTCTCCATGAGCACGATCTGCGCCTCCAAATCCGCCGCTCTAGCCGCAGCAACAGTCAACATCCTCAACTCAGCCTGCGTATTCTCCAAGAGAGCCGTAAGCGACTGAACAGTCTCATCGGAGTCGGCAACCGACATATTGAGACCTTCGAGTTGTTCAAGCAGCGCGCGGTTCTCCTCAACAATGCGCGCATTCTCAGCCTGAACAGCGCGTTTCTCGCGTTCTAGCGCATCGAGACTATCCACGAGACTTTGGCGGTCTACTTCCGCCTCCGCCATGTAACTCTCATGACGGTGCAGCAGAGCCTGTAATGAAAACGTCAGCGACGAAGAACCCAGACAATCTCCCTTCGGAGCATAATCGACAAAAGTCAAGGCCATGACGGACGCCAAAGCAGAGGGTGAGGACGGGCGAGTCCATAGAAAAGTAAGGCATAGGTAGCCCAAGGATGGTGTAGAGCAGAGAGTGAAGCATGGGAGGAAGATCAAGCCAGCCAAACGCAAACCTAACAGAGCCCAGGAATGACAAAAAATGATGAATCAAACATGCAACTCCCAGCTCAGCTCAGCCATCCCCCATATCGCCGATCCCCGAAATGGATACATGATACGTTATAAAAAAAAAATAAAAAAAAAATAGCTCCAACATACCTGACCAAGTCTAGCGGCATTGGCAAGATCCTTCTCCAACCCCATCAGCGCAACTTCATTATGCTCCAGAAGCGCGCAGTCATCCCTGCCACAACAACAGCGCAGCGAGGGCGCGCTCTCGCTCTCATGAGCGGGAATGCTGGGGAATAAGTCCCGGTCGGTATCCATGGCGGGAATGTGACCCCTTGGAAGAAGGGAACTTGTGCATCCGATAGCAGTCCGAACCTCTTACTTGACTCGGGCGCGGATGCAGTGTACAGGTCGTACGGAGAGAGGGAAGTCCCAAGGTTGGGCAGCTGATTAGTTTGGGGTGCTTGGGATCGGACCTCGGATGAGTAACCTGCTTATGTAAGGTACACAGATTTCCTGATAGGGATATGGGAAGGGTATAGATAGGGACTGGATGCGAGTGAGAGTGAGAGCTGGTTCATGGAATAGAGAGGAGAGTAGAGAGGGGTGATTCCCAGCCTCTTTGATTACGGGAGGTGGCGTGGATATTGGGTATTTGTGGTTGAAGCATTCCATGTATCCCTGTAGGTACGAGGTATCCAACCCAATCTGTACCCAACCATACCTTATTCGCGACGAGATGATAAGGGACTGGTATCTTCTTTCCTAAGACTAACTAGATGATCTCGATTTACGATCTCTCACTTGCATCTCTAGTACATCAATGCACTCGCAGTGCAGAACCAACTCTTGACCAACAAAGTACGCAAGAGCATTCGCAGTCTGGGACTAAATCAATTATTCTGGCTATCAAGCAAGAAAGTTGAAAAAAGGAAAGGAGAAAAAAAAAAGGTGGATCAAATGGACGAAATGTATCCAGAACCCCAGATATGAAATAGAAACCGGGCGCCGATTTAACCGAACCTCAAACCTCAAAGCAAAACGTCGTTCCGAACATTGATAAACGCCCCAGCGCCGCCTTCTTCGCTGATCTCATTTACTAGGACCTCCGTTTGCTGGTATAAACGCTCTAGCGCTGCAGAGGATGATTTCCCTAGTGAGACTGGTACACCCGTAAATTAGTACCCATTCAAATCCAACACAAGGAACTGGGAGAATAGAGTCGGAACATACCTAAAATGGCCGAATTCAACTCCTCAGCAACAGCGACTCTCCCCGCAGGATCAAGATAATGGCCATGCACCGAGCGCTTCGGATCAGAGTACGCAACCAGCGAAAATATATCATCCAGCATCTTCTTATCACCGCCATTCTCATCAGACGGATAATCCATTCTCAATTGCTGACCGTATTGCACCGCCTCAGTGAGTAGTTCATTGAACTGCGCCGTGGTCTCAAGCTCCTCGGTATCCATGCCATCTGCGCCCCAGGTTCCGCCATCGAGTTCCATTTCCTGATCGAAGACGGCATGCTCGTCGGGGATGCTGGAAGAGGGGCGTTTAGTTGGTTCCGGGGCCGAGAGCTCGTTGTAGCGGCGCATGACTTCAAGGAATTTGCGGCAGCGGAGCTTGAAGTGAATTTGGGGGTAATCTTCGAGGACGTTGGCGTAATAGGCTTTGGTGTGTTTGAGGGCTTTGTCAATGTCGCCGTCGAGGATGGCGGCGCGGATTTCTTGGGTTGTTAGTGCGTGGTATTTCACCTTTGAAGGAGAACTTACTGTTCCGGTTGATAGCTTCTCGGTCCTCCTCCACTTCGTATTTCTTTAGTGGTTCTTGCTGGCCGTTTTGCAGCGCTGCCGTCTCGGTGGCTACCTCTTCGGCGAACGCACGCGCAGTCTCCACGTAGCCGTCATGGGCGAGAAATTGGGCAACTAGTTCCTGAAGAAGGGTTGACTCGTCCAGCGGCGGCTGTAAGTTATCGGTGCTTGTGTTGTTGATCTCAGCCTGTATCGATGCTCTCTCTTGCTATAAGGTTGTCAGCTTCGCCTCGAAATGCAAATCTAACCAAGTTCATCACATACCCTAACCATGCCATCAATATCAAACACAAATGGCTCCTGTCCAAAGTTCGCTTTCAAGTGTACGGGCGGCTGTTTCTTCATGCCGACAGACGGATAAAGCTTCACATTGCGCAGATCATGAAAAGCGTTGCCTTTTGTTGTCAGTTCTCCTTCTGAATTTCTGGTTTCGCGATTGATGGGGTCCGTACCCAAAAAGACGCCGTTCTTGGTAAAGAAAGCTGAACCGGTAGAGAAGTTGACTCCACATCCGACGGTATCTCCAACACCAAAAGTTGGCCCATACGAACGACCCTGTCCTTGACTCTCGCCGAAAAACGACTTCCCGTCGTCACCGTGATAGGCCCAGGATTCCTGCTCCCAGCCAGGGAGTCTCTCAACAGAAGCCTTAGTACTTGAGAATCCGATACCGATCATTCTAGACCATCGTCAGTAATATCCTCAAACCCACAGTGAAAAAAGAATCATTCCAACATACCCCTCTTTTGGCTTGGACTCGATCTTAATCTCAAAGTAGTATATACCACACTGTGGCGGCATGGGGTTATCCGCCCTTAGCGCCGCAGCTTCATGGTCGTGTTTGTGGACCGGGCCCGTGTATCGCACATCGAGAGCATCATTTGATAGCTCCAGTCCGGCGTATTTATCCGATGAACTCCACTGGCTCGGCAGCGGTGTGAGGGGGTCTGCGGTGATGGGGGGTTCCTTCTCGATGATCTCATAGGTCATGCCACGATGGGACGGGGCCATGCGGGGAAGATGAACATTGCTAGACGAGGCGGAGAGGGGAAGATTGGAAGCGGAAGTTGTAGAGGTCTCGCGCTGCTGAGCTAGCTTAGCTCGATGAGCGGCGTCGAGGCGATAGATGTAGCGGGAGTTGCGGAGGTAGGAGGGGGTGAAGAAAGTCGGACCATCGGTCAAACCGAGCGGGTTGTATTCGATCGGGCGCAGGTAGCTCGCATACTTGCGGGAGTATGGAGGTAGGGAATCAGGCGATGAGTTGGATCTCCAGACTGGGTTGAGCTGCATGTCGGCATCGAAGCCCCGGTGAAACCGGCCGTCGAGCAAAGAGGGCGGCGGGTAGGAAGAGACGGGGTTCGAGTTGATTAGATGGGAGAAAGAGTTCGAGATCGGGGGAGAGAAAGCGGTGCCCGAGACGACGGAGGCGTAGGAGGAGCGGCGCTGGCCGGAGGTGTATGGAGCTCGAGGAGCTCCACCGGGGACAGGAACGTCGGTCATGGCGGTCACGCCCTGAACTCACAACTCACCAAGGCGAAAATGAACCTTGGACTTTTTCTTTAATCGGGTTTCTGAGGGGGTTGCTGACGTTGCGTGACAAGCGGGTCATCTGGTGACCGGAAGCAGCGAAGGCCGCAACAGCCACGATCACGATCACGATCACCCGTGAAAGCTGCGAAAATAAGATGAACTGAAAGCAGAGAAGGCAGCTGTTGAACCCGACTGCGGGGAAAATCCGGGTACAAGGAAAGGAGGGGAGATTGTCACGAGGACCCCTCCCCAATGTGTCTACGAACTCGACTTCACTGCTTACCACTCTTCATTAGGATTACTTTGTATCTTTGGATGACATTGTATTACATTGGACCCGACTAGCGAGTACTCGAGCAACAACACCCTATACTACTTCACGATCAACTACGCAGCTTATAACAAGACAGAACATTTTGGTATGCAGCGCTATGGTACCATCCACAGCAACAAAGATCAAGTCCCATAGGAAAAAAAAAAAAAGGTACCCGATCCCAAATCTCCGAACTATAATACAGAGAATGCCCAAAATCCTGCAAAAGAAATGCCCTCTAGCTTCCAGCTTCGGAACATGTGAGCCCATGCCATCATACCAAAGCCATATCACTTCCAAGACGCCGTTCCATAACCCAGAACTAAAATGAGGTATGATCGTAGAGAAAAAAACAGAGAAAAAAAAAAAAAAAAAGCAAAGAGCTGAAAACAGGGGAAAAAAAGAAGGAACAAAGAAGGGGGAAAAACCTAATCTACAACCCTCCATGCTCCTAAGCAGCCATAGCGATGGCAGGCGAAGAAGGCCCGACAATGTTCGACGGAGCAGGTGTGCTATCTCCATCTCCATCACCCGAGTTACTCTTCTCACTGGGAACAGCACTGCTGCCATTGAGGGTATCAGTACCTGGAGCAGTAAGCCCAGCCTTGGTGTCACTATCTCCGCTCTCTAGGACAGCAACCTTGGACTCGACAGACTCAGACTTGCCGAAGCTGTGACCACGCCATGAAGGTAGCTGCCAGAGAATACCAGTAAAGCTTCTCAGCTTTAGAGGCTGACGCTCCCACTTGCGACAGGGGGCACCGGTACGGTCCAGGGCACGAAGTCCAGCATTGATAGCGCCAGTATTGGCCTTAGGGCCTAGTCGAGTTGCAGCCGCGGCTTTGGCAGCGTCGCCACCTTCTTCCCTGTTATATGTTAGTATTGTTTTTGTTCTTGTTCGGCTTGGATTGGGTTGAAGGGGCAACTTACAGTCGCGGCTTCTTCTTAGGCCCGGGTCTACCTCTAGCTCGCGCGCTGGGCTCGGTCTGTCCGTTTGCCCGCTTGTTACCAGGCTTAGGACCCGGAACTCCCTTCCGACGTGGGGTGTCAGCTGGAGTAGCCCCAGCGGCTGGAGTCGAGTTCGCATCGGCGTTGGAGTCGTTGTCGGCAGAGGAAGGGCGGACGGCCGGGACTTCGGTCGATGAAGCCGGCGAGAAGCGTTCAAGACCCTTGCCGGGGGGAGATAGGTGCGAGGGTTTACGGTCGGTAGCATTGTCCATGAAGGTCTGCAGCATGTCTGAGGACAGCTTTAGGGTCACGACTAGGGAGCTGGGGGGATTTTTGGAGCCCTTGGAGCGACCGTTGGGGGGTTGAGGCAGCAGGCATGATGGCGGAGCGACGGGGCGCGAGGTTGGCCTTGGAGGGAGGATCTCAATCTCGGAAGGGATTGAAGATGGTAAGGCGTAAGGGCGGCGATCGTGACGTGGTCCACCGCCCGGGCTATTTTCAGCTGTATGTAGATGGTTTCGAATTCACGAGGCTGAAGTGATGATGATGATCATGGGGGGAGGGGGAGAAGGAAGGAAGCAAGATGGGGGAATGTGGAACGGGGAACCGGGAAGGGGGGGAAAGGGAAAGGGACAGTGGATTTCATCTCGTTTAATTTTCTGGATAGCGAAAGGTTCTTGAGAGAGACACAGGAGGTGCGATGTGGTGAGGCCTCGCGTTGTTACCGTATCGGTATTTACGCCTATCTGCTGCGCTATCGGGCGTTGGGTACCGTATTGATACGTCTGCAACAAAGAACCCCCCGACTTTTGCTTCATTCTATACTGATGCTATTTTAACTCCGTTACTTACCTTGATTCTTGACACTGCGGTTGACACTCCTTGTTGCTCTCCTCTTGATCATCTATCTACGTTCAATCCTCTACTCGAGTCGGGGTGTTCAGCCAAACACATTCCCTGCCCCGTGGATGGATCTCATTCCTGACTCCGCCGAGTCCCGAAAATGGCTCACTAGTGGTTCCGGACAGTTTCGCAATGGCCTGATCAAAGTCTGTAAGGGCCATACGCCCGCCTTACACTCGTCACAAAGACCTTCCAAGTGACCTGGTGGGCGCCACCCGGGGGCGAGATGCGAGATGAGAATAGTCTGACGCCTGACTGACTCTACATGGATCTGATCATCCGAGAGTACTCCGGTCGAATAATCGAATCTAGGTACTGTATTTTTCTGTACAAATTCTAATCTACAAGGTCATACACCCATCTGCCTAGCTCTACTCAGCCTTCTCCATATTGCGCCGTTCCACGACCTGCGCGACGGCGCGCTGCACCTCGGGACTCGATCGCACTCCGCCCAGGATCAGCCCCTCTTTCATCCCTCGGCGTAGCGCAGATACGCTCTCGCGATCGCCTCGGAACGGCGCCAGGCCGACTCCAAGCATCCGCGTGGCCTCGAAATCGGCCTGCCGCGTTCCTGCTACTAGTTGGCCCATTCGTTGCATGGTCTGAGGCGAGATCTTGTCTTCGCCGGCAGAGGTGCGGGCGCTTGGCGGTGCGACCTGGGAGATGAAGATGTGAAGTAGAATTGATGCGCGACGAGCCAGAGCCAATGTTTGAAAGGGAAGAAGGTGGAAAGCTGGCTCGGGCATCCAGGCCCACAGCCATGTGGGAAGGTATGCCGCGGGCATGAAGGCAGCCTGGGGGTGGGTAATAAGCGCGAGTTCGAGGGTCAACATGGCGGCAAAGGTATAGAAACGCCACTGTAGAGAATTTAGATGTTAGTGCTTGTTCACGGAGTACAACCTGGATCACTCAGGAAGTATAAAGCGGGGATCACTCACGTAGCGTCCCCAGTTGGCCCACCACAGCCAGTTCAACACCAGCATAGTCACAAACCCTCCGATGTAATGCGGGACCAGAGACCGAGAGAATGATACGGTGATAAAGTCGCGCATGGTCTTCTGGTCACCCCAATTAAGCATGTCGGGCCCAAAACGGTCGTATGCGAATCGCTTCACTGGGTTCACCAGTGTTTCTTGAGCTTGGCGCAGGTACATGAAATACGCATCCGCGCCATTGTCCAAGCCGATTTTGTCTGGGTGGTGTTGGGCAGCTAATCGGCGGAACCTTGACTTGATCGTGCGCTCGTCGGCGAATGGTGATACTCCCAGTGCTTGGTAGAAGTCTCCCGCGAGCTGCACTTGGTGGAATGTTTCATACAATGTGTAGAGAAGATAACTTGTGACCACAAAGATAAAGATGCGGCGACGGTGGACATCATGTCGCGGGGTTCCTGGCATTGGACGAGACTCGCCGGCACGAACGGTAATGCCATAGTAAACAGTCTGGAGAATCGCCGTTGCGTACTATACTCGTGTCAGCGCATACCCTCACGAAAACCGTCGATTACCGGGGCCCACATACATTAGGCAGAACAGCCCACCCGATGTAAGGAAGCACTGAGGCCATAGCTGTGACTTGAAGAACCACTAATGCCAAAGATTCTTTGAGAGGCCAAGCTGGCTGATGATCGCCCCAAACCCCGGCGGTTAGCTGCGTCACCGCCTATGTCCACCGCCTTCCCTTTACAGCGCAAAATGAAGAAGAAAAAAAAGTTCTCCGAGTCTTCGAACCATAAAAAAGATCAACCATCCACCATAAATTACAGCTCTGCGGAGCCCCAATTGCGCCATGGCCGTCGACGCAATGGACATTGACACATCGCCTCGGGTGACCGACGAGCGCAAGCGCAAGTCAAAGAATAAGGACGCTTCACCAACCAAGAAGCGCAAGGCCGAGAAGAGCAAAAAAGACGAATCCACGACATCCCCGACCTCGACCTCAAACTCCGAGTCCCCATTCTCTCTCGCCACAGCTACATTGTACCTTCCGCTAGCACCAATCTCTATCTCGGCCTCCCATGCGCAGAATTCACTCGTGGCAGAGCACCTCTCGCCGTTGCTCTTGACCTACTACCCACCATTGAAGGGTATCGTCATGGCCTACTCCCAGGTCTCCATCGCCAGTCACCCACCAACATCCAAGCCCCGCCACTCAGTCGACCCGAACCCGAAGCCTTTGACGCTCGCCAAAACCGCCGATGAGTACGGTGTGCTGTACGTCTACCTGACAGCAACCTTCCTCGTCTTCCGTCCCCGACGAGGCCAGGTCCTCGACGGCTGGGTGAACGTTCAGTCCGAGGGATTCCTTGGCGCAGTCGTCTTCAACCTGTTCTCTGTGGGTATTGAACGCAAACGTCTCCCGACAAACTGGCGCTGGGTACCGCCCGGCGAAGACGGCGAAGAACCTGAGCCCTCAGGAAACGGGAACCTGACCACAGACGACGAATCAAGCACTAAGCGCGCACCACCGGGCTTCGACGCCGCCAAGGAACAATTCCAGCCCGCCCCGCTGGCTGCCGACGAGCTGGACATTGACGGCGAAGACGAGGACGAGGAGGCTGCAGGTCACTTCCAGTCTGTATCCGGGCACAAAGTGCGCGGTAATGTGAAGTTCCGCGTAGTCGATATCGATGTTATTCCTGGCTCGGAACGGGAGCGCGGATTCCTCAGTATCGAGGGGACGATGCTTACCCCCGAGGAAGAGGAGAATTTGGTGCAGGCCGAGAACAAGGGCCAGTCATTGCCTCCGTCATTCCTCAACGTCCCTGTTACAAAGACCACTCGGGTGATTCCTATTTCGAAAGAGCCGAGCGCCGCAGATGTCTCAGTTGTGGAGATTGAGCCGGAGGTGAAGGCCAAGAAGGAGAAGAAAGAGAAGAAGGAGAAAAAGGAGAAGAAAGAAAAGAAGGAAACGAAGGAAAAGAAGTCCAAGTCCAAAAAGGAGCAATAGAGCTGTATACATATCTTTTATATTTCATTCGGCGGGCGTTCGGACCAAAGAGTTCATTCAATCAACGTGTACATGCAACTTCCATATTCCCTTCCATTACTTGTTACTTCCAATCCATCTCCGATCTAGGATCTAAGATCTTAGATCTTCAAAACATCAACACCGCCCTGTACATCCTTCTTCCCGACCATCTTTCCCTGCCTCATCAACTCCGCACACTTCACCATAACCGGATCCATGCCCATCGTAGCAACCGCAATAACGGTATCCCCTTTTGTATAGAACGCCGTAAACTTCCCACCCTCAGGCTGATTGAGCACAACATCATCAAACCCATTCACTGTGTTTCCACAATACCTCATCTGCCCTCCAAGAGCACTCCAGAACACTGGAATAAATTGCTTGACGCGCACACTCTTCACGTCACCCCGTTGCGCTTGAGCAATCGCCTTCCCAACACGGCGTCCCATGTTCTGAGCTACATTCCAATGTTCAATCCGCACCGGCTTCCCCTCCCCTCCAGGCCCAGCGTAAGGATATGTTGCAATATCTCCAATCGCAAACACATCATCATGCCCTTGAACAAGGAAATGCTCATCCGTCGCCAAAGACCCATCCTTCTCCAGCGTGAATCCACTATCTTTCAAATAATCAGTAGCAGGTCTCACTCCGACACCCAGAACCACCACATCCGCCGGCAGTACCGTTCCATCTTTAAGATGAACTGCACCAACGTCTTTCCCACCTTCACTCGCCGTAGCCTTATCCACAGAGGCTCCAAGTTTGAACACAACGCCACTCTTCTCCAGATTCCCCTGTAAGATCCTCCCAACTTTCGCACCCATCACCCGTTCCATGGGAACATCCTCCATCCCGACGATAGTCACATCATACTCCTTTCCTTTCAGCGCAAGCCCGACTTCCATTCCAATAAACGAACTACCAATAACAACAACCTTGGGCTTCTGCTTCTTTTCAAGAGCAGAAAGAATGTCTTGCACGTTAACAACACTGCGCAAGGTAAAAACATTCCCCAAGTCGAATCCAGGAAGCGGAAGTCTGCGCGGGATTCCACCCGTCGCCAGCACGAGTTTCGTATACGGGATATTCTTCCCGGATTTCGTAGATACGGATTTCGACTCCAGATTGACCGATGTGACTTCGTCGACTAGCGTCGTGATTCCAGCGTCGGCAAACCATTGTTCTGGACGGAGGGCTATCTTCGACTCATCGGGAATCAAAGCTTTGGAGAGCTTTGTTCGGTCGATTGGGATTGGTTCTTTGGAGATGCTTGTGATGGTGCCTGGGTATTTTTGGGAGCGGAGGACTTGGAGGGTTGAGATTGTGCCGGAGCCGCTGGTTTGGATGTTAGATTGTGTTTTGGTTTTCAATAATGGGGCATATGGGAATAGGACGAACCCTCCAACAACGACGACCTTCTCCTCACTGGAAGCAGAACACTTTCCGACGGGGTTCCGGTGTCCGGATTTAATACTTTCCTCTGAACCGAGGATATAGACAGCGCCGTTCTTTTCCTGGAGCTCGAATTTGGTCAGAGCGTTGAGGGCTGGAGCATCTTCGACGTCGCCGGTTGAGATGTTGAAGCATGCTTTACATCGTAGATTAGTACCTTCTTTCCCACTTGGATTGGAACGGGGTAGACGGGAAACGGAAACGGAAACGTAAACATACCACCGTGCCAGGGACAAGTCAGGCGACCCTCGGCCCCAACAACACCATTCTTAAGCGGAGCACCGTAGTGCGAGCAGTTTGGGGTAAGAGCGTGGACTTTTCCATCGTAGTTTACAAGTAGGACTTTTCCATCTTGGACGCCCTCGACCTCGACCTCTATCTTGTCGTTTGGGGAGAGGGAGGAAAGGGAGGTGATATCTTTGAGTTTGAATTCTTGGGACATTGTAGAGATGCTTCTTGCTTTTGGGTTTATTCTTTGGGGCGTTGGAAGTAATGGTAGCTTTGATGGAATTGCCGGGCGTGTTAAACTGTGGAAATGTCTGATGTCGGGTTGTGCGGAATTTAACCTGGCGACGGAGCTAGGAACAGGGAAATGGACACTGCGGGAAGACGAGCATGTATTTGCTGAGCGACACCGACAAGTCCGGACCTGTGAGGTGATTGGTAAAGCTGGACGCGGGCGTGGCAGGGAGCGGGGGAGTGTGAGGGGCATTGGGATAGCTAGTTGGCCGGGATGAGATAAACAGTATTTAAATACTTAAATAGGAGGGAAGGTATGACTGGTACTGAGAACCTTGGAACTTAACGGAGAACCAGATCCATGCGAGGGCAGTTCGATGGGCTGGTTTACTCGGGAAGTCGATATACTTCGGTGACATCACGGTGAGATCGGAAGGGGCCAATCAGGAAGCGGCTTTGGTCACCAAATCCTGCCTTTTACTTGGTCGCTGACGAGCTATGCAGCTAGCTGGCTAGCCTCGTCGGTTATGCGGATGCGGATATTCAATTCTACTAGAGTGATGATGTAGCACGGTGTCGGTGAATAGCGAGTGTACATTGGTGATATCCCGGCTTGACGCCTAATAAGGTACAAAAGAATGACTAGTCGATACAGTAGGCTTGTAGCCCCTAAAATGATTGGAAGGATCAGAACTTCCGCGACAATCGCTTCTTCTTCTTCTTGCTCGCTTTGTTCGTCGTGGGACTGACGCTCACCTCGACGCGCTGCATCGTATCGGTCGAGGCGCGCGTTGGTCGGCCCGATGACTGCGGGAGATCGTCGTCGCCATCGGGCTTGGGTAAGCCTGTCACGTCGCTCTTGCTCTTTCGAGTCGACTTGCTAGTAGTACCTGACAAGGGGCTGGCCAGGTCGATGAGTTCTGACAATTGTGAGCCGTTGGGCAGAGGAGAAGAAACAGGCTTCTTGGAGCGTGTAGAGGCAGCGGGTACTTCGGATAGTTCTGTGTTGGGTTTCTGAGATTGAGATCGCTGGGCACTCGTAGGCGGCTTGCGCAAGGAGCGCGAGGAGCGCGAGCTGGATGGAGGGGATGGTTGGGTGAGACGCAGACTTTGCTCGCTGTGGACCAGGCTATCATGGTCCTCGAGGTCTTCGTCTTCCTTGTCTTGGTCGGTGTTGTCCTGGTCTGGGTTTCCCGTTCTCAGCATGCCCAGGAGACTCTCCCAAGAGGCTGGTCCCTTGGGCGTGCTTGTCATTTGGGGCTTCGGACTGGAAGCGGTGCTGCGAGCGGGTGTCGACTTTCCGGAGTGACTCTTTGCTGGTGGTACCACAGACAACAGCGAGTCAGTGCCGCCAGATCTGTTTGCTCCGAGCAGCGGCTCATCAACGACCTGGCGATTCTGCTGCTGGCTTTGAGGCGGGTAGGGGGAGGCAGATTGGTTGGCAGAGAGGAATGACAGAGCCGAGTAGTCCTGGTTGGAATTGTCCAAAACAGACGGTTCTTCTTCAATCAGAGTGAAAGCAGACGGCTCATCGATCAGAGTATGGCCGTCGAGATTTGTGTCTTCATTTTGGCGGTTGAAACGGCCGCTTAGCCTAGTCCCGGGGGAAGAGAACGCGGAATGGAAACCAGAGAATGAAGGTGAAGGCACAGCCGGCGTATCGCTATTCTCGTCATCCGCATCCAGGCCTCGCGAGCGTAAAAGCCGCCCATCCCCCGGAGTCTGAACAAACGGCACATCTGATCTCGCCGGCGACCCAATCTGACTAGCGGCTGTCACGAGCGTGACGAAAGTAGTTTCATCGAGATCCATATCAGCCGGATCGGGAGCGACGCCTTGGGCATTCGGCATGGAGTCCTCGACTACGGAAACACTTGGAATGGGTAAGCGCATGAAATACAGACCGTTTCAGTTCACTGACATGCTACCTTCTGGCGCGCCTTTGTCCCCTGTGTCATCGTCGATGACTTGAGGCGCTGGTCGCAAAAGCTTCGGATCGCTGAGCTCTGCAAATGCAAGTTCGCGATATCCATCATCATCTTCGTCGTCAAATCCTGGCATCTCGAACCCGGCGTACTCTCGGGGCTCATCCTCCTCGTCGATGGGTGCCTTTGGTCGTCGGTCGCGCTCTGCTAGTCGCACATTGATCGTCCCATTACCCAGAAGTTCGTGAACTTCGGCGACTCGGTATTCAGACATACGGGGCTGCCAGTTTGTCTCCTTGGACATATCCAGTTGTCGGAAGGCGATGATTGCTCCGAGCTTTGCATCGGATTCAAGCAAATCTGTGACAGACGTCGGATCCTCGGGCAGAGTAGGGAGGTCAGAAGCATCGGTGACGCCGTTCTCTACATTGGCACGCTCGTCGTCATAGTTGAGTTCCATGCCCTCCTCATAGGCGGGCCAGTCGTAGTTTGCTTCTTCATACTCTTCCTCTTCCGGGTATTCATCTTCTTCGTGGTAGACCTGGATTCTCTGCTTTCTCTTCCGCTTCTTTCCCCAGCCATTTCGCTGTCGGATGAGTGTATCCGCTTCTTTGTCCCACCTGTTCTCGAAGGGGAATGGTGGTGAAGTCAATTCGATATCATCAAATATACATTCGGTAGCTTTGATGGTCAGCTTGTTCTCCCAGTCCACATCCGAGTCACTCTCCTCCTCTTCTTTTTCTTCAGCTGGTTGGGTCTCTGCGGTTTGTCGTCGGGAATTGATTTTGGTGAATTGAGCCGCTAGCTTTCGTCGCGTTGCCTCTTCATCCTCCTTGGTTTTAGGAGTGCGCACCCCCAGAGATCCGAAAAGCAATCGCTTGGAACTGGCAACGTCCAACTTCCGTTGAGCTGGAGCCTCTTTTGAAGATTCCTCTTCAGGCGCTTCGTCTTCTTCAGGCACAGCTTCCGCTCCCGCTTCAGGCATATTCGCATCAGCAGTTTGAGGAGGAACATTCTCCTTCTCGGAAATCTCGTCTACATCCACTCCACCAGAAGCAAGATCCCGGAGCAACTTCTGTCGCCTCGCCTCAAATTCCAGCTGCTCCTGCTCCTTCTTTGAAATTTTTGGCGATGCCGTTGACAGGACGCTCAACTCATCAGGTAAAGGTAGAAGAGCACCTCCGTGCCAACCTCCATGAGTCTCCTCCCATTCACGCAAGGCATTAAAGTCCGCAGAAGCGGGCAATACACCAACTTCTTTAAGTTTAGAGAGGCGGCGGCGGAGCTTGCAGCGAACGTTGCTCTTCTTAGTCCGTACAGAGCCGTTGCCGGGAGCGTTCACGATGGGGATATGAGCGTGTGGTGAAATTTTTTCGTCTTCAGACTCAGACTCAGACTCGGATGACGAATCTTCGGAGCTGGAGTCGGAGCTGGAGTCGTCCGATTCAGAGCTAGAGGATGGGCTTGTTTCCACATTCCTCGCCACTTTTCTTAGAGCTGTGTTATTGTCCACTTCGTCGACCTGCATATCCTCATCGGAGGAGTCTTCTTCCTCTGATGATGTTTCGCTTGGCTCGCTGTACTCACTCGAGGAGGCCGAGCTCGATTCAGAGTCGGAGATATCAGCGATAGCTTCTTTAGGTTGGGTAGATTTCACAGTTTCGGACACATTTTGACCTCCGTTGAATCGCACAGCCTTCGAGACTCTCGGAGAAGAGTCATCTCCACGGGACCGCTTGCTGGAAAGAGAGGATGCTCCCACGAGTGACCCTGAGGAATTTGGCCTCTTGTCCGCAGACGACGGCCTCTTGGACAACAAACTGGAACGTAACGCAGGACCCCCGGAAATATGTGCCTGGTTTCTGATATCAACAAATTGAGGCTCGGGCTCCTCAAAATCTGCCTTCAAAGCCTTGAGCTCAGTATCCAGGTCGTCTTCTTCGGGATCAGGGTCGGATGCGTCCATTTCGCTGTCTGAGCCATCTGAGTGATCGACGTGGTGTCTGATGACAGTCCCCATTTCAGAGATGTCATTATCTGCGGGTAGAATGGAAAGTTCTTTTCCAAAGCCGGTTTCACCAGGTGGGAGCCACTCCCCATCGCCTTCCTCGTCGGCATTGGCGTTGGCGTTAGCGCCTTCATAGTGCAATGTAGAATCAGGCCCAAAATCCCAGCCAGAAGAGAAAATCGTCCGGCGTTTCTTTCTTGGGGGAATGGCAATCGCAGGTCGAGAGGATGTACCACGCTTCAGATACGGAGACCCGAATGCGACACCATCAATAATATGCTTGCCCTCAGCCGTAATCTGGTGTCGACCGCACAGTCGGCGTGCACGAAGATCTGCCAATTGAAGAGCTCGAATACTATATTTCCCGTTAGTCACTGCTCTGCCCGGTTTCAAACAAGTGAACGCGCAACGTGCTGGACCAGGAACACGTACACAACCTCGTCTCCATCCCGAAGCAACCCATCAACCTCCATGAAGTGCAGACACTCCGAGCCGGCAATCTCAACCACGTAGTCCTCCAAACCCCACTGACCTCCGAACTCAGGATCAAACATGCTGGGTTCTGTCTCCAGCGGCACGACCTCATTTACATCTTCGAGCAATTGAGCAATTGTGTATCCACCATTCGCAAAAGCAATGTTCGGCGTGCGTGTCGAGGCAATCGCCGCCGCAGACGCAGCGCCGTGGGTGCCATATTCCGCGGAAGAGGCGGTGGTCCAGAGAATGCGCGTGGCCGGTAGGCCGTGGCGCGAGATGATAAGGTGAAGGCGCATTGTGCCGCAAGCTTGAGTTTGTGCACTAGATCATCGAGTCAGGAGATGGAGGTGAATTTGAGAAATTGGTGTTGGTCGCGCGTGATGTTTTGCAGCTTCTTTCAGGAGCGGTGTGGGGTTATTGGAAGTGACACCTCACAACAGAAAAGCGCAGGGGGCATTCAAAATGATCAGAGATAAGAAAGGATTGTGGGAAGTGCAATAAGAGGTGTATGGACCAGACTGGAGGCCGAGCAACTTCCTCGTGCAGCTCGAAGAACTGAGCTCGGCGTGGAGCGCACGCTAGCCTCTTTGGGACTGAGGCCTCAGGCGCCACTGATCGGCACTAAAACGATCTATACCATGGCATCGATCATCGTAGGCCTGCGATTGCATCTCTTACTCTACTCTCTTCGTTCTTTGACGCCGGAATCCATTTAGGTGGAAAAGTACAATTAATGACATTGTGGTCCTTTGCTGCTTGTGATATTATCATTATAGCTAGGGAGTTGCCGATCTGAGCAAGAGTGTAAGGCCGCCTTCGCAATGTGTTTATGTAGTTCCTGCTAACAAACAGATGCTCAAACACAATACCCAATGACTAAAGTCTCTAAGATATTTTAGGGTATCAAGGATACGATTGACGGCAATGATGCGAGGAAGTTTGACCGTAATGTCCATACGGTCCATTGGCTGCCTAAACTCGACCAGTCGAGTTGCAGGTTTTTCAGTTCCATGCAGGATAACCATAACGATGCCGGGCCTATATCTGTCTGTCCGCGCTACGCGGAACTGGTTTCCGACTAGGTACGCCCAGATTCATAGGACGCATGTTTGCATGTGAAGGCTGGCGATTCACAGTCTGAACCTTGGGCAGGTTATCCGCGACTTGTTGGTATTGCGGGGGCTTTCCTCTTCAATTGGGTTCCGAGAAACTTTCACGGTACTTTGGGCTCGTCTGACGGGCGAGATAGGAGGGGATCCGGAAATAGATTCGGGCGGAGTGGTGGGCAACATGTCAAAGGACTCGGAGGACGAGCGGCGTTCACGTCCACGTTCCTGGGGAAGCGTAGAACCGTCTGCCGCAGGGCCGTCCTCACGGGCCTTAACCTTTTGGACTGGGGATTTGGCATCAGTTCCAGATTCCACTGTGCTGGCGTCTGGTGGGTGATACTCGCGGCGTGGTCCATCCACCGGGCTTAAGTTTTCTGCCATGGTATCCTCGTAGCTGGGAGGCGCGTCATCATATGTGGTTCCAGATTGCGCTGCGTCAGGGGCTCCAGATGGCCGGAGTGGCATGGTGGGTCTGCTGTTTGTGTCCGGGACTGTTGGTGCTGTTGGTTTGGAAGGGCTTGGCTGTACTGCTGCGGCGGCGATGGCGTCCAGAAGGGCCTGAGGGGGAGCGATTCCAGAGTAGATTTTGACTGGCATTCGCAGGGGAAGGACAATTAGTTGGGGCTGCCAAAAGTCAGTATACTATTGGTGGGGATGGTAACAAAAGCGTTACCTTCATGTTATAAGCGCTGCCGTGAGTTATGCCGACTCGAACCTCCAACTCGTAAGCTCTTTCAATGTTGCAGGTTTCAAATGATGGGGCCACGGAGTTAGGTAGAGATAGAGTGGCCCATAGCGTCGGATCGAGGGCCCATTCAGTACCCACCGGATCTTCCGACCTGCCGAGTGGCATCGCCATATTGCTCCGACTCATAATGACCCAAGAGGTACTCTCCTGCCGAGTGAGATCATGCGCCAGAATCTTGGTGTAAGCTATGAGCTCAATTTGCAGCATTTGCAGGAAGATGATGTCCGGTGAATCTGTCAGCTTTTTGGCCATGAGACGAAGTGGGACAGGTTCGTTGCAGGTGAGAATAGAAGGGTTTGGGAGTCGAGCATCCACAGACACCCGCGGAGGTTCCGGGGTATCTCGGAAGGGATTATTCCCTCTTGTGAAGATACTCTTTTTCCGGCTCTCTATGGTCTTGGAGAACTGATGTTGTCGTCGAGCATAAGTTTCCTCGTTGGGATTCCCTGTGCGAGGCGGCTCAATGGGGAGGAAATTTAATGGCACAATCTGTAGGAATTAGCCAGTTGATACTGGATGCGATTGTATGGAAACCCACAGCTCGAATATTCTCTTTATAGAATTGCGGCCTGATAACTGTGACCTTCACAAAGTATTTGATGTCTGCCATTCCAGGAAAACCACCAAATGAAGGAGGAAGAGTCTTCTTGACGTGGCGGCTGGTATCGCGAGCCATTTCCACCTTCAACCCACTGAAGTTGAGGTTGGTGAGCATGCTATTACTGGGGTTGCATGAATTATTGAAAGGGAACTAAATGCAGGTCAGAATAGTGTATTGGAGTATTTCATGGGCAAGGATTTACTTTGAACTGGAAGGGGTATTCATATGATCCAGCGGCGAAAGTGTAGGAGGATGCGGGCGACCCAGATTGCATGACAGCCGCGGTGGGGAAGACGGTTTCAACTTTGTAAAGGATCTGTACAAATAAGCAGCCTGTCCAAAAGACCATCCAGCCTAGTATCTTACCTTGTGCACCTCTAGCTCCGTCCTCTTCTTGTCCGAGTGCACATTGTGTGGATTGCGAGGTCCAGACAACCTGGTACGGCTCTCGCCTTCCAGTTTGACCTGGATACCTCCAATCGCAGCTTCAGTGGGCAGATGCAAGACAACCCTGCCCGAAAGGAAGTCAAGATTTGTGTAGTGGGTGTGCCGGCTGTCAAGCAGGATCGTCGCGGACATGGCGGCGAGCGCCCGGGGCCCCGGATTCCGTTCTCCCTCCGGTGTGGTCCGCACGGGTCGTCGGCCGGTTGAATCGAGCTTCTAAGCCGGTCGCGAACGTGCTCAAGCCCACTGGAGGCGTATTTGGCGGGGAAAGGGAGTCGGGAACTGGGATGTCGGAGGGGGACAAGAATGCGGAATAAATGCGAGGGGAGCCGGGAATGACGTTTTTCGGGCCGCAGAAACAACTGACCCCAACGCTGTCTTTGGATGCAAACTCCCTAGCTACTCAGTTAAGAGTCAAAAGCTGCGCCTCAACAGGCTCAGCCACACTAGTCTCCTGGAACAAGGCTGGACCTTGGTAGCGCGAAAAGTAAAGCAAGGATGTCTCCAGGTCTCGGATTCTCGGATTCAGTAGATCTTCGATCCCGTGGCCTTGATAGGAAGAGTATAGCTTCAAATTCTCAATCAAGAATGCGTTCATTCAATTTCCCCTTTTCAATCTAATTAAAGACCTACATTCAGCCCTATCTGATGATTCAAAGACCGGAAACTCGGCACACGGGCTTGATAAACTGGGTCTCCAGGCACCAGAATTCCGGAGCGATCCGTTGTTCACCTGCGCCTATGACAGCTTTAATGGCGCCTCATCCCAAAATAAAACAACCCTGAATATTAACGATGTCATGCACTTTGGCGAGATCGAAGATGTCGATTTACATCCCTGCCCCTCTGGCCCCGGGGTAACCATCATTTGGTCTGTGCAGGGCGATCTTTGCTCTATCATGATCGCTCGTGGGCTCAGCCACAAGAAAGTTTCACTTCCCACCCTTCATGCTCAATTCTCCACCCTCTCAGTGGATGAACAACTAAAGTTCCTGTCTTGGCTGTTTGAGGCTGCGCTCTCGCGCCGAGCACACATGACACATCTGCATCAAGATGCATCTCCAATCATGAGTAGACGTGGCACCTACGTCCAGCAAACTAAGCACGAGCGGCGAAAAGGGGCGGCGAAAAGCCAATATTCCACGTAATAACCATCTCGATATATAAAGAAAGAATCCTTGACAATCATCGAGAAACCCCCATATGTTTCGAGGGCACTTTCAGGCATGCGCAAAGCTTCACCAACACCTGATTGTTGTATTTTGCGTTGATATAGCATACGAATTACCAAAAGAGATTGCCGATCAGTCAATTGTACCCCATGACTCAGACAAAAAAGAGATACTAGAAGAAGGTTGCTTGGAAGATCGTAACGCAATGTATCTAGTTTCTCTGAAAGCTGTTCGACGTTAGACCATGCAAAGGACGAATCAAAAATGACAATAGAATATGTCTGGGCGCTCAACAGTGCTATTTTGCTCAGTTGCGCTTATACTGTCAGGGCAGACCTGCAAAAGTCGTACAATCCATGAGATTATCGTTAAAATAAGTTATATCAAAAGCAAGCATTTCCATCCGTCCCACATGCAAGAACACGTAATGGTCGGAGCTCCCATGCGAGTGTCAATTTCATCTTTTTCTTCGAGTACAGTGCGCATGCCATGCTCCCATGCTCCGAAAACAATAGATAGCCATCCTTTTCTTAAAACGACGCATGTCTCACTCGGTTGCGGACACACATAGAAGTCTTCAGATTCAATTGACCTCCGGCTTGGAGATTTTATTTTGCGTCTCATCGTTTGCAGTACCGCCGACACTGCCGCACGTTGGGCAAACCTTGTGAGGACTGTCTTCGTCGGAAGGAAACAGTGGCCACAATGTCATTATCCACCCGATCACGGGAAGAGAGAGCATGTATATGAGGACGAGGACAAGGAAGGTCTGGAACGGGGCAGCCTCGAGTGAATCGCTCACAAACGTGGTCAAAGGGCGCAGGAATTTGTCCAGAGAAGCTGGCTGTGCCATTCTTATGACAGTTCGGGATGCAGCTCGGCGTGAGTAACTTGGCAATGTGTGGAGAATCACCGCGTCGAGAACCAACGTGTGAGGTGGGCTCAACCGCTTATAAGGTTAGGTTTAGTCAGCAGTACAATGCTTCTGCCTGGGCAACCCTAGTCGGATTATCTAGTAGCTGATTCCTGCCGAAGTTTCCCTCAGAGTGGCAGTGACGCGAATTCAATTCTATGAGGCATAGCTAATGATTAGAGGCGCTGGGGTGGAAACAACCTAATCACTCAGACCGTCTTAGATTCGCCGCGGACTAGACCAATCTTTTTACGCAATGAACCAGTAGTGAGGAAGCGATCTATTCTTTTGTTCTTTCAAATCAGGGCTAGACTCCTCCCAACTTGGCTCATTAATGCAGGTAAGGTGATCACAAGTCGAACGGCAGTTCTTGAATAATATTCGCAACAGTCGTCGAAAACAATCATTACCTCTCAACGTGATGCTTAAGTGTTAGGCACCCAGTTGGGTCATGCTAACTGATGACGAGCTTATAAAACCTATGCCTCTTCCATACGGTGGTCAATCACTACATTAATGGCTTCTTTTCTTTCACTCACATTGGCTAAGTAGGGCTTTTCCTATTAGGTAGAACTCGTTTGTCAGGGAAGTTATTGTCAGGAACGAACATAATTTTAACGAAGCCTACTGCATAATCTAGTATACGACACAAACAGATTGGCAAAGTACGATCTTCTTCGTCACAATGCGCGGATCTTTCTCTATCTCCGAACAGTTTGCCACACCGAGCAAGCATTTCAGATAAAACATCCACCCAGAAAATATATAGCGGACTGACCATATCCCAAGACAGATCAGGTACATCCGTTGGCGCGGCCACTCAGGCAAACATCGCCACCCTGAGCGGAGCTGCCATGACCCTCGCAAGAGACACTCGCCTTCTTCTCCGCATTGACCTCGCTGTTGCATGATGTCCAGGTAGTGGAAAAGAAACCGGCTCGGACATGATAGGTAGACCAGCTGATGCAACAGTTTGATCCTCCCTGGGATTCGCAGCGGCTGCGAGGAGCACTGCCAATATTAAGGTTAAAGCGACACGTCGTGCCCGATAGGCAGGACAAAGCAGCGGCACATTTGCCCCAGTTGATCGCGTGACGTGCGCTCAGACTATAGCTAGAACCAGCACGCTTCTCGAGGGAGCTTGTATTACCAGCCACGGCGGCCAACAAAGCACTGACATCTTCAACCATGTCTGAGTCACTCTCATCAAACTTTTTGGCGTAGGCCGCCTCAGTCAGTAAGACAGCCTTTTCCTTGTCAGTGGTGCCCGAACCAGGCTCCAGGGCAGTGAGCCAGAGCCGAGTATCAGCGTCATAGCCAACGTATTGGACATCCACGTCGAAGGGGCTCAAGTCGCCCTTGGCATTTGGGAAGAAATCAGAGGCAACATGTGTAATGATGATATCCGTAGAGTTGTCAGAAATGAATGGCTGAGCAACACTACCAGGAATCTGTGCAAGGCCAAGGAAGAGACCGGCAATAATGGTAGAAGAGAGCATTCTGAGTCTCAAATGAGAAACCAAGTGTTGAAGATTGGCTGTTCTTCAAAAATGCCCGGCTTCTTTGGTTGCGACTTTATAGTCCAAGCAACCGCAGGTACCTACCTACCTTTGCTTGTGATAATTTTTCTAGTAGTAAAGCGTCAGTAACCATCTGATCCCCACCTTCCTGGCCTTGATGTTATCCTCATTCTATTGGCTCCCGGACTCCGTTCCGGACGCCATATACTTTCATAGCAGTTACTGTAGCATTCTCGTTAGCGCTTGCTTACCTCCCTTTCTGGTGTCGCTCAGGGGAAGTCAGGTACGCTTTGTGGGTCCCGCATGTCGTATATAGTCCACTTCTCGTGTATACTTTAAATACTACCCGTTCTCTATAATACGTGATCATTATGGAACTGAAGTAATTGATCGAGTGAACCTCTTGCTGAGGGGTAGTGTTGCGCCTCTACTAACGTCCAAGCCTGGTGAGACGGCAACGAGTCATTGCATGTAAAACTCTGCTTTAGACCCACAATGATGTCCAAGCTTAGTCTTGCAGCTTAAGCTTGGCCTTGCCTTATTACGGCTTGATCATCCCAAATACAGAAAATCGCTCAGTGGGCCCCGTAGACCCTGTTTGTGTCGTGGATGCTTGTTTCGAGAGCCACTAACACAGATACGACGGCCTGTGCATGGGCGTCATGAGCTTTGCGGTGTACATAGGAGACTTGTGGGGGCTCAATTGTGGGAGCTGATTTGATATCTTGGTACCAGTCGGCCCGGAAAAAGGAACAGATTGCCAGTACTCCGGAGATGAACCCGCTTGATCCCTAGTTACGAGGTCAGCCAAAAGGTCTCAGAAAGTAGGTGACCCTTGGATAGGCCTTCAGTTTTTGAACTGACTGACAGCATCAAAGACAGCTAACAACAAAAACTTTCAGGTATCGTTGTCAAATTGCGCTCCTCTGAGAGGCCTTTCTAGCAAATGTTGGCCCCCAAGCTGAGCCGGTGGTCTAGAGGTGAGAAGAAATGAGACTATCCTGGACGGTCCGGCTTGATGGGGTAGAATGTGTGCCATACACAAATCATTGTCCGCAATCGGCCCAAGGTTTGCCGGCGGGCCAGACCGTGTTAAAGCGAGTTCACAAATGAAAATGCGAGAAGTGCTTATGCATCACCAAAGGATCCGATCTGGGTTACATTGATCAGTCAGTCAATTGGCAGTCCCCTCCCTAATTGGAATGCACGGGAAATCAACACAAGGCTCTTTGGCCCGTCTGAACAGCCTATCAAACTCAATTTGGAGTCTCAATGCTCCATTAATAACGTTGCCGCCTGCTACTCAAAGCCTAGCCCTAAACCCGACCCTGACGCTTGAAAAGATTGTTTCTGTCATGACCCATATCTTAGTCTTCTCAAAGGGGAGGGATTTCCGGATCTAAAGTGCTGGTCAAGGGGCCTAGGTCGGCTCTCAAATAGGTGATTCATTTGGTCGGAAATCTCCTGGTCCGAGGTAGTCGTGATTGCTGACGGCGCCGTATTTGGTCAGATGACGCCGCTAGCGGCAGCCGATTAGCTAACGAAACTTGTGCCGTGGTGGAGAAAAAAAGAAGAGAGAGAGAAAGAGAGAATGCGGCTGCCTGGAATGGTTCGGCTGCGGGTTGAAGTCTTGTTGCAGAGGACTGCCCTCTAGAAAGCAGATAGAGGAGCATTCGTATAAGATAAGCTACCTTAGGGCCGAGCTCCAGTGGCATAAAGAAAGCAAGCAAGGTCTTACTCGAGTTCCAAGAAAGAATTTTCGATATATAAATATTCAAAATCAGACTTACCTCTGAGCCCCTGTTCACTTACTTTCGTTGCTACACTGTTGATAAGCTATGCCAAATTCGGCAAAATCCATCTATTGAAACAAGCAGTATCTCTTAATGAGGTATCATTGTCACCATCCTCCTGATTTTCATGTATCGAATTTCTTGTTCGTATGCTTTTGTATATCTAGCTCTAGGCTGTGCGATGTAGATTACTAAATACACTTGATCATTATAATTAATAGTATACATGCTCACCTACTCTGATTGATTGGAGCTTTGAAATGTATTGCGCACCTGAACAGGTATCCCATTTTTCAAAATTTCGTCCTGCGTTCGATAGTTAAACCTCAGGCGATCGCTATGCAAATCAAATACATAACATGTCTCACTTTCTTGCCAACAAGAAAGAGAGGGACCAGTCAATATAGGTCTTATCAAATCTCCGAGTAAGGCCCTTCCCCCGCGTGGCTGAAACCACAACAGACGTGTCATCCGATTCGAGTTTCCATTGTGAATACTTTCGAATTAGCGGTCTCCTCAGCTTTGGCTGTAGGAAGAGCCTCTAGTAGACTTGAGGGCCTAGAACATGATCTTTTTCTGTATCTTTTGCCACCGTCCTGTTGTTGAGGGTAATCTTTCACTCAATTTAGTAGTGAATATAGGCCGGTGGATCCTCGTCATATATCCGACCTTCCTTCAAATCGCCAAATTAGAGCAATGGAAGGTTGTTAGGTGTTGAAGGATTTTTCTTGTGGAGAAGTTTGATCGATAGGGGACGTGGGGTCGATGTTAGTACAGCTAATACCGTATAGAGAGGTAGAGGAACAATAGAAATTACCAGGTAGGGGTGCATATTGTGATGTATTGTCCCACGGTTCAAATATTGCACTCTGTTAAACGCTCTAACCATCATGGCTGTCGAGAGAACTAAGCCTTATACTCCTAGGCCCTCTGTAATGACACACTTATGGAGAGCGACAGCGAGTGACGATTAGTTAAGGCCTACGCTATCGGCCGCAGAAAAGGCTATTGTTTGCTAGCAGATAACAGGGCCCTAGTAAATACAGTAGAATGCCGATAGTAGTTTTTGATGGTACTCTTCCAAAAAAGACACCCCTTAAAGGTGAAAACGGCAGATATAGACACTGACTGAGAAGGAGAGTAAGCCAGCAGGTCGGTCAGCAACCGGCCTTTTCACGGTGTCCATCGCTTTCATACGGCCCGCTCAATGGGTGATCTACGCTAAAGACTTGGCAGTGGGGCCAGAAGAGAATAATTAAGAATTTGTGTCAAGCTGATTTCGAGAATAAATGTACAGAGACTCAACCATTTTTGCCTTTCATGTCGGGCATATTAGGGATGCTAATTAAACTCGTATTCACATAATAGACTAAGCCCGATTTGGCTGAGATTGCACGCGGTACTTACAACCAAACCTATATCAGGCTAAGTCAGCACTTATATACGTCTCAAAATTGACACAGTCATTGCTGTAAACTAACGAAGGATGATAAGGAAACGAAGCATCGGAGAACGCCAAGCTTTCCATCCTGAGAATAATAACTTTGACTATAAAAGTACCTCTCGATCCTCCTGGTCCGACCACATCGTCCGGTTCGTCCGGCTCGTCCGAAAATAAGCCCTCTTTCTAGTAATATATGTAAGAGGACTTGAAGACTGCAATTCATACGAATCTGCTATACTGTATTCAAGATATTCTCACTTGTCCTTAAAGGAGCTTGAGACACGTTATGTCTTCTTGACTTGCCCGCTTCTTCTTGTAACAACGGCTTTCGGACCTGTCGACCACATTTCTCTTTTTCACATCACTACAGTATTAGCTCTTCACTGCTGCCTCAAATCGTACAAAATTAACCCTCTCAGATCTCCCCGCTCTTGCCCGCGGAACTGTTTTGCTCTTCATCTCTTCACCACACACGGATAGCAGGAGAAATGTCATCAACAACTGAGGCCCCGGTTGCACCACCGACCATGTGCGCCTGGGTGCGCCCACGGCGTGGTCCTGCAAGCAGCGCGCTCGAGCTGGCCACCGGCTATCCCACGCCTGCCGTGCCCACGGGCTCGTCGCCCGACGTCCTGATTCGCGTGTCACACGTGTCACTACAGTTCAGTTCGGAGATGTTGATGAAGACACTGCCTAACCTGCCTCTCACCGGTCCGTGGGTCCCGGAGATGGAGCTTTCCGGAGAGGTGGTGGCGGCTGGCGAGAACGCGCCGGCAGAGCTGCACGACCTGGGCTCGCATGTAATCGCCTTCCTGAACGTTCCTAGCGCCGTGCTCATGGGCCACGGCGTGCTAGCAGAATACGTGCGGCTGCCCGGCTGCCAGGTCATACTTATTGATGGCGGTGTTGATATGGCATCGGCCTCGGGCATTAACTGTTCCGGTAGCACCGCGCTCAAGATGATTCGCACAGCAGGTGTGCGCGAGGGTCACACGGTGCTCGTGAATGGGGCTAGTGGGTCGGTCGGTTCGGTGCTCGTGCAGTTGTGCAAGCTGCGTGGTGCACATGTGGTCGGCGTGGCCAGCGGCGGCAACGAGGCCATGGTTCGTGGTCTCGGCGTAGACGAGGTAGGGGACGGTTGCCGACATTGGAGAAGAACATAACTAACATACAAAAAGTTCATTGACTACCGCAAACATGACCCCCTGCCAGCCTACCTAGCGCATCAGTATGGCGACAAGCCGTTTGACTTTGTGCTTGACTGCGTCGGCACGCAGGCACTCTTTGCCAACTCCCCAGCTTATCTTAAGGCCAACGGAGCTCTCATCAATATTGGCGCGCTCGAGGGCATATGTGTGTCTACGCGCAACGTGCTGCTCAACAGCTGGCTGCCCACCTGGCTAGGTGGCGTGCCACGTCGCTACATAATGTTCAGCACGCCGCCGGCGCGTGACGACGCAGTCTACCTAGCTCGTTTGGTCGAGGAGGGTCGCTTGCGTATCCCAGTCGACTCTGTCTTCGATATGGAGGATGCCCTGCGCGCCTACGAGCGCATCGCCACCAAGCGTGCGCGTGGCAAAGTCGTGGTCAAGGTGCACAACGGCTAGACCGCGGGCATATCGCGGGCGTGCAAAGGGTCTTACGTTTACAAATATTAATTGAATTTAGGTTTCATGTAGCTCGGCCCGCCCTAGTGTCGAGTAGAAACGTCTCTGAAATATGATAAAGAGGATAGCCAATATCTTCGTAACTGACGCAACTTAGCAGGAGGGTAGCTGGTACAAACACCACAGTAAGCGTACGGATGTCTCTTCAAAGCGACTGTGACATGAATTTCATGATAGGCCACTGATTGACGTATACTGCTGGCAAATATGCGAAGAAGAATTATATCAGGGGCAGCAGTGTGTTTTCTTGTTCCTTGTATAGAAGAAATAGAGCCGGGGGAAAACTTAATTTGTATTCTTTCTAAATCGACGTTTCTTTATTCCCTTTCTTCGGTACCAATAAAGATGTGTTTGTCAGGTAGTCTTGTTAAACCAAGGTCTGTGGGCGTACTTAATATTCATTTGCGCACCCCTAGTTGGGACAAACTTCTCTGGAGCACTAAAAGAGCTCATTGCGAAGTTATTTTATTTCTTTTCCCCAAAAGTCCTATCTAAACCCATTGAACATATTACAGGATATATACGTTCTATTTCGTTTGCTTCGCCCCTGTACATATATGGCTATCTATCACCTGCGCATCCACGGTGTCGATCGCCAGCACGAAAACCAGCCATCAAAGGCCCTCTTTCGCCAACATATCTGCATCAAACATCGTCAGTCAGCCCAGAACCTTCACTAATATCACTGCACTTACCAGCAATATCCAAATAAAACGCAATGGCATTAAACTTCCTCGGAGTCCCCAACAAATCCCCTGCCAAATATTTCAACCGATTCGTCCAATTAATCAAGTCCAAATGACTGACACCCTCCAGCGTTCCCTTATACCCATGGTCTCCCCCCCACCGACTACTAGCCACACTAACCAAGCCGTCGTTCGCGCCCTCCATCTGGGCTAGGATTTTGTGAGAAAGTCGGAAGACGGACCAGATACTTGGTTGTACCGCTGCACCATAGGAAAAGTATCTGCCCCGAGGTTGTTAGAGAAAGACACAAAGACGAAGATCAGGTACGCACCGAACGCCATCCACATCGGGTGTATTTGGGTTGAATGTCTCAGACATGTACTTCCTGGTTAGTTGGGAAAAGGCGCCTGTTTCGACTTTCATTCGGTTCAGGGTATAGTAGATTTGGGGTAGACGGTCGGCTGGTATTCGTGAGCTTTAGGTCTACGTCTTTTGGACTGTTGACAAACCTCCAATCTGATCTAAGACGTAGTCCGCCACGTATGATCCTACTCCAACGTCAGCAAATACATTGTAAGTAATCAATTTGGACTGGCAGACCTCGATGCGGGGTCGCGATGGTAGTCAACGACAATACTTTGAACTGTGGCTGCAGTTTGCTGACCATGTATCTAGAATCAAGGCCACTAGATTTCTGTCAGATTTTGAATCAGGAGGAAAGCTTCTCATGACGTCTCACCCCTAGCTATGTGTCAGCAGTTGAATAGTTTGAAAGGGATTAGAAGAAAATCTCACCATACTATGCGCAATGATATTAACATCCCTCCCCCGCGCCCCGGTTTCAATATCCCGCGCCAACTCCTCTGCGCGCTCTTCTATCGTCGCAGACGGAGGCACCGAAGCTGTAACAACTTCAACGCCTTGCGCTGAAAGTGCCTCTTTGATTCCGCGCCAATATTGCACGCCGGGGAGGTACGGACCTGCTAGGCGCAATTCATCGAATCCAAGGAGGCCATGTGCAAGAACAATGGGGTGCTTTGGCGCGGCTAAGAACTGTGAGTAAATTCGAACGGCTAACATGCTGAGGTTCAAAACTGACCATATTTGTCTCGGATCACCGAGTATTCGTCGCGGATGACTCGGCCATGATCCTCCAACCGCGGCTCGAGAATGGGACTTGGGCTGCGCGAGGTTGCATGAAAGTTTCGACGTGCCGCGGGTAAGTATTTGATCTGGATGTTTACTGGGGCTTTGCTTATCCTTGGGATAGCACCTGCATATCCCATCGTCTTTGGTGCACAACGCGATTGTAGCTTGGACGGAATGACGCAACGGGGAAACATTCCGTTGGGTGCCTCAGGCTCTCAACTCCGGGGTATCTCCATGTTGAGTCGGTCTAGACTTTTACAATTCGCCATGCGGGGGAAAATATACAATCAATATTGCTCCTACAAGTCAACATGAGTATGTCATTTAAGGTAATTTCATTATGAGCTCAAAGCTGAGCACTAGCCAGGTAGATTACATATGTCCCTTAAGACTTATTCCTACGTGGACAACTGAATCGCACTAATATCATGTACATGATGAAATCTGATTCTATGCAAAACTCTCCCAGGGCCCTGGAATGAAAGTCATATTTGATGTCGAAACAATGGATATCGATGAGCAGCCACGAAAGTAAACCTTTCTAGTGACAACCGAAGAAAAGCAGAAACCCAAATCAACTCTATGCCGCAATCTTCTCGGGCACTTCGGGCTTGACATCGGTCGTAGCCTTGGTCAAGTCCGAAACAACCTTGTCACCATGCTTCTTGCCAGCAGCCTGAATCTCCTTCAGCTTCGCCTCGGCCTCCACATTCGCCTCATCCTCAGACTTCTTGAATCCGCTCGAGTGCTGGAGAAATGTCAGTTGTCGATTCACAAAGGGCCCCAAGGGGGACATTAATCCACAGATAGATCGCTCTTGATCCTCTGGGAGTGGGTCTCACCGCAGCCTCGAACTTCTTGTATTCCTCTTCCTTCTGGTTGCGGTACTCCTCAATCTCCTTCTGAGCCTCGGCCTTGGCGTCCCTTATCCGCTTGGTGCGGTCTGTCACAATCTCATTAGGTCAAGCATCGGTGATCGGGGAGTCTTAATCGTACATTCGCGCGCTGTAGAAGGAACGGATCAGTAACGGCTCAACCAGACAGGGGCAGCGCAAGACACCTACATTGCTGAACAATCTTCTGTGCCTCTCTCTCGGCCTGCAATCCTAATCAATACCAGCTGAGCGGACACACCACCCATTGAGACGTACATCGAGGAGAGTCTGAATACCCGCGGAGTTCTGAGCCGACTGGACAACCTTGGACATTAGCACCTGGAATATAATCCGGAGAACCAGAAAAAGAGAGGTCTCACCATGATTTCTCGAGAACCCTCTTCAAGTCTGGTGAATCGTGGGGAATAAATAGGATATGAGGGGAGGCCGGAGCTCGAGCTCGATCAGCCACGCATGACCCCCCAAGGCGGTGGGGCTATTCTGCCACCACCCACCGCGTCGATAACCCGATAATCCGGCCATTTTCGACCTGCTCTTTTGTTACAATTGCCGTCTTCAATTGTACCGGTCGTTTATTGTTTATCATGTCTCGCGCGTCAAAGCTGACCCTGGCGGCCACTGGACTGGGCACCGCGGGAATTATCTATTTCGTGCACTGGGCGCAAGAAAACGACAGGGCGGTATGTGCCGGATTGCCTGTTTTCTTTGGGGATATTTGCTAATGGTTTCGATGTGTCACAGGCTATGCACCGAGGCGTCGAACGCGATGTGGAAAAGCAGCGCATCCGAGCAGAACGCCAGGCCGATTTTGAGATGCAGAAACGACTTGAAGAGGAATACCTGAAGCTCCAGACCGTTACGGCTATCGACCTTCCGAATTCCGCGGGGAGTACTACAGGAGGGAATAATCCAGGGAATGGATCATAATACAAATTTAAAGCTCAAGAGCTGACCGCTTCTCTGCATGGTCAACTGGATTGCCAGAATGCATATTTGGTGGGCTGATCCGTGCTGAGAAGCGACCTGGACGATCATTTGCTAACTGTTGCATAGGAGTTTGATATCTTCTGTGATGCATGTGTATAAAGATGGTGTCGTGTACGATATTTCCTGATGTATTATAACTCAACAACTCGCCACTATCATCGATCGAATGAATTATATCCGAAGACATAAGTCTTTCATTGGCATCGCGCCGAGCTACATGCTGGGGCAGCTCTGCATATGTGACTGCATGAAGTTGTATTGCTTGCCAACAGACAGACAAGGGCTTGAACGATAAACCCCAAGATTCCTCGATGTAGACCACTGCCCATGTGTCTGAGGTTGGCTGCAATATCAGAGGGAGAAGATTGGCCAGTCTTTGATATCAAGGGTACACCACTGCAGTCATAGCTCAGAGCAGTCTGATGCATATATTGTCGACCAATAGTACCTACTGGCACAATTTAACCGGCACGAGACTATGTACATCATTACCGCACAAAGAAAGGAAAGAACGACATCAAACCTATTCTTAGACCATGATGATGCACTCTTGGGCAACGTAAATCTTTCAGGCTATATACTGCTCCTCCGGTAAAACCACCAGGTTGTACGTTGCACGGCGTATACCGAATCCGCGCGATGCACTCATCCAAGGCCGGTTATAATCGGAGGCCGGCTGAATTCCGGCCTCTGGACGCTAAAAAAGCCTATCTATCCCTTATCGCCCAATCAAAACCCAGCATCCGAGTGCCAAGTCTTGGCACTGGGTGAAATATAGAGGCTACAAAAGCACCTCGATGAAGAAAAGCACGTCTATTTGACCTTATTATCCGACTGGGTGGTAGAAATCGGTTCTCCAGGGATCTAGAGATCTACTCTGGGGTACTGATTAGTCCCCTAAAGCCCCGGTCCTTGTTAAGGATGACTCTGCTCATCTCTGTACACTGCTGGAAGAGGATTAGCGCGTCCCCGTGACCGCTGGCTGCCCTCGTCCACTGGGTGGTTGTATAGAGCATCGCGAGATGTTGGTGACGCTTAAATATATTATTTTGGCTCGGGATATCTGTATGGGACCACCAGATATGTTGCAGACTCCCGCAGAACCTTGAAGCAAGGCTAGATAGCCGATGTCACCGGATCCACGCTATGTTGCGTTCTCTTTCGTAATGGTGGGAATGAGGCCGGAATTGTTACCGGCCTCTGAGTATTATAAGAATCTGCTCCTCTCCCGCCCAAATACTCGAGCAATCTGTTCTCCTTCTCATCTCCAAAGAAGCCTGAAACCCTTCCTCTTCTTTTTTGGCCCATTTATTTTGCTTCCTTGGTTCCTGACTTAGCCTTTTGACTTGGTCTAAGCCTTGATCACCCTACACACTCAGCCTTCCCCCACCTGTGGCACATATTATCGTCCATCTAGTTGAACCTTTGTTACCTGTCTACCCTCATCACTTGTTTATCGTCGTCTACCATCATGACTCGAACCCAAGTGCCCTACCCTTCCCCTGCCACCCTGAAGAAGTTCCCTCATGTCCATGATGAACCTTCATCCATGTCCCATGGCCTGGACCCCTTCACTATCACTACCTCTACTGGCTTTATGCCCTATGCCACTGCCCCTAGTGACCTTGCTGAAGCCTTCAAGCCTCTTCAGTCTCTAGTGGAACGTCTTCCTGTCCTCAAGCTTGATGGGACGCCCGGTCTGCTGGCGACATATGAGCTTGGCCCTGTTGTCGAGAATGACTTCCCTGACCTGACCGACGAGGTCGGAAAGCTTGTCCTATCTGATGGCACCCCTGATAAGTTCAACATCGCTGCCGTCTTCCGAGACTACACCTTCGTGGCCTCGTCGTACCTGCTTGAGCCCTGCTGGGAGAGCTGGAACAATAGTGAGGATAAGGGATACGGACTTGGTCGGGACTTCTTACCCAAGTCTGTTGCTCGTCCTATGTACCTCTGTGCTCAGATGTAAGTACATGATATATATCACTTCTTGTGCTCTTATCATACATACTTGGGCTTGTATTGTTGTTGGACCTCGCTAACATAACCTAGTCTGGACCTCCCTCCATTCATGTCTTATGCTGCCTCATATGCTCTCTTCAACTATACCCTCGCAGACCACTCTAAGGGGTTGGAAGACTACTCCAACCTGCGTTTGATCCGTGGTTTCGAGCGTGGTCTTGACCCCAAGAGTTCCGAAGCCGGCTTTATCCTGACCCACGTTGACATGGTCAAGGAGACTGGTGCACTCATCAGTGGAGCTCTGCGCATTGTTGATAACATTGAGCAGAATGGTCATCGCGAGGATATCAACGATGGCTTCCGTGAGATCCTCAATGCCATGGAGAAGATTGAAGCTTCTATGGAGAGTACGTTTTCCCTCCGCCTTCCACTCCACCACTCCACTTCTTTACCCCCTTGAACCAAGCTCACAATCACATAGCCATGTGGGGGAACTCCAAGCCAGCCGAGTATCTCTCCTTCCGCGTCTTCATCTTCGGCATCACCAACCAATCCATGTTCCCCAACGGTGTGATCTACGACGGCGTCGAAGACAACAAGCCCCTCCACTTCCGCGGTGAGAGCGGTGCCAACGACAGCATCGTACGTACCTCACCTACTCAGAACCCATCATATGCTAACCTCATAGATCCCCCTCCTTGACCATCTCTGCGAGATCCCCATGCCCTCCACCCCCCTCACCAAAATCCTCCACGAGTTCCGCGCCTACCGCCCTCTTCCGCACCGCGAGTTCCTTACCTACATTCGTGAAAAGTCCGAGGAGATCGGTGTCCAGAAATACTCATGCCAAGACTCTGAGACGGCCGTTCTGTTCCTCAAGACTCTGAACCATGTTCGTAGCTTCCGCTGGCGTCATTGGCTCTTTGCGCGCGAGTATATTATTCGTCGTACACCTCATCCTACTGCTACTGGTGGAAGTCCTATCGTTACTGTGAGTCTTCCGATCTTTCCATCTTGCCCAATGCATATACTGACAGGTTCAGTGGCTCCCTAACCAATTGTCTGCTGTGATGGACCTCATGGTAACTATCTATGATACCCACCTTGCGCCTAAGGAGGGTGTGACCATTGTTGATGGTCATGAAGACCTGATCGCCTCTCACCGGAAGCAGGTTGAGCCTATGATGGAGCTTGTGCGGGATCAGAAGGAGAAGTTGGCCCAGGAAGTTGAGCGGTGGTGCCAGGAGCGTGGAGTCTAGATGATCCCATCTCGTTTCATTTCGTTCATAGAGTACCCACGACTTTCTTTTCTCCTAATTTAAAATGAATTCTTTTCACTTTCTCGAAACCATTGATGATACACCCATGTCGGATTGTCAAGTCCAGAAGCCATTGATCATACATTTTAAAACATTACATACCAAAATCATCAGAGCATTTCCAATCAATGTAATACAAAGCGTGACTTCGGACCCTGAGCCACATCGCCCTCAACATCCGCAACTGGCTTGGTCCCTCGAAGTTGATCAATATGATCCTTCAACCCCTTATTGAAGTTGAGGATACACATAATCGAGTTGATGATGGAGCAGGCCATCAACAAGATGGCTATTGACGAAAACAGGCCAAGTGATACTTTGTAAGAGCCCAGGCCGTCGGTGCTGTTGCTGTACAACCTGTACAGCGTATTTCCCTCACTGGCAATGAGAGAGCACATAAGGATCTGTGAGTGTTAGTCTGAGACTGTCCACAAAGGCCAGTAGAGACTTACTATAGGAATAGACATGGATTTCGTCTTTTCGTTTCGACAAAATCGCGCAGCCAGAAAGAGTGCCAAGATTGAAATGGGTACCATGGCAGCGTTAATGATGAAATCACTGTCGATATGACCCATGGCGAGGAGGAGTTGAAGTTGACTTCCGAAGATGAAAAAGAAATCGAATTTCAGCAGGGCGATGTATACCTTAGATCATCATCAGTCAATCCCCCCCTCCAACAAGAATCACCAAGACCGTAAGTATGTAAGCTCACCTGATAGACATAATACCGCCGATTCATCTGCAGATCGGCACTGATGTTCTTATAAATCGACCACGAGAACTCCGCCCGCAATTTCCACGTAACACCCATCATAATACTCGCCGCAACGCCCAATATAATGGGGACAAGCATCAGCTCAATATGATAATGGTCGAAAAGATCCTGACTGATCGTACTACTGGACGCAAGGCTCTTGATCGTCTTTCTCACTTCCCAGATCTGTATAATCCCATACGTCAACAGTCCCAGATTACACACACATAACCCGACAAGCTGGAAGGTATTTTTGCGCCGCAGAGCATCGTAGGAGAGACCGAGTTCGTAAAGGAGGGCGAAGATGTACAATCCGAGGAAGGAGCGAAGCCGTAACGAGCCGTCGTCTTGACCGAGGTTGGCGAGGTGATTTGATATACTAATGAAGACCCATCTATGGGAGGAAACGTCGAGTTAGTTTTGATTTCTTTGTTGATTTTGATCTTGATCTTGATCTTCGGGTGAAGGTTGAGGCAGTGCGGGGATCGTACGTCTCAATCGCAACCGTAGCGATCGTCTCGATGATCACCGTTGTGAAGAACGTGCGCGTCCACAGCGTATTAGGGAAATACACCCTCGACCTGCGCTGTCCCGCCGCCGCCCGCAGACTTCCATTGAGAACGGGCGATCCAGGGCGCGAAAAGTCGTCGAGTTCAATGTATCGTCCGGACGAAGGCAGTGGAGGTTTGGCGTAGGGATCGTTATCGAAAGTAGCGTGTGCGACCACCGAGGACACCGTGTCTCGCATTGTCAATTAGAGGGCGCGTACCCCGGAGGAAGACATTGAGAGAATGAGAGAGAGATCAAAATCGAGCTACAGTAAATAATGGCCGATAGTCTCAGTTACCATCGATCATTAATCCAGACGATAAACCTTATTGGCAACGGCTCGTAAAGCAGTGTGGAACCTCAGGGCGAGTACGAATTGGGGCGCAGACGGCACTAGGGTAAGCCACCGCTAGAAATTAAATGGATTGACAAGGATCGGACTTACTCATTTCGGAACTAGTCTTGGCGGTCCAGGCACACCACGTTTGCCGATTTTATTTTGGATTTTTTTGGGCTATTTTGGCTATTTTGGCTATTTTGGCTATTTTGGCTTTTTTAATTTCCATTTTGCGCTATTTGGCACTGATGGATCCCGAAAATAGCGTGTCCACGCGTCTGCCATTCGCTAGTGCAGCGGGTCTCCCCCTTATTCTTCGGCAGGGCTGACGATAAATTTGGAAAATCTTTCACCGGGGTAGAACGCTGCTATTACCAGGTGCATTAATCTATGCGATCGGTGACATGGGGATTAGGATTCGATCTTGATGTCATTATTTCGTGTGGATCTTGCAACTATGCTATCACCTCTAATCCCCTCTCGCGTCCGTAAGCCACAGCATCGGAAGATACATCTTCACAGCCTCGGACAAACAGCCGATCGAGCTTGACTCCATCGGTGGTAGTTCTAGCATCGGCACACATCCGGATCGTGACACCAGTGATGCGCGTATGAGAGAGGTTGAGGACTTTCACATCAGGGGCCATTTCAAAAATGAATCGCACAAAAGCGTCATTCACATCGCGCGTATGAGAGAGACTCAGTTCAGAGAGCTTGAAGTTGGGATTATGATGCTTCATAGCCAGGATGGCTTTCAGATCGGCGGCGGATACATTAAAACACTCGTCAATGAGCACGGTCTGGATCGGTGCTTGTGTACCGATGAGGAATGTAGCGAGAATCTCTCCCGTCACAAACCCCGCATCGAGGAAGATAACGGTGTTCAAGTTTGGTAAGTTGCTTTCCAGTGCATCCAAAACCATGGGCGTGGATTTCCCTCCTACGATGCGGAGATACTCCAGGCTGGTGGGGAGGTGGACAAACGTGTCCCGCTCGATACATAGTCCACTAAGATCGAGACGGCGGAGCGGCGGATAGAACCCCTCGTAGTGCTGTGTAAAGATTTGCTGGTAGCGTGGTGGGTCCCAGTCAAGTCGGAGCTCTTCCAGATTCGGGTAGACGCGAGGCTCGATGTCCTGGGTACGTGTTAGCATTGGGAACAACCTGGATTGATAGAATGCATACCACAAGAAGATTAGGTAAAAGCACGCCGGGCACGGCTAAGGGTGGGGTTGGAATCTGCTGAGTGGCCAATGTGATACTCTTGAGGTTGGGTAGAGTCTTGGGCCAGTGCCCACCTTCAATAAACGCTAATGTCGAAGGTCTAACGTTCCACAGGGCAATGTGCTCGAGGTGTGGGAGTTCGATCAGGAGTCTGCCGAAATTATCGTGGGTCACCGATATGTCAGGCGACAGAGTGAGGCTCTTTAGCTGTTTGTGGCCTTTGAATTTTTGGAAGAATTCCTTGAAATCATAATCAACCCATAATTCGAGATGTTCAATGCGCGGACATCTGCTTAAGAATTCCATAGTCTTGGGCGTAGATGGTGTGGCTAGGTTCTTGATGACGGCACGAGTGAGCATGGCCTTTGAACGACGAATGTATGATCGGACTGCTGTCCATGGCACTTTCCCCCGTGCTCCAGACAGATCGATCTCCATCCATAGGTGGGTCATGGAGCCAAAGAAGCGCTCCCAGTCTTTGCAGACACGCAGAATTGCCCTAACGAGAATAAGCTTATGAACAAAGTTGGAGGGTAAATCGTACATACACAATATTTTTGAATGAGAAGTGCTGGATCACTATAGCCGCGAGCTCAAGAGGAAGCATGGTGAAAGGATCATTCCGGTTGAGCATCATGCGATCTTGAAGCTTCTTGTGTAACAGCTCCATCATCTACAGGATCAATATGTGATTATGGCAACCATGGGACAAAACGAACCTCTCGACGTGGATGTTTGCTCGGGAGAACCTTCAAGCCATATGCGTAGATTTCCAAGGCCTTTTCGGGTCTTCCCTCCAAAATCAGGACCTTGGCACAGCGCAGATAGCCCTGGAGATGGTCAGATCCGTCATTCGAATCGAATGACGACAAACTTACTCGCTCATCCTCCTTGCCCTTTTTAATCATATGTTTCGCATCACGGCGCGCCTGATCGTATTGTTCAAGCTTACAGTACGTAGCAGCACGATTATCGAGAATGCCGATTGCATCAGCATCTTTCACATTCAACGCCTAAGTCGGTGATTAGCTACCATTTCGGGTTAGGATGAGTGATGGAGCTACCTCGCCGAAGGCCTCGATGGCAGCCTTGAAGTCACCCTTTTGGTAGAATTTTTGGCCTCGTTGATGAGGGCCAGAGATAGGAGGCGGCATGGTTTCCTGCCATCGACTCGGCTTTGCAGCTTAAATGAATGTTGAGCGCGTTGAAGGCACGGTACGTGTTTATCGCGGTTGGCCTGAGGCTAGTAATATCCTGTTACCGCCTTTTGATTGTGCCGCTCGTCACCGTTCACCGTAGTGTTGTTCTGCCTAACTGGTTGCAATACCCCGCCGTAGCGGCCCATGTTTACTTTCTTCCGCTTTGGTTTGGATCTTCGGATATTGCGACAGCTCCACAACACGACATGGAGGCGCAGAACTTGCAAGCCGCTTCGACTTATGTCAATAATATCTTGCTGGCGCGAGGATTATTGAAGACTGGTCATCCGATTGACTTTGCGCAGCCTGAAAACGAAGATGGCGGGACTGAAGCTACCATGGCGCGGGTTATTAACCTGGTCAATGACCTCGTTTTGAGGAGAGACGTCTGTCCTTACTATTCTTGCTTGTCACATTGGTTCTGACAATTTTCTAGCGCGAATCTGAGCATCGTGAAAACCTGGCGACGACCATTCGTACGCTGCGCGCGGGCGAGTCGGAGCAGACCATGGAAATTGTATGTCATGTCGACAGGTGCTAATTATTAAGCTCCCGAGATTGCTAACGTCCATTTACATTTAGGTCAAACTCAAGACAAAAGCATCAGAGCTAAGTCGCTCTCTCGCGCTTGCAGAAGCCCAGGAGCGTAACCTCAAGGCCAACATGTCCAAAGCCGAATCGACCATCCGAGGACTGAAGGAACAAGTCCAGCGCATGAAGATCACCGTACAAACAGTTCGCGCGCAATGCGCTAACGATATCCGGAAACGTGATCTCGAAATGCAGAGACTCAAGTCACATTTGGCTGAGCGACAACGGGGAAAGCGGGAGGGGTTGGGTGTCACGATTATCAACATCAACCCCGGCGCAGACCGGTCACGGTTCGGAGCGAGTGGTGGAGATCACATCAACGATCCTGGATACAGTTTGAAGCAGGAGACGACCGATTTCTTGACGGAGCTATGTCAGACCCTGAGTGACGAAAATGATACCCTGATTGAGCTTGCGCGAAACACTGTTGGCACATTGAAGGAGCTACAAGGGCTGCCACAAGCTGAACCGGAGAATGAGGAGGGTGAAATGTCCGGGTTGTCCATAAGTCTGGGACCGAAGACGTCAGGGCCCGTGTCTACGCTGCCTACGTCTTGTGAAGAGCTGTCTGGTAGCATGGAAACAGTACTGGAGCACCTACGCACACTACTCACCAACCCCTCTTTCGTACCGTTGGAAGAGGTTGAAATCCGGGACGAGGAGATCAAATCCCTGCGTGAAAGTTGGGAGAAGATGGAGAAGCGGTGGAAGCAAGCTGTATCCATGATGGATGGATGGCAACAGCGTCTTGCAGATGGCGGAGATGGCGTACGGATGGAGGAGTTGAAGCGAGGCATGAATCTTGATTTAAGCTTCACATCCAACGACGACGCGAGCATGCTCAGCAGGACCTCTAACAACATCTCGCCTATCCTAGAAGACCAAGAAGAGACGAGCGAGCCAGAGGAACAAGTCCCTGAGGAGCCAGAAATTCCACAGACCCGATCAAAACTCCGCAAGGTGCCCGAGCGCTCTGACCGAGCTCTGCAGGAGCGCAGCGACAACGCCCGGCCCAGGCGACTCCGCAAAGTGTCCTTCACGCCTGGTCTGCAAGGATCACCATGTGAACCCACTCCCAACAAGACAGAAGAAGAAACGCTACAGATCAAGGCCTACAAATCCAACACCGTGGCCCGCAGACCATCACGGCGAAAGACAGATATCAAGCCCACTCGCCAGGTAAGAAGATCCAAATGACCATTTCGATCGAGTACTAACTCACCTAGGCCGATGGCGCCGAACCACGAATGAGCGTTCGTCAGAAACTAGCCGCAGCCGAGGACGAGGCCCGTGACGCCGCGCAAAAGGTCAAAGAACAGGAAACGCGCAAGCGCAGCAGACCCGAGAAGTCATCGAGCCGATCGGGAGGTCGACGTCGAAGCACACTCACTAGCGATGAACTGGATGATCTCATGGGGATGTCCCGATGAGGGATAAAATTGCTGGTATTAATACTGTACATATCAAGCGAGCATTGTAAATACAGGAGAGGGTTCCATGTTGGATTTAGCTTTAATGCATAATTTCGGTGTTGCCACAGGCCATGAAGACGAAGATGAAGATGAACCTCGGCTCGGTCGGTTCTCCGCATATTTCAGATTTTAGCGCAAGCTCCACCACGAGCTTGCCATGGTCCTTTCAATATCAGTAGTTTTTCAATTTCTTTTCTTCTTTCATACCAATTCCTAAGCCTCCATACCTATTCAACCTCCAATTCATTCCACACCCAACACACCAACACAACCACAATGACCTCCCCAGCAAAAAGAATTCCACGGCTGGGTCGCCCACGACTCTACAAGCCCCCTAACATACACAACATTCACTCCCAAACCATTCACCCCAACCGACGTCGAAATCCGCATCACCCACTGCGGAATCTGCGGCACAGATGTCCACACCCTCCGCTCCGGCTGGGCGCCAACAGACTATCCCTGCGTCGCAGGCCATGAGATAATCGGCCACGTCGAGCGCATTGGCTCGTCCGTCTCAACACTTCCCTCTTCACCAGCATCCCGGTCCATCAAAGTAGGTGACCGCGTCGGAATCGGCGCGCAGAGCATGTCATGTCTCAAAGCCGATTGTGAAGCGTGCGCAGATGGACAGGAGAGTTATTGTGCACGGATGACAGGGACTTACAATAGTCGGTATGCGGACAAGTCTAAATCCTATGGTGGATTTGCAGAACGATGGCGCGGACCTGCGCATTTCGTGGTGAAGATTCCTGAGTCGTTGCCTTCTGCTCAGGCTGCGCCATTGCTATGTGGTGGCGTCACTGTGTATGCGCCTCTGAAGAAGTATGGCGCTGGGCCCGGGAAGACTGTTGGGATTGTCGGGATTGGGGGATTAGGACATATGGGTGTGTTATTCGCGAAAGCGCTAGGTGCGGATTCGGTTGTTGCGATATCGCGATCGAGCTCGAAGAAGAAAGATGCGGTTGAGGGCCTTGGGGCGGATGGATTCATTGCCACTGGCGAAGATAAGGGGTGGGCGAAGAAGTATTCGCGGACGCTGGATGTTATCATCTGTACTGTTTCTGGGCCGGATATGCCGTTGGCTGGGTATTTGAGGTTGTTGAAGAGGGATGGCGTGTTTGTGCAGGTTGGGGCACCGGAGGATGCGTTGCCGCCGTTGATGGCGTTTTCGTTGATTCAGAAAGGGGTTAAGATTACTGGGTCGAGTATTGGGAGTCCGGAAGATTTGAGGACGATGTTGAAGTTGGCGGAGGAGAAGAAGGTGTTGCCGTGGATTCAGGAGAGGAAGATGAGAGATGTAAATCAGGCGTTGGTTGATATGCATGAGGGGAAGGCGAGGTATAGGTATGTTTTGAAGAATGGGGAGCAGGCGAAGTTGTAGATGGATTCCTGGTATTGTACATAAAGTCAGATGTCTGCTTGTATAGTTTTGATTTAGACTGGTTGGGAGCAATTCAAGATCCGAGGACCTGGGAGAGACAACTGAAAGACTTTTTTCGAGGACCTTGGGAAGTAATTCAGGTGAAACCTTTCCACTAAGCCTATAAGGTGTTCTGCCTTCTATCTAACTATGGTCCTCGCCCGCTCCTATCGTCTTCCATTCCCCTTCCTTTTTACATCCTCAAGAACGGATTGGAAGGTTGCAGAAGAGTTCACTTGGCCTCGATAAATTTTGTCTTCTCTAGATTCACTCTACTGTTAATCGATGAAAAGCTTCTACCTTGTTTTCACTTCGGCAATTCTGCTATCATGGCCCACACTTGGATTTGTTCAGTGCTAAATATACATTTTCTTCTACGGCGAAACTCTCCACCCTATCTCCCCAACCGACAAATGCCACGAATTCCCGTTCCACCAGCCCCTGAACTAGTCTCAATCCTGCTTCGGCAGATGGTAATGTTGGTATCTTCTATAGCGAGGCTACTGTGACCAAGACCCTGCTGAGACTTACAGGCCATGGGTATACTCCACCACGTGACCATAAAGTTTAGCTCATTGCAACCTCACGTTTCGCTAGCTTAACAGGGAAAACAAGGTTCAGGAACCAAAAACACCATGGCAGCCTATGTAGACCCACTCATGATATCACCTTACTCCTTGGCTGAAGAAGCATATACGGGGGTCCCAATCATACGGCAACAACGCAGACCTGTCACGTGACCAGACCCTGGATGTGGGGGCCACGCAAGTGATTGGCCCAGTGCCCTGCACTGCCTTCAATATCGCTGGATTAGGGGTCATGCGGCGCATCGGGCCCGATCGAACCAGTTTTGCCCAGTGCACTGCATCGCCCCCAGCCCTCTCAGCCTTGCGATGATGGCATTATTTTCGCCCTGATATCTGACCATCGGAGAACATATAAGGCTAGCCTTGCACTAGACTCACTCGAAACTAAACATCTCAACATCTGAATCAGTCCAAAGTTACACACAATGAATCACCCCACCAGCCTCTCAGCCCAATACCACATCGCTCATAGTGTCTGGCGGCATGATTACGACATCTCAGGGTCGCATGTTTTCCACGTGGACAACTCTGCGTTCCGACCGGGCAAACCAGACCTGACATTCCACGCCGGTCTGGACACTACCGCCCCTGTCGCGGGGGTTTGCAAGTTCCGTCACTTTTCCTCCGATACCGAAATCGGTCTAGGCGACCCGAGCAAGCCAGGAATCAGTTGGGAGCGCATGAGCCGAGAAAGCCTCCGCAAAGTCCAATACGCTTTCCGCCTGAACTGTGGTGACGGCCGGCAACACCGCTTCACATGGAAGAAGACTAGTTCGCTAGGCGGCAGCCATTCTGGAAACCTAAAGCTAGTCGACGAGTCGAGCGGAAACGTGGTGGCTGTCTTTTCATCCGGTGGATCCTTCTCTAAGAGAACCGGCCAGCTGGACGTTTATGCCAACTACGGTGAACGATTCTCGATCATGGTGTTGATCTCGGGCATTGCGTTACGCGAGAAATTGAGACGGGAGAATAACGCTGCTGCCAGTGCAGGTGCAAGTGCGGGCTCCGCGGGGGCCGCAGGTGGGGGCTGTTAGCCAAGAGCCAAGCATCTGGAAACAGAATTATACGAAGTAACGAGACATGAATGTGGGGTGGGGGGGATATGGAGCTGTATTTATATAGCGCCTTTCAGCGGGATTTGGCGTATTTGTTTTTTGGTTCTACGTGATACCGGCCGCGAATTAGCCAATAATCAATATAACTAAACCAATCATGAGTGGATCCAACCCTAATGGCTAATAAAAAGCTTGGAAGTCGGTTAGGTCCGGCGCGGACCTTTGACCGGACCCTGCATACCAAGCCTTGGTGCGAGGCAGTGCAAGCGAGGCAAGACAATGTTTCAGACCATACAAGCTTCACAGTTTGATCGACAGGGTTCGTTATGTAATCGGGGAATCGGTGCCTCGGGGAGTATATCTCGTGTGAATGCTGTTGCCTACGCTTTTACTACTCTGGGCCATGGGGAGAAATTTTTCTAGTTCCATACCTTAATTTCCGTTTCTTATTTTGCTTATTTTTGCTTGGTGCCGAGCCTTATTCTGAGCCTCTTCTATTCAGGCCTTCTGCCATGAATATGAAGTTCGTTTCGGTTTCATGACTATGGCGCTCCGACGACCGCACCGGAAATCCCGACACGGGTGCATGGAATGCAAGCGGAGACGAGTAAAGGTTTGTTTTTAATTACATATAGGGCTGGTATCGGTGCTGATCTTCATGGCAGTGCGACGAGGCAAGGCCTACCTGCTCCAACTGCCAAAAACGACATGCGGAATGCGAGTATGGTTCGTCTAGCTCGCTGCTCTGGGCTAATGAAGAACCCTCGGTGAGGTTGTCATCGCGTGCCTCCGGTTCCGATAGTGGGCTGCACGGTGACCCCTCATTGGGAAGTCCTGGGTCCGACTCCTTGGGGTTGTTAGGGAGACTGAGCGGCGATAGCTCGACTCCCGCTGCTCCCGCTGTGTTGAATCTGCATGATCTCGAGCTGATGATGCAATGGTGCAATGCGACGTTCCAAACCCTCTCTCGTAACGATCGCACAGACCCAATTTGGCGAAATGCAGTTCCAGAAGAAGGCCTTTCGCATCCATTCCTGATGCATGGTATTTTGGCTCTGTCTTCTCTGCATTTGGCTAGGACTGCGCCCGAGGCCTCAGGTCGGGCTGCGTACCTGAATCGTGCCGTGGCTCACCAAAACCAAGCGCTTGCACTTTTTCGCGAGCTTTTGGGGGACATTAATGAGGGAAATGCTAAAGCCATGTTTGCGTTCGCCAGCATCGTCGTCGTCTACACTTTCGGCTTCCCCCACACACCCGATGTGCAAGATCCATGGACCTGTGTGGACGACCTATACCAGGTTCTCGTCTTGACCCGAGGTATTTCACAAGTGATTCGATCTCCAGCCGATTTCCTCAACCACGGATCTTTCGCACCAATTCTCCAAGTCGACGAAAGCCCTGCGCCATTGCCAGACGATGCGACCACTGCAATCCGACACCTCCACGAAGCCAACGAAATATGTCGGGCCCGCGACCCACACCACGAGACAGACGCCTACACCGTTACAATTGACAATATCGCCGAAATGTTGAGCTGGGCGTATGGCGGCACGACCTCGACAGTCATCGCGGGCCGGTGGGCCATCAAGCTGCCGCCACGGTTCTTGGACCTGCTACGCGAGCGGGAGCCATTGGCGCTCGTAATGTTAGTGCATTATGGCGTGCTACTACAGCATCTGAAGCATCGCTGGTGCTTTGACGACTGGTGTGTGCGGGTTGCGAAAGCCGTGTGGGCAATATTGGATGATCAGTGGAGACCACTGGTTCATTGGGCGATGAGAGGGATCCTCGGCGAAAATTACCTCGAGCAGATTGACAATCTGTGATGGGATGAGGGTATAGATGCGATAAATTCGCAGAAAATCAATTGTTATGGAGATTGCGGGCTAAGTCTTACTACCGAGATCCGCCACAACGCCCTACACCAACATCTGTCCGTCGGAGACGCTCAACCCGCCTTTTGTCGTCATGGTCTTTCCCCTACCAAGGAGACAGTTGACCTCGCTCGGGTGAATCACAATGAAAATTACCATGAGAACAAACATCAACAATCCATCGAAAACATAAATGAATACCTCGTTACTCATGACGAACCCATCGGTACCCTGAACGTACTCGACAACACGAACAACAGACCGAACAAGCACCAAGATGGAGGATGTGTGCAAAGCATACATATGTTTCCGCCATGGCGTATGATCAGCCGCAGTCGCCGCACTCGGATGCGAGACCAACCTCCTCTGGAACAACAGTGCGCTGATCAGGAAGAACCCGAAGAAGAGAATCTGCACGATCAACCCGCCAACAATAACGTTCTGGCCAGTTTTGGAAGAGTTACCACCTCCAAAACCACTGGCGCCGCTGACCATAATCCCGGCCCCTATCAACATGAATCAGCAAACATCCCACAATGAGATCCAGGAAGCATACCAGAAGCCTGCATCAAAAAACTCAACACATCCCCACCCACAAAAATCTTCGTCGTCCAATTCACTCTCACGAGCGCAAACCTTTCCCCTTTCACAAGGACAATAATCCTTCCAAGCTCCATATAAATACTTGCCGCGAACAGCGCCGGCGCGATCAGCAGCAATGTGCTCTGGATGATATACGGCCCTGTTGTCCAATTGGGGGATTGTTGCGCCGACATGGCGCGCCCGATATACCCGACCGTTTCGACTGGTATTATTAGCTGAACCCCTTTCGAATGTTCGGGTTAGAAACATACAGTATCCGCCAAGGACGAGCGGGATGAAGAACCATGTGCGCGTGCGGAAGAGATGGTATGTGTGGAGTAGGGTGACGACAGCGAAGAGGATTATGAAGAGGACTGCTGCGCCCATTGAGGGGCTGTACTGGTATGCTATCCAGCCACCGTGGGAAGACATTTTGCTTTCTTGCTTGCTGTCACTTGCTCTTGGGTCTAGGTGGTAGCTAGAAGGGATTCAAACGAAATGAGATGTTACAGCAAAGAAACAATTACCAAAAGACCAGCAGCCAGCCTGCTTAAATATTGAAACAATCCCGTTCCAATCTATCAATCTCTTCAAATGATTACATCCTGGAAAGAAAAAAGGCAACATTATTTCCCACCTGGCCAATCTCTTTCGCATCTCCGATGCCACTTACATGGTTCTCCAGTGGGTCTCGTATATCTCGTATTTCATACTTAATAGGGTTTAACCTTATCTGTGGCTCGCAAATTAGGATCCTCAATTTGGACAGGGATTTGTAGATCGATGGTCGATTGGTGAAAAACTGGGTCTTTGGGGTTTGATCGGTAGGCATTCACCTTTTGCATCTTATTCGTGTTCCGCCCTGCTTTGGGTTAGTGGCATGCGGGTTCCTATGTATTGGGGGGGGGGTACTATGTGATTCTCTCTTGCTATGCACCTCTTTTGATGCTCTCTGCACGTACCTCTAGTTTCATTTTCGAGATTTGTTTTTTATAGATATTTTTGTAAGTTCCAGTAACCGATCAGCCTTTGGGCTAGGTCAGGGCCGCGTATTTGGACTCATCTATAGAATTTTTCTCATCAGAAAACACCATACTTGAAACCGGCCTCCTCGACACCAAAAGCGTATTTGTTTAGGGGTGAAGGAATAAGTCTACTTCACATTTGCTATTAAGATGACACCAGCTCTTCTGTCCAAGATATCTTTACAAAAGAGAATACATACGGCCCGTTGTTATCCCGGAAACTTCCTCGAAGCACCGCAGCATCTACACCAGCATCTACAACAAGAACAGCTCGTGTTAACAAAAGATTCTTTAGCGCTCAACCATTTTTCATGATTCGTAATCATTTGGTTTCTCTTGTCTTCGGGAACAACTTTCTAGATTGATTATGAGCCTCGACACCTGAAGATGCAGGCTTCGAGCATCTAACCACGTGACCAATATTTTCACGGGCTTCTCACGCGTCGAAGAGTGAGAGCTAGCAATCACAAAACACCGAGCGCTTCGGTGGTCAACTTCGCCTGACCTTACCGCATTGCCATTCCTTTGTTCTCCAACACCTCGCGCCTTGCCCTTCTCCTCTCACGCCCATTGCTGCCTCTGTTCTTCAGTTGCGGCCCAAAGTTGCGCCTTCTTTCCGGCGCCATTGATTTACCACTCCTGCAACAACAACCGCAAAAATGACTTTCAAAGTCCCATACGATTCAAGTCCGCCATCAACACCGGATAAGGGAAAGTCACAATGGAGTCATATCTCTACAACCCCCGCCGGTCCTCCGCCTTCAGAAGGCGACTCCTTCACTCCACAAGGACATCCGAACTCGAAGCTTTTCAACAGCTCTCAGATCGAATCGCATTCAAATCAACCGGTCTTCGATAATTCTCTCTTCACCAAATCAGGCGGATTCAACACAAGTGACAGCATCTTCGGTTCCTCTTTTGGGTCTGAGTTTGCACAGTCCAAACCGACAAAGGCGGCCCCCAGATCCTTCGTTGCATCCCAGTCTCACTTCGGTTCGACTAATGGAGGGGGATTCGCGCAATCCATGAACTTCGGGCAGTCCAATGGATTTGGACAGTCAGCCGTAAACCAATACGAGGAAGAATACGAAGAGGGCGAAGAGGCAATGGAAGCGGAGGAAGAGCTTGAGGAGGAGGATGCAGAGGGTGATATGGATATGAGCACTCGTGAACCCTCGACCCGTCTCAGCTTCTTGGACTCCAACTTCGGAAACCCGCTCCCAGCACAGACCTCGGCGCTCGGCCAGCGCAAGCCAATTTACACGAACCCTACGGATGCGAAGCGACCGAAACTTGACGAGCGCTGGGTGCAGCAACCTCCGACTCGCACGACCAAGCTTTCCCCCAAAAAGTCCTCTGCGATGCCCTCCATCCTTCACCAGCTCGCTGTTCGATCCCGCCAGGCTGCTGTCGACGAACCGGCTGATATGATTATCAACACGGAGGATACGCTCGGCCGAATGCATGACGAGCTTAGGGACATCCAGTACACACATCT